GCTCCATAGGACAAGTCTGAGGAGTAAAAGTACACTATGGCAGACAGACACCAAAGCAAGACAAGCAGACTCAAAAACAACACATTCAGTCGTGTCCTGTAACACATGTCTGTGCATGTGTAAGCTGAGCATGAGGGTAAGGAATGTAAAAGGAGAAGAGTGCTGGTGTTTTTGCAAGCATTGAAGCATGCAAGAAACATATATGCATGAATGAAATGTGTGTTTGTGTTGTGGTCAGCTGCACAAACAGGGCACTAGGGCACATATTCTTTGGTCTTATGTAACTTCTGTCATAAAGCTTCTGACCCCAGAGCCAAGAGACTGCAACATACTTCTTATGTGAATAACATAGCACATGGAAAGTTTAGTAGAGGTTACAAAAGCTAAGCGGATATTTGAAGATTTGGCGTCATACAAAAGGCAGAAGTCAAACTTTTTATGTGGGAACTGGGAGTCTCTTGATACATGTACATGGAATAAGGGAGGTCATCGTCGTCCACAGACAGCATGTAGAAATCCATACAGGAAATCACTCATATCCTCCCAGCCATGCGCTCCCTGCCAGGACCTGTTCACACTGAATCAAGCCAGGGGTGAAGATAATCACATCTCTTCTCTCAGGACAGCTGGAGGTGAAAGAAAAACTGCAGGTTTTTATTAACTTCACTGCTGAGCCACATTCAGTTCCTGGGGCAGCAATCGTATAACAGTCAGTAAAGGGGCCCCTCTGGATAAATGAGCTGAACAAATTGGAACAAGATGATCTTGTTTTGCACCACTAGGGGGCTGTAGCGTGTTTAAACAGCTGCCTACCTCTCTCAAAATACCTTTGGATGGGGATTACAAACTGTTTCAAGACAGGTCTTTCACCTTTAATGTCTGAAGGGTGTATGAGTTTGTAGGAGTAAGGACACAGTTATTAAGTTCCCTTTTCTCTGGTCCTGTTATTATATTATTTTTGGTGTTGCCATGGTATTATTTGTTGATACAGTTTCATAATTTTAAAGGAAACTCTTTAAACGCTTGTCCATTTTTAAGGGGAATTGAAAAATGTAGGATACTTTTACTTAACTTAGAGCTTATAATGACTTCATTTGATTTCATTTCTGTTTTTTTCAGGTTCTGGTATTATGCTTGTTGATATGGCTCTTGATCATATCTACGCCACCTAATATAAGGTGCATTTCTACCTTTGATGCCATGAACATTTTAACCTTAGCCTTCAATTCAAAATGTGAAATTGGTCTAAAAATAAAAACATTCTTGATGTTATCCCTAACAAAAACTTCTTTATTTCTGCACCAGAGGCTATATTTCTTCATCTGTACTGACTGTAACACATCTAACATCAACTTGTGTTGAACAAGAAATGATTTCTTCCACTTCTCTGATCACTCTTGATTGGCTTTTTTTTCCGTCACAAGACAGTCATGAGCTCTTTTCACATAGCCTGAACCTCAGCGATCGTTTGGTCGGCTAAAAAGGTCACTGTATGTCTGCTTCTCATGAATATCTCATGGTATCAGACATGAGGAACATGGAGCTGGTGACATTTAATAAATAGCTGACTGTCAGGGAAATAATGAGGGCAGGTCACATGTCCACAGACAGATAGGGTTTGTGAGTGTTTAATGGCTGCTCTCTCTGATGATGGATGAGTTGAAATGATTAATCTCGCACTGCTTATTTTTTGCTGAAGCGTCACAGGGCTAAGAGGGAAAAATTCCAGAGACTAAAAATAGAAGTTTATTCCCTTTAGAATCCGTTCGAGAGAATTTCTGCTCTTCTGGAATAAATTCAGAAATAAAAAACAAAGGCCTCATAAAATAGTCCCAAATGGCAGCGATCACAGATCACAGTGTGTCCATGAGAACCAGAGGGTTACGGCTCTTAAGGCTCCGGCACCTGTTTTTTTTTTTTTTCCTCCCTGCCTCTTACCATCCTCTTGTACATGACTAAGTCTGGGGGCTGTGCTGGGATTTACAGATGTTCTGTGTTCAGAATCTGGGGAAAAGGTCAACATGCCGGCTACAGGGGTGGGAGCGGCCATTTTGGGAAATGGAATAAGCAGCTGTGGAGAGGTGTGGATCTGATGACGATTTAAATCAGTGGATGAGAGGATACAGACGGATTCCTGTGAAGCCTTGTTCACTCAGGAAGACATACAATAAAACTCAATTTGTTAATCCTCAGATAATTATGCTGTGGTATAATTAAATGATTTAGTCCATTTCTCACTGACGTCTTATTTTAACAGGTTGAATACAGCAGCAAAAAGGAACCACATTTGCTTTGTAAATACTACTTTAAGTATTTAAATTTGATGTTACTTTAAATACTCAACCCAGCTATTTTGAAAGTGTACATTTTACTTCAGCACAGTTTTTACATAAAATTTTGCATTTCACTTTCAAACAATAAGATGAACACACTAGTTTTTTAATTCAACCTAAGAAAGATAGAGCTTTAAGTCTGCTTCAATAACATGCATCTGTATTGATCATTCATTGTCATGTGATGGATGTAATCAGTAAAGCAAGTAGATTCATCATACGCTCTGCAAAATTAGACCTTTTTTCCCACGCCTATCATACAGTTTTTGTATTTTTATCATTCTTGAATGTCAGACTTTGACTTTACACACATATTTTTACTGTTTTCCTTTTAAAGTTAAGGATCTCTTTGTTACACCAAGCACAGCTGCTTGACACACCCTTCCCGTCAACATCTTGTTAAATTACAATGCCAGTCTTTCTTTAATGTCATGATGGAAACTGCCATGAGTCATCCTACAATTACTGCATTGTTGCAGTAATCAAGAAAAACTGGATTCATCCATGTGAGAAGATTGAATGATGCCCACTGCAACCTCACACCGCAAATCCGGCACAGTCCTACTTCAAGTACGCAGTTTTACCACAAAGTTTCAACATTCAGCTCCTCCTGACAGACACATGATTGTCTATGATTCATCTGAGAACATAATCAGACATATTTCTCTGAATCTTGGCATCAAATGGATATTTATATTGAATAATAACTCTACATTGTCCTGTACATGACACTGAAAAATGAAGACTTGAAGATCATCATGCATATCTACAATAGACACCCCAATCATGTCCATGCAAGTCCCATGATGCCCCAGAAAACCCCATTATATCATGTGTGTTCTTTACATGTACAAACATAAAGGAGACAGTGACTGAGTTCAGCTGTCACTGTTATCTCTGGGATTAGCTTTTTAAGATCTTCCTGCTCGTACCTGCATCAGACAGACAGATTCCTTTCCACCACTCAGCCTTTCATTCACCTATGAAAAGATGATTTTTTCCCCCCATTCATTAATAACATGCATTGCTGCAACTAAAAGGTCATGGATCATCAAAACAGCTGATGCATAATCAATCAGCTTAAATGGTTAAGAAAGAAAAGATTCCTGGGGAAAAAGAGGGGCCTACTTTTAACTGGACCACAGCCACGTCCAGATTTCATGGAAACGCTCTCTCTGCCAAGGATTTGAGGAAATAATGCATGTTTGTTACATTCCAGACACATAAGAAAAGGGCTCTGTAATTCCTCTGCACTGAGTTTCCCCTCTGAGCACCGTCAGCAGTCTCCCGGTTACCTTTCACCTACTTAGTCTGGGCTGCAGACAGGAGAGGGTTAAAACCTGCTCCGTCTTTGTGGTCTGCCCCCGGATCACGTATGGCCCCGCGAGATCCCCGGCGGAGATTGTTAAAGAAACCCCACAGCCGTGCAATTTGGGCATTCTCCGCATCGTGAACTTTCCCCTAATTCTCACAGTCCAGCCAGCAGCTAGAGCCTACTCCATTCCTGACTGCGTCACTCACTTCATTCATTCCTCATCATATTCCTCGTGGAAATTTTGAAAAATGACCACAGAAATCTAAACGATAATAGTTGTCTTTTGACCAAAGCGTAATAAGCATTTTTAAGAATTTAATGATTTCCATAAAGGTTTGTTATTGTTATGAAACTAATTCAAAGAAAATTAAGGATTGCCCCCACTGTAAGAACCCAAAGTGTCTGTTTTACATCTCTGCATGATACTAAGTTGGTATTACACATGTTTTTTGGACTTTTGTTACTTATTTGTCGTGGATGAATTTGTCTTTTGTTCTCATTCTGACTTTGAGGTAGATATTACTTTCAATGGGTGTTTTTTCTCTCATACAAACAGGATATAATCCCTCCAATTACATTAGCAAACTATAACTAGAGTTTGAGTTTACTTCGCAAGGCAACATGCGATACCAATAGGCGACAGGCACAACTAGGTCAGGAATAATGGAGTGATAGAAAAAAACTAAAAATGACAAACGAAAAGGATCTTTGAATTAATGTAAATGATGTGAGAAAGAGAGAAATATCAGATTAAAATCTTGCAGAGGAGGCTCTGATTCCCCCCTCAGATGGTGATGAGTCTGTTTCATAATGACACTTGGTTTATCATATTGAATGAACAGTATTCACTCTTTTCACTTTCACAGTTCAATTCGGTAAATCCATCTTTACACTTTAGCTCAAATCTGACCAATTTAACAGGATATCATGTGTGAGGGTATTTACATTTCTGTTCTGTTGATTGTGATTTTTACCCGACTGTCAAAAAGATTATCTCTATTTCATGACTTTTATCAGGGTTCTGATATCCTATCTTTCATTTTCAGGCAGTTCCTGTGCTGATGAATGGATTACTTATCCAGAGTTACGTGTACTACTCCTGCAGTGTTGTTTCAGCAGTACTATATCATTGTTTCACTGGTGGGGATATCAGATGTTTCATTTCATCCTGTAGATAATGCACCTTCTGTCTCCCATAGTGCAGAGATGAAAGCCAATCTTTTTGTTATATCATGTCCCTCCTCTGCCACTAGCATGAACAGTTAACAGAGAGGAGGAGGAGGGACAGAAACCTGAGAGTGACTGCACCCCTCCCTCTCCTGCACTGGCCAATGGCAGGCAGCTTGCAGCTCAGACTTGAGAGCTGTGAAGCTATATAACTGTGACTTTTCAACCAGGAGCTGGGGCTCTCAAATCCAAGTCAAGAAGACAGGACAGGACACTGCACATTTCTGCAAAAGCCACTACTCAAATCAACATCTCAGCAGTTTGGATCAACAGCAGCAATGAAGACAACACTAGCAACTCTTACTCTGTGCCTGGTGGCGCTCATGGCCACAGGTTTCCCTCTGGAGAGGAAAGGGGGCTCACCCTCCGGCCATGCAGCCAAGGAGAAGCGTGTACAGTATGCAGCATGGGATGATGTAAATGTTATCGCCCATGGTCTGCTGCAGCTGGGCCAGGGGCTGAAAGAGCACGTAGACAAAACCAAAGTCCAGATGAGGGACATCTCCAGCAAGCTGAAGGTGTTTAATCGCACCGTGACTGAGCTGGGGAAAGAGAGCCAGAAGCTGCGTATGGAGGGGGAGACCCTGAAAGCTCGAGCTCAGGGGCTGGAGGACAGAGAGGGGCAGCTGTTGAACATCACAGCCGAGCTAAGGGAGAAGACAGAGGAGATGCAGCATGAGAGGAAGATGATGGGAGAGAGGATAAGCCGGCTGGAGGAGAAGGTGGACAGCATGCTGCAGGGAGACACACTACTATCTGAGACAAACCCTGGGGCCAAGAACAACAGTGATGCTCACAACATCCAGGTGAGAATGAAAGTTCCTATCTTTGGCTTTTGATGATGACTTCTTTGGGGAATTATGAAGCATGTTAAGATAAAGGATGTGAAATTTGAAAGTGTTGGAAAAAAACAAGGCAAAAGATTGCAACAGCATGCAGAGTATTAACCTTACTCTAGATACTCCAAGAGACCAACAAGAAGTGGTAAAAATGTGTTTTTCCTGCAGCAGATGGTTAAAGGGACTCATTAAATCAGTGCATGTACAGTATAAATAGGCAATTGACTTTTCTCTGAGCTCAGAGGCATTGAATTAAAATGCACAGAGGGCAAAGCAGTGGGTGGGTGGGTGTAGTAAAGAGGAGGGGGAGGTGGTTAGTAAGCCTTCAGGCCGGGGAGTGAGAGTGTGCAGTACGTGCAGGGAAATACTAAAAGGCAGCCAGACAAAGGGATCGGCACACATCAGCTGCAAGAATGTGTGAATAATTCTTGCAGCTGTGACTTTTTACAACCTGGAGCGCATTCAGCCATGTGACACAGTGAAAGGGGCTCACAAGAGTTGTGCTTTCTTTACAGTCTGCATTTACACAGCAGTGAGTAAGCCTGAAAGGCTTCATAGTGGGATGGAAAATCCCGCGCTTGAGAGAGTTACATAACTGTAACACAGGGGGCTGAAAAGAACAAATGCTTGTCTTTGAGGGGTGGAAATGTGTCTGGGGTCTAAGTCTCGGGTTTACCAATGAAACTCTGTGGTTGTCCTGTTGTTGAGTTAAATCTCCATCAGTGATGTACTCTGAACTTGTTGAGCACCATGGGTATGATTCACACACATGCAGGATGTTTAATAAAACTGATACAAAGCTAAATATGTGGTGCTTTTGTGTGTGTTTTTATTGTTTCTGCAGCTGATGCTGGAAGGTCAGAACAAACGCATTGATGATCTGATGGAGCGGATCAGACTCCAGCAGGAGAAACTTGACAAGCAGAATGTGCGCATCAGGACTCTGCAAAGCCAGGTGAGACATTACTGAGAGTTTTGACCATCAAAAGTTTCTGTAACAGAATTTAGAGTCAGTCTTGAGAGAACTTTTTCCATTTGTCTCATTTTCCGCAATCTCATCATTGATAACTTTTCCAGGTCCAGCAGTCCCGACAGAGACCCCTCACACGCAGCACCAGCAGCAGCACTGACAGCTCTTTAGCGGAGCAACGGGACTCACCAGTCGGTAAGTACAGCTAGAAAGCGTCCGAAATCCCCTCCTGGCACCGTCTTAAGTCGACTGGACACAATCTGACGCCAAATGTGGCTGACCATCTGGGTTGTCAGGCCATAAAGAAGCTTAAATCACTAGCAATTAGAATCAAGGAAACTAATCAATTTGGGGCACGCTCTCTGCTCAGCATGACTCCAGAAATATCAACTGGTGGGGTTTTTTTTTTCAGCAGTCTTTGTCTTTCAGCCCAAGAAATCTCAAAGGCATTAGTCAGACACAATGGATTAATATCAACAAAAGTAAACTTGTAGTTTAGCCTCCTTATAATTTTCACAAACATGAATCAAACTATCAAAATTTGGCACTAACAAAAGTATAAAATCACATCAGTCAGGATGAGGCTCATACTGAACCGTACAGTAAATGATGCCCTCAGTGTGCTGGCTAACCCAACAGCTGCTACTCCCATTGACCTGAACTGGGAATGGACCAGCAATCAAATGAATCTTTACTGTACTGGAAAGACTTCAAGCTCTTAAACCAATCAGTTCTTAGTTTCTCTTTTGGTCAGTTCTGTCTCAATAGAGAGAAAAAAAATGGGACAAAAGATGAGTCAAATTGAAATACACACAGTTTATGTTTCTAAATAGTGAAATAAAACAGTAGAATCTGAATTTCTGATGGTCAGCAATGGGAAGTGGGTGAAAGGTAACACAGTTGAGGCTACAGTTGAGATCAGTCACTTGGTACAAATCACAATAACACCTCGCACCTCTGACATCAGCAGGATTTGTGCGAAAAAGAAACAAGTTTCCTTGGCATGGTTTAAACTGGGGGAAAGTTCACCAGTCTCTGAGTGTGTTCAGTCAGGGTCACACAGCTCAACAAGATTACTCCCACTCATTTCTGTTGTTTGAGTGTGATGGTGGTGGGGGTTTGGGGAGGGGGGGTGCAAAAACAAGCCGGCAAAGGCTTTGTAAATATCAAGCCTGCATTGTTCCTCAGATTACAGTCTTTGTGTATTCAAGGAAAAAAAAACTCTGAAAAACGATAGGGAAACGGGAAAAGGAGGCCTATATTTATCTCTGAACTTTGTACAGATATCCCGCACTGTTTTGAAGACACTCACCTCCCTCCTCTTTCTTAAGAGGTCCCACCTTTCTGAGTAATACAAACATTTGCACATCCTGACAAGAATGAGCAACCTTTCCCCTACATCTGTCAGGGAGTCAGACATCCCTCCTCCTCCTCCTCCTCCAGCTCCAGGCACAAACCCCCGCTCCTCCATCTCTTCCTGCTCTCCCATTGAAATGAATCAGAAGTGTGCCAAAGTTCAGGAGAACCCCTGACCCCCGAGGCAGACTACAGCCTGGACTGGCCACAAAGAGTTCATGCCTGTAGAGGAAAGGTCAATACTCACAAATGAGGTATTGTGGCTCTGCAGTCAGCTGGTGTGCTAACAATGGGCCAATATGTAGGCCAATATCAAAGAATAACAATCAAAATTTTACTTTTTAAACAGTTTTAGAAGTTTTTTTTGGTCCTCTACAGCTTCCATACAGCACGATTTGTTGCTGTCGTTCACATTAAAAGGATCCCCAGAGGGAAACGCCCGGTCTCGTGAACCATTGGGCACATGACAGCCCCAGTTGGCTCTGGAGTCCCCTGCTTTGTGTTATCCCCTTCTCAGATGTCCCTCTTACAGAAAAAGCCCCAATGCATCCCCCTCCCTGTCCTCTGATCACACCCCAAGCATGCACCGACCATGCACTCCTACGTCACTGACTGGCTGCTGTGCACGTGAGCAAGATGTGACAAGCCAAAGAGGAGGGGGGTCCGAAGAAAGGGGGAGGAATGTAAAGGGTAGTAGTTTGTAATTCAAGTAGCTGTAAAGAAGGAAGTCTGCTTGGGAACCGGGAGAAAGGTCATATTTATAACCAAGAACTCTCTCTCTCTTGTTAAGGCCACGTCAAAGGTCTTATCGGGAACACAGTTATATCTCCAGACTGGCCGATAAGCTCACTAGGAATGATAGTTGTATTTGCAGACACTCGGCTAATGCAGTGCAGGAAACTTCTGCAGGGAGGTTGGCTGACTGTGAATGACCTACTTCTGAGGGCCTGAGTGAACAAGTTCAGATTCCCAAATATAAAAAAAGTAACACATACAAAAAACAGCGCAGAGACTGTGATTATTCTGTTTGGGTTATGCAGCACTGTTGATCCTAACTCTGTTTTCCCTCTTTGCTTTGTTTCCAGAGATGGCATCAGACTGTCATGAGCTGTTCCTGAGAGGAGAGACCACAAGCGGAGTCTACACCATCCAGCCAATCAATGCCGAGCCTTTTAAGGTCTTCTGTGAGATGACAGCTGGTAAGTGACTTCCTCGTATCCTGCTTTTTGTGTCCTTCATTCACAGTGCAGGTTAGCTAATAATAAACTTTGGGCAATAAGTCACCAACTTTTAACAGAATGGTTCAAAAGTTAAACCGCACAAAAAAACTACTGTCTTTGTACAAACAAGTTTTTCTGATCAAACTTTTTCAATCCTTCCCTTCAAGATGGCGGATGGACAGTGATCCAAAGGCGCCAAGATGGCTCAGTGGACTTTGATCAGCTATGGCAAGCCTATGAGAAAGGCTTTGGCAGCCTAAATGGTAAATACCCCCTTATCTCACTCTCACTGAAAGCAAAACTAGACTGAGCAGGTGCTCCCTGGCCTGTCCAAGGTTAGATGAGTTCACAGGGCTTTGCTGTCTTTTAACACGACAACAGCCCAGAGCAAGAGCTGGGCTCCTCAAAGCATCTTATCACGCCTTTAAATGGATCAAAGACAAACAGGGATGGCTCAGCTAAGTGTAGTTTTCTCACCTTTCTCTCCCTCTCTCTTTGTTTTCTCTAGGAGAGTTCTGGTTGGGTCTAGAAAAGATGTTCTCCATTGCCAAAGACGGGGGTTACATCCTGAACATCAAGCTCTCAGACTGGAGTGGTGATGTAGCAACCATTCGTTTGCCCTTCCAATTGGGCGGAGAAGAAACCAAGTACTCCCTGAAGATTCAGGAGACCCGCACTTTCAGCCCTTTGGAGATTTCCTTGGGGACCGACGCCACTTCAGGCCTACCATTTTCAACTCGTGACCAAGACAACGACCAGAAAAGTGACACTAACTGTGCCAAACACCTCTCTGGTGAGTCAGAATTTACAAGAATAAAAAAAAGTTGTACCATTTTTGCTTCAAATGTGATCTTGAGCCAAAGACTCAGCTTATCTGGTATCATGCTTTGTCTTCCTAGGTGGCTGGTGGTTCAGTAGCTGTGGTCGCTCCAACTTGAACGGCAGGTACTTCCAGAGCCCTCCTCCCAAGCAAAGGCACCAGAGGAAGCAGAGCATCTTCTGGAAGACCTGGAGGGGGCGCTACTACCCTCTGAAGTCCAGCATGATGATGATCGCTCCTGCTGTGATTGAAAACAAGTCTTAAAGAACTGAAAGACACTGAAAGAAACAAGATTAAGACAAAGAGAAGGGGGTGAAAGAAATAGATTTTGTACTGTTCTTTCTTTGATGGTTCTTAGTTGATGAGGTAGAGCTTATTTTGTTTTGCCTGATTGTCTCACTGCGAGGAAGACCTCATACAAGAACCAAAGCCCCTAAAGGAACTCATATTTAACAAGTTCCAGGTTTCCATTGCTCTGTTTCTCTAAGAGACAAGCAGCCGCAGATGGAAAAAGACAAAATGTGCTCTGGAAGCATGCACACATGTTGTACTATCGCGTTGATTCCTTCATGCAACATGAATTAGGGCTTCTAGAGAGGAGAGCGCCACAGGGCCAGTCCCAGCCCGTCCAACGTGCTGTGAGCCACGAAGGATTTCCAACATGTCGACACTCATCATAAGGCATTTGATGTGTGCTGTTGTTGAGTATTAATGTGGCTGTGTAGCAAACAAAGAGCACTCTCAGCTCTAAGAAAAGCTTAAGAATGGCTCTTTGGAGGATGCATGAAGGAGGGAAATTAAGGCAGATTAAGGCAGCCTTTCAAATCCAATGGTGCGGACCAAATGGCGACTTAATTAAAACAAAGAGTAATTTTCCACACGAACATGTTGAGATTAGTGTTCAAAGGCATTATGTAAAGTTATAATTCACTGTAAACTAGGATTATGATGGAGAAACTGTGTTAAGACTGGTGTTAGTAGTTCACAGGGCACTGACAACCATTTCAGCCTTTTGTACATTACAGTTTCCGACAGCAACTCTGAATTCAATCAAGTATTTTCTACACTGGCTTTCATTTTGTGTGGAGATTTTGACAATGTTTAGTCATATTGACTACCTTTAGGATGTGAGACTTGGTTTTGTACATAATGTTTGAAGGAAATGTCCTCTGGCTTTTCAGAAATACATGTAACTGTTCATATTTTGTTGTGATGTCTTTTGTATGTGACTTGAGACTCTGTTCTTGTAGATGTTCCTTTTCCTTATTTAAAAGCTGTAAAGAATCAATATATATTTCTGGTGCTGCCTGTTTGTAATTTATATTGTCTTTGTTGTGCTGTTGTAAAACTGTTTTATATAAGAAAATAACCATTTTTGGCCTGAATGAGCCAATAAAATTGATTCAGACTAAAAATGCATCTCTTCTTGTATTTTGTGCAACAATCTAAGAATTCAGAAGCATTTCATAAAATATATGATTCAACGTAGAAACCTTAATAAAACACTGATCATATTTACTGGACATATTTGCATAATTACATGATTATAGCTATAAAACTTTGAAGACATTGTTGTGCCTTGTGTAATGTAAGGGGGATGAGGCATTCTCAAAAGAAGCTTTGTTTGTAATACTTGATGCTCCTATCACATGTAACCTTTATAACCTTAGAAGAATTTTGCATTTGCACTCAAAAAGCGAAACTAAATTTACGGTTTAGAGATAAAATGTCTGTGTGTTTTCCATGTAAAATAAAAAAGCAGTCAGTGTAGATTTTGATTCATAAACTTTATATGGATTTAATTTTTAAAATTTGTACACTAATCTTCTGGATTCTATTGAACATGTCACTAAATAAGATTTTCACAGATGGCCATCTGCATGCTCACATAGGCCCACAGCAGAGCTAAACTATCCCATTGAGCCACACGTGACCCATCTCTTGTATCTTAAAGATTAAAGTGGCTTAGTCGCATTACCTGGCTGGAAGCAAACTTCAGGAGCTTCTTGGTGTCTGCTTTAATTTCTCATCGCACCACTTTCTGCTCCTCTGCAGGCCTCATCCATACTGATCCTCCAAGCTCTGACAAATAGTTCAGGATCCCCCTCTGTGCCAGCTGATCTGATGAGAGTTTGCTCGGAATTGACCTCTGCCTTCGAGGTATTGGTATTGCTGGTGAAAGTAAGTTCGTAGGTCACCCCGGTTTATTGGTGACTTTGAGGACTGACATCTGTTCCCTGAAATGTTCAGCACGGTTGGTGACTTTCTATGAATCAGTGAGGATGACCAATAGGTTTTTGTCTTAGAACTAATATGATGACAACAAAACATAACCTGTAGGGGAGAGTGGGGTAAGATGAGCCATTTTTCATATTTCAGATCACTACATTAAGACAATCATAGTTTTGTCTCCAACTAGTGTATCTGTATATATTTCAAGATGTTGTACATCCCTGCAAACCAACAGAATGAGTGTAAAAATAACTGTCTTGATAATATAGCATGCCAAAAAAAGTGGTCTCCTATGGTTAACTTACCCCGTGTATGGGGTAAGTTGAGCCGTATCCCTACTACCCCCCCTCTCTCCACCCCAGTCCTCCCTCACCTTCTCTCCCCCTAAATAACAGTCACTTCTTCACATTGATGAGTATTTTTATCTATTATACACTATTCAATTGGTACAATAATTCTCTTTATTATTATTGCATGTAACTGCTACAAAGCTGTTTTGTAAAAAGCCATTTTGACACGGGAATGTCTTTAAGTGATTCCGAACATTCACAGCTGTATTTTTGAAAAGAAAAATCAACAATCTGAACTGAAACTCTGATCCTCTCATCAGACTCCTTTACTTTCTCAGTTGAGCCACTGTCTCAACTTACCCCAGAATTACTATTATGACTTTATTAGTCCTCTTAACTAAAATGGTGGACTTTTATGCTAGGTTTTGACCTCATGTTGTAGCTCATAGATACCACAATTGATGTATAAAACAAATTCAAAATTATGTTTTTTTGGTCTGAACACAATTCTAATAAAACTTCTGACAGACTTAATTCCCTTTCAAGCGTGAAAAATGTTCTTTTTTTTTTTTTTTTTTTAAATAAATGTCTAACCCCTTCACCCATGTGCTTCTAACCTTCACAGACTCCATGAATTGACGCCCATCTCCGAAATATTTGGTCACATCAACAATCTCTTTTACCATTTCCAAGCAACAAGGGGTGGCTCAACTTACCCCACTCTTCCCTATATGTTGCCAACATTTCATGAGTCTAATTCTGATAAATAGCAGACACGTGCATTTTAGCTAATTAGAAAAGACAAATGTTACATCCCTCGTCTGTAAGATTACAGCCATTAGCTTGTTGACTTAAAAAAGTAACGGTGAAATAGCTCATACCTGAGAAGCACTTATGCATTCACACTCTATTTCTTTAACTTCCCCGCTATAACGGCTTACGTTCGCGTTGCCAGGCAACCGCTATACCCTCCAGGAAGTCGCCGACTCTTCTCTTGGCCAAAAATCTAGGGTCTTGGAGGTTTTTGATAGTTTTTCATTTGAATAAGGGTAGTTAGCTCACCTGACTTCTTGGTGATAGTTTACTGACGCAGAATAGTTATTCTTTTAATATTAAATACGTACTAGGAGAAAAAGTTGCCATGGAAACTGTGCTGCAGTCCATAAAGGAAAAGCAAAGGCAGTAGGGCCTACAAGCACCTGGTGGTGCTCAAATGAAGGGTCAGTGGAATATCAATGTGAGAGGGAAAAACGGCATATAAATGAGAGGACTGCAGTAAAAGAGAACATGTGACTGATTCATACATTTATTCATTATCATGTACAAATTGTATTCCGGTGGTACAAAGCTGTTGTAAGACTCCAGAACTCACCCCCCTGTTGTCTTTATTGCAGTAAAAAAAGGAAATACCAGCATGATCAAAGAGTCAAGAGGTACTTTGGCAAATATAAATTATGTGTTAAGAAGGCAAGCAGACATCCCAAGCAATGTAATGTGAGGGGAGAAAACATTGCGAAAACATCAATGAGCTGCTTCTGTCAGTGCCCATTAAAAAAGAATAAAAGTTCATAAAATGTTTTATTTTAAAGGACACACATAAAACAAGTGGGCAGAAGAAGAGTCACAGTTTTCTTCTTCCCTACGTTGACTGCAAGTAACAGACTCACAGTATGTTTGATATTGTAAGTCTGTGTTAGTGTGCTCATGATCTTGTGTGTATATGAGATAAACTGTATTTTACATGTGTGTAAAGTATGGGTACTCATGTCTGCAAACATGCGTATAGTTTCTATTCATATCTGTGAACTGTAACCCTACTCCGACCGCTGACCAAAGAGAATAAAACAGGGGGAGCAGAGGGGGAAACAACACAATAACATTTGGCAAAAAAAACAAAAAAACAAGAAAAATCAGATGAGGACATGGGTGAGCGATGAGTCAATGTGACACAGCCTGCAGATACTTCTCCATATGTCCTTGTCATTGTTGAGCTTTCAGGGTGAGACATCAAATCTCTGTGCTCATAAACCATACCCCAGACTGTACATAGTGAGAGAGGCCATGAGGGAGACGGAGCAAGCGATGCGAGTAACAGAACAAGAGACGAGAGAAAGAGAGAAAGAGAAAGAGAGAGAGAGCTAAAGAGTTAAGTGGGGAGGTTACGTGACCAGTTCTTAGGAGACAGTGGCTGCAGTGTCCGATAGTCTCGATGACAGGGTGAATGAACATTTGGGAGGGGAGGCCAAGGAGAGTACAGATGGGTGGTGAGCTAGAGGGGTCTAGGAGGACGGGGCGGTAACTAGACTTCATTCCTCCTCTTCTGTCACGTTTCAGAGGTATTGTTGTAAAAAGTGCAGCAGCATTATCTCATAGTGCTCTCCAGACTCAGGGCAGCGAATACTGTGTCGCTCATTGGGGTATACCTAGAAAACAAAAATATGATGATCAAATCAAACACTAATCCGCTCAATGTGCTTGGTTTAATCTGCTGTATTCTGTTGGCATTACAGTGGCGTTATTCTGAAAACTTATGCAAGATCTGACCTGTATGAAGAACCTTTCTTCAGCTTTACCAGAGAGAGGTGTCAGTCTTGTAAATAACCTTTTGGATGCTTACCTGAAGCTGGTAGGGCTTCCCAGCACGGATTATCTGTGACACTAGAAAGTTGGTGTGGAAAAAGTGCACATTCTCATCTAGAAATCCATGAAGAATCAGCAAACGGTTAGGCCTGGAATTAAAAAAAAGAGCATGTAGTTACAACAATTTGAATCCCAAATAAGAAAGTCCATGGTACAAAGCATTTCTTTGTTTTAATGTTTTAACGCTGCTTGCCCAGTCGAAGAAAACTCTCCGTTCCCCCATGATTTAAAAGCTGCACAGAAGCTGAGATATTTAATGATTTGACATCAGCATCCAGGATCGGTGCTCCAACATGCAATCTGTCTTGGCCTCAGGCTGTCCTTAGCCCTTTACAAGACTTCGCCTGCTGCCTCAAATCCTAATTTTAGCTTTGTAGATTTCAATAGCTTAAAGAAAACTTAAGAGACCTATGACAGTTTTCCAAGTAACAAGGGAGAGCTTATATCACAAACCTGCACATAGCAAGACCCGGCAGGAATTAAAAACCTACTGCAATCACGATCAAACACGTATAACTACCTATAAAATTACAGGGGACATGCAGTATGGTTAGATAAGTGGTTACATGAGAAATACTTCAGAATTTAAAGCACTGGAAATAAGATAACAGGCACAATAGCAAGTCTGAACAAGTTTATGTACTGACTCGCTGGGCAGCTTGTCCACGTGCAGAGCCACAGAGCCTTCCTCGTAACCCTGCTGGTTGTTCTCAGGCACGTCCATATAGCGCTCTGTGTAGCCTGTGTCGTAGGCCATCCACACGGTCACAGGGGCACCTGCAATAGCCAACTGGAAGAAAAGCACAACATCGTCAAGGGGGGTTCAGAATATCAAACAAGAAATAAACAATTATCTCACTGTGGGTATGTGTCGGTGTTTACTTAATAGCTCTGATGTTGAGACCCAGCTGGAGATTTTCAGCAAATTCTAAAATCTCTCAAGTGATCATGGTCATGAAACATGCTCACTTGAAAGATTGTTAGACAACACATTGTACAACAGAGACACCATGTGGATGTAGGCAGCAACTGCATCTGAATTGTAATGAAAGCTGAGGTTTTAGACTAAGATTCCATTTAACTAAGTTTATAACAAGATCGAAACTATGAAACACATTCATATAGGGGAGAAAGCTCACTAGTAAAAAGTGTGAGTGCAGTAAAAAAAAAATAAAAAAAAAACAAGGGCCAGTGGAGGGAAGAGTTTTCTGACCTTGAAGACATTAGGCCGTTGGATGAGGCCCATGAGTGAGAGGAAACCACCATACGACCAGCCATGAATGGCAACACGGCTTAGGTCCACAAAGTTAAACTTCTCTGCCACATACTGCAGCCCCTCCACCTGGTCCTCGATCTCCACCTGACCCTGAGGAGACATAACAGAATTCTGTTATTTAATCTCGTGTCCTTTTTGTAGCTTTTGATCATGTTCCATTATTTGTGTTTTACATACCATTTTGTTTTTCAGTGCTCCTTCAAACTCAAGTCCCCTCTGACAGGAACCCCTTCCATCAATGACGACCACAGCATAGCCCAGAGAAGCCAGCGTGTTCAGACGGAGGTACTTCATCCCTTTGAACGAGTTGTTCACCAGCTGCACCTGAAGACCCAAATATGCAGAAATTGTTAGACAGTTTAGTTTATTTATTTTCAATTAACAGGGTTGCAAGCTAAAAGAAATATAAGGAGACCCAAAAGTTTGACAGAATCTTTCTACACACCTGTGGGCCTCCGTAAACAAAGAGAACAGTTGGATGTTTCCTGTTGGGCTGCAGGTTGTGAGGCTTGTAAACCATTCCATAAAGCTGGAAGCCAGACTTTCCTGGAAAGTCAAAAATCTCAGGCGGGTTGTAATCTCCTGGGCAACCTGGAAGACATTTTAGACCATATGGGCATAAGGTTTGAGTTTTATAAAACAATCAGGGATTGTGGCTTGTACTTTTAGCAGAACTTCAACTCAAACATCCTTGGTTCCGTTTTGTAAAACTCAAGATGTACAGGTAAAGAGGAGCTCTTTCTGAAGCTGTTTTTGTTATCATTATTTTTATTGCAAGACATGTACTGGATCCTGTTTGTAGCTTGTAGCTGATTGTGCTGTGAAGTTAACTTCCATAATCTATGTTGAGTCATACTGAACAAGTGGAATAACCCCAATGGGTTAAGATGTCTAGCCTCTCAGAGTTAGAGTATTCTATAACTCAAGGCATTGACAGTATTGGAAAAAGAGAACTGTAATTACAGAAAACTTTCCAATCCTGCATTTGTGTTTGAAGTATGTCTGCTTGGGGACCAACGTAGGGATCATAAATACAGAAAAAAAGAGAAGCACCATCTCACTCTTGGTACTTTTAATGAATCATAAACGACAATCAACACCAGCACAAAGTGTCTGAGCAGCACTCTATCTGATTGCTGTCAGGATTGTCTGGAGGACGCCATTGTAGATCGAACTGACCGTCCTTGATTTAATCATAGCCAGACCTCCACTTTCCCCTGCAGACGATGCTTTTATTGATTGTTCCAAAAATAAAACCACAGATAGCCGCACAACCTTCACACTTAGCCGGATTGCTCTTTAGGAAAAGCTCTGCCGAGGCCAAATATGTAAATACACACTTTACATGTTAAATAAATCATAAAACTACTGTATGACTAAAGGTTATATTAACCCCAGCTCACCTGGTGATTCCATCATACTGGCCCAGAACTCAGGCACCATGTGTAGTGGGTCACCTTCAGAGCTGCTCAGTTTGTAGACATGAACACATGGAGGTGTACTCACGTTACTGTAGTGGCTGACAAAAAAGTCAAAGTTCTGCAGGGTGACAGAGCAAAGAAGAGCAAACATCATGATAATACAGAATAAAGTGCAAAATACTTCTTGGAAACTGTATGATAATAAATAGACAAGGACAATAAAGATAGGAAAAAGAAGAGGCAAAAGGGGGATGCAGCCGATGTGTGAAAATACTCTGTGTCAACAACAGTCTTTCTCTAGTTCTGACAGCTTTTCAAGAAATACAACACACATGATAACAAAAATGTACATGTAGACCAACAAGCATACAAATGTATGATTTTACCTGACTAACAGAGCAACTATGAGAGAAGCCAGACTTGGTTAGTCTGACCACATCTCCAGGTGAATCATAGCTGACCACGTAGAGGTGGTGCTCCAGAGGAGTGTCCCTGGTGCCCTGGAAGTACACTAGCTTTGAAGATTCACTCACCCAGATCTAGCAGAGGAGAGACAACAGAAGAGCGACATTAAGAGCGACATCGTCTTCATTTATTTTTTTGACCCGAAACATCACTTTTGAAGCCAGTCCAGAGGGAGCTTATTGCTAATAAGTGATCATTATCAAACAATCAAAGTCCATGTTGTATGTTGGATGACTTTGGCTCCAACCAGGTGGATGTATAAGCTTTAACAAAGATATATAATGCAGCAGTAATCCTATCACAACTGGTGCATTTACAAGGAATATCACAGAAGTACTTAACTGCAGCCCTCTTATCTCACATCCATTTGGTTAAAAAATGTTTAAATGCCTTTTTTCATTGCAAAATAAACACAACCTCCTGATAGACCTACTTCTGTAGATAACTACAAGAAGAGTGTTACTTTGAGAAAGACTTTAATGCTTGAATTTATTCCTATTTGTCCTCAACTCTAAAACCCCAAACTTAGATCAGAGGATTTAACCATTGTTTCTTTTCTAACCCTTTGAGTTGAAACTTTGTGACCACATCCTACAAGCACCTGTGTATTTTGTATATGTGTGAATAGCTTTAAAAAACCAACAGTCTTTTTCTAACCTTGGAGCCATGCCTTGCCAGCACTTCCCATTCCCCACTGGTCAGTGTAACCTCCTCCTTGATTGCACATTTAAAGTCTCCTGCGTAAAAAAAACAGATAATGGAATCAACAAGCTCCTTGACATACCAAACACTCTGACATAAACTGTGATAGAGTGATCGTTTGACAGGATAAATTCAAATAGATGAAGAGTCATCTCGTCTTCTCTTCTCTCACCCTCTGTGTGTTGGTAGTCTTCTGCCCAGTGGTAACAGCCAGGTTGAAACATGGATGTGATTTTATAAAGATGACTGAATCCAGTTTTGGACTCATTTACCCAAATGAAAGTAAACTCATCGTCTGTTGTTTGAATAAACGGATAGAAGATATCATGGACCTGAAAGAGGAATAGAGTCATATGATCATATCTTACTCGGCAGGAACATTAACAATCATAGGGATTCGTTATTCAAAAGTGGGATGGAATTAGGAAACAGAGGATGTTATGTTTCAAACCCACATTTATCCAGACGTCTGTAGTTTCTTCGTAGATTACATGTGGCTGAGTGTTACTGGGTATGGCATCCAGACTCTCCTGCCTCTGAGCGGGGTCGTCTGTAACAGGGATGAAGAGGGCCGGAGGCAGCAAGACCAGCTGGAGTTTCCTCTGACTGCGGTCCAAGAGCACTGCCCAGCCACTAGGGGGAGACAGAGCCGAGGAAAATCTAAAGTTAGCTTAAAATGCAAAGACTGCGTTACAATGTCTCTAATGGCACCATGAAAATAATGACAAAACAAAAAGCCATCCAAGAGAGAATGTTATCTGTGTCAATGTGTTCCTCCAGCAGTCATATGACTTTGCTGTTTACATACTGGAGGTTTATTTTGAGTCACTGAGTCAACAGAATCAGAGTTTCTGACTCGAACACTCACTATTTGCCGTCACTTGTCCATCCCACTCTGGCGATGTATTCTGTTCCAGGAAACAAGGAGCTGAACGGGACTACCAGTTCTTTATCTTGTGTGCTAACAATCTGAAAGTGAAACCACAAAAACACACATTAGAAATCAACCGTACACTAACTTAGAGAAGAAAACCGACAAAGAACGAAGAGAAATGTAAAAATAAAAAAGTCTTACCCTCCCTTGGTGATCTGTCTTGATCTCTGCTAGTTTAAGGGTAGCTTGAGGGTTTTTACTACCTGCAAATTAAAAAAAAAGAACACAAAGAAAATAAATCAAAGCAATGTCCTAATCCTGTGTTTGTCTGTGTGCACAGTAAATAGAGCAGCACTCACCTGTGCGGGGGTATCTGTACGCATCTGCTTTCCGCTCTTCTAGTGCTGGAGATGGGACATGAATAATCTCTACTTCTGTCTCATCCACTTCTTCATACAGCAAGTACACCGTTTTACCTCCATCAGAGTCTGGCAGGGTAGAAAAGAGATTTACAGTGTCAACAAAAACAGGCACATAATTCAGCACATCTAGTTTATTCTGCACTTACAAAAACACATTTAAAGACCAGGTAGCACTGGCTGTCAGGTTATTTAGGCTCATGGAGAATATGAACAACTTGAGCATTTAAGCTGCAAATGACTGACCTTCAACTGCTGAGGGACTCCACCAGTAGCCGGTGAAACGGTCAAACTCTTCTTGGATGACAAATGTTGCCACACCTGCAGACTTGGGGTCCTCTTTTACACTATCCACACCTGGTAAAAAAAAAGAAAACAAAAGTTAAAAAGCACACATCCATGTCCTGTTACATTTCATATCATAAAACTGCATCTCTGATTCTCCGCTACAGAGTTCGACACTATGCAGTTACACAAACTGTGAAGCTGTTATACAACTTTTTTATGCCTATTCATAAAAATTCCTGAGCCTCCAAACCTTTGTGGCAGTAAGTGAGTCTCCTCTCCTCCCCCGTCCTGATGTGAGCTATCCACAGGTCATTATTGTTGATGAAGGCTATGAAGTCAGGGTTAGCGGGGCAGATCTTGGGGTCCATGCGGGTCCCTGAGCACTGGGTCTTGATCTCTACTGGCTTTACAGGAGCAGACTGCTAAAACCAACATGAACAGTCTTAGTCAAGGGCAAACAAAACTTTGAATCCAAAGTGCAACAATAAAGGAGAGACCTGTTAGATGCAAGTGCTGACTCAAATTAAATTTTCCCACAGGAGGTGCTCTTTGGGGAATATAATCCCCAGGATTTTAGAAATCATAGATGTTTTTGTTTCATGCACACAACAGTGAAAATGACAGCTCTTTTAAAAAACGCTGACGTTTCTCACTCTTGGTTCAAACACAAAATTCAAACAAAGAATGTCCAAGATTTGAGCAACATTTCCCACCTGTTCTTTGCAGTTTTTTTTAATCAAATTGTGTGTCACTGAATGTTTTCCCAGTCCAATTTGATGTGGTATACATAGGTTGCATACTTGTTACAACCCTCTACACTTAAGGGAGAATAAGTAGAGGAACACCATAAAACAGGGTCTGAAAGTAGCTTCTGTTTGATGACACCTTTCTTGTCTTTGCCGCTAGCTGCTAAATGCTGCACAAGTGGGTGCAACAATGAGTATTGTATCCTAAATTATGTTTACTTGCAGATTATTGCAGGCTCTGGATTACCATCTCAAAAAGAACCGGCACTTTACTCACAATGAAGCCGTTGTTGCCTCCATCCTGACAGTAGAAGAGACTATTGCTGGCCTGGAAGAGGAACAGGCCTGTTTCTGCATGGTAATCATAGGAGGTGATACCAAACGCTCCCAGACGTTTACGCTCTCTAAGCAACTCCTCCTCTCGAGAGTAGGCCCCCTGGTGTGGTGTAGCCTTGATGAAACAGCACATGTTCATATTAGATAAATACTTTCAGAATAATCTGTGATTTTCCTGCAAAGTATAAAAAAATAAACACTTCTACGTATGTCAGACATAACCAAATGCAACTAATTCAGTCCCAGTATAATGTTTTTTACAATTTAAGTGTTTTTCTTGTGGTTCATGGTTGCTTTTCACTGTCACAGCATATCTCAGGTTTCTAAAAACACAACACTGCTACATCTTCAGGGAGCACTTATAGTAAAATGTGCTGATGCCAGTTAAAAAAAAAGCTGTAGTAGAGTTTTGAAGAGCTGCTTTACATCAAAACATATTCCAAAGATTCAAAAGTAAGTGATATGATGGTGCTGTGAAGATAACCTTCAATGCCCGAGTTAAAAGCCTCTTTGAACACTTGCCTACGCTTAAGTGAATGAGTTAATTATGCAGTGGATAGAATTAGGTCTAGAGCAACGAGTGCAGTTACGCTTTAAATAGGACCGTTCAAACATCACTCCATGCTGTCTGTTGTCGTTCTAAACAGCATGAAACAGAGTTTACCTGAAAGTGATCAAGCATCTGTTTCCACGACAGCACTAAGAGGGCCTCTTTCCTGATCTTCTTGGGGATTTCTGAGTAAAGTAATGAGTTCTCTCTGCTACCATAAGGCATTCCTGGAAAGCACAAAGAAAGCCAACTTATGCATTGTAAAAGAGGTGTTTAGAAAATTCAACACAGAAGATGTTTAGGTATCATTATCAGCTTACCGAGGTAGTACAACCGATGGGAGTGGGGTCCATTCTCATCCTTTTTCTGCACAAATTGGAAGTCGTGGGGAGCCTTGTTGGCGATCATCCCTGAGTACTTCCTGCTACAGTGGATGATGTCACGAAGGCCCTCCCAAGAGTGTTTCTCCACAAAGAACTGAGTTGGGACATCCTCCATCTCCACCACCTCTGTGCTGTCCGAAAGGCCGTCCACAGCCGTCATGTTTACTGTCACACAGCTGGATGTTGGCATAAGAAAGAAATGAACAAGACTTAAAAGAAATACAGCTACACCTGCACTTGAATAGAACTCGTTTTAATATTAAAAAATCAAAGCTCTTAACATTTAATTTATACTGTACCTTTTCCAGATACCTTCTTTAGTGTCACAGAGTTTTACCTTCTTGACTCTATGCATTCACTGGTCAACACACCTCACACCAACTCTGTAACCTATAGACAAAAGTAGAGAACTGAGATGCGAGATGTTCAAATACAGTTGCCCATCTTGTCTTGGGTATTGGATAAATGGATAAATATTCATATGACAAAATGATGATTGAAGTTTTACCTGACTTGTCAAAAAAACAAAACACTATTGATGCAGGGACTAATTTAGTGGCCAACACCTGATACATTTTTGCTGCAGTATTATAACAACTTTTATGGGGGTTACTTGAAGTACCTCAATTAAAATAGCGTATAAGGTTACGAACACACTTGTGCACCTGGAACCTTTCATTTCTGCTGCTAAGACATTTATAACTCACCACAGTCTAACACAATGGTCACGTTGTATTGTGAACACTTTTAAGTACACTGTATCACTCCCATGAAACCATGTATTTGAAAACCACAGCTTGGAATGACAAAGGCGGATCATAATTCTTGTTAATCTCTTATTTGTGAGGCGGAAAGTAAAGCACATGGTAAAGGGAATACCCCACATTCTTTCCTTTATCCGAATGTGTTGGGTGAAGGATTAGCATGACGCAAACAGCAGTGAGGAAATTCACATACTGTGGTTTCTATAATCCTGTGTATGTTGTTAACAAAACAGCAGGAGTTTTGGTCTGACATTTGTCATATATTCATTCATCATTACTGATTGTTTGTCTATTGTGGGTTCTGTTAAGCTTTCAATTCTTTTGCTACAGGTGGCTGTGATGTAGTGCCTACTTCCACAACCATATTGTGCACAGTAAATACCTTAGTTATGGGAATGAAAATGATAGTGGATATGCAACAAATCTGTTTACAGAGGCAGAATGCTTTTCATGATGCCGAGTTAACACAAGCATGACCTTGAAAAGAAAAAGTCTGAAAAACAGTTAGGACATTAGATTAGATAGAACTTCATCGATCCTTTTGGGAAATTATAATTGCATCAGCATCAGTATATACAGAAAAAAAAGAATCATCAAATAGGTAAGAAATAAAATGCAATATATGTAAGGAATACAGATATAATAAACCTTCAGATAATTTAAAGTATTTACATATAAAAAGTAAGACATAAAGGTTTGGACATCTGTACAAAACTATTTCTTTCACTGCTCCTGCAGCATCTTCCCATCTTGTAGGTCAACTTTGACTTTTTTTTGTTTTTGTGTAAAATTGTATTCATTTTTTAGATTGTATTTAGGCAGATGCTTCAAATAAGCTCTGAGTTTTCTGCCTCTTGCTACACTATCTATCTATCTATCTATCTATCTATCTATCTATCTATCTATCTATCTATCTATCTATCTATCTATCTATCCATCCATCACTGTCTTATTAGGTAATTTCTAACTGTGAAAATAAAATAAATACATAAATAAAAACCCTCTGTCCTCAGTTGCTTTTCCTCCACAGAGAGGACTTGTACAGTCTGATGGCATGAGGGGAAAAGGAGATTACACCACTCCTGTTGTTAATAGTTAATTTTAAACTTTGAAGGGCAGCCTTGTATATAACGGGGCTCAAAACACTTACAAACATAATATTACCTAAAATTGAATCACCAGTACTTTAAAGAGTCAGTTCAGTTACACTCAGTTTGCCGGGCTCAGCTGTCACCCAGTGTCTGTATGAGTCTATGTGATGTGTGAAATGGTTGGGTATTTACAAATTAGTCGGTACATGCAAACGTTAGGACTTCCCTGTTAGTGCAGCTGTACAAGAGACAATTTGAACATAAGAGACACCAGCTTCCCAAAACGTAAAGAGCACCTGGGTAATCTAATCAACCCAATACAACAACTCCACCACAAATTCTACTTTTAAGGAACTCCTTTTTTTATTTTTGTTGACATGGTCAGAGGGGTGCCGATTGTTAATTAAATGCTATAGTTGTGGTTGGTATTGAGGGTGCTGGAGTACCTTGCATTGAAAGATGTTTCTTCCATTATGCTTCCAACATGTTTGCAAATTAGGGGAAAATATAAGAAAAATCTTTTAAGCCAATAGATATGCAACAGTCTAGTCGTCTTCGATATCAAATAGTACAATAATCACCTGTCTGATAATGTTAACATAAACTTCCTGACAGTAGAATTTGTGGTAGAGCCGTTTGTGTTTGATTACATTGGATTGTCTTCTAAACCTTATGACTGCTCGATAAGTGTAAAAATAAAAATAATTTCATCACTCCTAACATTACAACAGTAAAGGCCCTAGTTGGCTCCGCAAGTTACCTAAGAACAAGTTAGCTTTTAGCGGGCATATTCTAAGAGCAGGGGTCAGGGAGGGAGATTTGTAAAACACCGGTGCATTTCACAGTAGCTAGCCTACAAAAGATCTTTGTTCTCGGATTTCAAGTCCCCACTCTGCCCCTCTGAGGAAAACACCGGCAAATTAAAGCCTGTCAACATTTTTAACGGCTCTAACATTCATTACACAAGCAAGTGAAAGACAAAAGTCCAGCCCAGAAGAAATGACAACCATTAAACTTTGTCTATGTGTGAAAATTGTTGATTATCAACATTTTGACATGACAGCTCCCTTCTGTCAGTTTCGCTCTGAAGCTAACAGTCGCTAGCAACCTAGCTAGGTTCAAGCTAGCCGCTAGTGAGCGGTTGCTTGTATTTCTCAGATAACAGTCGCTTAAACGACCGTCCACACAAAACAGGTTTATATTAAGGTGTCTACTTACCAGTCTGGCTAACGTTTCTTTAACCAAGTTATATAATTTATTAGCTCGGTGTCAACAAAAAGACTGTGTAACTGCCAAAGGTTGTATCCATGGCCCAGGGTGGCCACACACAAAATGTAACGGGCTTCAGATCAGAGGAAGGAACCTTCGCTCTTGTGGAGTACACACCGGGACTTTTAGAAGGCCGCACCGCATACTGAGGATGCGTCAGCCAGACGGCTCTGCGCAAAGTGAAGCAGAACAGGACCATCATCTTGATAAAGGCTCATTTTCACTCTAGTTTTAGGTTATTATTTAACATTCGGTACTCGAGTGTTTTCACAGACTTTAGACAAGTAATCTCCTTTCAGATTAGGAGGAATTTGATGCCGAGGGAACCAGTTATTTATCCAAAATGATAGACGTCTATTTATATAGGAGCAGTTATTGGAAATACTGTGTTATCAACATCAGCAGATAAAAGCTTAAAAAGATCATTACTAGTGTCAAATTTTAGGTCTTCTCATGATTCTTTGCTATTAAAAATGCACATATTGTACAGAAACAGTTTACAATAAGGTTTACTGATGCAATGACTAAAATTATAAGAGTTCAGTAAAAAATGCCATTAAAATCAATACATTTATCATATAACTTAACCATTGTTATTTGGATTCTTAGAAAAAATAACACATTCTCACACAGTAAAACAAACTCAGGACATGGTCTGTAACAAGTGCAAAAGAAAAGTCTCGAAAACTTTTCACAGATATCTAAAATTCTGCAGCAGTAATGGGCCAATTAAGTGACCCATTCATTATGCACATACAGTGACAGCCTCAGTGTGTCCCCAACAGGTTCACATGGAAATATTAAGTTTCAGAAACAGTGATATAGCTATTTGGAATACTTAAATATAGGGCTGGGCAATATTGGAAAGAAAATTTTTCACATCAGTTGACATCAATATCTCACAATATAAAAAAAATCACTCTTACATGAAATTTAACATTTCTAATTGGTAGCATGTCTACCAATAGACATGCCGTTAAATTTCATTTTTTTAATATTGTGACATATATTGATATCGACTGATATGAAAAAAATATATATCGTGATAAACTTTTTCATATCGCCCAGCCCTAACAAGGCATATTGGCCTAGTTTCATATTGATATGGAGGGAAATTTATTTTTGATATACGTCATCACTTATTGCCCAGTCCTACTTATATATTGCACAGGTGATGCAACAATAAAAACACACTAACTCCATCAATTGGAGAGTGTGTCAACCTGACCAGCATTATCTTCTCAACAGATGAAAACTTGGGTCCACCAAAAACCAAAAAAAAAAGAGGCCTTAACTTCATTCAGCTGACCACCAAAAATTGAAGGAGTAAAACATTAAATGGAATTTGTTTCAAATAACAAACCTCTTGGCAGTGAAAGATGTTAAGTTTACATGAAACAGATATTTAGCAGAATCACATCTTTTTCTAGTTAAAATAACCTTGTTGTACTATATTTTAACAGTCTATTCTCCATATAAAAGTCAGTCATCAATATTTGATAACCAAAACACCTCAAAAATCCATTTTAAATCTGACTTTAACCTTTTAAGTTAGTACCCATGCCTCTCAACTTCTTTTGAACAAAAGATAAAAAACAAAGCAGACAAGTATTTTTGGAGCAACCCTTTTTTTTATTTATACAAAGAATACAGCCATTCTACTTCAGAGGGATGAAACGAGAAGAATGTGTGGCTCCAATACCGGGGCGACCGTGCTTGACTGGCTTGTAGGTGATGGAGAACTCACCCAAGTAGTGTCCGCACATCTCAGGCTGTGGAGAAGAGAAATGAGTTAGTGACAAGACCAATACTCCAGCTATACTAATAGCTGTAAATCAAAACACTAGATCTGACAGAGGAAAGGCAGGCTGTTTATCCCTGTTTATGCAGGTCTAGAACTTCCTTTATTTGCATTTAACTGAAAATATTTATCATTCCCACGCACAAAAAAATGCAAGAGGAGTTGGCATATAAAAGGAGTTTGGAATTTATTCAATCAAAGCTATTTCTTTAAATTCTGCATTTAAAGGAACTCAACCTATGTATCGGTTTGAAAAATCTAGTGTCAGAAAGGAGCTGTGTTTCACACCAACATTCCTATTTGTCTTACTGCTCTGAAAGATTTAACCGCTAAGGGACTTGCATTGTTCAAGGGTACTGGGGCAATGCCAAAAATGTCAAGTAAAACCTCTCCAACAGAGTCCACACTACACTGAAAGATGCCACTTCCAAAGATAAACCTTTTTCAAAGATCATCTTTGTTCTCCATCAGTGTTGAAAAATACATAAGTCTTCTCACACAACAAGGTAAAGGATAAACTCCCAACTGCCCAGACATCAATTTAATTTATGTTATCAATTAGTGTTATGTGCAGCGTTCCCAAGTAAGCAGCAATTCCTATAAGGATAAGGTTTTAGGTAGATGCATTAATCGTTGCAACCAGCCTTAGAGACAAAGCACGTTGCACAACATTCTCTTAAGCCTTCCCACCAAGCTGACCAACAACCCCTCACCTTGATTTCAACCTGGTTGAAAGTCTTGCCGTTGTACACTCCAACCATGGACCCGACCATCTCAGGCAGGATGACCATGTCCCTCAGGTGAGTCTTCACCACCTCGGGTTTCTCCATGGGGGGAGCTTCTTTCTTTGCCTTGCGCAGGCGTTTAAGGAGGGACTGCTGCTTGCGGCGCAGGCCACGGTTCAGCCTCCTCCTCTGGCGGGCGCAGTACAGCTGCATGAGCTGCTCACTACACAGGAAAGAGGAGGACGATATCAATTAAATCCACCATTAGCCTTAAGATAATAATAATACATTAATTTCGAACAATGCAAACCCAGTAATATTTAAAACCTGGTGATAAGACATTTTTTGACCCTGTGCAACAATCAAAAATAGTTGCACCATGAATTCTACTTTTACTGAACTTTTATACATTTTCAATCTATGTTTCCATGATCAAACAGGTAGTAATGGTCCTTTGTACTTATTTTTGAAGACAAAGGGTGGAGGTGGTGCACTGTTAAAATTAGACATTGTGGAATATCAAACCACTCAAATAATGTTTAAAGCTAAAAATAATAATCTACCAATAAATATACAGAAATCATTGAGTATGCGCGAGGAAAGTTATTATTTAAGGGGGAAAATTAACTTAAATTCAGACAAAGAGGAAGGATTTTTGTGTTTCAGTGAGTGGGGTGAGACTATGGAAGAGGTTTTCCATGAAATTAAAGCAATGTTTAAACATGACAGTTTAAAATGAGGTATAAAGAAACCATTTAAGAGGTACAAGGATGAGGAAGGTGTTGGGTAGCACTAAGTGTTATGAGGTTATTGTTTCTTTTGTTTTGTTCAATCTTAGTTTTGTTTCTTTCTGGTTTTATTTTGTTTTGTTGTTTTTATGTGTGTAGTGGTGGATGTAGATTTTGTTTTATAATACAAAGTCATGGACGTACTTTATCTAAAAAAATCTGGTACATCTAAACAAGTTGCAAGGCAGCTTGGTGTGGGTACTTGTTTGGAGGGAAGGGGTGGGCGTTCATAAGTTATTCTCTTCTCACTCCTATTCAAATATGTATTTCTATGTTTTACGTTTACATGTTTTGCTTTACTGTCATTTTATTTTTTATATTTTGGTTTGCATATTCGAAATAAACTTCAACCAATCACTATACTGTATTTTGTCCACTTCATTACCTCACATGGGGGCATAAAACATTGGTCACATCTTACAGTATTTCAACAGTCAAACAACAATCACCTGTCAAACCACATCAACAAAGATAGAAGACGCCAAAACTGAGGCTGTGTAGTACTCTATCGAACACAATTTTGTGTTTCCTGTGCAAGGAGATAAGTTACATTCATTTCCACCTGGCTTGACATACTGCAGTGCCTCTATCTGACCTCTGATCTCCACTTAGCACATCATCAGGTAAGAGGTTCTACACTTACTAGGACATGTCCAGGAGCTGGTCCAGGTCCACACCTCTGTAGGTGAACTTCCTGAAGGTACGCTTCTTCTTGATCTCGGTATCCGCCTGAAACAGAAAAGCATCATCCTAGCTTAGTATGTTAGCCTAAAGGCTACAGGATTCCCAAGGATCACCACTACTGTTTAACCCACGAATACATTGTCATGAGTGGACTGCAATATCTGAAGCACATAACCCTTGGCTTGGAGCAACCAACACATTCACACATCAGTTTATTAACCCACTCGCACTGACTTCGTTCTTCCACCGGGTTAGCTAAACCACAAGCGGACATAGCTTAGACCAATTTGGAGTCTGGTACAAAGGTTTATACGAAATTCCAAGCAACGATTTCTCTTTAAACGTATAGTAAATGTGTGTGACAGTCCGATTATGTGAACAGCTTATAAAAACAGTGACAGTAGAACTCGGATGTCTAAGGATTGTAATTTGACTAGCGCTGTAGTCAATCTTCGACCTACCATCTTGCCTGATGTTCCGGGGAAAAGAACGGGCCGAGATCTCGTGAGGGCTGATATCGCGCGATTTCACAGAAACATCCGGTTTTGTCTTCCGATGTCACTCCCCGCTGTGACCAGCAGGTGGAGTAGTCATCTAACAAGTACAGTTACTGTGCAGTGTCAAGTTTCTTAGCAACGTGTCCTTTTCTTGAAATCGTTTCGATGCAGAACTTTTCACTGTGTGACTGTTTATGAACAAGAGAAAGACGAAGGGACAGTTTGTGAGTTTAAAAAAATCACATGTCAAGGACGGAGAGTGACACTTAAATGAAGCCAAGAGGTTGTTCTTTGCTATTTTTTTAAGTTGCTGTTCGGTAAAAAATTTAATAAAAATAATAATAATAATAATAATAAAACGTTAATTTTTTTCCCAATAGGAATGCAAATTTTGTCGCATGCTTTTATTTTTTCTAGTTCTTGGCATTAGCATGACATAATTTGATTATATGGTTTTTATCCTACTACCCTAAACTATTGAAAAAAAGTTTTTTTTGTAATTTATCTCTTTCATTTAAGAGTGTTCCTCAGACTTTACTTTGAGAGCACTGTACAAGTGTACCAAGAGGTTTAACATCTTTAACATCTGTGACATCCCTTGGGAAACCTGATGCCGTGGGATAATCAATCACAATTACACAGAAGTTTCTCTCTCTTTTTTTCATCAGTTTTAGGCCTATAGATGCATGTTTTTACATGTATTTTCTCTCAGTCTTTATGTAAAGCCACTTTTCTTCTTATGGACACCTTATAGGCTTTTACAAAAAGATGTATATACCATCTCTTATTTAGTCTGTACTCTGGATGCAGTTTTAGTTGTTTGTACAGTCAAATGTTATTAACTCTCTTTTCAAACAAATGTTGCAGTTAGATTATATAACATACAACCTTTTTTGCAAATTTGAATGATTTTCATCTCCTTTTAAAATCTTAAGACTAGACATCACTATGGCTACAGTACAAGACTTCTTATGGTTAAATTATGCGTTATCAGACACATACAGTGTTATTCTTGTATAGCAAAGTTAGAGTGCAAGCTTATCTAAGAGCTTATGTTTCATAATCTTTCCTGTTTTGGTAGCTCATCAGTTATCACTTTTTCTCTGAAAAATGCACTGTCATGACCGAAAGCAGTTGTTACTACATAGGTATTGGTCAATGCCTAAAAGATAATTTAGATCTAGTTCGAAAGTCTTCATCCACACACAAACACACCACATTCACCATATTACAAACATAATGAACACGTTAATGAATACACATCTTTATTACATCGTATTCACAGAAACATATTCAATTCAAATATTTCTTTTTCCGCTGTTATACAGATTATTCCAGAGGAAAAAGTATAGTCCAATACCAAATGTTATTCAAAGTCAAGGTAAAAATAAAAAACAACCCCCATTTAAATCACAAATGTGTATAAATAACAGTGACCTAATATAATTGAAGGATTGGTCTGCATGTCAAACAATATTTAAGAATAATTCACTTCAACGTTATTCACTGACAAAAAGAATCCAGTATTTGTGCTTGGAATGTTGAAAACTTCACTCGAGTATTATTTTATCCTCCCCCACCAGCCTAAATCCAAAGAAAACAAGCTGAACTCCAGTTGGACTGGTTATACAAACAGAGGAAATATTTCCTCTATTAAAAACGAAATAACCGAAACGAGTGAGAGAAGAGGCAGAATGTTAATAAGTGGTTTGTTCTATAGGAATAATAAAAAAAAAAAAAAACTGTCTTTATCCATTTTGTGCACTTCACTGTTTGAAAACCCAAACTGTACACTACTGACTGCCAGTGAGCAATACTGAAGTAACTGCTGAAAAAAAAAGACAATGTACATTCTTATTCAAGGGAATGACATTGTTTACACTGACGGTGCAGCTATAAGAGAAAAACACAGGAATGGTTGTTTCAATTACAAAAAGATGTACTATATCAAAAACTGCTTTAAAAAATCATACTACAGTTTCACTTTTGGTTTTATGTTGCCCTTACAATAAAAAATCCAAAAGGATCTCCCTTAATAATGTAACTGATGAGTCAGCGAAAACAACTGAGTCAAACAAACTGGGCTTTGGCACGTTAAAAAAATCCCTGTGATAAAACTGAGACCAAAAAAGATTGACTTCTTTTTTTTTTTTTCTTTAAATAAAAACAAAAATAATCACAGAAATACAATTCATCATGATATGTGTGTGACAAAAGGTTTTCCACAAATGGGGTAAAAAAAAACAACAGTTTAATACAATACTAGAGAGGATATGACCAAGAGAAGGGCTCAACTCAACATCCTACAGATATAAAAATAAACCACCTGGAGTGAGGTCTTCTCGCCTCCTTTATTCAACCTCCCTTTTCCTTCCTCAGCTCACTCCTGTTTTAATAATCCGTCCCGTCATCTTGGTACACCTGCTCCTCTTCCTGGTAGCCTTGGTAACCCTCATCTTGGTAATCAGGGATATATTCGTGGGCAACGCCTGCCCCATTTTGATCCTCGACAACCTCTCCAGCTTTAGGACAGTACTTGGCGTCATATATCTGCCGGCCTAGGCCAAAGTTCTGACCGCTCTGGTTGGCTCCCTGGCTGTAGCCCATCTGTAGAGACATGGTGCTGTTGTCACACTTTTCTGTGCCCAGCTTCTTGTCATAGATGGCACGCCTTGTCCCTGGAGCTGTCATCCCAGCCTGAGTGTACACAGAGGGAGAAGAAAACAAGGGTTACACACATCAGTTTTATTTTGACATCATACCGGTTATGCAACCGTTGCTGTCCTGTTTAAGCAGTTCTGTTGTTTCAGGAGTGCTGATCCAGAGTTTGATTTCCACCAGTGAAGGCAAACTGTGCCATACAAGACTAAACATGACAGAGGTTTACAGCAGTGGAAGGACGGGAAATGAGCAGTGCCCCAGGCATGTTTCCACTTGAGTCCCAGAATATTGGATTTATGAGATGTGGGGAGTACGCTGCAGTACCTGGCTTGCCCCTTTGTTGGTCCCCATCTGCAGGCTGATGGTTGTGTTGTCCTTTGGGGGCTCGATTTTTGCTTTGGGGTCGTACAGGTGCCTCCTGGTGCCGTATGCGTTCATACCTGTCTGACTGGCACACTTGTTGGTCCCCATCTGAAAACAGAAAGAACAGTGAGACCTTGTATTGTTTGCTAGCTGCACTTTCAAAGTTAAAGACAGTGTTGAAATGTTGTCGCACAATATATCCCTGCATTCTTCATGTGACTGACAGTCGTCACTCTGAAACCAACATATACTTGAAAGTTTCGGTCCTGTGACTCCACGTAGAGTCGGCTGTCAACAGTAAGTGGGTTTGTGAGTTTCTTCACTGTTTAGGTAGCCCTCATGTCTGCATGAAATCCGTCTTGGCAACAGAAACAATAACACACACAGAAGCTTAAGAGGCAGAGCGAACAATGAGCAGCACTTATTCTGAAGTATGCTGTGCCTGACATGAGATCATGACAGTCTGCCCGGTTTCGCAATAGTTTCACCTCATACAGCTCAGCTTTCAGAGCATGTGATGCACCTCACCTCTGTCGGGTCCGAATGCCATATTAATGAGCTGTCATTTGATTTTCGTTATCAGTCTTTCGCTGTAGGATGCATTTCTTTCTTTGGCTTTGAAAAACTGTCATATGGTTATTGGATAATTTTATCAGTTACAGCCATGAAGCTCACTCTCAGACATGCACGAACACACAGTTTGGTAATCTGAGAGGTTAACACAAAGGAATGTGATGTTATGGGGATTTTGCAGCTTTGAGTTTTTCTGGTTGGATAACAGAGTATCAGATAAAGTTGCTGACTCCCTTGAGATTTTTAACCCTTCTTCGTACTCAGCAGTCTAAAAAATGTATAGATGTGCTATATATACCTGCAGACCAATGACGCACTGTCCAGCCTTCATCTTCTCGTCATCAAACATCCTCTCTGCTTTGTCAGCATACTTCACCCCTATGTCCACCCTTGACTGGCAGCCCTTGGTCTTTGCCTGAGAAACAAGATGGTTAAGAAGTTAATTCAGCTGCATTCAATCATCCTGTCAATTCAATCATGCACCATGGAAACAAAGATGGGCATTTGTATAACAAGTTCCATTAGAAACGGGCGAGTCTCACCATGCTGGCGAGTGCAAGCAGTGTCGTCTGGACTTGCGTCATGTTTCCATTCTCAAACAGGTCATTGGCTTCAAAGATGTCATGAGGCTTCAGTCCATAGGTCTTGATGGCTCTGGTGAAGTTTGTCAGATTCTCCAGCTGAAACAGCAACATATGCAAAACAAGATCAACAACTATGTGTGCAGGATTAAGAGCAAGAGCACTGGGATTATTCTTCTTTGCATTCCACTTTGATTCAGATGCGCTCCTGTAGCTTTAAAAAGCACTCAGCCCTTCTCTAATGAGGGAGTGTGTTTACAGAGACCAGTCACACCTCCCAGGAAACCAGTTTGAGAGGCAGCTTGAGCAGTGGCTCTAAAACAAAGGGAAGTTTGTGACTCTGACAATAAGTAAAGCCATGAGTTAGCATGATTCAGTACCTGGACATTTTGACATGTAAGAAACACAATGCCACTATTAGTTAGCTATGTGCAAAGGTCAGTGTCCTTACGGGTTTCAATGAACTGGTGCCACACAAAGAAACTCAATGTAACCGCACCCTCAATTGATGTCAAATCTACACGTCATTGACTTACTCACCTGATGCCAGTTCAGTGATGATTTGTTGACTTTTTTCACAGAGTCTGGGGCAAGTTTGTTGATAAGTCTGAAAGGATAAAAAGAGTAAAAAATTTTAGATTGCATTATTTAGAAAAGATGTAATTCCAGTGATGGTTTCTCCTGTGATTTGTGCTGCTTACTCGCACAGGATGACTCCATCCTTCAGGCCTTTTTGAAAGTCAGGCCCGATAGAGGTGCCAGTGATGTCTTCAATCCAGATCCTCAGCTCCTCCTCTTTCTGAGAGTCATACTTCTGTGCGATCTGGTTGGGCAGAGAGAGGTCAAAGGTCAAAATTGTTCCACTAGCTAAGTCCAGTTAAGAAAGCACAGTTTGTTTGTTTTTTGTTTACTTTTTTTGTCTGCAAAATGCCACTTAAAACTTGTATTCATCCCACTACTACTATGAATCAGTGTCATTGATTAAACAGTAGGGATCATAAAACACACACTGTGTCATGAACCTGCTCAAAGGTTTGCTATGACTTCATCTAATCTTATGTCAGGGTCACCTCTGAATGTAACTTTACCCCAGTGTATTATGATATGTCTACAGAGAGGGTTTTGTCTCTCTTAGCCCTCATAAATAAAGGTGACACTGACGCGACAAAATACACACTCTAAATCACACACACGCACACACACACACGGATATCCTGTTTGGTAAACTGCTAAATTCTCCTGAAACACAGGAAGGCAGTAAGTTCAGAAAAAGGGGGAGGAAGGGAGAGCTTTACGGGTCTTAAAGCAGCACAAAGATTGACTTTCTTGCAGGGGTGTTACTCTTGAGGCGTTACTCAGATTTATAAGCCTTTTTTGATTGACGGCAGAAGTGTGAGAAACACGCTACACTGGCTCAGAAAGAGGCCATTCAGGAAGAGCATTATGGTCACGTAAACAACAGTCACCAAATCAGGCAGCGCTAGAAACAGAAACAGGTATGGATTTCCTCTCCTCCAGCGAGGAATAAGGTGTTGACTGAGCTTCGTGCAAACTCACAAGCAGCTAACAATCTCCCTCTGTCCTGAGGGCAACCGAAGAAACCAAACCGCCAAGTTTAGCCTACTATTATACATGGAAGCTTGGCCGCACTGAGCTCACAGCTGGTTGTACTCTTGAGGAATGTCTGTCTTCTAATTATGCTTCTTTCATAAAGTTATCCCCGTATTAAAAACAACTCTAGCTATTTTAATTGCCCACAGAGTATCAGACAGATGTAATTTACAGAGACAAGCTGAACGGGAGGAATTTACCCCTGGATGAAAGAGTGTGTGTGCTTCTGTGTTGTTCCAACGAATGAATGAATTAACACAAAGAGTCTGCAGTGGAAATTTTAAATGTTTTCATCCTTCTCCAAGCTTTTAAAATTTCCTCTGGCTTTAAAAATAAAAAGGAAGGAGGATATAAATCCTCAAATTCCTAACATTTCATGGTCAAGGCTACGTCACCAATGGCAGGAAATACCACTCTAGTCAGCATCACTTTACACCCCCCTCCCTTCAAGGCCATCAAGGGTAAAAAACAGAGTAAATCTAGAGCCTAGGTTTTCTTTACGTCCAGCACATGTTGTTCTGCACAGATACGGGGAGGGGACATGACCCTTTTCCCTGCACAGGAATGCAGAGTGAAGAAAGAAATCAGCTGAAGGTGGGTTAAAGAATCACAGGCAGGAATGAAAGTGGAAACTGAAGATCTCCGTGGCAACTTGGCAAAGACTAGAGATGAAACAGTAATGCACAGACACACCTGTGTTTTTTTAAAAGGAGGAAAGATGCACAGTAACGTGGTCTGAAAGTTTACACCAGCAGCATCAAGTCTAGGATTTCAAGTGGATGTAAATGTGCACAGGCAGATCTAAATAAACAAGGTGCTCTGCTCAACGAGGCCCCACTCAGAAAGTTATACATTACCAACGAAAGGGTCCACTTTGGAGACTGTGTGGTTTGTTTAACTCCTGTCCACACAAGGACGCAATTTTAATGGATTGTGATAAACAAAAGGCCTTTCTATTCTTATCTGGTTAAAGGAAATAAATCACAAGTCAATTAAAAAAGAAGCATGACTGGAGAGGGGGAAGTACAGACATGTTTTTCTATTTTAAAGAGACAATAATGAGACACAAAGGGACAATAATAAAAGTTGGACACAACCAAGTGCTGGAACTGATGAGTGAATTACATTATCTGCTAATGCGGGTCACAATGCTGGGCAACAATCTGCAGCACACTAAACAGAAAAGTCTGGAAACAGCGTGAACAATTTTGCCACAACGACACACTTCTTCTTCGTCAAGAGGGACAACGCCCATACTCTGGTTTTTAGTTTGTCCTTTAAATGAATAAAAAATAAAACTTTATTCTGCTTTTTAGTGTGTTAAACTCGAACACGATTATGATCTGCACGATGTGTGAATGATAAAAGGAAGTTTAATGATAACTTTTAAGTGAGTTTAACCTCTTAAAAAATCTCCAAAAATCACTTGGGACGCCGGTTTTTCATCGCCTCTGTCTACCTTTTAACCTGTGCACGCGCATCAAGATGGAGCCCAGGTGACTCCCGTACTTGACTCCTGTGTTTAGCACAATGACCGGACGATGAGAGGGAAACTTTGGCGTGACTTAAAGCCTTTGATGTATAAAATAATGAATACATACCCGGTTCTTGACCTCCGCTGATAGTCCGTAGGAGGGACCTCTATTAAAGGCGGACATTGTCAAAGAGTTGAGAGTTTTCTCTTTGGGTTTAAAGACAGAAGATCCTGGCTCGTGGATTAAATCTCCGCTAAAATATCTTCGACTTTCTCTTCCAATGAAAACGGAGTGAACTAAATACTTCCTTTCTCTTTTACGGCCGCCAATTAGAGCGCTCCCACGGTTTCTCCAAAGAGAGTCGATGTGAACCAAGAGAAGTCCCTGCTGGTGGTTCACAGGCAAGCGAGTGTGTGGCTAAAAGGCTCTGAGACCAGAAAAAGGGTTCTTGCTTCATGAATATTCATGAGAATGTGTCAAAATCCCCGTCTTTGTATAGGTAGCAATGGCAGAGAGTAGGAGTACAGGTTTGACTCAACCTGCTTAGAAACAGCAGACTGAACCAAGCTAATCTGTTAAATTCGGTGAAAAGCACCGCTGCCATTGGGGGAGAGTGGGGTAAGTTGAGCCAAAGGGTAAGTTGAGCCACCCCTTTGTTGCTTGGAAATGGTAAAAGAAATAAATCATGTGACCAAATATGTAGGAGATGGGCATCAATTCATGGAGTCTGTGAAGGTTAGAAGCACATGGGTGAAGGGGTTAGACATTTATTCCCAAATAAAAAGACAAAAAACATTTTTCACTCTTGAAATTTAGTCTGTCATAAGTTTTATTAGAATTGTGTTCAGACCAAAAAAGATCACTTTAAATTTGTTTTATACATGAATTGTGGTATCTATGAGCTACAACATAAGGTCAAAAACCTAACCTAAAAGTCCACCATTTTAGCTTAAAGTAAGTAAACTTTATTTGTATAGCACTTTTTACAGACAAAAGAGTCACAAAGTGCTTCACATAGACAAAAATAAAAAGATGTACATACAATTAAAAGGCCAAGACAACAACAAACAGTCAAAGTAGCCCTGAAAACAATTAAACAAATACAGTCATGATAGTAGTAGTTCTGGGGTTCAGGGGTAAGTTGAGCCAGTGGTTCAACTGAGAAAGTAAAGGAGTCTGATGAGAGGATCAGAGTTTCAGTTCAGGTTGTTGAAATGTGTTACTTTTTCTTTTCAAAACTACAGCTGTGAATGTTCTGAACATTCTCATGTTAAAATGACTTTTAACAAAACAGCTTTTTAGCAGTTATATGCATTAATAATAATAAATTATTGTACCAGTTGAATAGCGTATATAGATAAAAATACACATGAATGTGAAGAAGTGACTGTTATTTAGGGAGAGAGAAGGTAAGGGAGGGCTGTGTGTGTGTGTGTGTGTGTGGGGGGGGGGGGGGGTATGGTCAACATAACCCATACACAGGGTAAGTTGACCATAGGAGACCACTTTTTTGGCATGCTATATTATCAAGACAGTTATGTTTACACTTTTTCTGTTGGTTTGCAGGGATGCACAACATCTTGAAATATATGCAGATACACTAGAGACAAAACTATGATTGCCTTGATGTAGTGATCCAGGATATGAAAAGTGGCTCATCTTATTCCACTATCCTCTATTTGTTGTACATGATCCCAAACATAACACAAAACTGAACTAAACTTGATTAAAGTCCTTACAACAGCTTTAATTATGTTTTAGTTGATTTTGGCAACTCGCATTTATGAGCTGGTGCATGTTCGTCCAGGTAGCTAGTAAAAAATACTTTACTAAAATATTGTGGTCTTAATAAGGAAAAAAAATAAGATTTTAAAAATAAAGTTTTATTAATAAATGAATAAGGTTGCAGTATAAAAAGAGTAAAGTCGATACCATGGGAATTATTGAGATTTAATCTAAGACATAATATTATGAGGATATAGTACTTAATGTTAGACAAAGTAGTTAGAAAATAAAGTTGCTCCATTATGAGGTTAAAGTCATACTGATCATTCAGTTATTTGTAAAACCTTCACAAAGTCAATCTGATGGTGCACCATCTTCGTCATTCTTCAATGAATTATCATGAATAATCATCATTAATTATCCACTTTATAACAGCAGTAACATGTGGCCTTATTGACTGCTAAAATCAGGACTTTATTTGTTTAACATGACAATGCTTTATGTCACCCAATGTTACAAACTAAGTATACTTATTTGGGGTTTAGAGTTAAATAGTTTTAGAATAGTTTTATTTTCACTGTTGGTTTTAGGGTTTTAGCAGCTAGATGTTTGCCTGGCTTTTTTTGCAGTTTACTGTATTCTAACACTTACTTAACTGCGTTGTGAACATAATTTGAAACTACTTCATTAAAAAAAAACATCTGAATGAGCAACTGTTGGTTTTGCTGGAGATGCTGCAGCCGTATTTGAACACTGCCTAACAACGTTTCCTAAAAACGGAAGCATGAAGATGGCAGTCCTCTTGTTGCCCCTGTATTCTCTTTGGTTACTCTCTTCGTTAATCGATCCTAGGCTCCACCTTTCCCCTTCTCTTCCTTTGGGTCGCGATAGAAATCAAAAACTCCTTATATGGAAGGAAACTTCCCAAATTCCTGAATGGTGGGAGTGATCCACCGTCCCACCCTGCATACCAGACTTCCAGCGGACCAGACAAATTGTCGCACTTTTTTGAGTCACTGTCGAGAAAAAAAAAAGTTTGGAGTAGCTGCACTAAATCCAGTGAGCTACCGAGGTGACGTAATGTGGGTGCTGTGGTATTTGAGAAAGCAGATAGAGCCTCTGTGTACACTAAAGGATGAGTTAATCCACCACAGAGTAATGTCTGATTCACCACTCATAGGACTGCTTTGCATTTCACTGATAACGGTGATAATCACTGATTTGATTTGGCCAGGGGAACTTTTAGGTTTCTCTTCTTTTATCAAGTCACTTTGACAAAGAAAAGGGAATAAATTATCTGAAGAAAATCGTCTAATGAAATGGGTTAAGCTTCTTCTTCATTTAAAAAAAGATTTGGAAACAACAACCAGAGTAAATTTTTATTGGAAAAATGTAACCCCACATATGTTTATTCTTACAGTTACACCTCAGGTTGAAGCTCTTCATTATTCTGTAATGTAACATTACTCAATGTTTCTTTAAGTACGAGCAGACAGAGAAACCATGGAGAAACTAACATATAGCCCTTAAAATGAAGTTTACTAACTGTGACATGTGCTGTTGTCTCCCCACACCAGCTCTAGTCTACTTATCGACAGTGGGCTTTCCATACATGAAGTGAAGGGGAGACTGAATGTTTGTAAATAAGATGAGATTTTTTTTGTTTTTCATTAAGAACTAGATGGAGTTTAGGTTGGAAAGCTGAAAATAAGCATTTTACAGTGAAATTTTCATTGATATCAAAGCAAAAACAGATTTATGGTGTCTCTGTAAACAGAGGGTAGCTGTGTTTTACATTACTTAAAGCTACTTAAAGGAACTTCCTGTATGCGTTGGTTCCTACAGACAAAACTGTACCTCTTATATCTTTGTTGATTTTCTCCTGGTCATGAGTAGTTTGTACATTCCCAAAAATACTCATGTCCTCTTATGACAGTGTTATATATCTTCCATTGTGACTATATCCTGGTCAGTTCGGTCCCTTTGTTTGTAACTTATACATGTCTCTCCATCTGATTCACACTGATCAGCTGGTCAGGCCTGTGGGCTTCAAAAGAGACAAAAGTACTGTGATTTTTGACAGTGGCAATGACTTGCTGCAAATACAACAGCTCACGAACTGAGGTGCAAATATATCACTATTTACAAAATATCATATCAGTGTCAGTCAAGTTGACTTATTGCCTGCATTATAAACCTGATTACTAATCCTTTAACTTTGATAGCGTCCATGTGTTGTGTCTCTGTACAGTAAACTAAAAAAAAACGAAAAGGCTTTCTGACAGCAAATCAAAGCGTTACAATTGAGTGTACACTTGCGACAACATTTGTGTTAATGTTGGATTTACAAAAGCTAAACAACGTGGTAGACCTGACCCTGTGAGAAATGCATTCACTTGTAACAATCGTACAACTCCACCTCCAAGACCTACAGACCCTTGAAGTTAAAACTCCAGTGAAGAGCCCACCGGTGTCCAGGTTTGAAGATAGCTCATTCATCAGTATTACTTGAATTCTGCTTTGTTACTTTCCAAAAGGGCTCAGGTTATTTTTAAAATTAGTTTGAACCTTAGACAAAACTAGCCAGGTCATTTTGTACACAAATGCAAAGCTTCTCAAACAAGGGTTTAGTGTGTTTCTCAGACATCTTAGTGCTATTAGTCTTAACTATCAAAAAAAGGAAACAAAATAACCTGGGCTATCTGGAGAAAAGACTGAAAGTCACTTTAAGTCTTGGCTGAGTAAGGATAATTCCTTTGAGATGCCCCTTGACAAATCCAAGCTGAAAAAAATGACGTGTTAAATCTTTGTCATTTTAACACGAGCACAGGTGTTTTTTTCCAGCCTGCGGTTATTAAAACAGCTGCATTTTGGGGTATGTTTACCTGGAGATGACGTCACACAGGTGTGCAGAGGGCTGACTCAGAGTCTGAGTATAAACACACCTTGAAGGGATGACAGTACAGTCATCAATGATACCACATATGAGATTACATCAACAGGCTGAGTCAGGGCAGAGTGACGTATATCAAATCATTGAGTCTACTAAGCATTGATCATAACACATGACAGCTAAAGAGAAGAACAGTGCAGATGACAAGGGCACATTTATACAAACCAGACTGTTTCCTTGCGATTGTTATTTACAGCTCAAAATCCTTCTGTTTTATATCGTAAGTGTGAATCTCAAGATTAAAAGACCGTCCATTCCACTTGGACTGAATAATAATAAAAGTAATTAATTAACTTCCACTGATCTGAAATACTGCCATCCCACCTTTGTCATGTCACTGATGTGGACAGAGAATACTGGTAAATGTGCACCCCCACGTGGAAGAACTGGGTAAGTACATGATACTACAGCAATTTACACAGTAGGTTTTAAAACAACAGACATTAAGTATTAAGAGTTCAAACAGACCGGTGAATGTGCAAAGATTATAACACAACAGCATGTTTAAAGACCCACGAGCAAGTAAACTGAGCAGAAGATTTAGATCATTTTATTTTTCAAACAATCGAGAGATGTTAAACACTGAACAAATAAAGATGCCCCAGTCAAAACTCCAGAAAACAGATTCTTATCAACCAGTTGTAGCACTTTTTCCTTTATTGCCAGCTGTGCTGTTGTGCAGTTTTTCATTGTCTGCAGCTTCACCCTCGCTAGATCAGTGTATACAAAAAGTAACAGAAATGGTGCATATACCAGCGTCGTATTGATCACCGGATTTGGAGTTCTTGCATAAACCCCACACCACAGACAGCACAGAGTTTTATATGCAGAAGCAAATCCAGATTTACCATTTACCAAGGCACATTGGTAGGGATGAATGACTGAAATAATATATGGACAGAGAGGCTGCACAGAAGCCAATCTTGATTTAAGTCATGTGAGGAGTGGTAGTGACTGATTTGTAAAAGGAAATCCGAAGTATTAGTTGTCACATGGAAAATGCCAAGAACATCTGATACACACAGCTTTCTCTCTCTTCTGTTTATATTCATTGTATTTAAAAAAAATTGAAGCAAAAGAAATGCTACTTCAATCAGCTTCCTAAATGTGTCTAAATTCTTGGAAGCAGCCACAAAAATATTAAATGTATCTTAAACTCTGAATAAACTATGGGCAGATAAATAGATGGAGCATCAGTCACTATTCACACTTGAATCAAGTCAGTAATGAAATGATCAACAAGTTGTAAAAGTATGTACAAGTGCTTAAGAGGTCTCAATCCTGTACATTCACTAAGGCGGTTTAACTTGGGAAAATATGGGAAAGGATTTCCAGAAGGCAGACGATCTAAAGGAATGGAAACAAATGGAAGTCCTGGCATTCAAAATTCTTTTTTTTTCCTGAATCTGATGCAATTTTTTGATTAACACCATCTGATATTGACATTCTTCAATTCGATTCAGCTTCTCAGGGGGAGAACTGTTATACGGTGAGTGTTTTCTCTTTCAAGACTAACTTTTAAATAGCAACCCATCCGATTTTTAACACACAATTCTTCTTGAGATGCCACGGACATATGGGTGCTGTGAAATGAGCCAGAGAGAGTGAAAGTGGGCGAAGGGTGGAGTATGGAATGTCAATGACCAAATGCATGGGCCAATCTCAAAGAAAGACCATGCGACAAAATCTGTATGCCCCTTCAAAATCGGAGGCTATAAGCTGACAACACTGTGATGCAAACAGGAAAAAAAGGAAAACATCTATAGGCTTCTGAACGTCTGTTTGAAAGGACGTCCCATAAATGAACTGGTCAAAAATAAATAGATGTATACATGATAAGAAATTTATAATTTACTCTTGATATCTCACATAAAGCTTCTTGTAACTGCCAAATATGCTCCAGTACTTCATACCGTGGACATGTTTAGCTCTATCTGTGCTAGATGAACTCTATCAACACCTCTCAGAGCACCAACATGGCGAACTGGACAGGACAGCTAAACCCCAGCCTTCCCTCGAATTTAACGAGTTTGTGATTCTCATTAGAAAATAGAAGGTAAAGAAAAAAAAAAGAGAATTCAGAATCATCCCAGGAAGCCTGAAGCAGAGGTACAACACAGAAAAGACATTGCAATACTATTTCTGGTTTTCTGGGATAAACCAGTCCTCTTTTACTCGCCTTCATTGTTAGTAGCAGTGCTCTGCAGCGAGGGCCTCGTCATTCCTGCAACTTTCATTTTGAAAAATAAAACAGAAACAGCCCTTGGTATTACAACTCAACTATTCTTTTAATTTTTTTTCTATTTTTATACCAAAATCTCAATAGATCATCACAGAAAGAGGAGGAGGCATGGGGCATGAGGGGAAGCAGGTAGGAGTTTAGCAGGCCTGGCTTTTGCCGAACTCACAGTGGACAAACAAAATCACAAAGTTTCTTGTCTCTGTGTGGAGACAGAGACAGGAGTGGAAAAGGACAGCAAACCTTCCCAAACTCCTCAGTCTAGGCAAACATATGGCAGGATGTTTAATTTGCTTTCATCCCCATGAGGGTCCAATGATATGCACTCTGTCCAATCATACCAGGTGCCCTTGGTGTCATAGCAACCGTTCACCCCAGGCCAGTGCTGTGTGTGTATCCTGCCCAGGTCCTCGTCTGTCACGTCCCGGCTCACACCAGGTAAAACCCCTACTGAGCTGTCTGTCTGCAGAACATGAATTTTCCTCGAGTCCTTGATCTCCTGTTCTTCCCTTTTCAGATATTCTGACATGAAAAAGTGTGCACTAGGGGCCTGGACCCCCGAGGAGGTGAGCACATTGCTCTGAAGGTTCAAGTAGGACTGGATGATTTCATTTCTGGACAGCTCTTTCCAGTTTGTCTGATGGAAAGGGTTAGAGCTGGGACCTGGACCTGGACCTGGGCCTGGGCCTGGACCTGGGGCAGGGACAGGGGCAGGGGCAGGGGCAGAGGCTAAGGTTTGGACATGGACTGGGGTATGGGGCGGTTGTACAGTGCTTTCAGTTCTTTGCCTAGACTCTGCAGGGTCAGGAGTTGGGGCTTCCTCTGATTGAGAAGGTTCTTTATGTACCAGAGGTTTTATCTGACCCGTGACAGGGTCAAATGTTAGTCTACGTTCTTTTAACCGTACAGGCTTAGTCGTGTCCTCTATTTTCTGGCCGTCTAAGTTTACAGAGTAGTCTCTTGATCTATACTTCCTCCTTTTATGCTCCAAGTTGGAAACCGTTGCCCCATCTGTGTCATCAGACACAGACATGGCTCCCTCAGATGTTGGTCTGTGCAGTTCTGAATTGAGTGGAGGGTGGGAAGGTGAAGAAGAGACAGATGGGGATTCCAGTGTTGCAGATATGTCTTGTGGTGGGCAATGAGAGGGGACATCAGTCAAACCCGCCCAGTGCATTGAAGACCTATGAGAAGAATGTGGCAGCTTGTCAGCATTAGAGGCTTGGGCTGGGGAAGAAACTGGCTGGGACAAAGACAAGGGAGAGTCCCTGGAGGAAGGGCTTGGGATGGGTGTTCCTTTTGGTGCATATGCTGAGGAGCGCTTGGTCACTGTGTCCTGCTTTATGCTTCTTGGACTGGTTGTGAGGCCACGGGGGCTTTTGGCCTGGTAATAACCCCCTCCTCCTTCATCCAATCGGGCCTGTTGTTGCATCACAGCAGCCTTGATCATAGAAGAAGTGCTAGGTAGTTTGGCCACTCCAGGGGAGCTGGGACGAGGCTTGACAGCATTAACTGGAATTCTGTTAATTTTGTCATTGTCAAGGTGCTCTAAACGTGATCTGTCAGGAGACGGGATAACTTGCTGGTCCAGCAGGGTATCAGGACTGCCTGCAATGCCATTGGTGGGTGGTGGTGACATCGAGTTTTCATACGAAGACAGCTTGGAGATTTTTTCAGGTAAGTGCACTCCACTGTCTCTGTGCTCTGCTCGGCGTTTGCGGCTGCTTGATTTTTCCGCTTTTGGTGAGTATGTGTTGTGGACATCATTTCTAACTTTGACTTCAGGCACACCTTTTCCAGAAACAGAAATGTCAGGAGGGGAGGCATCTGTTCTGCAAGGATGGGAACTGCCATTGGTAGAGCCAGGGGTACTCGCAGACACAGATGGCCCGGGTTCAATCAACTTTTGCCAGTTCCTCAGGAGTTTCTTGGCACGCTTGGCAAGGTCTTCATCCTTGGTTTTCTTCCTCACATCATTGATCAATTTTCCTAATCGAGTTTCCTGTGTAAAGAAGTATAATTATTGGAAACCTTGAAGGAAACATATTGGAAACACTTTTCTTTTCAAAAGAAATTTTCAGTTTCACCATCTTACCTCAAGTGCTTCTTTGGTGATTGGGTACTTTTCAAGACTAGTAATTACCTCCAATACAGCCACCATATTGCATATCTACAAGAGGAAGAAACAAGCATGAAAACTCACAAGCTATTGAGTAATGCAGTGAAATCCTCATTTTACAGAAGCAATGAGTGTTCAATTAGCTTGAATCATGACTGATACTGATATGAGATATATACTGATATATTTTTTCTCCCAACAATTGGACAGTCTAAGTTATTGAATTGAAAGTTAGCTTCTGAATTCACGTAAGAAACATTAGCTCCTCTGTCTGCTCCACGGCGGATCGACGTTTAAAGTAATGATGGCAAAGTGACAACAAAAAAACCGACTACTGCAAACGACTTAGTGTAAAAGCTATAAGATTTAAAGTTATAGAATTTATTTCGAGGGAGCTGTGTATTCTGTCGAGTAAGCCAAACAGCGTTCAAAAGTCGACAGACTTACCTGTGTTAGCAAATTAGGCTAACCAACTTGTGAAGGAGGACTGGGTATTTCCTAAAACGTAGCCATTCATGCTAGCAGTTAGCTACCCACCTCCACACTTCAGCAACAAGGGATTATTAGCGTTTAACAGAACTTAGCAAAACCACGTTTGTCTTTTACATTCAAGTTTTACCTTAAGATAACATAGATATCCCTCGGGCAGCTAACATCATTACATTTCTTTGAACACACTTAACCCGCTTTAGGGTTTTGGCTAGGCTAGTTTAGCCACACAGAGCAGCTAACGGCAGGTTGGTTAGCAACTCTGCAAGTTAGCTGTCAAATGAAGAGCTCAACGTCTCAGTATCTCAGTACCACTTTAACTGATCGATATCAACAAAACTCCTCTATCAGGCATTTTGAAGCTCAAACAACTGACAGCTGTTGCAGTAAACTGTCTTGTCGAGTACGCCGGAATGCAGGTAAACAAGCTAATGTTAGCTACTTAGCCTATTAGCAGCAGCAGCACTCACATTGCTGTGACTGTCGATGGCCTGCAGCAGCCGGTCCCTCATCTGCTGCGGGGTTGCTGAGACCGTTGTCATTGCCTGTTCGATGGGATCCGGTGGATGGAGGGAGGAATCCTCCAAAACGAAAACCAGGTGACAGAGTGGACTCACAAGCAGGTGCGGTCACACGTCAGGCGTCCGAACAGCATATTTTTCAGTCGCCTGGATGGAGACGGCTCGCTTTTCTCACATGGAGATGGAGATGTGTGCGCTGTGTTGACCGTTGGCTGCTGCCTGCTCGGCGCTCTAGCAACTCACTACCAGCTGCTGGATCCCTCAACGGCCTCCTGCTGCATGCTGGGATACGATGTATGCGCTTTGACGTCTGCACGTAGCCAAGTAAACATCACTGGCGTCCACCTACACTCATGGGTATGCCCGTAGAAATACTGAAAGTGTGTTGCTGTGCTTCATTTCAAACGTCTCTGATCTGTTAGGCAAGGGGTTATAAGGTGTTAGATAACGAAATTTAGAAAGCACACAAATAGTGGTACAGTGGTGATAGTGGTAAATAGTGACAGTGGTACAGTGAACTCTGTGTGACAGGGGCTGTTCAAACTTACGTACCTTGAGGTGGCCCCCTCCAGCGTAGTGATTACGGCAGGGGTGGAATTAAGTATATGAACACGCACAAAAATACACAACTGAACATCATTTACCCTGTCTATCAGCACCGGTATTAATTTCATTGAGGAAAATAAATATAAATGCCAGTCAGCAACAGAGGCTTAAGCGAATTAAGCGCCTGCTTAGGGCCCCGCGGCCAATAGGGGGCCCCCAAGAGCCCTAAAAAAATAATATTTTGTATTCTTTGCATGTATGAGTGATGCTTTCTTTGTGATCATATAAATTTTACTGTAAAAATAAAAAAAGTAAAAACATTCTAGAGCTGCTGCTGATGTAGGCCTATGACTCTTACTGCCGATATGTCAAAGCTCTGCTACCGTTATGTGCCTCCTGCTGTGCAATGTGCACTGAGCATCCAAAGCGCAGGTAGTTGAGGGGCAAAACAATGTCGCAAAAAAGTACATATTCTTCAGGAGCAGAGAAAAGAACAAGGAAGGAAGAGGAAGAAGAGAAAAAAACACCAAGATAAAGGTATGTTTTCCTGTCATGGAATATTAATCAAAGAGATTTGTGAAGGTGTGTGAATGATCAACAATCAATATTATTGGCAGAAATAGAGGACCCCAAGATCAAATTTTGCTTAGGGCCCCATTGAGCCTTTGGCCAGCTCTGGTCAGCAACCCCCATGATAAAAATGGGGCATCAAGCTAAACATGTGTCATCAATATTACAGAGTTAAGGAGGCAGACTAAAATGTTGATGATCCTCATCTCGAAATGCATTGCATTCCTCTAACTTAGTGAATTAGTTGAAGGGTGTAGTAACAGCAGCAGCTGGCCACTCAGGCAAAGCCCCACGACTGTCCTCGTGGAAAATGGTTGACCATTGCTCAATAAGATTTTCTAACATTTGTCAGAAATATGTAAACATTTGTTGAAATAGAGGTAAGTATTTTTTTTTTCAACAAGTGAAATGAATAAGCTGCAAGAAAAATATAGATGAGAAATTTTTGACACTAAAATAACTGATCAGTCATGTCTTTCCAGTGTAGGGTGCAATGATTTGCTCTAAGAGAGTCTCATCATAAAGTTTTTAGTGCACATTCACTTCTCTTTGACACAGGAGATAGGAACTGGCAAGAGTACAAAATGGTTTGCCCAAAGCATATAACAGTACCAGACAGCAGGTGGCAGTAAAAGGCTAAGCTCTTTTTATTGCGACACCTGAACCATAAGGTATATACCATTGTGGTAGATACAACTCCACTGTACTCGAAGAAGTCCTTAACCCAGGTGAAAGTTTAAGGCTGGAGTCACGGAGAGCTACAAACAAAATGCAGAAATGCAATTTCAATCAAGTAGCTGACAGTGATGGCATTTGAGATCTTTGCAGGATAAGACAAGAGTTAAAGAACCTGGATTTGATCAGCTGGACATTACCATCAAACACAGGTGATTTACTTTCAAGGCTTGGCTAAAGGCAGGCAGTGATACTTTTTTCCCCCTGCCTGCTTTTTCAGTCAGAAGAATTTAGACAGGTATGACTTATGTAAAACACTTCCTACATCTTATATTGATCATTTTTAACAATTTATTTTGACCTTTGTGAACCCCAACCCCGCTCCTCCCCAGGTGAAAACTCACCAGTCAGTCACTACTGGAAAAGTGTTAATTTTGTCACTTATTAGCACCAAGTGTACTGTAGGAACACATTCTCACTGCCTCCACGCACCCCTCTCATTGTTGGTGTGTTTCTTTTCCAATGCATCTCAGTGACAAAACCATACTAACCACCAGGGTGACGTCAAGTTATTATCTAACATTAAGCATGATTTCACTGCTGTTAACTTTGACTGCTCTGCGTCAAAGCCTCCATTTATTCTATTTTGGGGGTATTTTAGAGAGTATATTTAGTATGATGTTAAACAGTTTTGACCAGCTGTAAACGATCAGAGATGACGTTACAGTTGCCTGTCACCACAGGCATAATGCATGACAATCATAAAAGTACACTAAAGTCTTTTTTTACAATGAGCAAAGTACAGTATCTTTGTGCAGTGAAATTTGAAGGATCGGAAAATTAATATAGCTATAGTGTTTGGGCTTTTCTCCACCATTATCACTGTATTTGTCTCGCTGTTATGTTCTTGGTACTTAGATCTAATTAGTAGATGATTTTTAACATAAATAACCCCTCTGCATAGTACAGGATTCAAGCTCTTGGGGTAGTAAATCAGAGTTCCAGGGGCCCAGGCCACCCTTAAGCACCCTATTTGCTCTGCCCCTGTTAATGAGTATTTTAAGTGAAAAAACGTTATTGTCATTTTTTATGCAAAAGGTTTTATGTGTTGTCCTGTCTTTTATTTTGACAATTTTAGTTGGGATTGTCTGGACATACATCCAAAAACCAAAGCTCTTCAGTTTGTAATGACTCAAAGCAGAGAATCAGCAGAAAATCCTCATACTGGGGACGCAGGGACCTCCTAGTCTTAGGCATTTTATCTCATTAAATGACTAAAACAATTCCCAAACACAGATGACACTTCAGTGTTGTATTTAAATTTTTTGATGATTTTAAGACTACAAGATTCACCTTACTCCCCCCATGTGACACATTCAAACCAAAGTAAGTTTTTCTGGTGTGTTTTCAGAAGGATTTTTGCTTTTTCCATCTAGAACTGAATCAGTAGCCACCAAACCACACATACACTCCCCCACAAACACCTACACTGTGCCTACACTATCTCTGCAGCCTGACAGTACTGTTTTATTTAAGACAACAACACTGGTCACTTTTGAGCCTTCAAATCTCAAGTGTAGCATATATGGACGTGTTAATGTTATGCATGCTGTCATAAATGATTAAAATATCTGAGTAAAAATTGCAGCTTTTGACCAGCAGATGGAGTCCTGCAGTATTTAAGAGAGGATTGCAGGAGCAGAGCCTGTTTTTAAACCAAGGAGAAGAGCAGGATTCTCCATCACTAAAGATCGGGTGAAAAAAAAACAACAACTAAACCTTCAGGAGGGTTTGAATTCGAGCCATCCCACTACTAACAGTACAATCAGGCTGGTTTCTGTGAGGATCAGCAACCTAAAGATTTAGTTTATTTTCCAAGGTTGTCAAGCCGCTGAATACCCACCTACATGAGCCGTTACCATTGTAGGAAAATCCAAAATATAACCACAAGTTGTCTTGGTCATTACTTTTGTCATGTCCATCCCACATGCAAAGTGTCAGCTCATTAAAATGAGTGTGGATGGTGTGGGAGAGACAGGGTGAATGCTGGGCGTGAAGCTGTGGAGTGGGTGAGAAAATCTTAAGTTATGCCAGTTATGGGGGCTGCAATCATCATGTAACTACTCTTTTAGTTCCTTCTTATCTAGCGATTTCTGGAGTCTACCTGATGACAAAAATACACTCAAGGCCACATCCTTGCTCATTCAGATATATTTATTTGAATTTCTTTTACAAATAATAATGCAAAGATACAAAGACAGAAGCCTTCACACAAGAAAAATACATCAGGTACAGTTCAAACAGAAGCGTATTTCTTCTTAAATATAGCACACATTTACAGCCAACTTGGATTCTTTTGGTCCGATTTGACAGTCAAAATAGAAAACACAAAAGAACAAGGTTTGAACCGGTAATTTTTTTAAAGGGTTAGCTCATAAAAGTACCAACTTGCCAAGCTGTGCTGCAGAATGCTAGATTTTGCATATTCTATGAGTATAATGTTTCCTGTTGCTGAGCGTAACGACAGGAGCATAGTGCACCCCTTCACGGCAGTAAAATGCATGTTTGTTTTTTTTATATCACGGTACTGGAAAACAAAATACATTATATAACAAATTAGCTGCCATTTTATGAGGCTTGAACCAGCAGTGGGCTGTCCTCAAATGCACATAAAGGATTCAGAGATGTGGAAAACCCACTGAGTGACCCCACAGGACCATGAGTCTGTGTCATCTTCCTGATGCAGTTTGTGTTTTTAAAGTGTTGTGTCACAAAGTCGACAAATATCTGTTTGTAGTCCCACTGTACAGTATTTGTATCTGCTGTTACTGATGTTTTTCCTCACACAATATGCAAATAGTAATGTTCACTTCAAAAAAAGTGTTTGACAAGCTTTTATAAAAATGGAAAAACTAAATACTTAACATAATGAAAAATATCTATTCAGGAATTTTCCAATTCAGCATCATAAAAAAAATCAGATGTAGTGGATAGTATACATGAGTCACATCTTCTACACGTATGATAAAGGAATTTACTGATTGATGTAAACAATGCATTGATAAGTTCATAGTTTCTCTATAAAGTAATTTCTACTTCAATAAATTTCTCTTTGAAAGACACAGGAACAGGGTGTTTCAATCTTTAGAAAGATACAATTCTTATTCTCTCATTATGGCTGATCTGAACTTTGGCTTCTCTCAGTTCCACTGTTGATTTAAAACCAAAACAAAAAGATTAAACAGTGCTCCGAATAAATTTACTTCATTTAAAATGATCTATAAATTAATTATTCTGTTAAAAGTACATCTATAGGGAAATCTCTGCAGAATTAATTCTGTAAATTAAATAAAAAAGTGCCTTTGGGTTATGAAATGCTTAAAGATGAAATCCAAAGGAGAGAGATAATTTATATACCTTTAAAACTCAAGACATAGGATATTGTAATATGGTTATAATATTGACATAATTGTCATACAATTCAAATTGCATTACTTTGTTACTGTTGCACTTAAATAGCAAAAAGACTTTTGCTATTCTACTCTGCAAGTGGTTCATCTGTGTTTTAACAGTATTTAACAAAGCTGAAACATTTTCCACAAAGAGGAAAAAAAAAACTCACATTGCTCTGTTGTAAACTCTTGTCTCTGTAAACACTGGTATCAATAACACCAATGGATACCTGAACGTTGATGCATAAAAAGGTGACAGTAACAGGCGACACATCAGTCAGAGCTATCTACATGAGCACAAAAAAATTTAAGTGAAAAAGAAATACAGAAACAGAAAGAGGACCTACAAAGTAGCCAGGCTAATGATTAAGTCTGAGGTCCAGCGGAGAAGATAAGAGCCACAATGACGTGTTGCAGCACAGGATTTCTCAGTGCATTTTCTCACTTTGACATCATAGCACATAAAGCACAAAAAAACATTGTTCCTACTGAACGGCAATATACAAAGCTAGTCTAGATTTACCATGACATAACCAAACTCTGTGGGTGTTGCACAGAAAGTAGAAGCACAAACTGTATATTGCAGTGTAAAAACATAGTACCAAACAACAGCTTGTACATGTGCATATAAAGGCTAATTACCATGTTTCTGATGCTTTAGGCGTCACTTAGCAGATAAGTAGCCTACAAATGCTGCTGAAGTTAAATAAGAGACAAAAAAGGACGAATACCACCAAAAACAAAACACTTAGACAAACAAACCTGTCCCCAGCCCAACAAAGAAAGAGAGCCTAAGCTGTAAAAGGAAAACATTTCCAGAGATTCATGCAGTCACAACATTTTCTCAAACAAAAAAAATGCAAAAATGCACCAAAATTCAGAAAAAATGATGCATCCAATACATTTAAGTATTAAAAAAAACACAGAGAAAAAAATCTTCAAGCCGAACAACTTGAATTCAACTTATTCCATAACATTTCTCAGAACATTTCTGATTTACGATGTGTGGAAATGATGGTGAAATACAATGCCACAAAAGGACCTTGACATTTATGCTGCAGCAAAGGATTTATGTCATGTGGAGAAGTAAGTGAATTAAAAATACTCATGTAACGGATAATTTCATCTTCATTTTACAACAGAAATATAAAATACTTCTCAGGCATCGGTTAATCCAATCTGGCATGGTGATAATATGTCTTGCAATATTCAAGTGCGCTTCTCTGAGAAATCTTGCTGAACTGTAACAGTATATTGAGCTAATTTTTATAAGAAACTGTCAGTCTGCCAATAAAGGATTATGGCTATAAATTTTTCGTTAAGAGCTGCATGACCGTCTAAACGCTGATCACTCCTGTCCTAAAATACTGTGCTCCAGAGTTGAGGAAAGTCTCAGTGACAGTTAACAGCTAACGAAATACGAAGTAAAAAAACAGCTCTTTTTTAAGTAGATTACATTTAAATGACTTTTAAAAAATAGCTTTAATTTAATTTCGCTTTTCATGTTTTTTTTGTGTTTTTTTTTTTACAAGAAGGCAAGTTAAAACAGGGAGGGCAACAACAGGTCCAGTGCAGGCAACAGTCACATAGGGTTGTAGGTATATATAAACTCTCATTAATCAGTGTTTTCTATAAAGTGCAACACGAGATATAAGCCACAGGGAAGCTGTGGAGACTGACTTTGCAGAAGAGTGTTATAGAGCAAACTCAAGAAGCCAAAAAAAAAATAGAGAACCAAAGAGCCAGAGCGACTTGAGCTAATCAATAAAGGGCACAGCCAAGATGAGCGTAACAGGAAAATAGGTGTCAGTGTCGCTGTAGTGCCAAGGTAACGACAAAAAATCATAAGACAATATGACACATCACCTTTGCAGGGAGAGAGAAAAACAACCCGGTGAAGGATGTTTGGTACTACAGTACATTAACATGAGAGGCAATGAGGACGACAAAATGGCAACAACAAATGTGGCCGAAATACATTCTCATTGCATCAACAATGCTGTTCTTGTAAAGAGGCAGTTAAATTGTCTGGAAAAATATATGTATATATATGTATATATTCAACTCCACTGAGGTCACATCTTTGGGAGAAATCCAGGAGAGTTTCTACTGTGTGCCGCACTCACTGAGCCGTTTTTCTCCACATCGTACTAGTCTAAAAGAAAAACGAGAAGTATCAAAAGAAAAAACATGGCACCATCACAAGAAGAAACCTGCACATAGGCTTACTTTTTTTATATAAGGGTTCTTTTGATGTCTTTCACTTTACAGTCCTAAATCAATCGCTGTAGTTTTGCATAGATACCATTACGCAAAATCTAATCACATTCTGTACATGAGAAATATGAGCAAGCCTGTAAACATCTATTTCATGATAAAGATCTTTTTTTTTTAACCCATTTAGATCTGACTGATGATAAATGGCATGGTAGTGACAATGGATAAGATCAGCACACCTCAAAAACACAACGACAGTAATGCAACTGTGAATGACGGAGGCCAGACCACCTGCAAAACACTAACTCAACATTTGAAAAGTATTTTTTTCATTTACATAATAGTCATCTTTGCATGAAAACCAAAAAAAATAATGTTAAGCTATTAAGGCAAAACAAGTATGCACAGTGTTTTGTGATTTCATGCATAACTGGTGACTGCTATTTACCATGGTAATAATCAATAATCAGCATTTCTTAAATTAACTCAGCTGGAAAAAATGAGTCATCTTTTTCTAAAGATGTAAATGTAAGTTAGTGGGAAATCAAACCCAGCCTGACGTTGGCGTCCATGACAAACCACACAGGGATTAGCATTGAATCAATATTCAGACTGAAAGTACAACCAGAAACAGGTGTTTCCTCTGACTCAGCCAGCTGTACTATGTTAACAGGAGTGTCAAATACTCTAAGTTGATGAGGGTTTGCTCTGCAATCAAGGCTTCTTTTGTACCCATGATCAAGCTCCAAAATGCAAATTGCCTCAAAAACTTAATGTGCCATTTGCAAAAATAAAAAAATAAAAGGTAGTGATAGATTTGCAAACAGAATGCATACCATAACTTGAATATCATCAGTCCTAAATCATGGCTCTGGTTTTGAAGAGATGGGTGGCTGACAGCAGTCTTCAACTTTAAAATGCATTTTTCTACAATGATCTTTCTTTAAAAAGCTCTTTTGGAGTTTGATTAGCTTGGTCGTCACTGGAAAAATGCTCTGCCCTGTCGAGGTCTCAACGCGTACACTCAAGAATTCCTCTCCTCTTGGATTTATCCTCTGAAATGTGATTCCTGTCCTCGCTTTCCTATAGGGCAGAAGCATTCACACACCTGTGGCGCAGTGTTGGTTAGAGCCGGTCGAGGCGAAACGCATCCTCTGTGGCGGGGTCAGTGAGGACCATGTCCGGGTCATTGAGCATGTGCAGGCCGTCAAGAGTCAGTGGGTCGATTTTCAGGTCGTCAAGCGGGAACTGGGAGTCGATATCAAAGCTGACGTCCGTGGACAGTGAGCCTGCCAGGTCTTTAGGCAGGCTGGGGGGAGACTCTCCACTCACTGAACAGAGGACAGACAACAAATGTAAAGAAAGAGCAGCTTGAAGCCTCAGCAGGCAGATATAAATCTATTTTGAGAGGGAGCAAGAGAACTGCCTGCTTAAAATTAGCAATCACTGGTGGAAAGAGGAGAAAGTTGACGAGCCGGGTTATGAATTGAAAAAAAAAACTGCTGTTAGAGGTTTGACATCTTGACATGATAATAGCACATTTTGGTAAGGAGGCAGTCAGTGACAGAGTGCTAATTTTTAGAAACTGTCAGGATAACAGTAGGGCTGAAAACTCTTGCCAAACAAACTTTTAATATCTTCATCTATAGAGACCCAGCATGGAAGTGAGGACCTTGATCTACATATTCAGTTGCTGTCACTGTCAGTCATAATAATTAATGTGCCAGCCCCATCCCAGCCCCTCATATTGTGCACATTTGTATGTATTTCCTCTAACTAAAATTTTGTTTCCCTTTTGAAGGTTTCTCAGCAGTGTAATGTAAAGCTACAGCAGGGAACTTTCATATAGTGCCAGTTGTAGCGTTCCCTGTGGACAAAGTAGTTCTTCTCATTTCTTTGCTGCTTTTGTCTTTTATACCTGTTTGCAGTGTTTTCTTATCGAATCTTTATCATGAAAAGTAAACTATTCTGATTTTCAAACTGTCAATCTGATATCAACCCAGTTGCAGCAGTTAAAGGTGGGGTAGGCAGGAATCCGTTAAAGAAGCATCTTTTTTTGTGGTGTATTTTAATATCAGTCAATAGCTATTAGTTATTGATGACATTTGGTAATATCATGATATCGCTGTGTTTTGTTATGTCTGTGTAGTCAACATTTTAAATTTTTTGAGTGGCCCGCTCTTTCTGGCTATAAACAAAGCCATTCTCCGCCTCCCCAAACCTGATTGGTTGTGAGGCGGACGCTTAGTCAGCATGCTACAATATAGGACAGTAGAACCCAACCAGAAAATACGGAAAATTGTCTGAATCCTCTTTTGGCCATGATTGCCAACACAAGCAAGAAAACAAAGTAAATACCGGAGACTCTGGCGGAAAACAAAGGGCGCTTAAAAAGGAGGTAGACCACCCAGACAAGAGCTAAAAAGCCGGGTTGATGGGGGACGCTCCGGGATCTTATAGATCCTGTAACCTTTCTACTGGACAGGTAAACCGCTTTAACAATTTAAGCCAAGTGTCTGTAACGGAAGTGTTTCTTGTCAAACGGGACCTGCTGTGTTTTGTAGCACCGCTAAACTGTTTACCTCGGGTCCTGGAGTTTGTCACTTTATCCTAGTTGTAGAAGTTCAGCAAACATTGTGTTTGCTAGTAGTCTGTTGGCATCTACAGTAGCACCAATGCTTTTTACTTTCACGTTGACTGGGCCCTATTTGTAATAATCTGAAGTATTTATCTGCATTATGTCTGAATTTAATTGGAACGATACATGCAAGCAGGAGCGTCTGTTTGTGGGCGGGGCTTGCTGGAGCAGAGAGGGAGGGGAGAGGAGGAGCTGAGGGGAAAACTGGTTGGGAGGGGTAGTGTTTACATTCAAGATGTCTCCCAAAAACTGGCACTTCCTCAGATCCTGCCTACCCCACCTTTAAGGCCTTAACATAAATGTATAGAAACAACTAATCATGAAGATGATGGATATGTTTGCTTTTGCAGGTTTTGTAGATTAAACTAAATCAATTTCCTAATCAGTCAAAAATACCAAGTGTTTTTATTCTGAATTGATTGAAGCACTTTCAGGATTGAACATGTATTGAAATATAGATTTGTGAAATATCTTTTCTTCTCAAAAACAGCCTATGAATGCAACACTGTGTCGAAGCCAATTCTGAAGTGTGACACATGTCAGCACTTTTCAGTATCTCACAGCTTAGCACCACTGAGAGACAACACTGTGTAGATGATAAACAACAGTCCCCATTCACTGTGTATTTTTCACAACCTAATTCATTACAGTAGCGAAGAAACTCGGCTTTTGTTGAGCAATGTCACAATATCCACAAGATATATGAGCAAAACTGAAGCTTCATCCTGATCGTCCCTCTGAAAGGTTTTCAACAAAAGCAAATCTGTGCCCACAGATTTCTTAAAGCGACTCGCAGCAAGACTCAAACACGCCTCATGTTAGTCGTTACAGCACCTGTGAGAATTATGTTGGGGATGTTGCCATGGCTACTGTAGCCCAGCTGCTGCGAGTCCTGCAGGTTGCAATGGCCACCAGTCAAACCCATCATGAGTGCCTGGGAGTAGTTGAGGGTGGAGGTCTGGTTATACAGGCTGTCAGAGCTGATGGGGGTTTCGATCATGTTGAACTGCTCCAGCTGGTAATCACAACAAAACAATACATCACAACTTCAACGGCAATGACAGTGGAGCTTAACTTAATATATACAGTGTGACAGAGGCTGTGTACCTGCTGTGAAAGCGCACTGGCCTGAATGGAGGGGAGCTGCTGGTCGTAGAAGTCTGCAAACACGCTGCCCAGTATGGAGTTATGCTGCAACAACAGAGTCACAATGAGTTTAGTTAGACATAAAACCTTCTAGTGTTAACCACCAACTATTAGTAGTCATACTCAAGTCTCCAGTTGTTTAACATTGAACATAAATTACAGGACATAGTCAGTGCAGCCACAATGCTGGATCAACAAAGTGCTTTTCTAACACGCCAAAAACGTCCTCAGCTGTAGTTTTGCCGATTCACGGTCATTTTGTGTACATGTAAGGTACCATGAGTGTTGTTAGTTTCCTCTTGACATTAATAAAGAAAAGGTTGATATTAGAAGTGATTGGTTCTGACTGGTCAGTGGGGGATGAGTAACACTGAGGGGTGCACCTGTGTTTAAAAATTAAACTGTTTTCAAAAGAGCGCAGCAACAAATAATGCTGACAATGTTTTGGTTTGGTTTTGAAGACAGGCGCTGCTGAGGAAAAAAAAAAGTACGGTCAGTGGACACAGGCCCCTAATTGAAAAGCAAATAGATAAAAGGAACCTGATGAATGGCCCGTATGAGAACAATTCAGTTCCATATTCCAACATCCAGAAGGTCAGCACGAACTAACTACTGAACACCCACCGAATGTCAGAAATAAAACGCTTAGGATTAGGACGAAGACTTTCAAAAAGAAGCTTCTTGAACATGAGCCTCCTCCTCTAGTTTCTAGCCTCAGTGTTTTAATTAGCACCAACCAAACAGGATGAAATTCACAGAAATAAAGGGAATCATTGGAAATCTAATCCTCTTTAATCTTTACTTTCCCTCCACTGACTCATCCAGTGTGAGCTAATTCTCTTCAAGTTCCTCATTTTGATGTCCTCATTGAACCAGCAGCAGAAATTCTCCTATTTCATCGTGGCCTCTTAATGTATAAGTAATTGGATCATATTCTCAGCCCGTGCTCCTCCTCATTCAAAACCAAATTATCTGTGTGCGCTGCAGATGTCCCCACAGGGCAGAGCAGGATAATAGAACACACAGCTTGTCAGCTGTGGTTTAGCCCATGGATAACCTCAGGACTGAAAATGAGCCAGCTTCAACTCAGGAGAGAGCGGGGCTGCAAACAGCAAGACGAACATGAAGAAACACACACACACACATACACAAACACACTCATACATACACATACATCATATTTCATCACTGTCACCTGCCACCTTTCTCTTTCTCTGTATCTTAAAAACAACATCACACTTGTAGCTAAAGCTGAATTCAAAAGATCCTTACATCTTTGGTTAGACAGGGGCTTTACATATTGCAGTACTGATTTAATATTCTGCATAATCTATATTCAAACATGTAATTTATGGTTTATTATAGGAATTAATGCAGTGAAGATTAACGGAACAGCCTTCACATCCGGTTTTGAATCTTAAACAGGCACAGATTATAACACCACTGATCCATGTTTACCTTGGGTGTGTTAAGTTTTTCTTAAAGCACCACCCTGTAAGCAAGGCACAGCTTGTTGTGATGCAACAGCGAGTGTCATCATTCAAAAATGCCTCAAATCCCCATGCTAGTGCGCAATCACAGTGAACACAGAAATCCACATAGAAAAAAAACAACGCAAGTACAGAGTCTTGTAAAGCGGGACTTTTGGGGGGGAACAGTGGAGATGCAATGCAGATATCACAAAAGCAGCTGAGAGGGAAGGTCAGGGACACAGCTACATAACAACACATCAATGACACTGAGTGTTCAAAGAGGCTGGGGGTCAGATCTGGGCAAAACAAAATCACAACTGCAGCCATGAATTTTTACACAACATTTTAGTTGTTATCTTTTTTTTTTTTTAACCTTTGCTGTACAAGAAATATTCCCTCTGAGAAATGAATCCTTCACATGGAAGTCCTTGTTAAAGAAGTCCCATAAATATCAAAGTTTTTTGTCTGGTGAGAAGTTTTAAAACCAAGAGGGTAATCATTAACTATCATTATTAGGTTGTGTTTGTAGGCAACTTCAACAGAGAGGGTGATACTACATTTCTATTATTTTGGCTAAAGTATCAACAGACACTAAGTAATTCTGTACAAACAGCAGTAACAAAAGAAAATTAATATAACTGGGTATTATTGTGTGTGTATATGACTAACCCCTTAAACAAGTGATTTGATTTCAATCATTTATTGTTTGGTCTGAGTCTGACCAGCGAAGAAAAAACAAGATTAGCCAGCATGCTAAGTAAGTTAGCATTAGCTGCGTTGTCAGAAACACTGATTTCTAACAGACCAGTTTATTTTGTGTTTGAACTATTTATACTTATTAACAAGAAAATACAGCAATAAGTCACTCAATGAGAGTCCAGAATTGGCTTTCCCACTGAGCAATAGACGGCTATTAGACGTCTAGTTTTTTTTAGACCTAATTTCAACCGTCTAGATTCTGTACATTTTAGACGGAATTTATGCGTTGCACTTAAACCCGTTATTCAATAACTACTTATTTCCAAAAGCATCTGTGAGCTGCATAACTGATCTCCAAGTACTTAACCAAAATAATTACAATAGCCGTTGAGCAATATACAGTGTAGTATCGATAAAGCCCTGATTTAGACTTGGGCTAAACTTGGTCTAAATTTAGATGTCTAAAAAACTTTCATTTTTAGACCTGTGGTAGCCTGATTTTAGTCCAGTCATCTAACCTACATTTAGACGTCTATCAGACCTCTTTTAGACCAAAAAATGATGCTCAGTGGGTAGCCACTCACAGCTAGCACAGCACTGTTGCTGTGAGCTAGCGTCAAATAACAAATTACCTTAGTAGCTTGGCCTTACTTTCACTTTACCTATCTGTAGAAGCAAAATAACTGACTTAAGAGGAAAATTCTTATTAATAAGATGAATTAACTGGAAGAAAAACACTTTGTTTGTTTTGTTATAATACTTGAAATAAACAGAACTTTTTTTTGCCCAGATCTGCTTGTGTCAACACAATACAAGCAGTAGTGAGGGGGCAGCCACAGAGTCCTACTTGGCAACATTAACCACAGGACTAAGATGCAAGGGGGGGACGGTGACGTTTAAACAGAGCTAACAGCTCGCTGGTCCACACGCCCTTACTTGAGGCGAGCCTCCGGGTGAGAAGCCTTGATTGGAGACGGGGGAGGTCGGAGACTGATTGGCAGAGGATCCGATCCTACTGCGGTACTGTTGGAGGGAGGAGGCCTGATACAAGAGGATACTTCAAGTTACACACAGGAGGAACCTCTTCACTAGTGGGAGTTCCTTCTTGCCCCGGAGCTTTGTTATATGTGTTTTATCGTTACATGTTTGTAGTTCTGGTGCTCGTCTCACTGAAGGTTATCCATGTACGCTTTGGCCAACTGAGTACTCACTAAAATATTGATTCGGATGCTGGAAAAACAAATAAATTAATTACAGCACTGAACATAATGTGCCATTATGTCAATGCATTAATTTAAAATGCTGAAAAAGATCTGGGAAAAACACAGAAAACAACAGGGGATTAATTAGGAGTGGAAATATGTTGCCAGCAATCCAAGCAACTGAGAGCTGTAAAACCGGAGGATCAGAGAGAGACAATCTGCTCCCTTTTGTTCTCTTCTCTCGGTTCTGCTCTTTCACACATCCAACAAAATCAAAGAAGGAAAATGTGCACACGGATCAAAACATTTTTTTTCTATTAATGTATGAAAAGTTACCATCACTGTAAAGACCAGAGAAGACACAGGAACTTAGATTTAGAGGTGCCTCTACGACATGGATGATCTCTTACAAATCAAAGCCCACAGAAGTCCAAATCTCCACATTCATAATCTGTTTACAGATAAGATATCAAAATATTGGTAGCACATGATAAAGACTAGATAAAGCAGCTCAAGGTCTCTTGATAAACTAGTTTATTGATTTATTGATGAATGAAAGAAATAAAAGAAGATTGTTTCACCCATAATGTCACCATGCCTTGGAAACAAAAATACACATTTGAAGGATAGAGGCAACATCTAAAACCAGGTTTGAAAGCAAACTTAATAAAAGCTAGGGTGGTATAAATATGTTTTATACTGGAGGTTAACAGGCAGTCAGGTCTAAGCTGTGTCTCCTCCTCACAATGTTTCAGCTGACCTCACACTGCAAAGTCTCTCACTGAGATCAAGCAAATGTAGGACACTTCATGTGTGCAGTTATCCAAACAAATTCCCACTGCAGCAGAAATAGAGCAGCCAGAGCCAAGATCTGAAGGCCAGAAGACAGTTGCAAAAGCATTTAGAGTCCTTGATGTTCTGCATGTTTTTTTTTTTTTGTTTTTTTTTACAGCTTTTAGCTCAGGAATCAGTTCTTGACTTTGTTTTATCTTAATGCTGCATGAAAATAAATGCTAAGCAATAAATACCATGTCCATAGAGGATTGGATTTTTGGATAAAAGTTTCTAGAGATGGAACCAGAGCCCATCCAGAAAGTGATTTTTGAGGCCAATCCCAGTAATGATTTTGAAGAACAAATAAAACATTTATACCTGATTTTAGCAGCTGGGTAAGAGTGGACCATGAATGTAGTGTTATATAGAAGACCGCTTTCTTAAACACATGCTTACTTCAGAAAAATGATCAAATTAAGTTGGAGATCACACAGCTGAAAAAACAACAACAGACCATCTCTAACTGCATGCCATGTTAAGAAGTAAAAAAGACTTGATATTATCTTGTATTTAACACAAATCTATGTCAGGCCTCTTTGTATTTCTGCAATAGACTCCTAAGGGTTGATGAAACTGCCAAACAATTTCCTTTATTTTTTACTGACCGTGCTTTACAACTCCCCACTACAACTAAACAACTTCATAACACGGCAAAATGTGCATCGCCAAACAGCACAACTCACCAGATCTGAACTTTCATAATAGTACTGTCCGTTATTACAGTACTGCGACACACTATTGCGCCCTCTGCTCACCGTGTTCATGTCAATGGTCATGTTGGTTTGCGAGGACGTCTGGTTGTCTGACGTCGGGCAGGAGTTCACTGAGGACGACATCTGGACCAAACCTGTCTGCTGGAAAATCAAGAGTGGAGTCATAAATCAATGAAGCAGTACCTGATCTATTGATGAAGTCTATCAAGATCTGGTTATATGTCGTGCTGGTGGGAGTGTAAAAAGAGTAAGTAGTAAATAAATGGCAAGAGGCGAGATAACTGCATATAAAGGGCTCAACATGTTCCTCTAGGTTTTTACTTTCACAGTCCTTAATGCAATTAAGTGAGGAATCCTATCAACATTTCTGCCTAATCATTTAGTCCAGGAGAAAATCAAATATCACAGCGGGTTTCTTAAAGGGATATTCCAACGTAAAATTAAGTTATGGTCAAACACACCGTAACACCAAGTTAGACACCCCGTCGAGAGATGAATGTTGCCGACTGCTCTAGTTATACCAACTTTAGTAACGACCACACGATAGCAATACACAGCGGTCTACATCTCGTGATCGACTCGTCAGGGCTTCCCCACAAACAAGCAGCTGCTGGAAGAGAGTGGTTGAGTTGTGTTTGGTCTCTTTGCCAAAGAAACCAGGCAAAGCTAAAAAGATGTTTGGTGGCTACTGCTATGGCTGTGTGCGCGTGGAGACATAGACCGCTGTGTATTGCTCTCGTGCGGCTGTTACTAAAGTTGGTATAACTAGAGAAGGAAGCAGTCGGCAACACTCATCTCTTGAAGGGGTGTCTAACTGGGTGTTACGGTGTGTTTGACCCTCACTTGATTTTACGCTGGAATATATCCCTTTAAGTATGAGAGAGGAGAGAAAAAGTTTCACTGTGCTGCGTTAGAGCTGGTCCTTGGCTCTAAATGTTAATGAGCAGATTTTTTTTTTACATTTTACAAAAGGATATTGTATTTCCTTTCTTCTGATGGAAACAATGCAAGCTGTATAACCTGTGGAACAAGATGGTGAAGCATCTGCTATTGTACTGACATAATTTAACAATTTTTGTATCAGAAGATACAGAAGAGAGGTCTGTACCTCTGTAGCTGGTAGTTTGACGATAAGTTGATCATTTTGTAAGTCAAATACTGTCTGAATAAGTGTGTGTCAGACAGTTTTAATGGATAAAAAGAACTATGCCAACACGCTAGCACTTGAGGGTCTGAACACATGGCCCTAATTGGCAGTAATAAGGTGTCGTTAGTTAGTTTTGAATTGGAACCTGAAGGGATAAAATCAATTTAACTTGAAAAAAAAAATGAATGTGTGTTAATGTGTTCATTACTCTAAATCTTGACTCACTTGCTGGTTCTGGTGGGTCTGGGATGACGGCTGCTGGTTGTAGAAGGCATACTGGGACAGCTGCTGCTCAAGGTTCATGGCGTTAATGGCCGCCTGAGGGTAGCACAGCAACAGAAATCCAAATGCTCAAATACATTAAAAAGACCCTAGAAATAAGAAGTGTTTCCCTCTTGGCTTTCTTTACTCCACCCACATGAGCTGAGATATATTTTACATAAATAAAATCTAAAATTCAATAATCCATTAAGCCTGCATGATTGATATTTTGGACACAGCGGAGTTCGGGTAAAGAGCAGAGCGCAGTGTTGTACCTGAGAGAGAGAGAGAGGAGGAGATGTGGGGGAGAGCTGCAGGCTCTGAGGCTGGTGGGAGTCTCCTGCGTTCAGGATGAGAGGGACCATGTTGTCCTGCCCAGGCTGTATTTCCATGGTTACTGTGGGCTGAGATGTGCTCACTCCTACCCAGAAAACACACACACACAAAAAGACAACGTAAGTAAAGAGCTTTTTAAAAGCACAAACAGAGCCATGGAGTAATTGGAGCCAGAGAGTGTTTAATGTCAGAATGAAGGGCTTTAATATCCTGCACATACCTCGATAAAAGTTAAAATTTCTCTGCTAAATGTGAGCAGACTACTGTCTGTACAGTTACCTTGGGTGTTTGCCAGGTTCTGTGTACTGTTGGAGGCGCTGAACGAGGCGGCTGCGGCATCATCTGAGTCGAGCGGGGTGGGCAGCGGAGGAGGAAACTGGATGTTAGTCAGGTCAGGAAGGGAACCGCCTGTGTTGTGGACTGCTGGTTTCAGTGAAGCGGTCAGCTGGTCTGGAGATGGGAAGATACTGCAGAAAAAAAAAACAGACATTAGAGGCGAAGACGAGAGGAAAAAAGAATAACCAATGACTAAAATAGGTTTTTATCTTTGGGAAACAATTTTAATCTTTTTACTCATATAAATTCATCCAGTTTATTCCTAAATATATTTATACCGAATATGGACTTAATGCTGCTTTTGCAAAGATTTTGTTTACTCTGTTTTTGACTTTGGCCAAAGAGTCGGTAATTTAAAACAGATTAAATAAAATCAAATGGCCTCATTTTCATTCATATTTATTTATAAGATGTATGTGAATGTGCACTCGGCCTCTGTGTAATCAAACACTGTTTAATGCTTTATCATCCAGCGCAGTCATCAGTCAAACCTCTAAAACAAATTTACCATTGAAATCAGACACTTAAACATTCCCTCAGACCAGTACGACAAAGAGCAGTCTGAGAAATACTCACTTGATTCCTGGAACTTTGCAGGGTTTGGACCTCGAAATGCTCTGAAAAGAAAACACAATGAGAATTTAAGGAAACAGTTTCACAAAGACAACAAAGAAAGCTTTCATGTGAGTGTAGAAGTTGCACCTTTTTGCACTCCCAGCTCTGTTCCTGTCCATCCTCGTCAACGTCTCCTTTGAGTGCTTCAGCCCCAGGTACCGTGAGCAGAAGAACTACATAGAAAAGAAAAATAAATCTATTTTTTGAAATTTAAAGTTTCTTGGGTTTACAAATGTCAAGCTTGTACAAGCTTATAATAATCAAAGCCTGTGCGCTGTTGTTGTTTTACACAATCAGCAGATAATATGAAAGCACACAGGCATAACAAGAGAGAGGACATGACAGAATAACTTATAAGACAAAAAACAGACTAAGTACAATAAGTGGGTAAAAAACAAAGCTGAGATACTAACTGACAGTTAAGTGAAAAACCCCAAAATATCTCGGTGGAGATTTATATGAATTCAGCGGAAGCGCTTCTGCATTAAAATAATCCCCCTCACACGTCTCACACTTATCAGGCACTGGGATGCACCCCTTCTACCCGGCAGTCATTTCCCTCCTCTGCCATCAAAGCCACATTCAAAACCCTTTCATCACACACTGGAGGGCACTCAACTAAGCCGCCAAGAGAAAGCAGCGAGATAACAAGAAAAAAAAAAAATCAGGGTTATGACAAAAACAGCCTCAAACACCACAACCGTCTCCTGCACAGGATCAACACCTGATCAGTCTGACTCATGAAGGCAGACCTAATACACAGAGGAGATGAAACTATATGAGCCTCTTTTTTTTATACTTGTCCCCATCTACTTCTCTACATATCTTGTGCATGGCAGGCAACCATCTTCTTCCAAAAATAATTATTACAACAAAGGAATTTCTCAAAGATGATGTGTACCTCGTTTTGGCTGGAGATCCTGTGACCCTCCGATGAAAGAGGCCTGCTGGGCAGGGATTAATGTGCTCTGGTGCAGCGCAGAGTCAGAGTTTGTCCTTCAAGATTTTTTTAAAATCACACCAAGCAATGTACAGAGGGGGGAAAAAAAGAAATTGTTAAAAAAAAAAAAGGAGTTATAACAAAGTTTTATCAACTTTTAGACTTAAGCACACAGAGTCTATACTTGAAAACAACACAGGAAATCTCTGACCTGTTAATCATACTGTGCATCGATCTCTAATATAATAAATATGTTTTGTTTTGGACACAGAAATCCAGAATTATCCCGACCACTAGTTATTCTGATCTTGTCTTTTATAAGGCCTTATAATAAAAGTTGAAATTTTCTTAAATTTAATTTGTAAACTGAAGGCACTAGATGAGGATAATGCAAAGTGTATTTAATCACTTAGAAAAGTCTTAAATTCTGTTGATCTTGTTCTGACTCGTTATCTTCATAAATAGAAAATTACACACTGCATGTAGCGCAAAGCGAGCGGTTTCAGTCAGAATAATTACAGAAAGCTGTGTGAGGACTAAATCATAATAAACACAGTACAGATTGAGATAAACAGTCATGCAGAGCTCATGTTTCCTCCTCAGAGGCTGTCCTACCTCCTCCAGCTGGTATCAGGTGGGGGTGACAGATAAACTGCGCCATATGGACAGCTGTCAATGTGAGACTGTAGGTTAAGAAAATACAGCTGGAGAGAGAAAGTCTTGGCAAATTTGGTGCATTCACTGCTGTGATTCTTCAGAAACAAGGAGGTTTCATAAATGCCTGTGTAGGTGGAATTGTAAACAAATCAGCATGAGACAAAAGTGAGGAGTAATAAAACACCAGCTTCACTTTCCTGACTGACATAACTGATTAAATCTACCATAACATGATGCAGACACTAAATCAGATCTCTGACTGCAGCTAAAACCTGAAAGAAATTCATTATAGGCTGAAGTGATTTACAGGCATTGGAAAGAGGATTAAAATGTCTATATACTTATATTTGTGCACATGCATAACTTCACTGTAGAGACCCTGTAAGACAACATTCTGGGTCTTAATTTCAGTCCTACGTTGGTCTAAAATGCTGCTAAAAACCAGCCACTCCAACATTAGACAAGGAATATGAGCACCGTTTTGGGAATTCTAAAAGCTCTGAAATAAACAGACCTAAAGCAAAGCTGTGACAACTCCAGACATGAGACTGAGAAAATTAACATAAGTGAGACCAAACGGTACCTGAGGATCTGCATAAGCAGCAAAATAAACAGATCGTCTAAAAGGATATCTGGCGTCCATGCTTGTCAAAAGACAGAGGTTTTCTGTGGGGTGATGTGATTCGGTTCCGGTCACGGCAGACTCTATCCACTAAGCCGTGGTGTCGCGTCGACCTGTTTGTGTCCATCCCTGAAGTCTACAAACACAGACAGCAGAAATCATGATTAACTTTATCTGTGGGCATTTATAAACAAGGGTTTTGAAACCAGATGGTGGATTTTGACCAAATAGATTTAAACTGAAGGCTTGGATAAACCTTACAATACTTTTTTACCTCCATGTAGAGCTATTTCTTAAACATGTAAAAAACAGAGGTCTTATCAAACTTCTAATGCCCCTTTTTACGACACCGCAAATTCAACTCTTTGTTTTTTTGTCTTTTTCTGACAATGAATTGTATGGAGAGGCTTATTCATGGCTGGCAATGTAAATGTGAGGCTCATGTGTAACTTTTTCCTTGGGGCGCTGTACTTCCATCTCTGAGCAAAGTCTCATTAATTTCTAATTTTTGGAGTTAAGCATCAAAAACCTGAGAGCAGAGCAAAGTACTTTAATGTGAATTAATTTTGTCTTTCTTTTATGTTCAGTCTAACATAGAAATTCAAATTTCAAACTTCAAATTTGATGCCAGCAGTACATTTCAAAACAGTTGGGACAGGGACAATAAAACACTGAAAAGTATTGTAGTTCCAAAAAAAAAAAAAAAAACATTTGGAGGTACATCAAGTAACTTGTAAGGTTAATTCGCAGCAGGTTCGTAACGTGACTCTCTGAGTATAAAAAGAGCTTTCCAGAGACAATGAGCTTCTCAGAGGTTAAGACAGGAGGATGTCCACCACTTTCTAAGAGACTGCATGAGCAAAAAATAAAAAGTTCAACAATTTCAAAATGTTTCTCAGCATAGACTCCAAATAATTTGGGGATTTTATCATCTCTGGTATTTTATCAGTAAAAGACTGAGAGACAAAAAGAAACAAGGCCAAGAATACTAATACTGGATGTCTCAGTGGAAATCACTGCATGGGCTCAAAATCACTTCCACAAACTGAGCTATTGTCAGCGGATATATTTCATCACTGCACCCACAAATGCAGATTCAAAATATATCATTGCAAAAAGGACACCATAAATATGATCCAGAAACACTGGCCACTCTTCTTGTCTCAAGCTCATTTGATGGACTGAGAGAAGTTAAAAACAGTCCTCTGACTGCAAAGGTCAAATTTTGACTCTCTTTTTGGGAGTCATGGATGCTGCAGCTTCCACTCTAAAAAAAGAGTGGGGGCAGGGCTTGTTGCCAGCCTCTATGATGGTATGGGGATGTATAAATCTCCATGGCATGAGTAGCTTACATATCCAAGGGCTCCATTAATGCTGAACAATACGCACACGTTTTGGAGCGACAGAGTCAAGTTCAGACAATGTCTGTTCCGGAGAAGGCCTTGTAGATAATGCCAAACCACATTCTGCACACATTACAACAGCATGGCTCTGCAATAAAAAGAGGGGGTGCTTAACTGGCCCACCTGCTGTCCCATCTTGTACCCCCACTGAAAACATCTGGTACATCATGAAAAACAAAAAATATGACAAATGAGACCTTGGACTGTTCAACAGCTGAAATCTCATATCAGGCAAGAATGGAGCAACATTTCATTTTCAACACTCATGAAGCTGGTTTCCTCCTTATTTTCTCACAAGGTGTTCTTTATTATCTGGCATTTTTCCATTTTACCCTCTGAGTGCAACATGTGATTTCTTAGAACCTCAGTATTTTCCATTACAACCTTTGGTAACTCTTCTTGATGTATGTGAATCAAATGTAAAGTAAATCAAACATTAGTTAGAGTAAAAACAGTGTTTGTTTTCGCCTGTCCTGGGTTATAAATATTTAAATTCGTATCATGTATGATTAAAATGCTATGATGGCAACAAACAAAGCTCTGCTTCAAGGCTGACTTTTCCTTCGGAGGCCTCTGAGTATATTGAGAATAAGAGTTTTATTTGTCTGAGAGCTCTGAAACACAGAGATCTATATGTCCAAGTACACTCCACTGTACTGCAGTTAAACACACGCCTAACGCAGCCTGTGGGTTTATGTACTTCTGCTATTCATTATACACAGTGTGCGGTCATTTCTTATGTAAACAGTAAATATGTCAGTCCCTGTGAAGCAGAGTATCCATCCCAGGAACAAGGATTTTACGGTGTGTTTTTATAACCCTGAAGCAATATCTCAGGATATGGCCTGGACACAGAGATAGACACAGATATATAAGAATTGGCTGTAAAACGAATCCTGGTGTAAGCTCAATCGAGGAGGTTTTGTGAAAATGTTTTATTATCTAAAGATGTCTTTTCTGTTGCTGGAGGATGTCTGACATTGCAGATAATATCCCTCACCTGAAAAGCCATATCCATACTGCTGTTTCCAATCTGATTGACGTTTGGCAAAGATCCTCCATAGTACTGCCCACGGTTCTGTCCCAGCTGCAGATACTGAGTCTTCTGCAACTGTAACTGCAAGACAAACAACAGCGAGTCAGACAACAGGCTGTCTGTATGGATGTTTTTGAAACAGACCAGATTCATGAAAATGACATAATACAACAAATAATAACAGCTCACAGTGATCCTTTGCAGCAACATTTGTCATAGTCCATAATATCAAAGCTATTTCTCAGTGTGAATTCAAACCATGTGTTAGAGGTACTAAAATTAAGACCCATGTGTCACTGTTTTTACCACCAGATGATGCAAAACAACACAATTATCAAACTAACATAAACACCGGGTGTCCTCTGGCAAGGATTTCATCAGCAAAGCAGTGCAAAGAGAATTTACTAAGAAAACTCTTTAGGGGGAAGAGATGGATGGAAACTTCTGGTGGTAGCAAAGGCTACTGATCTGACTGTCTGTATGCCAGAAAAGCAGACTCCCTAAAGCCTCCTGACAGTGTTTATTTCAGAACGACCTCCAGTTCCATTTCCCATTAGAGAGCCCATAACCGGTCAATTAAATTTTCTAATGTAAGCCCACTGCTCACTGATGGCAGAGCAGAAAATCTAATCAGAACAATTACTATGCCTGTGTCACTGCTGTATTTTGATAAGCCTCTGGTCTCCATTTATTCTGTTTCTAGATATCGTGAACCCACTTTTTTTCTGCATAAGATAGTATTTTGTGGCATCTTCATACCAGCAGGACAATCTTTATTCTTTTGTCGCTGTAGGAGGACAAAATAAGGCAAAGAGAGGAAACAACAGAGACGACAGTGGGAAAGGAGGGGACACCATCAGTCTGAGGCGTACTTTCCGATGGACTGGCTTGAGCTGAGACAAAAGCTTACTGAAAGTAAAAGCCACAACCCTCCAGTCAAGATATTAAATCGACTCTGTGATTAACCTACGTGGCCTAGTTTACTAAATCACATAACCAAAACCACAGGGAACAATTTACTGAGCAGGTAATTTCCACAAATCTCAGCAACATTTCAGTTTTATATTTCTACACTCCAGTGGTTCATCAGGGATAATCCAAAAATCTGCAAAGACTTTATAAACCACCTGAATAGCAGAAATTCTGATGTTTTAAAAGGCGTTTTCAAAGTTTATATGTCTCATGAACCAACAAGACACAACTTGTGAATGGAGCATCCATATAGGATGAACCTATCATTAGTGACACCATTTACATCCATGATTTCCTGTTACAACATATCAACATGTCTTCCTATAGAAAATTATGGAAGCCTTGGGCTGGTATGAATCTATGCATTTCATTCGCTCTTCTGGCAACAACATGTTTATATTTGATATTTTCTCAAGATCTCGATTTAACAGATTATCATGGAACCAGGTTTATACCGCTGCACTGACTCTACATTATAGCTGTTTCTTAATAATCCCCTTATATTCAAAATATAAATGGTTGAGAAGACAAAATGGAAACGAAATGATCAATATAAATACCTCAGTCAGAATAAACAGACCCATACTGACAGTAATTCCATTCGATTGCAGAGGTGTAGTTTTAAATTTCAACAGCAGATCAAAATAGAAATTGCTCCACGTAAACAGTGTTTCAGTTTGTCGTCTGGCTGTGCTTTTCATGTTCAGATGTCCAATATCTTCACGTACAGTTCCTACTCACTTAGAGAAGACGGTAACGTCTATGTCAAATTGGACAACGACAGAGAGTTTGTTTTTGGTAGAAACACTCAAAGAGCTTAACATAGTACAACGCCCCGATAATAGGAAGTTACACTTGGAGCAAATTGTCTTCTCTTCTTCCTTGAATTCAGTGGGAATAATGATATAAAGTCATTGCTTGAATAAGAGCAGCAAAAAATCAGCAACTACTCGGTTGAACAGACAGTAGAAATACAGCTTCAGGACAAGGAGCTGATCAAAGGAAAAAGTGTATATGCATTTGGACTGACAGAGGAGAGCGGTGCCACGCCAAGAAACAGATTTTTGAACATGTCTCACAGCTGTTCTGGATAAATTTGTAAAGACATTTGTACACAAATGTATAAATACCAGAGCTGTTTAAATTACATACTATGTAAACACTCGAACTGATATCTCTAAACAGGATGAAAAAACATTGACCTTGTAAATGTGGTAAGTGTCAATCTGCAACACATGCCCTGAATACTAGTTGGCAGTGCAATTTTTATGCTGATCAAATTGCCAGTTTCTGTTCCAGCTACATTCATTTGTATTATGTCAGAGTTTGATCCGATAATTATCAGGCAGCAGTTAACCATGTCGAAGTTATTGCTATGAAGAAAAAGGGATGGAACATTGACGGAGAAGGTAATATCTTGCTGCAAATGCAGGAAACACAGTGCTGCACAGTAGGCCAATCACACACTGTTTCCATGTGTAAGGAGAAGCACATCAGGCTGAATAGGAAGGCTAAGTACAAGCTATGCAAACTATTGTGTATGCTTTTTGACGCTGTTTGATAATTTTACACTGAAGTATCCCCAGAGTTCCAAAAGCACATAACCCTGAGGGAAATGGGCCTAAGTTATCTCATTTGTGTGGACAATGGCAGCACGACATATCACAGTCTGGTGTCTCACAGGGATGGACCAGAAAATTAATCCATAACCACAACAAAATGAGTTTTGCTATACCAAGACAATTATGATAAATTAGACAATATGATAGGAGAACGTGGTGCTGTTCTCTACATATAAGGAGAATAATAAGTTGCAATCTTGAGAAAAACAACTGGAAATAAATGTATAGATGCTTGTCCACTTGGGGATTCTGTGTAGACGCCAATGAGATGGTGGATTTTTTACTCTTTTGTTGTCTTTTATTGCCTGTAGTGATAACTGAATTTGAAAATCTTGGACCACCTGACTAAAAATAGTCCTTTGTCAGCTCCACTTTACGGGATGAAAACAGGGACATTTTCCCTCATGAATATTCCTCTTCTGTATACTGTCAGTTCATGTATAACAGGAAGTATTTGTTGTGTAGTAGTAGTCCGCTTTTCCATCCTGCTTCCTCTCAGCAGCAATTACTACATTGGCCCTGCCTCCATAGGATTTATTTTGGACAGTGTTGTATGTGGCTTAGATTCCACATAATCTGCTTGGCTTCATCTTTGGTGTAAATGTCATTTATGCAGCAGAACACACAGGCCTGAGGACCTGTCAGACAAGTTTACAGAGCCACGGCGAAAGCACACCTGAGCGTATATCAATAACATTCAAACATTGATTTACTACAAGCTATTAATTAATAGTAATTATGTGTACGTTATCTATCGCACCGAGAAACGTCGATTCATATAACCGCCTCTCCTCTGAGCGCACGAGACGAGCTGAAAATCATCGCTGCAGTTGAGCGCGCGCTGTCAAATACGCATGCACGCCCCTTTGCTTTTCACTTGCGTGGGGCAAAAATTGAAATTAACTTTTTTCGGACATCGGTCCTAAACGTTTATATTACAACCACAAGAGTGTTATTCCCTCTCTCCTCCGCTCTGTTACAGTCTTGTCGGGGGAAAAGGCTCCAGCTGGCAGGAAGCGTCGTTTGTTATTGTTTACCTCCTCTGTCCTGACTGCGTGCAGCTGCCGCGCGCTACAAATGCATATTTGACAGCTCGCTGAAAACAAACCAAGAACAGGTAGGGGTTAAAAAACACAAAATCGGTATCGTTACCCTCGCTGCCCGAGTGATGCTGAGGTCTTTCATCACTTCTTCAAACGCCGCCGTCTCCTCAGCCTGCTTCTGGTTATGTAAAGCGATTTTCTCGCTGAATTTCCGCGGATTGTTCGAAGTCGCCATGTTTCGCTCTTCTGCTCCGTTTTTCCTCAACGGCCAGAGTCAAGCGACCCGGAATGATGACATACAACTTCCGGCAGTGTAGGAGCATTAACACATTAAAACCTTTTTAGTCAATGCAGGTTGAAGAAGCCTCTGGGGAGATAGGGATTTTCTTATAGCCAAAGCCTGGTAATTGAAAAGGATCCTAAATCCAGTCCACTGTTGTTAGGATCAGGATTTACCGAGTCCTGGAATCAGAGCTGTCCCAATCCACCTAAATAGTTTTACACAACTAAGCTGTATTTTCTAACATATATTTGACCAAGGTTCAATTGGCCTACCAAAAAGCAATGATTGTCGTTGATTTTCAGCAACCTGATATAAGGATTTGATAACTTTGAACAACTAAGCCTCAGGGACAAAATGGGCCACATCTAACCCAGGAGTTTAGCCAAACACATACTAACTAACTAACATTTACCTAAACATCATACTCAGCAAACACATTCCCATAGTTTCCTGTTCTGCTCCTCTTCTGACAAATATTTGTCTACCTGTCCCGTTTGCCTATGGTGTATCTTTTTTTTTGGCAACAACTCATTACAATTGGCTTGCTGCTACATTCTGTTATACACATAGCTTAAAGTGATTTGCATAAACTGGTTACCTGGAAATGACAGGATTCAGCCGTGGCTTACCCTTCAATATGTTTGATCTGTGTAACTAGTGAGACTTAGTCTCAGCCCTTGGTTTGGGTTTGTATGAGTACAATACTAAACTTGAGGTTGCGGACCTGTCAGAGAGCCTGTAGTTTATCGTAGAGGCTCTATTTCATTTTGTTTGCCAGTAAGCTTTTTCAGTGAGTAGGTACACACATGAAGAGGGGCCTAGCTTAAATAGATACATCAGCAGTGAAGTTATTCTCTGGTGGCAAACTGCTATACTCAATCACATGCTGCTCAAGGCCATGTCTGCTATATATATACATACAGATACACACACACACACACGTACATATATTTTTGCAAGGTACCCTGCACTCAAATCTAATAGCTAATTTCACAATCACTGCATCTATAATTTCAGTTAAAACTACCTGGATCACCAAAAAGGAGCATTTTTACATACCCCTGCTCTCTAACATGTAATTTTACCAAGACTTAACTCCACTGTCCATCTTTGGTTTGAATATCTTTTGACTATGACATGTTGTGGTTTTCTCACTGGGGTTTGAGCAAACACAATGACAGGTATTGATTAAATGACCCGAACAGGCAAATCCAGTTTGTGAGATATCAAGTGATTCTCCTACAAACATTTTGAGCAGAACAGACACAGAGCGCCAGGTCTGTGGTGTGGTGGTTAGAGCTCCTGTCTTTGAATGTAGTGGTCATGGGCACTAATCCAGTGCAGTGACAGAGCAAGGTTGAGGCGGGAAGGGAAGAGGGGAGTTGACAGAGTGAGTAAAAAGGTATAAAGAAAGGGGAGGAAAAATAAAAGTGATAATCACCACTGCTGAGAGAGGTAGGGTATGGAAGAGAGTGGTTAAGTGAGTAGACTAAGTGAATTTTAGTCGAGATTAGCTCTTCTCATATTTTTTGTAAGATCCTTAAGGATTATAGCAAATGTCTGGTCCGTTTGTTGTTATGATGTTTTTGATGATATGATGTAAAACTCTTTTGATTTAGCTGCCTAATAAAGTTGCTTGATATGAGCCAGTACAGATTTTGAACTTCTTTGTTTGTCAATTTAGTGCAGAAACAGAAGGTAAAAAAGTCCATCTTTGAAGAGTAAAATGAGTTAAAGGCACTCCGTTCATTAAATGGCCCTTTTGTTAATTTGCATTGTTAAAAAAACAGCTTATAAGATTTGTGGAGGTCTACCAAGCACATTTGAAGAGTTGCTGAATAATTAAAACATCAACCCCCCACTGAAATCCATCAGTCGTTAATTTTGTCATAAAGCTGCTACTTCGCTAAAACAATCAGCAGTTTTTTTATTTTAACTGAGCAGCTAGTTTTTGTCACATGCTTTTATTTTGAAGATAATATTAGAGTTTCCGGTACTAATATCGTCGTGTTTGGGTAGCTTGATGCAGCCTCGTTGATGCTTTGCGTGCTCACGTCGCAGCGCGGGGGTGTAGTGGAGGCGCAGCGCACATCTGGACTGCGGAATAAAATCAAATATCAGTTTTTAAGAAAACCAGTGTCTGTATGTATGTCTTTTGGCTGGAAAATGACAGAGCGCAGCTTGTTTTAATCCAATTATTAATTTGACTATCTATCTATCTATCTATCTATCTATCTATCTATCTATCTATCTATCTATCTATCTATCTATCTATCTATCTATCTATCCTATTTGGCATTTATGTCATAGTTTGTTTGTCAGTGGCAGCACACTATATATTCTATCAAAAATTTTACACTGAAATATGACATATAAGGAAGTCACAGAGGTGGCTGTGAATATGCCTAACTAAGATAATCTGTAATGTTATTATTTTCTCTGATAATGAGTTAAATGAAATCTTTTGCCTGGATTGGCCTGAATGTTCATGACATGAGGTCCACCTCTGGGAGTGTCAGAACCTCACCCCTGTGGCTCTGTGCTTGTTTCCCTGCTGACTTAGGATAAACACTGTCACAACAGTGTCCTCCCCTGCTTTCCAGCTGAGTGGACTCAAAAGGTGAATGGACAGCCCACTCCAGAGATTTAATTCATGTGGAAACACATGAGACCTTTAAACAGGGACAAGGAGATAGGAATGCTACTACGATCACATGTATCTGGAGCTTTTTATTCTGTGTATTACAGCATGAATGCATCAACTCTGAAAAACAAAAGATCTTGTAAGCATGTCTGATCTTGTTTCTTGACTGCAGTGGGAGATTCACGCTCATAGTTACAGCATCAGATAGAAAAACAGCTGCTGGAATAAGAGGCCCATGATCTTCATTTATGTATCCAGCTCAACAAAAACACCACACATACATTCACATTCATCTCAAACAACTTGAGTGTTTGTTTATACGAGTGTCCAAACACCACATTGATGGCCATTGTCTCTTTTTTGTTTCTACAGGCATTGAAGGTGCAGTGGAGCTGTTTCACCTGCCATTAGGGAGAGTGTAATTTGGTTGTAAAGTCACCATGGTAACAGAAAAAGAAAAGACTCCAGGGCAGGTGGAGAGAAGGAGTGTGTGTTCACAGGATTACTGCTGAATAAGCCTTCAGGGAGGGGAAACCTTGAAGGTGAGCGTGTTTGTAACGGGCCAGCAGAAAAAGAGGAAACCCATGGTTGTGGTGCAGGATTCCTTTGTGCAGCTGCTCTTCATCAGATATTTGTCATGTTTATCTTACAGACAAACATGCTCCACTCAGTGAGCAGGAACATCTCATAGGCACACGTTTCACTTCACTTTATCAGTTCAACCTGAGAGTCTAGATGCCGTTTTGGTTTCATTCTGACCCAGTTTTTTTTAACTACTTAGGCTTTCAAAGACAGAAAGTTGTAATAATTTTGCTCGTTTGTAATGTGGAGGGAAGACCTGTTGAAGCCTTTTACACATGGACTATTTACTCATAAGAATGAGTCCATGATATGATTATTTCCATTTTGACTAATCTGTTAGTTTGTGCATATTTTTCTTTGTTCAAAAAAACTAAAGTGCATGTTTTTCTCTGAACATAGCACCACATGCAGTGGGTGCTATATGCAGCAAGATCATATGGTGGATCATAGAGGATCTGAGGTGACAGATGGACCCACCATAGGAAGTCTGCATTTCTGTCAACCTATTCAGATACCAGAATAATTAGTACAAGAAGGTAAACTGAAAAAATGTACATCACCTGACACCCCAATGTGCATGGGCTGAGTTAACAAACAAACAGTGAAAAGACCGTCCTGACAAGGTTAAGTGCAAATAACCGTCCAGTCGTAAAAACTCCAGAGGGATCATTGTTTGAAGTCTATTGGACAGTGTTTGTAGGAAGTGTTTTTTATGAATTGATGGTATTTCCAATGGAGAGTTTGCATAAGAAAGTCATGCATATGGGAAACAAAGCGCTGTACAATGAATAAATCAAACTGTCAGCTGCACAGGCAGGGATATCAATGGATCCGCCAGGCTTTATTTGAATAACTATCGTCAGATCGTAATGAGGAAATGCCACAGGTCAAATAAAATGTTAAAGATAGGAAAATAAATCAACCATTAAATGGAGGTTATGAATAAGACTGAAAGACAAAACGATTAAACTAACGATATCTTTTTATTTACACAGCACTATTAAAAAAACAAGAAATAAAGTGCTTTACAATTACAATCAAATCAAATAATCCATATAAGGCAGTGAGCAGTTAAGGTCACAAAACGGCAAAATACTTATAAAAGAAGGTGAATGACAATCAGAACAAATACTGATAATAAATCACAACAGAAAACAAACAAGTGAGAGCCAACACTTTCACAATACAAGGTGAAAAAGTAACAACAGGTCGGAGTTTGGAGGATTGTGTGATGCTCCCTGGTCTTCAAGTCTTACATTGATATTTACTTTGTGTGTTGCTTTTAACAATGTGTCCAAATGGTCTTGACGCCCTTTGTTGCTTTTACTGATCTTATTTTCTCTCTCATCTAGATTTTTGCTTGTGTTGTTCTTGTTCTCGAATGTATATATCGCTTTGGATAAAAGCGTCTGCTAAATGACATTGTAACAAGAAAACGCATTTCAGTAAATACTCAGACTCTGGTGTGAGCAGGAATTAGAGTGAAAGGTTTTGTCCTGTTATAATTCCCCATATCCTAACAGGAGTGTTGATTATTGAAGTCTTTTCTTAAACTGGCTATGAAATGCAAAAGAGTCCTTATGGACTAGAAGGCTTTGAGTGAACTGATTGTTCACCCAAACATCACCAGTACGTCCAGCATGAATCCACAAACACTGGCACTAAAAGTAATCTTATGTGAGGCTAAGTATTCCCTTTCAGCTCTTACCTAAACAAAAAAGTCTTTTATTTATATAGTGTTAATTCACAACAAGTATTATCCCAAGATGCTTGACAAAAAAGACCATAATCTGTTTACAAAGTCTTGGGTAAATAGAGTAAAGATGGTATAAGACTGAGCCCCATTTTGTAAGATCACATCAACTCCCATCTCAGCTTAAACCGCATGAGTGTTGCATTTGGCATTTAGCAAGTTACAGTGGTAAGGGAACGCTTCCTTAAACAGACAGAAACCTTGAGCAAAACCAGACTCATGTTAGACAATCATCTGCTGCTACTGGATTGGGATTAGTTTGATGTATTTTAGGTACATTCACTTTTTTCACCTTACTTTGATCAAAGTTAATGATTGTTGTGATTTGGTGCTTTATAAAAAAGATTGATTGAATAATTCATGTTATGGTTTATCTTAAGGTAACTACCATTTATGTGACTGGGATGCAGGAGGAGAAAGTCAGGGTTAGTCAAAACAGCTTGATGGCAATAGTTGAGATGACAGGAGAGAGAAATTAGAACTTGAATACACACAGTATCTTCATCAATACATATTATTTGATAGAACTTTAACATTTTGTTTGTAAATTTTATGATTTGTAGAGAAAACAAAATATTAGTTGTCAGAACTTGTTAGGAAAACTTGATATTTTTTGCTAAGACTACTTGGCATCAGTTGGAGGAACCACTGAGCTTTGTACCATGAACTACTCTCTTTATGTTGGCACTACTAATCCACTATAGTGGTCATTACTCAAAACAACCAGTGCAACTAGTTCACTTATCACTTTAACAGTGACAGATATGATAAAACTGTAGGGGACACAAAGAAAATGTTGTCCAAGTCATATAATAATGAGAGTAAAAACAGTTTGCAGTAGCTGTAGAGAGGAATAATATCATTTTTAAAAGCTCCTGTAAGGATTTTTTCTTTGGCATCAAATTTGGTCAAAGCAATCTTCCTCTCTCTTGTTTTTGCTTAAGTAGTGTCTTTAGATTCAAATCTAACCCTGCTGACCTTTGGCAGTCAAATGAATCCTTTGTTGGGAATATCTCATGTAAGAATTGTAAAAACAGGGCAGCTAAGCATACAGCTACCCTTTGCAGACATTTCAGGCATGAAAACTTACAATAAAAAAAATGTATCTTGTTGTAATCTTGTTGCAGATTGTCTAGTTTCCTTTTATATGTCATGAAAAGGCGTTGATGTGAATGTCAGTGTTTTTCATAAATTCCTCACTGAAGCTTTTAAAGTCCTGTTTAACAACAGCTGGATTCAAGCTCTGTATTGTTAAGTAATAACTAGTCATAACTAGTCAGAGAAAAGGCTCACAGCAGTATTCTTCTGCGCCATACAACATTGTGAAACACCTTCTTAATAAGCTTATGAATTGTTTCTTTGATTCATTCTCAAGGCCGCAGCAGTATTATTGTTATGGTAGAAGTATGGAGTTTGTGTGTCCATAAAGTGACAGCAGGGGGAGGTAAAGATCCTGTTGAATGTGCAGCAGGCTCAGCTCTGCTCCTGCCCCCCTTTGTGTGAGAGTTCAGTACTGAAGTTTCACTCTCATTTCACGCTATGACTGTATCATGGATTTATCTGATTTGATAGATGTGCAGGAGCCATAAAAGAGTAAAATTTATACTCTGCTACTCTATCATCTTTTATAGGTGTTTGTTTATTTGTTTATATGAGTGTGTGCGCGCGTGTGTGTGTTTCAAATTTCAGATTTTTTAAACAAGAGAAATAAAAAATTTCAAGTTTATTCAAATTTTTTTGTGTTTATGATCAATTGTTTTGATCATTAAAAATACCAAACCAAACGATCCATAACTTCATGACAGAGGTTTTAACCTGCCTTCTTATGAGTTATAAGTTAAAGACAGTAACTCTTACAACATGCTACTGCAATAAATTATCACTGCTATGCTCTGACATTAAATTTGTCTCCTTACTGTCATTTTAAGAAAGTACTTGTTAAAATCTTACTTGTACAGTTTTTGTTTTTAAATTTGCAATTGTCATTTCCCAACAATTTTAACTTTATTTTTTGTACTTATTGCTGGTATTTGTAATTTATTTCAATTTCTCTCTGTAAATTAGGATCTTGACTCTTGTATGATTCACATATCTTACCTATTTCTATGTAATACTCATATTTCCAATATTTCCTCATGTTTATATTCTCTGTAAAGATTTTTATAGATTTCTACAAACTAATGCTCACACTTAAAATAGTAATAGGGTCTGCTTTGCTCACAAAGATTTTTTTTACTGACTTCACATGAACTTTACCCATAAAACATACCAATTTGTAGTTAAGGTTTTGAATCTAGGACTTAATCTTGTACTTTTACAGTGATACTTTCATTTTGGGGGTGAATATTCTTCTGCAGCAGATTTTAAAATTCACACTCTGTCAGCAGCCGTTTATTTTCAGACAACTGTTTTACAGGAAATCTAGAGGTTTTTGCCGAGCAGTTCCATAATTTCAACAAAAAGGGAACTTCTGTGTTGCGTATGTCTAAAGCGATCTAGACCAACTACGCGACTTGACTCACAACACAGACCTTGACCCACAGCGCAGGAGCTCTGTTTGGTAAGTCAAACTGACCTTCACTGTGACAGGAAACTGTTTGACTTGGCTGATATCTTATTTTACAGCTTTTACTGGAATGTAGTGTCATTTTTATAGCTTTTCATTGGCTTTATTTCCATGAAATACCATCTTTTACATTTTAAGCTTTATTCAAATCTCTCTTTATGAGCTGAATGGGATGTTTCATCAACATCAAGGCCCTTTGTATGAAAGTCATAAGAGATGACTGAAATATCTTCTAAAAAGTAATCACAAATTGCATTATTGTTAAAACTAAACCATGCACTCATTAGGCTTTGTTCTCTAACGGTCTTGCAGATCATGTCTGTCAACATCACTTGTGTCCCTGGAAATAACTCAACAGCATGTCGCACCCATGCCTCCTCTGCAGGCCTGGCTGCAGGTCTAACAGTCTTTTTCTTAGTTCTGGTGATCGCTGCTTGTTGGGTCATATACAAATTCCGCAGCAAAATCAGGAATATCATACCCTTGGAACGCAGAAGAAGTGTGAAAAAGGAGGAATATATAGAGACACCACAAGCTGATTCACACCCATACACCTCTACGGCCACAGATCAGCCAACAGGACAGACGCCAATTTATGAAAACCTGGGAACTAGAGCCAAGAAGCCATCAAAACCAAGCAGGTAAGCTTTACTTTTTAAAGTCATACTTTTACAGGGTGCTTCTGTCTTTGCAAGTGTTATATTTTAAGACTGAATATGAGGAAATGACAAAACTGAGATGCAGTTTATGAAAGTGCAACATCCCAAAAAGGGGCCAAAACGGGATGAAGAAATGTGGTGGTTAATGTTGTGTATTTCCCCTTTTTGCATCATTCTGCTTTGTTCGAACTGAACACAATTTGGGTTTTGTCTGGAGGAGATCTTTTCTTCTGCTGATCCCTGAAATTTAGAGCCAATTCATGAAACGTGCCAGCTAATGACTCAGGGTGGAGTTTTCTCCTCTCAGCAAGACCAGAAATTCACATGGTTTACACAGTATTTGTCTCATGTTGTGATAATCCTCTATGACACAAGAATGCTCTCTTACACTCATTTGTCGGCAGGTCGTCCAGAGAACCTGAGGAGGATTTGTACCTGCAGTGTGATATACCAGATGACGTAATATACAGCAATGATCCGGCCTGTAACCTCTCCCTTATGCCGGACCCTCAAGAAGACGACGTTTATATCATGCCAGATGTAGAATAGGACACTTCTCCATTTCCTTCATGTGAACTTTCACTCCTTGTACTGTGCAGCTCAGGGTGTAAATGTACATTACTATTGAGGCAACAATGCTGCCTTTAAAAGTATGGAGTATAAAATATTTTATGGTACTTTTTTTATTTTTTTACATAATATGATATGTTGGGTGTGGTATGTTAAAAAAAATGTTTTTTTGTTTTCTTTTGTCTTGAACATGATAAATTGTTGCCCTTTGTTTTCACCACAGTCATGATGAGACACAAAACCTTGACATAGTTTACATCTTTACAGATCACCGTGGATATGTCTGAAGTTTGTGATGAATCACTGTCAGTGTTGAAATTTGCAGAGGAAATGATGAACAATCTATTAACAGTCGTGTGACGAAGACACAGTTTTTTAATAGCAAGGTTGCATTTGACTTTTAGATTTAGAAATGTTAAAGCAGTACAACATCTCGATGGCTCATGGGCATGTAGAGGTATTTATGATGTTATCTTTTTTAGCAATTGTTTTCACTCACAGGTCTGTCTGTTGTGATATCTGAAATTTGATCAGCTAGTAGCTCCAAAGACTCATCACTGACGCACAACGATTTCCCTGAAATTATTTTGTTTGGGCATCAATGCTTATTTTGCTGTGTACAGTCACTATGACAATACATGATTTCTTGCCATCAGGAGCCATTATTTTAAAACATTGTATAATTTTACTCAATTTCAGCTAGTAAAAGCAACGTCAAAACAAATAAAACAGTCTCTAAGAACAATTTGGAGTTTTGTTCTAGCTTTGCAACTATGAGGGTTTCTCAAATTTCTGTCTGAAGTGTCTTATTAAAGTTTTAAAAATGTGATGATCTGCTTTTTTCAGTTTCCTGTGCTTGAAATTGCTAAAACGTGGCATGTATGCACCGAAACATTAACAACTTGAGGTGCCAGACATGTAGATAATGCAAACATCAGCATCACTGTTTGGGTTTGTGGTCTGTCAGTCTATGAGAGGTGACTAAGAGGATGTAAAAGCACACTCACACTCACACTCAGACTTTACACGCAGTCTTAACGGTCTTACAGTAACAGAAGAATTTGACCGGTTGTGAGTTAGAAATATGACGTCTTTTCATTTTTATTTTTTTTACTGTCATCTTGTAAAGTATCTAAGTGATTTGGAATAAAAGAAGAGGTTATTGAGTTCATGCTTACAGAAAGAGGAAATCCTCAATCATCATCCTTATATCTGTATTCACAGGCTGTATTTACCGCACAGGAGGCGGGGAATTAAGATCATGGAGGCCTATAACTGACAGGGGCCTATTTGGGGTACAGAAGAGGCGTGGTCCAACACAGAACTTCTTCAACACTTTTGCTCACATACTTGGGTTAACACTTAAACTCTAAAACAAAGAGCAACAGGGTTAAAAAGCAGTTAAAACTACACAGGCCAAGAACTGACCAGTCCTCAATCATTAAGACGCAAATCTTCATAGGGACATTTATTTACAACTTTAAAAACCAGAAAATCTGCATTGTCATTTTATTCTCCTATTCAAACAATTTATCTTATATGGGAATCACACGTGCCTTAAAATATTTCACATTACTGCCCTTCTCTTTCCAAACAACCAAACTCAAAACTGCTTTTTATTGCATTTTATTGTGATCACCTTGATAACCCAAGCTGCCTGTCGTTTACTCAGCAAGCACTTTATTTCTTGTAAATTCCCATTTCATGAGTCAGATTAAACTACATAATTGGTTTTGCTCCTTTACTAGCCGGTCAAGGCCACCGTGAACGTCAAGGCCGATATTGGGAGATAAAAAGTGATCGTATCTTTATAGCCGATTTCTCTGGCACACCCTGACCTTCATGATCTTTAACAGCTGATTGTGTTTCTTTTGTTAAAATGACTCAGATGGAAAATTTCGTGCCCATGTTTTACAGAGAAATGAACAAATGTAGTGCAAGTAGAAAATGTAATTGATTCAAAACCTTTATTTTGGTCTTTAAAAGTGTTTGAAATGTATGAGACAACAAAAAAGACACAAACAATACAGCACTTTAAATCACAAACAACATCACAGTTCAATATTGAGCAGTAACTTAAAGCCATTAATGACACAAATACAAGTTAAGGAAGATAAATAGAACTAAAAATAAATATTTTTTTAAATTATATATCACGACTTGGTCCAAAATCCAACACAAAGTGCTGTTATTATAATTTTTTCACTTTTATAACACAGCTTTTCCTTCAAGAGCACAGCAGACTCTTTTCTGCATGTAACATATTTTTCAAGGCCTAAAAGCCAGAGTTCAAATGTCACTTTCACTTCGCCCTCAGGCACAGTGACATTTACTAACAATGAGGTCAGGAAAGGGCGTCAGCTTCAACTTTCCCCTGCTGTCATAGTGCATAAGCACCATGGGCTCGTAGGCGGCTGGCACACAGCATGGCCGCGGCGTCTCTCCTTTAGTGATCTGATGCAGCCGAGACTTCACCTGTGTGTGCATGCTGGCCGGCTTGTAGTTGTGGGGGCAGGTGCCGTCACATAAATGCATGGTGTACTCAGTGGGTGCCACCACCCAGTCTGACCAGCCAATGTCTTTGAAGGAAATGATGACAGACTTCCTGCAGCACCACCCTCGCTCATCGCACTCGTCTTCCTTATTGGAGCGGCTGTGTCTCCTCTTGGGAGCCTTTTTGAGGTCTAACTCCAGAGAAATTGTTGGATTAGCCTCCAGACTAACTTCACCCACTGCAATCCCAACATCCACAACCAACTTCTGATCTCCATTAATCCCAATCCACTTCTCCACCTCTGATCTGACATCCAGTGTTACATCTGTAGAGCTTGACCCATTAACAAAGACTGGAGAGTTTGTCAGCCTCTTCCTGTTGACTTTAACTTTGATAACTGGTCTCAATTCAGGCTGGACTGAAGCAGGATCATCTAAAATCTGCCTGGAAATTTTCAGACGAGCACGGGCCAGTGATACCTGGGCCTGGATGTTGGGGTTCTTGTGGAAAACAGCTCTGTACCACTGCATGTTATCCGAGCGAAGGTGCTCTGACCTCTCGGTAACCTTCCTTTTCTTCACTAAAAGACAAGAAAAAAAGAAAAGCTTTGTGAGAGGCAAATTCAGCAAAACCTTAATCTTATTGAAAGCTCCTACAGTATTTAGATGGAAATGAAACCAGGACAAAAAATATATAAAAATAAAAAATTGCACTTTGTACACAGAAAGTGCCAAAATTGAACAGAGGGGTCCTCACAAGAGCTTTATTGCCAATTTTCAATATATTTTAAATTTCAATAGCTCTGTTGTCTGTTTGTCAAGTTTTTCTACAAGTAATACCATAACTAAAAATGAGGACTGTACCAAGAGCTTCTCATTCACTACTTCCCGTTCACTGTAAAGGGGATTTAATTTAAGGCGCTGTACAGAAAGTTCACAACATTTTTAGACTCTATTTGTACTTTTTTATCTGTTATTTGCAGTTAAAGTGTTGCGTTGTTTTCTTTTAGCCCAATGCATGATGGTATAGAGTTCCTGTTTTGTTACAGCCAGTTGTCCATTATCACTGCAAAACCTTAAATCTTATCAAGTTAAAAACTCAAATCTTGACACTTTGTCTCATTTCTCATCAAAAATATCTTATTAGACAAAAAAATCCATGAGAAAATGTTGTTACCACATTGGCAGATGTTTTTCTCATTGAGGCAATCAAGGCTGTATTTTTTTTCTTTATTTTATTTGTATATATGATTTACTTGTAAGGAACAGATATAATGCACAAGGACAAAATGAAAACAGCCATCAGATTCGAGTATCGTAGTGTTTCTAGGGGAAGCTTATTTGCAACACAAGTGCTTTTAAGAGAGTTAAAGATTTTTACCATGAGTTTATAAGGGAAAAAAGAAAAGCTAAGCTATTTTCCACAGAAAAAAATCTGACATAAGTACAAGTTTGTTGCTGAAATAACCAAGATTTGTTGGCTCTCTTCAAAGTGGGGAAGTTTGCAGTTATATTTAAGATCAGGTAGTGAGTTCATTCGCAGACAAAGCTGTTTTACAGAATTAAGTGCTTTTTATCTGCTGCTCTGGTGGATCTGCCGCAACTCTGTGGTCTCTATATGTATGAGCAAAAAAACTGAGGAGTGAGTCCATTAAGACATTAAAATACAAATGCCAGTAAAATGTAAACAAATAAATCTACTAGAACTTTTCATAACAAGATTTAAATTCTTTTTTAAATACAGGATTTTATTTAGTTAAAATCTTGATGTTTATCTGGTTTTGACACATAATTTTTGGCTTATATTAAGTGATGCTATGATTAGAGGTTTGGCTCTTTACTGTTACAGTGCATTATGGGATATTTTGAGCTCAGTACATGCTGTGTAACATTTTAACTTTAAGACAACAACAGTGAACTCGTTTTAGCATGGACTATGCTGGCAGTGGTTATTGATTATATCCACAGTTAGGGCTTTGACAGCCTCTTGTCACGTTTGTGATTTCTAAAAGCTTGGCATAGTACGTTCACAGGACTGTTTGATGCCTGTAGGTTATATTTCCGATCATTTACATGTGTTTAAACTGTGCTCAGATAAAGTCCAGGTAGAGACTGATCTTTACCTGGAGCACAGGCTGTCCTGACTCAAGTTATTTATAGACCATGGGCTAACAGCTGCAGATGTAAACTCACGCTGCAGGATTTTTTGAACTACTTATGAAACATTCTTTCTTCCTCCCACCTAAACTTTGTGAAAGTGTGTCAAAGGCAGAATCTGGTTAACAAAATGTCGCACCTGTAGCTGGAAAGAGCACAGTCGACATGGTTTCCTTCACTGCGTCGCTGGTATTTCCTCTCATCTCCCTCAGTGTCTCCCGGTAGAGCTGGTACATGGTCCTCAGCTCTTCCTCTGAGGCCTTCTGGGTCAGTCTAGGCTCTTCTTCCATCCCCAGTGATCCAAGGATCCCTGTCTTCACAGCTTCCTGAATCAGGACCCTCCTACTGTCCCCTCCATCCACATCCGGAGCCCCTCGGTGGGCCTTTTGAGGCCAGCTCTCCCCAGAGCTAGAGAGAAGGACCAGGATCACCAGGATCACCAGGATGGAGGAGGTGAGTCTGTGGACTGTGTGTGGTCTGAGCATGGTGGAGCTTCCAGGTAGGTCTGGTAGTAGTGTGCTGAGCTCAGTGGATGGGGTTTGTCTTTGTCATGAATGAAATTCCTCTCATGCTTTTATTTATAGAGCGCCTGAGTTGCCACACCCCCAGTCAGTCAGGTGAGCCCATGAAGGGCTCAGGTAAGGCCATATGTCATTGTGTGGCAACATTTTGCATCATTGTGTTACTTATCATGTGACTTATGAAATAAACACCTTTTTTTTAGCTTTGATTTTATAAACAGGGAGGTGAAAGCAGAAAGGGATAGTCTCATGATTAAAGGATGTTTAATGAGGTTGGGTTTGAGCTCCTCCATTTTCTATGTCACCTGGAATTTCCAGTTTGTGGTAATTTGGGGTTGAAGTATTTGAATGTGTAAGGGTGGGCAGAGTGGGGAATTACATCTTTCAAGGTTAATTATAGTAATGTGATAGTTTATTGATCCCCTTGAGGCTGTGTTTTATGTCTTTACCTTGCAACTCTGCCAAGTGTGCCAAGAGGTCAGGATCAGATGCAGATTAAAGACAAAAGAGGAGCTAAGACAGCTGTAAATATGAAGAAGTAAAGAGGTTTTAAAGACCATAAAAACATAAATTCAGTTCAATGTCACTCTCAACCCCTTTATAGTCCACACAGGTGTCTGGAAACCGGATCCATTCTATTCTCTCCCAAATATGTCAAAACCTGAAGCCCTCCTGACCTATCTCTTAAAAGTTTCATTCACACACTGACAAGTTGCTAAAACTGGCAACAATCCAGTCTTATTATAAGCTTCGAACAGGGTGGAGAGAGTTAATTATCAGTGTGTCACTCCTCCCTGAGCTTCAAGCGGCCAAAAGAGGAACTGTCTCAAGGCCAGAAGAAGAGATAAACAAACAAAGAAGTTATCTGTGTTGAAAGAGTCTCAGTCTATCACCACAGTTGGGACGTGCCTGCGGTAGGAGGTGAAATACGGCACTTTGTGAACGTGATCTTTTTTTATGATCATAACATCGAACAGAAGTTGTTTGATCTCTGACTCCACAGTCGTCTTTTTTTATTCGATCTATGGACAAGACAAAAGAGTGGATATAAGCTTTGAATTCTTCACTTCTTTCTCTGAGCAGGGGTCAGAGCCCTCCACCATTACAAAGTAGTTTTCCCACCCTGATACACGTCTTTGTCATTGACCTCATTCTTTCCTCTGAGGACATTCCCAAATGAGAGCAATTACAGGCTGATAAAGGGGTCCTCAAAGAAAACATTTCCATAACAAGGAATCCATCAGTCTTCTTTTTTTTGTTTTTCCAGATCATGTGCTTGAGAGTAAAAAATTCCTCCCATGTAATCAAGTAGTAAAACTGTTGAGTCATTTGAAGGTTAATGAGGTTAAATAACTATATTGACAGAATGATTTCATTCAATCATAAAACAGTGGAAAGATTTGCTGCATAGGATCATAAAATTAACTCATGATATCATAGAAACCTTCTCGCCATAAAATCGAAGCATCATTTGACCAAAAGATTGACTCAGACTCTATTAAAATATAATATTTTTTTTAGTATTTTATTTTGAGTAATCGCACACAGCAGTTACATAGACAAAAAAATCTTGGTGAATAAAAAAACATATGAGTAAAAGTTGACTGGAAGTAAAAGGTGTGGTAGGAAATGGTGCACAAGCACAAGGTAGACTGCAGCCTTGAGAGGATTTCCAAACAAGGCAGGAACTTAGGGTTTAACTTCACACGGAGTTGACTGAGGCAGGGGTCAGAGCATCAAAAGCCTCGACACACAGACGTCTGCAGTAAATGAACTACTGACACTTGAACTGACACTGAACTAAGTGTCATGTTCCTGCTGTCACAACACTCCCGAACCAGAGACGTCATAGGTTTCACCGGGGGGTTAGAAAAAGAAAAGAGAAGGGCTCCAAAGTCCTGGAGATAAAAATGTCAGGACCTGGCACCTGCCCACAGCGCCAAAAACTTGCAGAAACTGGTTTGCTGACCATGGTATTACTGTACCTGATAGGCCAGCCTACCCATCTGACCTAAACCCCAAAGAGGATCTCTGTGGTATCATCAAGAAAAAGATGAGAGACACCAGAGCCAACAATACGAACAATCTGAAGGAGCTGCCTCAATAACCTCAATAACACTCCAGCAAAGGCACAGACTAATTGCCATCATTGCACATTGTTAATTTTCCAAGACGGGGCCCGGACCAAGTACCAATAGCATAAATGAACATAGTTTTCCGGTTGGTTTTGTAAATCCTTTTTTTGTATTAATGTTTTCTAATATTCTAATGTTTTAAGATAGTGCTTTCTATTTATTTTAAGTTATAAGCCATTATCAGTAAGATTGAAACCAAAAAAGTCCTGAAATATTTCACTTTGTGTGTATCTTGAGCTAATATAACCTGTGAGGGTGAAGACCATTAGTCATCATCCATTCGTATCCAAAGGTTTTCTCCTATTTTCTCTTGATGTTAACTTTACTATGTGCCGTTAAGAGGTCATAAAGATGATATACAGTGAAGTATATTCTCAGTTTCAACCCTTTTTTTAAGATTCAAATTGAGAAAGCTTTAATTTTACCAGAGATCCACTCAGCTGTGATTTTATAGTTGATATAGTTAAACTTCATTACTGTGAAAATATGTGAAGTAGCTGTCTAATTTGTAGAAATTCTCTATCTTGTTGAAGAGATATTTTTCTAGATTCATTGTTCTCTCTACAGCAGTTTTATCAACCAAGTTGAAAATGACAAAAAAGACCTTGAAGTAACATTAAATTTTATGATTCATATGTAAATTTGTGAAATTTGGGTTTCGGGATTGTTTCATTAGACCAAATGAGAGGAAGAGTTTAAAACACATGTCTGCTGAACTGCTTTACATCTATTTTGACATCTATTTCACATCAAATTATTCTCAAACTTCCTGTGTCATCCAGTGGATTTCCTCTTTCAGCCCACCAGTTTTGGAAGTGAAACAAACTAGAGAAGGCATATTACTTTTTTGACCACACTTGATATGATCATAAAAACTTGCTCTCCTTGCACTTAGCCAATGGCCTATGAGAATTCACAAGTCAAGAGGATTAGCTGCCAAAGCTGCTGCTACCGTACCATCATTTCTGATGTTCTCAGTTAGATAATAAGGGAAATTTTAGGGCAAGATTAAGTGACTTTCAATGATGAAATATGTTCCTTCTTCCACAGTGTGAGAATTTCTGGACTGTGAGTCACCAAGGTGATGAAACAATCACGTGCTTGACAACATGGGCCCACTTTTCCAGCTGAAAGTGTGTGAAAGGTGCGGAGTGAGTCATGCAGGCAGGCACTGCTGTTTAAGCTGTCATGTCAGACTCTCACTCTCTCCTCTCTTCGTGTCTTTTGTCCTGAGAGAGGCCGACAGACGGGGAAAAAAAAACACAGGCCCAACTTGTTTTGTCATCATGACAAAGACATTTTTTTTAGTGAGGTGGATTTCATCATACTCACTGGTTTAATAGAGATGAACGCTGTAAGACTGAAAAACGTAAAAGAGTTAAAGTATTTAACTCAGCAGTATTCACATGGCACTTAAAATTTAGGGGTGGGGAAAACAACAGGGGTCACATGATGAATGTCAAAGGTCACCAGATGAGAGCCCTCAAAAAGCTGCAATTTCTTTTCCTTTTTCTTTTTTTTTTTTTTTTTTTTGTCTCAGGGTTAAATGAACCCGCAGAAGGGCCACTGTAGGAATCAATAATCAAATACAAAAATGTTCAAATTGTCCTAAATTTTAATTAAATAATGTAACCACACTTATCAGTTTTTCAGTCATGAGTTGGTAAATAAAATCTTTAAAAGACATTTCACAAATAAAGAAAGAAATTCTTTCCCTGCTAACTCTAATCTAAGAAATTCAACTTTTTTGGGATCATCCCATCTCCCAGCCGATTACTTTTAAAAAAAAATCTACAATGGCCCGTCGTTGCTAGAGGGGTTGATTTTGCTTGCAGTGAGTTAATAATGTCTAAATGTTGCTTGAAACATCCATGCAAACCTCAGTGAATGATTTCATTGCAAATACACATTTAAACAGATGACGAGTGTGCTGTGTTTTCTACCACACATCATTCACTATATTTTTCCTCTCATTCACTTTTTCAAACTTCACATTAAGAGTTAAAAGTAACTGAATAACTCCCAGAATGCTCTAAGCTGAAGGTAATAACTTCAGGGTCAGCAGCATTGTGTACCTCAGGTTGTGTATGAACTTGCAGCTCCACGGTGCCCTCTCGTGGCTGTAAAGCTACGGTACAAACTTTAATGAGTTGCATTTCATTTGAAGTTAAGAAAACTCATTAAATTACCCTCCTACAGACTTCAGATGAAGAAGTTTACTCTTTGTTCACTTGGCAGAATTGCAAGGACATATATACTGTATGTGAATGTTACCATGCATCTGAAAGGATTTTTTAAGAGACTGAGAATGGAAAATACTCTTTTCCAGCTGTGAAAAGGCCCACTTAATGAGAGCCTTAAATGAATTTCCAGGAGGCAGTCAAAGCAGAGTTTCAAACCCACAATGAAGACATGCTTACTGTTAAAAATTGGTTTATTTTGACTGTTTCTCAGAAAAAGTGGTTCTTGGAAAACTTGGAATAGACGCTGGCTTTCTCTTGTCCCATGATGTCCCATTAGGGATCTGGACTCCAGCTTTGCTCAGGTAAGTTATCTGCGATCAAGCACAAAGTTAACACTCTTTGATTACATTTGTGTTGATACTCAATCAAAAGGTACAGAGAAATTTAAACAAAGCAACTTTTTGTGTTCCTCGTCACCTAAACTGAACTCTTTGCCTCTTTGCATGTCCTCAAAAAAGACTGATGATAACTTGTGCATCATCAGAGAGAGTGAGAGAGAGAGAGAGAGAGAGAGAGAGAGAGAGAGAGAGAGAGAGAGAGAGAGAGGCCGCAGATGAAATCAAACCTGGGCTACCTGCTTGAGGGCTTGAGGGCTGGAAGGCTTAAAGCTCCCCCATAAAGCCACATTAAGCCAAATTAAGACCATAAATATAATGTAATTTAAATATATATATAAAACAAAGAAATCAATTAAAATGAATTTTTATGTGAAATAAAAGTGTTGTAAAGATTATGGCCCATAACAGGAGATTTATAAGAGAAGCAGTGATATTAAAAGCTTTATTATCTCCTCTATTTAATATGATAATATCAATATAGTTTTCCTCTGAACTCTTACAAGTAATGTCAAGCATAATCAAATGTTAACGCACTGAAAGTAAACCATGTTGGGATCAAAAAAGTGAGGTACATGAGGACTTTTCATTTTCAACATGTTTGAAATATAGAGTTGACTTGTCCAGAGAACAATAAAGGATTCACATCCCTCCATCTCATATAGATGTGACATCACAGGAACAAGAGACCAGCCATTGTTGTAAAAAACATGATGGTACCACTCACTGGGTGTCAGACACAGATCAATCTCTGCTTTCAGCCTGACTTCAAAGCTCAATTGTCCCACATCCTCTCTGCAGATGTGTGTGTGTGCTTGCATGTGTGCGTGCATGAGTGTGTGTGTGTTAATTTACATGACAGCTAAGCAGGAGATGAACTGGTGTACAGACAAACATGACAGCGCATACTTCAGCACATAGGAACAAGAGGACTGCATTATCATGGCGGCGTTAAAGGACTGATGTCTGTGTGTGTTGACTGCAGAATAATAGATTAAGCCTGATGATGAATGTCACCATAGTTCATGTACGATTGTTCATTTAAAACATTTATACAAAATTGTTTGTGTATAAACTTTCTCTAAAGGGTAAATTCAAATAAAAATAATACAAAATATTTTTTATAACTTAACACCAATTACTTGCTGCTTTATCTATCTATCTATCTATCTATCTATCTATCTATCTATCTATCTATCTATCTATCTATCTATCTATCTATCTATCTATCTATCTATCTATCTATCTATTTTCATTTTTTCTCTGCAATTTCTTTCTTCCATTTATCTTTCTTCCATTTTCTTTAATATTTTTCCCTTTTCGTTTGTTATACTTTACATCACTTCTACATTTTTCTTACATTTTTATTTTTTTTCTGTCCACCTGTTTACTTATTTTTATGTCTTTTCTACATTTTCATTCTTTTTTTCTGTTATGTATTTGTCTTCATTTGCCTCCTCTTCTTTCTTTTGTTATAAAATTCTCTCTCTTTTTTCTTCCTCTCCTTTTTTCCTTTTCAATTTTTATTAATTTCTTTCTCTTATCTTGCTTTTTTCATTCATAATTTGTACTCTGTAACATTCATTCTCTTATTTCTTTTTTCATATTATGTTTTCTTCTTTATTTATTTATTTATTTTTTATTTTGGTTCTCTTTGTTATTTTCTTTTTCATTCAGTGGTTGTCATCTTTCTTTCTTTTTCTGTCTTTCTTTCTTGATATTCCCTTGCGTAAATATAAACATATGGATGTGTCCATTCAATCTTCATTAGAATAAAACCTGTTTCAGTTTGCCTTTACCATTTAAACACAAAAGGTTAAGTCCAAACTTTTATTCTCACTTCATTAAAATAAGCGATGACCCACCTCGCCTCCGAACCGCCCTCCCCCCCTCCTCCAGATCAGGTGATCAGCGGATTCTGAGTGTTACCTTTTCGGGGCTGGTCGTGCAGCTCGCCCCGGGGGGAGGAGGAGGAAGAGGAGGTGGTAGTGGTTGTAGTATTGGTGGTGGTGGTGGTGGTGCAGCAGCAGCAGTAGGAGCACTGACAACAGCAGAGAGGAGGACTGTAGCTACTATATCCATGCTCCTGAAGAAAGGATCGGGCACAGTATGGGCTGACTGACCACACATCTATTTTGGGGCTTCTTTCTTGAACTGTCTTGAACGATGGACGAGCCAAACATCCTGAGACGCCGTGGTCTACAGGTAAACGAGTCTTCCACGACAGCAGCCGGATGTAGTTGGCAAATATCAATTGATACGATATTATGTAGCATTGGCGACGTGGCATGATGTGAGGGATTGCTTTAGGATTAGCTTTAGGTGTAGCAGTCGAAATGTTTTATTTTTAAATTTTATTATTGATTAATTCTCCTTTACAATAGTGTAGACCACTGGTTCATCTTTAGGATTCTTAAAATGTCTTAAATGTGGTGTTGAACCTTTAACACAGTTGTTGGTGGAGGCTTTATAATGTGTTCATAGTGTCTGTACAGTAGAGAATCTCGTGTTTATTTTGGGGCTGGCCATTGGTGCTCTGGTGGATCTGGTTGCCTAGGTGATAGGAGCATGAAACCCGGGGATGATTGGCAGAAACATCCCTTTAATCTCCACCCTGGTAGCATGTTTATTACCAAGAAATGCCCACAATAAGAATAATGAGGAGTTTTTTTCCCCCTTTCTCTCCTGTAGTTCATTCATGTGTGCATTCTCTGCATTAATGAGGGGGCTGTATTATTCCTCCTGAGGAGATGATGTTTTTGATGAAAGACACAGTACAAACTGGGCGTTCACATTCAGTATTTGTGAATAGTGTCTGATTTAACCATACCTTCATCTGCAATTTAGATGTACTTGAAGTAGAGACCCTTACTAAAAAAGGACATGATGTTAGTCATCAGATCATTCATGCTTTGCCACTTTATCTACTGTGGTGTTAAAAGGAAGAATAACATTAGTCTATTAATGCTTGAGTGTTTTGTTTTGCAGTAAAAGTACAGTTGAAATGTTTTCATTTGGATAAGCGTTGTTTTAATGTCTAAATTGTGTTTTATCCATTAACAGTATCTCATCAACTATCATATACATTATATTAATCAAATGCTTATTACATTAACTAAGCTAAATTGTAAATATTATATTTATTGATCAGTTTGTAATATTGTTTATGCTTTGGCAATATTGTTTAGACTCTCACACCAAAAAACTCTCACACCTCAACTAAACTGAAATATAAAAAACAGGAGCACATGTAACCTTTGAAAGGGGTATTCCAGGGTAAACTTAATTTAGGGTCAAGCACACCATAACACTGAGTTAGACAGTTGTACCAACTTTAGTAATGACAACACGATAGCAATACACAGCGGTCTGAGGAGCCATAAACAAACCTCAACCAAAACGCCACTCTATAGCCACAAATAATGCTCAGAACAGCACTTCATCAACAGTACATAAAGGGTCCCAGACACAGCACTAGCCACCAAACATCTTTTTACTTCTGCCTAATTTCTTTAGCAAAGAGACTAAACACAACTCACCTACTCTCTTCCAGCAGCCGCTTGTTTGTAGCGAGACCTCGGTCCAATCCATTATGGACTGCTATGTGGTGACGCAGCTCAAGGAGGAACATTTATGATCATTACTTTATCATTTTCTTGAAGTAATAATCATCATATTAATCATTTTGCACTGCAGACACAGTAGTTCTTCTGCCTGAGCATCTCGGTCCGATTGCATTTCCATGAAGAAATAATCATAAATGTTCTTCCTTGAGCTGCGTCATCCCGCTGTTGTCTGTAATGGACTCGCCCGAGTTCTTGCTACAAACAGCAGTAAGACAGAAGCAAGCAGTTGACAGCATTCATCTCTCAAGGGGGTGTCTAACTTTAATTAATTTTACGCCGGAATATCCCTTTAAGTCTGTTGCTGTTTCATTTATTTAACCAGTCATGCAAAAGTCCACACTGTGAGGTGGTAGCATTGTGCCCGTTTTCTTCAATTTGGTGGATGTCTCTTTCACCAATAAGTAATATGATGCATTCGAGCGTCCTTGGTGTCACTCTTATTATTCAGAAGTAGTCGCTGTTGTAGGACTTTGACCATTTGGACTCAAATATTTGACACTGCCAAGTAATAACTGGGAAAGTGGGGTGATACAGTAGCAGAAGAGAAAAAAAAGAAGAGCAGACAAGCATTGAGAAAAGTAAAATTCAAAGCCCTTTGTTGGAAAGTCATCATTGAAAAGATATGAAGTGTGACTGGCTGAAAAAAATATCAGATTTTCTTTTGAATTTTACAACTTTCAGCTCCAATTATGTGTCTAAATGTGACAGCTAGATACTTGCTGAGATGAGCTGGCTTTAGAGAAATGGGGAGGATAACGTCAGTGAATTAGCTTCATCTGGATTTTGTGCATTAGCAGCTCTCTCAGGAAAGCCACCCCTCCTTGTCCTGCAAAATCCTGATTGGCAAGGGCTATTAAGCAGTTGCCGGAGCTCAAATGCAGTACCCGTGGGCCAGTATAGATTTATCCTCACAGTTAACAACCTCAGGACCCACTGATCTGGAGAGAAAGTAGGGCACACTGCAGCTGATGATATTTGCACTATGAAAGGAAGTCAAGTAGGAGGGGGGCGGGGCTGCATGCAGGGAAAGCCATATACAAATCCTTGAAAATCCTAAATAAATGCCACAATCTTCCCTGTTTGCTTTAAGGAACCTGTTATGTCTCAAGTACCCCAAATAAGAGTTGTAAAATCCTTTTAAAGCTCAAATGCTATAAAAATGTCTACTATTAAGTCAGTGCAAACAAAAGTAAGAAAATCACGTTTTACACTCAGTTTTTTAATGCCCTATTCTTATGTCCATTTTTTTTCCTCCATTTCTCCCCCTCTAGAAAGAGCTGAGTCTTCCGCGCAGAGGAAATGTGTAAGTAATAACACTTTGCTGTCTGTTTTTGTCTCCTTCTGCCCCACTCTCCTTACCTCATACCAGCTGAGCAGGTGCCTGTCAGTCGACAGTTTTACTGCTCTCACATGTCGTACTTAACACATTTACTTGACCCTCTACTGAGAGGAAGGAACATTATGGGGACTGCTTTAAAGTCAGAGCAGCCTCACTGCTCAGACAGGTTTTATGTAAACTGTGAAAGGGAGGGTTAGAGATAGAGATAAGGTGCAAAAACATTTGATATGACAAACTGGAGCGGTCAATATATGCACAAAATCTCAGTATGTGGGTCAAGAAGTTAGCTCATCGCCAAAAATACACACTTGTGTGAAAATGTAAATATTTGAGTTAGTTTTTCTAGCTTTGCAGCAGCAGCAGAGTTAATAATGAGGTTACAACATTGTTGACCATTGAAATATTTAACTGAGCAAACAAGCTGAGCCAGCTCATACAGGTATCTCCTTTGAGCTGTTTGTTTTCTTAATCATTTCATGTGTTGCACAGAAGTGTTCACAGTTCAAAACATTGGGTAGTCAATCAAATGAGGACTCAAACATGTAAACACCAAGAGGAACTCGCTCATGTTTTTCCAAATAGAGAGCTCCCTCATACCAACATCCGTCTCTACTGTCTCTTTGACCTGTTTAGGGGCTTTCCATTATCTGTAGAGGAGAGATAACCTGGCCAGTTTCACTGTGAGTCACAGCAATTGCTCTGTAACCTGAAACAATGAATAGCAGATCACAGGGGGAAGACTGACTGAATTGAAGAGATAAAAAAGGAGAAGTTGCGTTTTCTGTGGGGCGTGTGACTCTGTTCACACAGTATCTATGGTGGTACGCTCAGGGTGGGATACTAAAATGCTGCTACCATCAAGTATTTTAGACAGATTATTCAATGGCTAGAGTGATATCATATTTGAATTGGTGAGCACCATGAAGAAAAACTTTGGCTGCAGTGAGATCACAACAAATGAACACTTGGCCACTTTGTAGCTAATATTTCAAGGAGGTAGGTAGTTGGGAATTGTAAAATTTAGACAATTAATTCATGGCTAAAAGTAAAATTAAAATAAAATATTAAAAAATTCTCAAGTTGATACAGATCAAATGCAGAGGTAGCTTACGACTTACATGTGCGGAGCTCTAGGTAAGAATGAGGCGCATCATTTGTTAGCTAATGTTTAGTAATAATGTTTATAATGTCCTGGTTAAATGCCAATGCATTGTTGTCTAATAGTAACAGGTTATTAAAAAAAAGTGACACACGAACAGTTTGTAAAACTTACTTTGCTTAAAGGACTTGAAACCTGGATCACACAAGAAAAATATTTATCAGTAGTTTAGATTTCTGTCTGGGGTGTGATGACGAAGTGAAACAGCTGCCACAGTTCAAGCTAATGCAGTTTCAGTTGTCATCACAATATAACTAATAATAATCTACACTGTTGAAAAGAAATGCTGTTCTTCTATGAGTCATGTAATGTGTCACCTTCTTTCTTGATGTCTGTCTCAATTGCCCTTGTTGTTGTTCATCAATAAGGAGAAAAAGAGTGAACAGTGTCAGAGATGGAGACCTCAGACCAGCGGTCCTTTGCGGATAATGTGGTTGAGCTTGTTTTGTCCCTCTGTGACCTCCAGCATACAGTTTATGTGGACAATTTGTAGTTTAAATGTGTGGTCAAGATTAGCACTTCCAAGTCTGAGGCCATGGTTCTTAGCCATAAAATAATGGACTGCCCCCTTGAATTTGAATTGAGTTTTGTGAAGGAGCTCAGGTATCTCTGGTTTGCTCTCAGACAGACTATGGGTTGTTGTGCAGGGCTTTTGAGGTAGGTAAAAAAAGAAAAAGAAAAAAGGAAGGCACGGCCAAGGCAAAGCCATCATGTGGCTAAAATGACTTTCCCCTTATCCCACCCTTAAATAGTTAGAAAGGAGCTACATCAGCTTTCCTTGGAGTTGAAGGTCGTCAGTACAGTAGAAGATGTAATCCGAAGAATCTGTCCTCTGTTAAAGGGTTTACATCCGCATAAAACTGGTCAGAAATCTTGGGCAGAATTTGAATAATTGTGGCGATTTTATACGCTTAAGGCTTGGGTAATGCTCAGGGTCAATCAGGGGATAGAATTGAGTGAGATGTTTGGCTATATTTCTGAATCTGCTGCCACCACAACCAGATTTCGATACACACTAGGAACCAGGCTTATGATTTCAATTTTGTCATTTAGAAGTTTATTGAGTTTTGAATATTTAAACCACACTTTGAATTCTTTCAGCATGAGCTGTTCAGTCCTTGAAATCCATGAAAATCACATGAGGGTCTCAGTATTCCTTGATGACAAAATGTTGCATTCAGGTTAACTCGTAAATTGTAGTGCTAATAGGACTCACTGTACATGCGACATTAGTGCATGTAAGATTAACTAATTTAAACAAGCCACAAGTTAATATTTGACCTTGAAACACAATATTCCTCATTCTTACACTCAGGGAGATTTTAGGGGCGGATCATGAGGGATGCTCAGCCCCTGAAAAGATTGTGATATGTGAATATATTGTCAGTTTATGATCTGGTGGGGAAACAAAATATCATATCAGTGTAAAAGGAAAAAATAGAATACACTGTTATGAAAATCTGGAGGTGCTTTTATTATTATTTGTGTAATAACAATAATAATAATAATAATAATAATAATAATAATAATAATAATAATAATACATTTTATTTGTGGGGGCCTTTCAGGGCACTCAAGGACACCTTACAGGGCAATTAAAAGACACATCAGTAGAATAGTAAAATCAATAAAAACACATCAACACAAAAAAGTATTAGATAAAAAGTTGTAAGTCTGGACTCTGCAGCAGAACATCAAATGCTAGTCTGAGTAGGCCTGTCTGAAATACTGAGTTTTGAAATGGGATTTGAAGATTGAGAGTGAGTCAATGTTCCTAATGTCAGGGGGGAGGGAGTTCATTATCATTACAGGTACAGGTGATCATTATTATTTCAGGTAACTGTAAGTTATGGAGAATCCATATTTTATGACAAATTGAAAAACACAATGTGTCAATAATTATAATACAGCTATAAGATAAAGTGATATGACTGTTCTGTAATGTAGCTTACCACTTGCAAATTAGGATGACAAGTTTTCTATTTTAACTATGCAGAGTCTCTCCCTTTAACTCTGTCTGGTAAAGGACCCACAAGTTAATATTATCTTACCAAAATAACCTACCATTTGCTTTGTTTGATTTAAAGTATTTTTGATTTACTCAAAACAATATATACAATGAAAGATTCAGATATTTCCAAAATGCCTGTCGGTTTCAAACTATTGATGAGCACATGGCACCGCTATGATATTTTGAGGTGTGCTGGAATGACAACGCATATGCTTATCCTACTTTTAGCTGGGAGTTGTATGTGTGCTTGTAAGTAACCCCACATTTCCGACAGTCCTTGAAGGCAGCGTTGCTTCCTCCTCCCTCCGGCGCGAGCTGACGCGGCTGCGCGTTGCGGCGTTGCTGTTGCTGCTGGAAAGTTTGTATCACACACTCCTTGTATTTTGACAAAGCTATCACTCGACAATGTCACAGCTGGTGAAGGACAGACTGTTTGGTGAATTGAGCTGGTAACGTCCACCGAGAGACGGAGCGGGACGGACATGGCCGTTACAGTCTGTCATCACCTCGGAGCTGCTGAGCCGCGGGACTGGGGTCAGTTTGTGGCGGAGCTGAATGGAGTTTCAGTCGTTGGACATTGCGTACTGGCCTAACCTCCGCCTATGATACCAAGTCCATATGAGAAACTGGCGAGCATGAGGTTCCCACAGTAACAAGAGGATATTTCTCATCTGCATTGGATTTATCTGGCGCACCACAATCACCATGTCTGACCAAAACTACTACTGGACAGTGTTGCCGAGCTACAAAACTAGTTTTGTGACCGGGGCCATGATGAAAAGATCCAAAGGGTAACGTCGAAACATTTCTTATCATGTATTTTTCATGCAGACAAAAGCTGTATAGTGTCGTTAAAACTGCCGCAAAGCGGAAACGTCTGCCGAGCCTGTAGTTGACATCAGCTCCCCGCTGTGCTTTTTACCATTCACTGTCCGACAAACAAGCAATTTGTTGAACCTTTCTGCTGAGCACGTAAACGCAACCCCCGCAGTGTCTGGTGTCATTATCAGCATTACAGCTCAGATTGAAAATGCCTCTGTGGTGTCTGTGATAAGCCCACAGTGCGATACTGTATGTGTCGGCTACATCCGCCCCAGTTTTTGTTTCCGACAGAGAAACGTGGCCATTGTAGGGAGTTGTGTTGTGAATGTGGGCAGACTGCATTGTCTGCCACCAGCTGTCGCATACAACGACACAAAGTCCCTGTGCTGCTGATCGATACACTGATCTGGTTAGTGGGGCTGTGGTGTTGATGATGTGCCATTATCTGGGAAGGTAAATGTAATCTGCACTCACAAAGTCGAGCTGTGAAAAACCCTGTTAGGACTCTGAATGACAATCAGTGAGTTTATAGCGATCTTATCTCTCTCTGTGTGGCTTTTAATGACCCTTGAGGTTTTATTTTTGCTGTGAGTTGTTGTTTTTTGTTAATCTGAATCTACTCTAACCAATACTACTGATATTTATCACAAGACTCAAAACCCTGACCTGTTTAAAATGTGTCACCCTGAATAGACATAGGCTCCTGGAGACATCTTTCCAGCTATAAACTTTTCCACCAGGCTTGGAAACTGCATCTGTCATGCAGCATGACTTTTAATGTAGCTCAGTGAGTAAATGCAGTCCTTCACCATCATCAGCAGACATATGAGACTTGCAGGCCTACATCTCAGTGGCCTACATTCATCATGCTACATGGCTGCCTGCCCTGCAAGGTCCCTGACAAACCAGTATTGTTGGTCCCAAATATGAGGAGCTTTATCACTGCCAGCTGGTGATACAGCTCTCTCATGGTCATGGTGTGATACAGAGAAGCTTTCACGCCAGTTTTTGTTCGAGGCTCTGTGGTGTGAAAAAAAAAAAGAGTCTGTTTATTTCTCTCTTTATTTGAATTAAATTGTTCACACCCTTAAGAGTTCACTCTGTGTTTGGTGTCTTGTTAAAGCCAAAGTCACACATGCATTGGCTCTTTTTCCTTTCCGCTCCTGTGCCGCCTCTGCCAGTTTGATGTTTTTGGGTTGGGGGCCATATACTGTATGAAATCTGCCTCAGCACCGACCCAGAAACGTCAGGCTCTGTTAATGTCGTCTGAGCCCCTCAATTATTTTAGACCATCGCCAAGGAGAAACAGAGCTGGCATCAAGCTCGACATGATGAAACAGAGAGCATGATGGGATTACATCCAGCTTTGTGGGGGAACGGAAAAACAAACTGAAAAGGATCCCTAATCCTTTTCCAAATGTCGACGGTATGGAGAGAGCACCAGGCATAAACAGGCCTTATTGCACCTTATACATTCATGCACATAGAAGGAGAAAATGACATTTGAACTCCCAAGTTACTGCATCATAATGACACTCGCAGCATCTATGTGGGTGAGTGTGCTTAGAGTAATTCCACTCTGTCATATCTGCCAGCTTTTAAACCGATCTGCTAGTCAAAACTTTTATATGTGACCTTTCAAAGAACAGGGTTTCCTTCCAGAGCTCCAAATAAGTGAGTCACTCACAAGAGAAAAGGTTAAAAAAACTCTGAATTTTGACAATAAAATCACCAAATTTGGGCACAACTTGTGCAGTAGCCTACCAGGATACAGTATGGAATGGAAAAACAATCAACAATCATTGATTTTTGAACCTATAGATCTGTCTGTGTCATCTACGTGTGGGTAAAGCATGTGTTTGAATCCAAAGTGATGAATCTTTAATGGTATGGACAGCATGTTATGTCCTAAAGGGTTCAGTTATGTCATGGGAGTCATTCACTTTCAGCATTCTTGTGCATCATTGTGTAACAGGCAGTTAGGGCTGTTTTTTAAGAGTCAGGTGCTCTCGCTGGTCTTTCCAGATGTTTCCAACACTCACATGAAAATACTCACAGTCACAGGAGACGTCATCCTACACACATTTTTGTGCATATGTAGTCTCCATACTTCTCATTTATCTTATCCTGAGCATTCCCATCACCACAAACACTCTTATTTTACAAAGGCAACTGTGAATGTCATATTTGTACAGATAAATGAGTAGCTGTAAAACAAAGTACACATTAGGGGTATCCTGATACGATATTGATTTTGGTCCGATATCAGCAAAAAAACGAATATCGGATTATATCAGCCTGCATCTAAAATCTCCGATATATCAGCACTCTGGCACAAGCGGTCCATTCCAGACTCTGTTCCGACACCTCTATCTAGCAGTGCCCTAATCCAGCAAGCTGAACCCACAAAAATTACAACAACAGTGTGTACTAAGGTACTAACAAAGTAGCAAGGAGTAAGAGTGATGTTGGCCTTGTGGCTGAAAAAGACGTCGCAGCTGAGTAAAAAAATTTTGTGCCAATATCGGATCAATATCAGTATCAGTCAATGTTAAAGGCTAAAATATCTGTATCGTATCGGAAGTCAAAAAGTTGTATCGGGACACCCTTTGTACACAGAGGTAGTTTGATACTCTGTGTTTACATGTTTGCAGCTAAGCATGCAAGGTCTCTTTACATGTCAACTAAAACTCACGGTATCCCTGCACTTATCTGTCTTTTTGCTGTCAGGATCAACAGTCAGGGCTCATAGGTTGATAATGTTTTGGTTTATTGCTCTGATAATAACACACTGTAAACAACGTGTGCTGTGTGATCGTGTTTGTAATTGTGTTACATAACCAAATGTTTTCTCTCTGCTGTCTGTTTGTTTGCCTCCTCTCACAGAGCCCGTAACAACAAAAGAAGGAGTTTAGCGGTCGGGACCCCGTCGCCCACACTCTCAAGGCCGCTTTCACCTCTCCCACTTGCCACAGGTGCTTATGTTTGGTTTTTTTAGTCGTGCTGTTGTGCTTATCATTGAGTGTTATTGTTCTGCAATTAGACCAGAGGCTAACTATGTCAGTAAAAAAGGACAAGACCACATGAGGAACAGAGGAATGTTAGCTGCTTTGTGCCTTGAGCTTAACACTTGATGCTCTATGTCACAAGAGGAGCACTGGTTTTCATTGCCGTGGGTCCTTGTGTTCCCACAGTATAGCGCATTAGAGATAAAGAAGTTTCCCTCCTCATGATGATGTTTGTTGTTTTGTTTCCTTGATCCAGCTGCCTGGAGACTGATATTTAGAGTTATTCATTCGCTGCTCCCATTTTTTAAGTGACTCATGGCGTGGTAGTGCTTTGCCCTCAAGGGCTGGCATAAAAACCTCTCAGTGACCCTTTTAAGAGGACCTAGTGTGATCAACGACGGTCTGTTGAAACAGAGGCCCAGTCAACTTCTGTGGGAGTGTGATGGTTTTAAAAAGATTTGATTGTTCCATGTTAAAATGTGAAACAGAAGTAGTCCACAATACGATGATTCATGCAGATTAACCTTTTTAAGTCATCATGTGAAACAAGAGGGTGGCCTAGGATTGCTCAACATGTAAACGGTTCACAGCATGTTTCACTCATTTTGGAAAAATTCTGTTTTCTTCTTTAGCTGGCAGCAGCCCTTCAGAGAGCCCTAGAAACGTCTCTGCAAGCACTTCTGCCAACTCCCAGTTCGCCCGCAGGTAAGAATTAACCAAATGTTCTTGAATGCAGATTTGATACTTTTCCAAAAAAGTGGAGTATTTTGTAGACCGACTGACTTCAGCGTGGGCACATCATCCAGCAGATAGTGAACTGACAAAGCAGCAGACGGTAGAAGTTCAAATCTGAGCAAATAAAAAGCAATAGGAGTGTAATGCAGAAAGCCAAAAGCAAAACGAAGACAAATCTAAAAGCACACCACATGAAGTGAAGAAACTTGGATTTAAAAGAGTCGAGGAGTCCAAGATGAATTATGAACATGCCCTGACTTGTTCCCTTTTACCCCTATAGTGGGAAAGACGCAAAGGAGAAGCAAGTCCAACCGGCTGAAAAGGCCCCAGGGCCACTCGCTGGACACTGGTCTTGGCATTTTTCAAGCCAATTACTGTGGCAAGTCTGTGCACACACTCATTACTCAGGGCTGCTGTGATTATGGGAGAAGAAATGGCAAGGCTTGCCCACTTATCACGCAACTGTGTGTATCTTCACTGGGGTTTGGAGGAATAGTAGCTGGAATTGGCCCAGGCTTAGAAAATAGTTTGTTTTGCAACTTGCCAGGAAGACGATTTTTGGCCGAACAGCAGAATTTTAAGCAGGTGCTCAAAAATAGTGCTGTGGTGTAAACGAGAAATGCAGAGAGTTTTCCGCCTCTGTCTTTCTGCATGTAGTTTAAAACGTATACGCCCCTTTCCTCAAACCTCTTCTGATATGAACTGGCATTTGATGTTGCAGTGTTGCATATTGCAGCATCAGCTCAAGGATGTGGAGGGGACGTCTCCTGATTGCATTGCTTTGCACGAGCCTGCATGACTCATCTGAATTTATTGAGACTTTTTAAGCTGCCAGGGTGGAGACTGATGCTGTGACTGCACTTTTGAGAGCCGCACCGGGTTTATTTTTTATTCATACAAGCTGTATAAGCCTGCTGTTTGAGCAATTATTTTGTCATGTAAACAGACAAGAGCCGGACACACAATAGCTGGCATTCAGACAGTGAATAAATTATTCTCTTTAATGCAACCTGATAAGGATACAGTGTAATTGGTGAGGCATAATGGTTTTGCTCAGCTCCCTCTTCAGCATAAAAGATGCTTTTTATATCCTTAGGGTGTGAGTCCTGCCAACGCCCTTGCACACAATAGTTATTTCTTTCGACACCCGAGGCTAATCAATTGAACATCTATTCTAAAACTTGTTCATAATCTCGCTTTCTATCCCCTTAAGCCCTGCAGGATCTTAATACAGAGGAGAAAGGCATTTTGTTAATGACACACATACATCCAGTTGAAACCAAAGTAGAAAACAACAAACATGTCGAAGTAACCAGACTAATCCAGAGATTTCAGCCACACTCACATCAAAACCGTCCAATTTCATTGTGTCACCCCTGATTTAGCTACTCATCCCCCAAGTGCTGGTTGGTGCAGGAAAACACTCAACCATCCTTGTCAGCACAGATTGAATCAGGGAGGGAAAGTGGGCCACGTCCTCAGAGTGCCATATTGAAAGGAGAAAGTAGGGGAAACAGTGGAGATAGAGGCGCAATCAGCAGAGGAGGAACATTTCACACTTTGAAGTTCAGGTTTTCTGTTTGTAGTAGCGGTCGAGGTGGGTGTAGAACAGTTGAAGTGTAGGCGATGTTTATGACTGTATCTGGTTGGTGTTGGTGCATACATATATGTGTGTGTGTAATGAGTCACAAGTTAAGTGTCTGTGGATCTGAGTGCTGCAGTATGATAATAACTTGGCAGGTGTTCAGCAGCAGCAGAAGCAGCAGACTGCCACTGGCTGTGATCAGTGACAGACAAACAGAGCTGTGACTCTGACAACCAGACTTGATCTGTCACTATCATTAAACAGTGTTTCTTCTCTCCACCCCCCCCCCCCCCACCCCCCCTGCTCCCTCTCTCCTTCTGTTTGCTCCTCCATCTTCCTCTATCAGTAGCCAGCTGGCCCGCACTGAACGGTAAGGAAGAGGCAATCTGCAGTTTCGTTCAAGTCTGTTTTTAAGGAAACATATGTTTAATGATATTTATGTGAATGCATAACCTAAGTAAACTTTTTAGACTTAGTTTATCACATAGCTATGTTAGGTACTTGATTCTGATAGACAATTACATGACAACATTATATAGCATCAGTCTGTTATTTCTCGATAGCAGACCTTAGCTACGATAGCAGACCGTTGCTACGGCTCGAGCTCTAATCAGAGACTTTGTCAGGCTAGCTGCAGTCATATCAAGGAGTTTGGTACATTTGATGTTCTTTACAGTGAGGAAACAGAGAAAAAAGACAAAAAGGGTGAAAAAACATCACAGACTCAGAAAAAATAAACTCAAGCAGGTGTGGTGGAAGAATGTTCAGTTTAGCTCATTTTGAAGAGGCTTCATTATAATCATCTCTGTGGACATAGATCAAACCGTGTGAGAGAGTGTTTTATTTAGGGAACAGGATAGTATAGAGAGTGAGTGTGGGTTGTTATGGAAGAGGAACCTCTTCAGGGTGCATGTGTCCCGCTCACCCTGCTTGGGCTCTATTCCACAGTAACAACCTGCTCACTACACTGTGTCTCTTATATATTCCACAGCTTGAAGTATGGCTTTATAGTACAATTTATAGAACAACATATGACATTGTAAATCCTGCTCACATTTTATTGCAAGGTTCTTATTACACTGCTGTGGTTTTGAGTATGCAGCACCAGATGTATTTGCTTCAAGACTGAAAAGTTTGAGAGGAGAAAAAGTGAGGCGGTGCAGATTTGAGAGAGTAAACAGGATGTATAGGAAATATACAGTTTTCACTCCACATAAGCAGCAGCCATTTTGCTCTGTTTGTCTTTGGGGGTGATGCTCAAGTGCTATTTTAATGTCACACTGCTCTGCTCAGGCATGCAAGCTGTTTAAAGCTCAGGAAACCTGACAAATTATTTAGATTTCAGCACATTATGAGCATCAGCAACAGAAAGGACAATAGTACAGAGAGTCTGGAGCACATGCAGCAACTTTCAAGCTCATGCTGCTCTGGACTCTATATTTAATAACCTGTTAGTTACCCTTTTTAAAGCCAGTGTGCAACCACTAAAACAACACTGTGTCAATGTGCTATTTGAGAATCAGTCTACACCTCTGAACCTAACCCACAATTCAAGCTAAGACGTGAATAAATACCAGCATGTCTCACATCATTTCAAGTGGAGATGGACAGTTTGACGTCATACTAGCGTTTGAGTTTCTCACATTTACCATGAGAATGAAATGAAATGACCAACATGCAAACATAACTAAGAGGGATGAGTCACTAAGCGGTCTGTCACTGTTTCGTTTCTGCAGAGCGGATGGAAGAAGGTGGTCCGTGGCATCAGTTCCTTCATCTGGATACTGCACCAATGCGCCCAGTTCATCAGTGTCTGTAAGCTCTCTCTCTCTCTCTATGTCACTGTCTTTATTCTCTCTGTCACAACCATCCGTGCCAGTGCTGTCTGTCTCTTTTCTTCATCAGATATTCAACCACTCGTCTAGAGCACTGCCGTGGGACCGTTTAGCTCCTTGTGTTACTTACACTCAGTGTATCAATGGGTTTACAGGGCTGTGGTGTCTTGTAAACTCATGGTGCTGACTGACTGAACTGTAAATCCCATCAGATTACACCCAGCGTGGGCAATAAATCAGCCCATAAAGGGTTGTTGATTTACAGTCGACTGTCCTTGGAGTGTGTTGTTTTTAAAAATGGCTCTGCAGCTGGATCCTAGTTTAGATGAGCTGTGAAAGACTCCAAACAAATTTAACATCTTGAGTTGAGGGGTTTAGATTTAGCTTGTTTACAACTTCACAGGGATATATCACTCAAGCTCTGTCGATGAGTCTGAAGCTTAAACACACAAGGTCATGAGCTTATGTGGTGACTGTGGAAATGTGTCTTTAGATCAGTAACAATAAATGATGGAAAAGTCACAACATGTTCAATAATCAACCAATTTTGGGCAAATTATTTGCAACACTGGTTGTAAATTTCTTGGTTAAAAAAAAAGGAGAAGTGATTATGCAGGGCTCGACAGTGCGACAGTTTCACTCATATTCGCGACTAAAATTAGATGTGTGCGAAATGTAAAATGTATTTAGGGGCACATGTGCGCATAAAAAAAAACAGGCAAGGCAACAAATGTTTTTCATGTAAAAACTGCGGTGAAGTTAGTTTTAGGTTGGATATTTGACGGACGTTCACTGTGGATCTACCGGTGTCTTCTCACTCACCAAAAATTGGGAACAACAACAGCAGCGTGGTTAAATCTACTCGGCACCCTCGCTGTCGACGTCAGGTGTTAAAATAAGGGACCATCAATAAATTACTGGTTGATGTTCTCAAAAAAGGTTGTTTTCCTTCAACAGCTTCCATGACATGTGCCTATTTGATCTTAAATTGTTTTCAAATAATAGTACTAAGTTCGGACAATAAGACACACCTCTTTATTTCCCTAATTTGTCCTCTAAAAAAATTTGTGTTAAATTTAAAGGCAAATTTTGAACAATTTCTTCAATAGCTTCCATGTCATGTGACCAAAAGACCTAAAATTGATTTCAAATAAAAGTACTTACGTCGGCCAAAAAGACACACATCATTTGACCAGTTTTCATTGTGCCCCTAAAGTTCTTTATGTGCTTCTTACTTTTTCAACTTAGGAGCACATGTGCTCCTTGTAAGAAAAAGTTAGTGTCAAGCCCTGTTGTGATTGAAGAGAGGTTGGAGGAACATTTTTGGCTATTCTCATGCTTTTCCTTTGCTGTGTAAACTGTAAAATCAATTGTCTCTGACATTTAACAAAGCTGGTCACCGCCTTTCCTTATAATCTACAAGCTGATAACTTAGTGGGAAAATATGTGTAACCAGTGCAAACACAGAGAGGGGTTACAATTCGGTTACTTGACAGTCTGGTTGACAATACTCTCTGCAGGAAGTTGATTTATGCAAAACAGCCGAGTGTCGTTTCTCTTTTAATGACTGAGTCACAACAGGATACGTCCAGTGGTGATGCATCCCTCCATCACCGACAGCTTTGATCACACTTTCCACTGCAAACAGGAAGTGTGGATGACTCCTCAAATGCCTTTCCCAGTGTTCTCCTGGACTGATGGGAGTTTAAATACACAAACATATTTTGGCAAAGTTAAGTAAAAACTCTGTGATAAAGCTACGGAGTTCCTTTTTAACCATGCGCCTTTATACTAAAGTGATTTTGACTCGGTGTAGGCTCTTTAGCAGAAGGGAAAGTACAGGAATAACAGCTCTTATCACCACAAAAACACAGGTCTCATTGAAATACATGCTTTCTTTTTCCTGGATGACATCACACATGAGCAGGGACTGTACCAAGTCTCACATTTCCTCAAACAGACTTTCCTTCGGGAAAAGTCCAACGCGGGCGCCCTGCTACTCCCATCAGCCATTTGTTGGCGGTTTCTTCGTCTATTATCTTAAAAACTGTTCTTGAAAGTCATGAGTGGAACTGCAGTTGGCTGTAAAAACAATCCCCGTCTCCTCTGTCACGGCTGTAATTTTGTATGGCCAACCACATGGCTCAGAGACGGTGAGGTCAGCCCTCTCAGCACAATGCCCCTTTCAGGCTCCATGTCAGTGAGGTCTTTATGCTCTCACTCTCTTCTGACACGTCTCTAGTTTCCTCCTCGGGGTGTCTATCTCCCTCTCTTTTTAGCCTTTATTTTGTCTTTCTTCCTGGTTCTCTTTCTCTTTCTTCTTCTGTTTTACTTTTTTTGTTTGCCTCTTCTTCACTCTTCTTTCTCAAAGAAGAGTGAAGAAGAGTCTTCCCTTTGCTCTTCCTTTAGTGAAACACAAGATCCTGGCCAGATGGGAGTCCTCATAAATTCCAGGCTGCATGTCACATTTCGGCTCTAAGGGAGAAAATGAATGCGTGCATGGCCAGCAGCACAGCCGTTGCTAGTTGCTTCAGGGCTTGCTGCAGTAGGAAAGCAAAATCCCGGTAGAAAAGAGTAGAACTCTGGAAAGGGATTGAAGATTTTGGGATTTAGTGCAGCCTTTCTCAGCGTGTCCTTGCTAAGTGTTGCATCTAATTCAGATCCATAGTGGAACATGAAAGCCTTTAAGACTTTGAGTATTAACAGGATGATGAGTGAATCTGAGAGAGTGATGGCCTTTTAACACAGGATGTTATATCATCTAAGCTGTTTAAGCACAACCTGACATGGATACAAAAGTGCAGTGAAGTTTGAATAGTCAGCCTATAGTAATTTTGATCACTACATTGAAACAGAATCAAGCAAACTAACTTTCTTATGCCTTTTCCCTCTCCCTTTTTCTCTCTTTTAAACATCCCCCGTTTCTCTCTTCCCCCACTCTCCTCTCCCAGTCTTCGTCTTCCCAGGAGTTATTGCATCAGTTACCCTTCCAGCCCACTCAAGATGATCTCCACTTCCTTTTCAAACATTTCCGGAGCACCGAGAGCGTGGCGGACGAAGACGGAGCTCACGCCTCGCCCCCTGTCAGGCTCCGCTCACGCAGTCTCAGGTACCGTGGATTTGGATTTTACACCGAATGTCCTGCCCCAGTTTTAAGGACTGCGTGTCTTTGTAACATTTCAGTAACGCTGCAGTTCTCTTGGAGAAGGGATAATCTTATTAGTAAAGTTTGAAACAGAGAGGTCACCTCTCCCTGCTCATTTTAAGATAGAGCTCCTCAAGAGGTCAAGACGCAAGAAAGTAATGAAAATAAAATCATGCGGCCTGGCACCAAATCCAGCTCCTCTTACTGTACAATAACAGTATGTTTGCAGACAATTCACAGAGTGAAGTATGTCAGTACTCAAGCTATATGACAAATCCTCTTTTAGCTGTGGGGTTGGTTGTTACAGTCCTCCCCGCTCTTCCTGTTTATTTCTGGCTTTTATTGGGAGAATAGGACAGTCAGTGTATAGAACTCTGCGAGAGAGAGAGAGTCAGGAATGACATGTGGCAAAAAGCTCTGGGTTGGAATTGAACACAGGCTGCCCACTTCATGGACTGTTGCCTCTGTACATGGAGCGTGTGATTTAACCTGTGGGTTGAACCAGCACCCCTTAAGGTTGTATTTGACTTTGTTTGTGTGTGGCTTAACATCAGCCATATTTTATCTCAGCTATGTGGGTCTATCAGCGAGTTAGCTAAGCTAACTGTTATCATCAAAACGACTCAGTGTGCCTGTAACTGAACAAATGAAGCTTTAAGCTTTAAGTGTACATGGAAAGGAGAAAAACATCAGGACTGATATCTGTATTTTGCTCTCTTAGAGCTTTAAGTCTCCCTAAGAGTTTTTCTGTAAGCAAACATTTTTTTTTGGACCAGTAGATGTGACTACAGCTTCAATGTGACACCCCGCTGCTTTTTCTCTCCTGTGGTAAATTCAGAATTGCCAGTTTGTGGAGCTTATGTATAATAGAAAAGCTATCACCTCTGAAAGGTTAAGGCATACACAGCAGCAGACACAGACAGCTCATCTCCTGTTCGCTCCCCCCTCTAATACACAGCTGCCAGCCCAAACATGGATTTAAAGCCGTTTTATGACAAACAAAATGAACCTTTAGCAACCACAGAAAAGCCTGCAGTTAGCATCAGTGCGCTGCTAAGCAGCAGAGCTGTAAACAGAAACAGAAACAAGCAGTGATGGATTTAGTTGCTCAGCCTCAAACCAACAAAAGTAGTTTGAACATTTTGTTACTTCTTTCATGTATGATATAAAAAAAATGCAAAACTGGCTGAAGGAATTGGAATGTGGTCTGGTTCTGGCAAAAGCCTCTGTGCTGCCTACTAAACAACATCCCCTGGACTAGAATATAGCATTTCCTCATCATTGAGCATGGCTGCTCTCATTTAACACTCAGAGTCTCTTTTGATAGCTCAAGCAGAGCGAATTTTGAGGTTGCTGAGATTTTATGATGGACTGCAGAGGGTGTTGGCTATATTTTGATGTGGCTGTATTTCCTGTGATAAATCTCTGCCAGTTTCATAAATACAGAGTATGTGAGCTGAGTGATGCTGTTTGGATACGTCCACTGAGAGGATATTAGACTTTGGTGCGGTCGAATAGACACCGATAACTTGGCCATGAGCATGTTTTCTAACTACACAGGGTTATGGCATAGGTTTCAGAACTAAGGATCGACCAATATGTTTTTTTAGGGCTGATACCAATTATTAGAAATCAAGAAAATTGATAACCAATATTTAGAACCAATATTCATTTGCAGTAAAAAATGTATATTTTGGTGTTAAAATTTTTTGATAACACACCTGGGATTAGACTGAACACAGTACACTGTTGTTTGTTTTGAACACTGAAAATCTGTGATAAAAAAAAAAGTGTTAGAGTGTTTTAAAATAAACTTATTTGATTGGCTATTGGTGGGAAAAACAGCCAATGTTGATTATTGTAAATATATCATATATCATATCATATCATATCATCGGCTGTGCCAGTTATTGGTCGATTCTTACTCAGAACATGACTGATAATTGTGTCAGAATCAGAAGTGAACAACTTACTGTGTTAAATTTGATGAGCTGTCATTTTGGATAATAAAACCATATCAGTCAGGAGGACTAATCTTTGCTCAACTGCAGTCACACTGATGATTTTTTTATTTTTTTTGTTATGTAAGCACAGGCATCAACGAATTCAGATCATTAAAAAAAGCCAATGACCTGATTTAGTCATCAGTCTTTTTCCATGTTGAGTAAAGATGTATTTTCTCCCTGAAGCTTGTTAAAAGCAGCCTGATGAGTTGTTTTCCTTTGAGTCATTAGAATTTACAAACTCTCTCCACTAATTTAATCAAAGAGAAAACCTTCTTAGACAGCTGACTGTTGTGCATAGCTCAGTTCATCAATGTAATGCCTGTCGTTTATTAGTAACTGATCTAAAAACGGATGACTGATGAATGTCTGAGTGGCTCCAAACTGCATCTAGGGCATGATAAGTATTCTGAAATAGCTCTTGAGTGTTTACTAAGTGATATACTGTTGCTGCTGCTGCCTTAAAATAAAACCACTGCTGTGCAAGTGCAACTGTTGAAATGACCCAGAAATAGTACACTGCATGTCATGTGTTGATATTGTCATTTGTAGTATGTGATGTAAAGGGGCACCACAGAGGCTATTTTGGACACTCTTGATGACAGTGCATTGATTTGTAATGTGTACAGACAGCTTTAAATGTACCCTCTTGTAACTGAGCCCCGCACGCACAGCAGATGTGGTCATGAATACAACTGCAGAGAAACTGATCTAAATCACGTTAGTATCATTTTCAAACATGCTGTGTCCCCGGCCTGGGCTGGCAGTAAACACCATCAATCAAACATTGGCTTGGCCTTGTTAGAAAGCTGTTTTTTTTTCTTTCTAGAGTTTATTGGACAGTTTTTTTCTAGTTTTATTATGTAAATATGTCTGTTTTAAAAAGACTACAAAGATGCTTTCCTCAGAGGCAAAGTGAACACAGACAATCTCAAATCTGCAGAGATATTGTATGGTTTGTTGGTTATGTTGCTTCTCCGTTGATCTGTTGCTCTCATTGCCCGGTTCTCTGCAGCCCTGGACGGACCTGTGGAACATTTGACAATGAAATTGTCATGATGAATCATGTCTACAAAGAACGCTTTCCCAAGGTAAAGTCAGCAGCTCTTTTCTTGCTTTCTTTTTCTTTCTGATGTTTCTTCTCTGTGTAAATAGACAACCTTAACAACACTTGCCTGAGCCTCTCTATCGCTCATGAAAACCAGGAGAAAAATTCTCAGGCCCTTTGGCAAAGAGAGGATCTTAACTCCTTTTTCTTCAGAACCAAGTTTAAAAACACTGAAGATGCAATGCTGCTGTCACCGGCTTAAATGAAGTCTTCCATCTTGGTTGTTTCCCAGGCGACAGCCCAGATGGAGGGTCAGCTGCTCGACATCATTGCAGAGTGCTCCCCCGGCACCGCTCTACCCCTGGCTGATGGCGTGCTGGGATTCATTCAGCACCAGCTGGTGGAGCTTGCCAGAGACTGTCTGGACAAGTCCCAGAATGGTCTGGTCACCTCCAGGTACTTTGTGGAGCTGCAGGAGAAGCTGGAGAAGCTGCTGCACGAGGTGAGTGCCTCTTTCCACCTGACTCTCTGAAACACACTCACAAATAACTTTGTTCCCTCGTGGGGTTATTACTCAGGCTTGCAACTAGTTATTCTTTCTAAGACATCATCAGGGGATGTCTGATTGCTGCCTGCTTGGGCTGCCCTCTGGGACATTGCAGGCTGTATTGTCGCCTCTCTGGGAACAATGAAGTGAAATTGCCTGTTTGATTGGTTCTCATTCAGTGCTGATTCCAGTCCATCGCCCAGTAATGGTGTTGTCATTTTATATTATTTAATGGATCTCTGCAGCGGTCGAGTGTTTGATTATATAATGTTTTATTACATAACACTTCAAGCAACAATTCTACCGCCACAAATGCTGCCCACTGCAAAACAGATTACAGTGTCCTCTGCAAACTCAAACTGACTCCCGTTTATTACTCAGGAATAAGCTCTTGTTATGTGATGTTCATATTGTCTTACTTATTATTATTCTTATCTCATGTTTCAGTCAACTAGTAACTTTTCATAACCTGCAGTTTAACAGAGAATGATGTTATTTGGACCATAGTTTCCTACATTTCTGCAGTTATTTCTCCATTAGTCCAGGAAACTGATTAACCAGCTAAAAAAGGAGCTCTTTGTTATTTTTTTATTTGTTTTTATTATTGAACAAATTTTACAGAACCAACAAGGTATACGTTGATGTGTAACAGCACATCAAAAAGTAGAAAGGGACAGTACAGTGATACAGTAAATTATAGAATATAGCTTGAAAATAAAATTATAACAATAATACTAGTAATAAGATGAATAAATAAGATAAAAATAAGTCAGATGGGTAAAACAAGGATGAAAAATATGATAAGATACATGAAATAATAACAAAAATATATATATTTTTTAAAAAGAACAAAATAGTCATTAATAACGGGTTAGTCAGAGGTCTCAGGGAAAAACTTTACATAATTGTTCAGTAATGAATTGCTTTTTTGTTATTGATCAAATAGAGAGATTTAATCAGAGAATTTAGTTCAAGTAAAAAAGGAGCCAATTTAGCTCCTGAATTGGCAAATTTTTGTTTGTGAACAAAGAATTTTGCGTAAATGATGATAAAGTTGATAAGGTGCTCAAGAGTGTGATCTTTTGGATTATATAGTCGCTTAAAAAGGGGCTCATTTGGAGTAAATTGCCACTGCTGATGCATGTTGAAATGTTTGAATTTCTCTTAGTATTTGCTACTTTGTTTGTAGAATCAACCAGTTACTTTGTTATCCAGTAGTTTTTTTTTTATATCAGTCTTTCACCACATCTAAAACTCTAAACCTGCTGTTTGACTAAGAAAAGCCAATGTTGGACTAAGATATGAAACAGAGAGTTTGGATAGAAGTATGCTGGCAAGAGTTTTGTATAATTTATACATCTGGCTAAGCAGCAAACAGAAGCGAGCATTGATGCAAGATGCTGAAATACCGTCCTGATCCATTAAATCACCAACAGATAATAAGGAAATGAAACAGCAGCTAAAAATACTACGAAACAAACGAGTTCAGCACTGGCAGCTTCTGTGGATGCGCTGCACTGCCTCACGGCTGGTGCCAGTGGGATTAAGTGGTATTAATCCCTCATCAATCCATTGTCTTTTGTCTTTTGTTGGTCAGGCATATGAGCGTTCAGAGAGCGAGGAGGTGACTATCATCACCAAACTGGTCAAGAAGATCCTCATCATCATCTCGAGGCCGGCGCGGCTGCTGGAGTGTCTGGTAAGAGGCACCGCAAGAAACAAGAGGAATCATATGTACTTGAGTGACCAAATGTCAACATGATGTTTACCGACTTTGAACCCTGAACACATTATCTGCGTCGATGACACATAGAAGTAATGATAGGCTGAGCTGTTTAAAACCCCGTTTTTATAAAGTTAGCCAATAGAAAGCTACCTTGCTGCCCAGAATGTAATCATGAGTTGTATTTCTTTAAAGTGGTTGACCAGTTCTAGTTTTTTAATGGCCAGAGCCAATACCGATACCAGTATTATGTTGTATTAAATTACCACAGTTAAATAATACTAACAAATGAGAAACTAAGTTGATGAACATTTTACAAAATACATGTTGACAGATAAGTAGTCAAAGGAATTCTGGATGCATATTTAGCTATTTTAAATTATTAATTAAAAAATAAAAATATATGGTTATGAAACGTTCATGTGCCAGTGCATTATTTCATGCACCTTCAAATCTAATTTGCACGTTCATCTTAGCCAGCAACATGTTTTTGATGTATTTTTAGTGAAATGATGAAAAACAAAGCCAATGTATTAGATGATGCTTTAGATTTCAGAACACTCAAAGAACAATTAATCAGCCAAATCTATCAGCCAGCTGGTAAAATGGTCTATCTTTGGTTTTTCATGAACTCTTATTTACTGACCAAATGTGGTAATACCTCCCAAATGTGTTCTATTTGTTAGGAAGAAATAAGCTGGATTTACTTTTATATTTATTTTATATAGAGTTTATTTTAGATCAACTCTATCATTGCAAATGCCTATAAGAGCATTTTTTTTCATCACTGTGTTGGCTTTCCTGCACAACTGTGACATTCCTTTTGTATTTTTCTACAATATTCCATGGGTGGATTAATGAAACCAAAACACTTCCTCTTTTTCTGTTCTCCAGGAGTTTGATCCAGAGGAGTTTTATCAGCGTTTGGAGGCTGCAGAGGGTCAGGCCAAAGTGGGCCATGGTATTAAGACTGATATTCCCAGATACATCATCAGCCAGCTCGGCCTCACCAGAGACCCCTTAGAAGGTAGTCCTTTTTTTTCCCCTAAGTTTAAGCATTTTGTCAATGAAGTTTGCAATTATGTTGTTTATAGAATATGTTTGGACTGTGCTTGAACTGCGCAGACATTTAATGACTAATGAAAAATAACCAGATATTATATTATACTATATAATCATAGCACTATATGTAAAAATGGAACGAGGAAGTGCTGATGGTAGTATTCCTGTGTTATCATCATCTTGTGTGTATTTATCTAAGTTCAGCCCCTGCTTTTGTTTAGGATTGTACTGTTATACAGACTGTGTCCGTTGTTTATTTTGATAAAATTATCAGTTTCACTTTCTCTACTGAACTACTTGATGGTAAGTCCTCCCATGCGGATGTTCAGTTGATTAAATTAAAAGTCAACCAAATTAAAAAGCAGTAATCAGTTTAGAGAGCTGACATAAGAATTTAATCATGCCGAAAACTCAAACAAGCGGTTACAAATATACTTAAGATGCAGTGACAGTTGTAATTTTATCAAGTATCATTAGTCTGTAGCATTACAGTTGGACAGACGCTCACTTACCCCCCACTGGTGTTCATTTTGAACTTAATGGAGTTTGATCTTTGTGTCCGCTGTGATTACAGAGATGGTCCAACTGGAGCAGACGAGTCCGAGTCACAGAGCGTCCAGCAGAGACTCAGATGACACAGGAGATGCCACGCCTACACAGGTACAAAGACACAATTGACGAAAGTTGCTATCATGAGTATCAGTGTGACAGTATAAACATCATTGTGTTGAAAAAGCAATAGTTGTACTACTACATATAAATGTGACAACACTGACTAGGTTGCTTGGACAACACAATGAAAGTTAATTTATCACTTGAAGTGTCTTTAAGAGTGCATTCATCTGATCCAGGTTTGCTAACGTAACTTATTTCCTGTTATTTCTTGTCTCTTTGTCGGACACGTGTGATTCAGAGCCGAGCAGCCTGCACCCCTCCTCGTAGGAAACCGCTGGAGAGTGACTTTGAGACTATCAAGCTCATCAGCAACGGCGCCTATGGGTGAGTAAGACAGACTTCTTTGTCTGTGTTTGACTGACTCAGTCACCACAGAGAGCCTAATAAAGGCAGGAAAGAAAGTCAGATGAGGATGTGTGGTTGTAGTATTTTTGTGTTTACACTTTTGTCCGTGCAGTTTCACTTTGAGTACAAACCTAATACTTACTTGTGAATAAGTACATTTTCCTCCATTTGTTCCACATTCACAAATTGTCACTCTATCTGCATCTGTTTCTTTCTTTTCATTTTAACCCCCCCTAACGTTTCTGTCTCTTGTTTGCCATCCCTCCTCTCTTCTCTTGCTTGCAGCGCTGTGTTCCTGGTGCGACACAAAGAGACCCGTCAACGTTTTGCGATGAAGAAAATCAACCGTCAGAACCTGATGCTCAGGAACCAAATCCAGCAGGTGTTTGTGGAGCGAGACATCCTCACTTTTGCTGAAAACCCATTTGTGGTTTCTATGTTCTGCTCCTTTGAGACGCGGAGGCACCTCTGCATGGTCATGGAGTATGTGGAAGGTGAGGTTGGCGGGAATGGTCTGTTTATGCACGATGAGGTCAGGCGTCCTTTAATTATAGTCTGTGTACCAGAAAATGTCACCTTATGTCCTTAAAACATAAACATAAAGAGCATTACAACGACTCAAAACATGATCTGATTGTGTTTGTACTTTCAGGAGGGGACTGTGCCAACTTACTGAAGAACATCGGCCCCCTGCCTGTGGACATGGCGCGCATGTACTTCGCAGAGACCGTTTTGGCTTTAGAGTACCTTCACAACTATGGCATCGTACACAGAGACCTCAAACCTGACAAGTCAGTCCTCATTTCACGTCTTTTATTCTGCTTTCAGACAGCAGCTCCTTCCTTCCTTTCAAACCCTCCTCATTATGAGATTTGCTGTCTCTTTTAAAAGACTTGCAATCTTTTGAAGTTGAAACCGAGTCTTCTTTGCCGAAACCTCTTGATATTTCTCTCTGAGACTGAGATTTGTGCTCCGAGCGTTTGATGTAACTTGAATCAATTCTGTGTTTCTTTCTTTTGTAGTTTGTTAATAACCTCGATGGGACACATTAAGCTGACTGACTTTGGGCTGTCAAAGATTGGTCTAATGAACATGACCACCAACTTGTATGAAGGACACATTGAAAAGGATACCAGAGAGTTCATCGACAAACAGGTCTGTCTCCTCTCATCTCCTCCTTTCAGCGTCTCTGCCTTCATGTTTATCATCTTGATTCACATCACTCTTGGTCTGTTTTTCTCTCTGCAGGTGTGTGGCACTCCAGAGTACATCGCCCCTGAGGTGATTCTGAGGCAAGGCTATGGCAAGCCTGTAGACTGGTGGGCTATGGGCATCATCCTCTATGAGTTCCTGGTTGGCTGTGTGCCTTTCTTTGGGGACACACCAGAGCAGCTGTTTGGTCAGGTGGTCAACGGTAAGACATACATCAATACAGTCTTCTTCATATCTGTTCTTAACATGAGTGTTGCAGGATGCAGCTTTTGTTTATTCAAGCTGTAAAGAAATTTCTCCCACTTCTCCTCACTGGATCCCTAACATGTGCCTCTTTGTCCAGATGACATAATCTGGCCAGACGGGGAGGACGCTCTGCCAGCGGATGCCCAGGACCTTATCACCAGACTGCTGAGACAGAGTCCACTGGATCGTCTGGGGACAGGTTGGTGAAAAAAAATCCTTTTGGTCCTAGGCTATGAGGAAGAAGAATCTTCTGCAGGATAAAAAGAAGACTCAACATTTTTTCTTTTCTTGTCGACTTTATCCAGCCCTAAATTTCATTTGTAAGTTGGGACCCTATTACAAACACCCTTTTTTGTTTGCATAAAACTTTGATTATTGGAATAAAAACATGTCTACAGTAAGGTAAGGTAGAAACACAGGGTACGGCAAATACCAACAGTAAGTGTCCCTGGGCATGAAGATAAGGAGAAAGACAAAGCTGAAGAAACTACTTAGTTAAATCTAAGTAAAGCTCAAGAGATAAAAAAACATATCTTGAAATTTGACTAGATTTTATTACAACAAGAGGAGGGAAAGAGGAATCAGCTGTTCACCTGCAACAAGACAAGCAGATATGCGTGTCAAACCAGTTTGTCTGATTTGTTGTTGTTGTTGTTGTTTTTCCTTTAGGTGGAACTGCTGAGGTGAAGATGCACGTCTTCTTCCTGGGTCTGGACTGGAACGGCCTCCTGAGACAGAAAGCTGAATTCATTCCTCAGCTGGAGACAGAGGAAGACACCAGTTACTTTGACAGTGCGTGGGAAAGCAGCTCAATTCACAGACACACAAGCACGTTAAATCTGTACAATATTGGAAGAAACGAAAACGACAACATTTTTCCCTTTCTGCAACACAAATGAAAAATGCAAGAGTTTATACTAGATGAAAGCAGTCCTGGAGGAGTGACACACTACTATATAAACCTACTGATAAACATAACAGACCTGCACACATGTAATCAGTCATTTTTAAAGATGTTTGATCTGCAACACCAGCATCTTGATTATCATTCATAGTCAAACAAAACCTCCTCATCTCCTTCTGCATGTTATTTTCATCACATTTACACCGTATATTTTACATATGAAGACACTGAAGTCAAAATACATTGTTAACAGTTCACATGCACACCCACAGTGTATGCAAGCACTGGGCAGAGGAGCTAGAATGATTTCTCTAAAAGGAAGTCACGCCAGGAAATCTGAGGAGGCAGCAGTATTGCATACAAGTTTACATTTTTCAGTTATTTGGCGCACACACACATAGACACACATACACATATATTCATATCCTACATGCACATTAGTTCAAGAGAAAGACTGCAATGGAGGTACATCAGGCAGACCTTTATGGTGAAGGAAAAACAGCAAATGAGAAATTAGAGACAGAATGACTTTTTTTTAAGGTCATATGCCTGACATTGTGTGTCCTTTAATCTACAAAATATGAGAACTGTGCATGCACAGATTGTATACAGTATATCATTCGGCCATAACAGACGGTATTTCCCATAAATTTTGATGACTTTGTGCACAGAGAGACAACAAATATAGAGAAACTATTGTAAAAAAGGCTTTTACAGTGTTGATCTTTTAGAGAGCAGGAATCTGATTTACTGTAATGCTGTGCTGCTTGAAATTAGGTTACAGTGTCATCAGTATTTCAGTATTTCATGTGGTGTTTCCTACAGCCCGATCAGAGCGCTACTGTCACCTGGGCTCAGATGATGATGATGAAACAAACGATGATGAATCCTCTCTTGAGCTCCGCCAGTTTTCCTCTGTGGCTCATCGCTTCAGCAAGGTATATTAAAAGCTTTTCAATGTACCTAAAAAAACATTAGTGTGAACTCCCACTGAACACAAACCTCAAGATATCTTGACTTAGCAAATCTGTAACTCGCTTTCCCTCTCAAACCTCAGGTGTACAGCAGCACAGAGCACCTGTCCACTTCCACGCCGTCCAACCAGAGCCTGTCTTCCTCTGATCGGAGCCACAGTGAGGAGAAGGAGGAGCGGTGGGAGGGCAGGGGTGTCCTTTCCCCTGGAGATGGACACAAACACTTGGCTAGTGGAGACAGGAGGGCAGATGGACACAGGGGGAGGTGAGATCATTAAATGTGAGAGGAGAAAGTGACAGCCTCCCCCATTCTCACATTGTTAGCTATAAATTTAATGAAAAATGTGAGATGAAAGTGTAATATCATTGCTCATAAATATTCTTTTAGGAAGTATGGTTTATCGTCAGTCTTAAAGGTTAACGCTGGGGCTCTAGCTGTCTTTTTGCGTTGCCTTTTATGTGTCTGTCTTTTTTAGCTTGCTCTCCCTCCTCTCATCTGACGGTGCAGGTCAGGTGGAGGCTTTCAGCTCTCGGGTGTGAATAGCAGTACCAGGTTACCTGCCTTCAGTGCAGCTCCTGTTGCCCTGATAACTTTGGGTAGATTAAATTGCAATGAAAATACAGACTGATGTCAGCTGGAGTGGAAAAAAGGTTTTGGCAGATTGAATTAAATAATAAGAGTGACCTCACTGTAATGTTTGCCTCCAAAATAAATGTAACTAAGTAATTACTGGTCTAAAATTCTATGAGAGTTTATTAACTGCCTTTCCAAGTAAATGAAATCTGTTCTTGTAATATTTATTGATTATTCACACAGATTCTTCCAAATTACTGGTTGTAATCTATACTAGGGAAAGTAAATTTATTCATTGTGTGTGTTTATATAATGTATTACATCTCGTTCCTCGACCTGAGCTCCCTCTGTCTCCAGCCTTTTTCTTGTTAACCACTTTTTGTTTGACATGGAAAACATGGGAGTGATTTCTTCCCTCTGCAGTATCTCCAGGACATTTTACCTTTATTTGCACTCTTGTTATGAAGAATTTCAGATTCTTTCAGGATTTTCTACTTTGCTCATATTTCTAGAGATTTATGGACATTGCTTAATCCAGTGAATCTTCTATGTTTACCATGTTTCCCTTCCAGTCTACGTCCTCGTGCTTCGTCTAGCTCCTCCCAATCAGAGCGTAGCGCCAGTCCACTGGTGATGAACAGCACCCAGAGTCTTGACATCATGCCTCGTTTTGCCATCTCTGCGGAGGAGGAAGGTAGGACTTAAAAAAAAAAAAGGACGCTTATGTGCATTCCTTACAAATTTACTGCAATGGAAGACCAGTTTGAAACTCCTGATGTCTCCTTATCCTAGACGGGATGGTTTCCAACTTGAGGCGCATTCGGCTCCGAAGCAACAGTACAGGCACCAGGCCATCCTTCCGCAGAGGGGCGTCCAGACGCATCGCCCACCAGCTGGAGACGCCTGAGAAACCCAAATCCCCATCTGGCAAAGTCCCCAAGTCTGCCTCTGTCTCTGGCTTGTCCCTCATCATCACTCCAGGTAGATGCAATAATAAAGTCAAAGTATCGAAATGTTGAAGAAATATAAACAAAATGTTGTTTTAGCTTTTTGGCTGTTTCTCTATCATCATACAAGGATAGTCATGATTTAGTCTTGTAGTTTTTTAGAAGCACAGCTCTGATCTGGTGGTACTTGCTCATACATTTCGTGTGTTTACAGTGCCCTCTTCAGGCAGAAGTTGTGTAGTTTACAGCAAACACCATACAGAGATAAATACTAATAATGAAGCCAAGATGACTATAAATTATAAACAGTAGAGTAACCTATCATTAAAATGGTGCTTTTCTAGAACTGTAGTATATGTTGTTGTTGCCAAAGGTGAAAATAATCCTTGAGAAGCATCACCTGAAGTTCTTATTTTCTCCTCCTGATCCAGATGACTCAGCAGGCCCTCCTACTAGCCCCAAATCCTCTTTGTCCCTGTCGTCCAACCCCTCGTCCAGAGACTCATCCCCCAGCCGGGACCTATCCGTCAGTGTTAGCTGCCTCCGGCCTCCTGTGGTCATCCACAGCTCTGGGAAGAGGTTTGGCTTTGCACTGCGAGCCATTAGAGTCTACATGGGAGACAGTGACGTCTACACTGTTCATCATATGGTCTGGGTATGTCACTGTTTGAGTGAAAAGTTTTGTGTTGGCATCAAACTATAAACCGTAAAAATTTAGTTTAAAGAAAACCATTTTTTCTAGACAACTATCATGGTCCAGATTTTAGGATGAGGCTTGAAGTAACCCGACATGATAGTACATTTAGTTGTCACCATGGCCAAGATTTAATGACAGGGTCATATTCACTGAGTCAATAAGCATTGGTTTTGATAATTTACGGGTAAATATTGTCAGTCATAGTAACAGCTGATTATAAGGTTGCTTGACCTGTGATTTTGATCCTAAGTATTATGTGTTTTCTGTGTCCATAGTGTGTTGAGGATGGCAGTCCAGCACATGAAGCAGGACTGAGGGCTGGTGACCTCATCACTCACGTCAATGGAGAGTCTGTTCAGGGACTGGTGCACACAGAGGTGGTGGAGCTCCTGCTCAAGGTACAACTTAAACTTGTTTAAGTATCTTTAATGATAGTTTTCCGAGTTGAAGAACAGAAAAGCATTCATGTCCAGGTGGTTATTTGTCAAACCTACTTTATATGCTCTATAACATCCTCTCCTAGAGAGACCCACTGCCTTATACATACACGATACATTAATGTTAATGCTCTCTCCCCAACAGAGTGGAAACAGGGTGACCCTGCAGACTACTGCGCTGGAAAACACGTCTATTAAAGTGGGTCCTGCCAGAAAAGTGAGCTACAAGTCCAAGATGGCTCGGCGTAGCAAGAAAAGCAAGAGGAAGGACGGACAGGACAGGTACATGAGCGGAGGACCTCTGAAGTTTAGTGTTAGAAACATCTGACTGATGAAAAAAGATGAAATAAAATGAAGTGAATAAAACTTTAAAAAGAAAAAAAAAAAAAACATCTGACTAATGCATTGGTCAGGAAGAGAGGGATCCCCTCATAGAGCTTTCACCGAAACACAACCACCTTTGAATTCAAGTAGTATATTGACTCCTGAAAGTTGAGTCTTAGTCTTTGGGTTTAACCTCCAGTGCTAAGTGGTCTTTGTACTTTAGTAAGCATGAAAAGGGTTCAAGCCAAGAACTGTTCAATAAACATGTCCAACACCTCTTTTATCTTCACAGTCGGCGGCGGAGCATCTTGAAGAAGCTATCCAAGCATACACCTCCTCCACCCATGCAAAGCAGTCGTAGCTTCTCTTCAGGTTTCCACCAGTCATCCAGTGACAGCCTCTCAGGCTCCCCCACACAGAGCCTCTCCCCTGGGCCCTCTACACCCTGTCGCTCCCCTGCTCCGGACCACTCTGGAGGTGAGTCAGGGTGACACTTGCACATCAAATAAGGGGAATTTTAATCTTTTCTGACTATAATGATTTATCGACGAGTAATCATGGAAAATTGATATCATCTAATACCTTTCTCCTTTTATTCACTCCTCATCAGACTCCAGTTCTTCTCCTTGCTCCAGCTCTCCTAACTCACCCGTACCACAGGCCCGCCCAAGTTCCCTTCACGTCTTGGGTCGCTACACGAAAGCTGGTCGCTGCAAGTCCACCAGCAGTATCCCTCCTTCTCCGCTGGCTTGCATCCCACCTCCTCAGCCCCTCTCTCCTCAGTGCTCCCCATCCTGCCTCCCCAGTCACACCAAGTCCCTACAGGGCTTCCACGGCAAGACATTGTCTCCCCCCACTATTGCTCGCCACTCTGTGCGTCCCCGCAGTGCAGAACCCCCACGCTCTCCGCTCCTGAAGAGGGTCCAGTCAGCAGAGAAATTGACAGGAGACAAAATGACAGGAGGTTACCATGCAGATAGAAAGGCCTACAGCACCCGTCGCCACACCATGGAGGTGCCCCTATCAGAGGGGGAGGGGCTGGAAGACATGGAGGGAGATACCGCCACTGGGTTCGTCTGTGTCAGCGAGCACCACCGCTCTACCCCCTCGCCACAACACCGTGGCAGTAATCATCACTCCAAAGAGGTAGTGGTGATGAGGAAGCTGGCTTTGTCGGAGCGACGGGACTCTTTCAAAAAACAGGAAGCGGTGCAGGAGGTGAGCTTTGACGATCTGGAGGAGAGAGAGGCGACGCCGAGCCCAGTGCCTCCTGTAACGCCGTCAAAGGCGTTCAAGGCATCCTGGGTTAACCCAGCCCAGCCAGAATCAAACATGAAACTAGAAGGAGGTGGAGCACAGGGTACAGCAACGTCACAGAAAGCCAAGTCAAAAGACAAAGAAAGACTTTAGTTCAATCACTCCATGAGGGAAAAGGAGGTCAGTGAGGGGTCAGAGACAGAAGGAGACACAAAAATGAAGACGTCTTTGACCTGCTACTGTACTGACATTTGAAGGCCTTGCATGCGTGTCCAGAAAACTGTGATTAAGTCCCACAACATGACAAGCAACTTCTCTGCAACAGGAGAGCAAGTAACACTGATGTTTCACGGTTATATATGCATCCTGCAGCACTGTTAACAGAATGACAGCCAAACGATGTTTACTTCGCGGTTGCTTGTTTTCTCTCTTGGTTCTCGCATCACTGTGGCACCTGTAACTGATGTATTTTGTAAAAAAATTTTTTTTTTTTTTTTTTTTTTTAAGAAATTATTTATGACTTTTGATGCTCATGTTGTTTTTGGGTTGCTGAAAATGCCTTGGATGCTTCAGCTGTTAGTGCAGGAATCGCACAGTAAAAAAAATAGCCAAGCAAAGACTTTTCAGTGCGGGTCTGCAGAAAGAGGGCGAGTAACATCTTACCAATTTTTTTTATACCTCAATGCCTACGTAGAGCTGGGTGTCGTTTCATGCTCAGATTTGGTCTTTCAAACAAACTTGACAGTGTTTGTTCTGCGACATGAAATGTGCTGCCTCTCAGAAGAAATGTATTACGCGGATAGTGAGTGATGACCATTTAGACTCATTGATCCCTGAACACGAGCCTCGTATGAACATTTTAAAGGACAAGAATATCAACAACTGAATACTTGTGAGCCTAGCTGTTGTGCCAAAGCATGGTTTAACCATTAAAACAGAGGTACTGTAGTTGTAAATAAGAAGCTTCACGCATGTATGGGCTCTTCTTCCATTTGCCATCTGTCTTGTAAAAGAAAAAAATCAGTGTGTAACTCCTCTTGCAGTGGTTTGTATCCTAACCTGATCCGTGTACAGGCGTGTAGATAAAGCTTTGTGACCACCTTTTGAAACCAGGTTGTTGTCTCTGTCCTCTAATACCTTTAATCAAATCTCCGTCCAGCTCCTAACAAACCTAGTGTATAGCTGAAGTGTTTGCACAAAGTCGTTGTAGCCGTGAAACAGTTAGAGCACATTTATATTTCAGGATGATCTCCTTCTCTGCGAGATTCAAAAATTGTACAGATGCAAGTGACAAAACTGGCTCCCTTGGCTGTTTTTTTTTTTTAACGTGTGTTATGAATGAATGTTTACATATTGGTGCAACTATGTGTGTGGACTCCTTATGGTTGTGTTAAATTATTGTGAAAATAAGTGAGTGACAGTGGAGTTAAACCCAAGGCCCTGAGTGGATGATTGACTAAGTAGAGGTGATTTCTTTTTGTACATTTTGATATGGAAACAGTCTTGTTGCAGTACTAATAGTAACCTATGCTATGATGTATATTGTAAAAACAATGGTGGACCTTTATAACAGCTGTTAGTGGTGTTTTTTTTTGTTGTTGTTTGTTTTTGAAAGTGGCCTTGCAGGGGTAGATGGACTCAAACATTGTGTAAAGTCACTGTAATGTGACAGGGCCTCAAAGCATTGTGCACGCTCCACATCCCTTTATAATATTCCCACAATCATATTACAACATAATTCAGCCTTTTGATTTTTTAGCTGTGTATTCTTTATTTTCTATTTTCAATCCCATTTTTTTACCCTCTCATTATATTTGTTACAAACAAGTTTTCTTTTCCTCTTTTGTATTTTCAATTTTATATTTGGGATTAAAAGAGACTGTTGTGGAAATTTGTAGTGGAAGCTCAGCACATACTAAGCCTTGAAATTGGGTTGTGGATCATTGGGGTTGGTATTAGAGGTTAGAAGTTTGTTCGGTGTACTTAGTGGTAGAAAGAACCGTGTGTCTGTGTTTCATAATCACAGAATTTCTGATGCAATATACATCCTTAGGATCTGATCTTTTTTCCTTTTACAGCTTGTCATGGTGTCCAAACTTTTTTAAAACAATCGTTAGTTTTGTGGAAACAGTATCACTCATCAAAATAATCGTCATGACAACTTATCCTTTCCTCTTTTGCCCCTGTGTGTGCGGGTGTGAGTGTTATTGTGTTACAAACTTCATGTCATCACACAGGTGCATAAATGTCATACTCCATAACTACCACATTGTGTGTGTGTGTGTGTGTGTGTGTGTGTGTGTGTGTGTGTGTGTTGAAAAAGTTGTTTCTCCCCAGATGAAAACTGGCCTTTGTGAAACTCTTACCAAGAGGGTATCTGATGCAGACTAGTGTGACATTGTCTGTTTTTTTATTGTCTTAACAGTGCTTGAAATAAATGAATTGCAAAGGGACTGCCAAGTCCAGAACTACAAAGTGTTTGTCATGTGTCCATTTATAATAATAGACGATGATAATTAGTTATCATAATCTTCCATTGTCCTCAGGCTGACCCTTTATTCCCTCTACAGCATTAAATCAAAAGTCAGTTGAACTAAAACGGTAAGATTTAAGAGGGCATCTCAAAATCTGAGGGACATATCTGTACTTAATGATTTTATGGTCCTTTTGTCATGATCAAGATAAAGAGCATGTTCAGAAGACGTCAAGAAATCAATCTCTCCACATCAGACCTTTTCAGTCTGCATCCACAGGCCCTTTAGCAACCTCGATCTGTCCCTATATTTAGATGGGAAAATGAATAAATAAACCCAAGCTGTTTCAAAGGGACTGTGAGTGGTTGAGAGACAGAAACTGATTCTGACGCCTCTTTAAGACCTTCAAAATCAAAAGAGACCATCAGAAACAAGGCTGATAACTTCTTGGTTGTCATTTTCATGCCTAAAACCGCTATGAGAGGGTATGTGGTGGGATACAGCAGCCTGAAGAAACAGCCTTTTTTCACTTTTAACCATGGCATTTACTCAGTAAACAAAACTTTTCACTAGTAAAGGACAACAGGAAGAGTTTTTTTTTTTTTTTAAACACTACCTTCAGAACGAGAGATGAGAGGTATCTCTGTCCTCAGGGGACACCAAAACCAATACAGGAACCAAAAGTTCCTCATAGCAACTGAAGATATTTTGAATTTCAAAACTAATATAAATATGTTAAATGATAACAGTACAAAACTACTTCTCCAAAATCAGAGGGTGAACGGTTTTGCTTTACGGATGTGACATTTAAAATTCAAAACTTCCCTTGCACAAAGAATTAATATCATTATGTCATACTCAAAATCTAGTCTACTGAAGTGTGACCTTTAATTATGTTCCCATAACTTCAGAAGTGTATTTCACTCACACACATAAAAAATGACACAGAATATTTTAATTAATATTGTAAATAATTCACAGAGCTAGAATTTCTAATAATGCAAAGATGATTGATATTTGAACTTTGGAAATATTTGGATATTTACAAGAAATCCCTTTTTAATTCCAACAGGGGATCAGACAAGGAATTAACTTGCCGATATCACCTTTTCTTTTTTAAATAGATCTCTGCACTCAAAGATAGTTGAAAGTATTCAAGGGAAGAATACATTCCTCTTACATGTTAGAATTATCAGCTTAAAATTTCCATTATGGGCCGAGGCCATTCTGTGACCCCTCAATAATCGTTCGGGCTTTTCCGCTCGGCTTCGTCACTTTTCGCGCTCCTCATATTAGTTCCCACGCACTCTCCCTTCCCTGCGCCGTGCTGAGCTGGAAAATGGCTGTGTAGGGGAGCAGGGAGTCATGAACGGGAAAAGAAAGAAAGAGCGAGAGAAAGAAGGCGAAGAAAGAAGTGAACACAGGGTTTGCTAGAAGTTTAATGCACTTCGAAGAGCTTTCGTCGGCACGTAAGGACACCACACGGACTCTGTCGTCTTCTTTTAAGTGTTAAAGCGCCGCAGCCAAAAAGTGAGAAGAGTCAAGAAATATCCGCGGGTGAGTTTTTCCAAGTTATTGCACATTTCCAGTACAGCAAGGCAGCAGCAACTGTACTGGAAAATGGAGGCTGCAAGTGTGCTCGGAGCACGCAACTTCACGCTGTTGACTTGTGTTGAACTTTTTAAAAGTTTGAACTCATGGTTTCTATCATGTTTGTTGTATTTTATGAGGTTTACACAGTTCGCTTGGATGCAACTTGAATATTTGCAGCACGTTGCTCGGTGCTGTGGACTACTGCAGTCAATGTTAGGAGCTCGCGCTTGTCGACAGTTGACGTGTAATGCTGAGCCTGTTAAATTACTGTAACTTTAACATTTATGTTTGTTTAAGGTTTATTTTAAAACTTAAATTATGCTCAGTTTTATGTTTGTTTGCTGTCGGAGTAGTCACGGGGTTGTACCAAAGAAAACTTTCAGCTCAGCAGAAAAGTTAGCTTTAAAAAGTGGAAGTTAATGCAGAATTTAAACCTCTATACTAAGTTTAAGGATATATATGTTTTGACACGTTTTAGCTATATGCCGGTATGAAAACTTTGCAAATTTAGAGAGGACTAAAATTTTTAACAGCAAGGCATAACACAACCAACTGTGTAGTGTCGTCCATGTGTATAACATTGGGAGTGTATGTTACACTATAATAGTGCCTTTACATTGACTGCAGACCACAGGAGGCCATGCAGCGTGGAGGCCTCACATAGCTGAAGGCCTGGTGTGATGTGTGAGGGAAAGTGTATGTGTGTAAATGTGTGAGTGCTCCATCCATCCCTGGTTTTGAGGATTTGGCATGAATCAAAGAGTTAATGAAAATTGTACCGCTTGCATAATAAGACAAGCCACTCAACTGTGTGGAGACCCCCACCCCATCACCACCCTCCTCTTGTAATTACTGAATCGAGCATTATGCAACCAAATGTCACTTCTTCATTACTCTGACAGAGCAATGTGAGGCATGACTTGTGGCAAAGCCTAAATTCTTCCTCTAAATGTCTCTGAAATGTTCTATGTGACTTGCAGGGCTTATTTCTCTGAAAAATATCCCTAAATAGTGGATCCTCTCACAATGTCACGTCAGAGGAGTTGAATAAACTGAAGAAGTTCAACTCAACAGCTGTGCAGCTGTGGTTATTTTTGTAGTTTGATCTGGAGGATAAGTGATTTAATCAAAATAGCAATAGAGGACAGCTTTTAGGATGTTGGAAATGCATGCGGCTCCCAGCTATACCAAGAAGAATCATCTGATAGCTACAAAAAATATATTATTTTTGACTCTCAGGGAAATAAACCTGTATTTTCTTTTTAGAATAATATGGGTAAAATCTATTCTGTGTTCCTTGATATTGAAAGTTGTTCTGAATGTGAGCAAATACTGATCAAACAGGTAACAGTTGATTTACCTTGAGATCCCCCTGAGAATAATCACAAGATCATATTTCAATTTTGAAGTATCACTGTCAAGTGACAGACTGAAAGCCAGACGAGCACACTCATTACTTACATTTGACAGGATGTAGGTGCCACTTAATTTTACTGCTTTATCACTTATCAAGTAAAACTGGTTCCCTATGAATCTTAAAGAAGAGTCATGCTGCTATTTTGATATGCTTTGTTAATACTGCGTTTAACGTTCATATAATAAAATTAAAATAGTTATGAAGGGGTTGGAGTGCAGTTTTATAGTATGTTTTGATTGGTACGAGAGATAGAGTCAGTTGAGAAAAGGAAAACACGGAGGCTCGCTAACCTCTTACTACAAGCTAACTACGCAGAAAAAAAGGTTGGATATTTCCAGCTGGTGCAGCCTTTTCAGATTTATCACATAAATCGGATTTTCTTTGTCACAGTCACAGTGTTTCATTTAATCAGCTCGATAACAGGGAACTGCATTTTTATCTTTTATTCAACTGTAAAGCGTTGCAGCGTCCTTACATTTTTAGAACAGTGGCGTCTCAGTGCTCTATAATCTCCACAGCAGATGTTTCTGTTTTGCATTGAGAGCTTTCGGCCTCATTAAGGACACACAGAGTTCAGGTGAGCATAAGTCAAATCAAGAAGTGTCAAAGCCTCCATTTTGCTGAAAAATAAGTCGTCACAAGCTGCTGTGTTGTTGGCCTGTCCTCCCTGTGGCGCAGTAGATTTTTCAGTTCCATGTGGACAGATGGCCCGAGGCCAGGCTGCATGCGTGGTGTCTCTGTAGTCAGTTCTTCACCAGCGGGGCTGTAAAGGGCCAACACATACAGAGACATTAAAGCAAAAGCTCTCTGTCCATTTAGATGTCCGAGGACCTGAAGGTGCATTTTAATGTCTTCGATAGTTAACAGTTAAAAGCAGCACTTTTACATGCATGAAATTCAACAGTTTCTGAGACACAGTATTGTGTGACTCTGTGTTTTGATCCTTATACTAAAACTCTATGTTTCCTCTCTGTTACCTCTTAATAGCTTAACATGATAATTAGATTTTTTTTAAAAGCCTCCTGTTACTCACTGTGGTGTATCAAAATATCATTATTTCAGCCTCCGTCTAAAATGCTTCTTTTTAGCTGCTGTCTCTTTAAGGCCCACCCCTCCACGAGCCTACTGTCTCCTGATTGGCCACCTCTCCTGGGGCAGGGTCGACTTAAGCAGTTTCAGAATGGTCTTAATTTTCGTTAGGCCGCGCTCTCACCTAACTTATTAACTCAGCTAATATTTTACTAGTAGGTTTCTTACCTCATCCTCCCTCTTGCTACGAACCTAAAGGGTACAAATAAAGCAGGGTATGGCTGAACATCCAGTGGTAGATGTCAAGAGGCTAACACACTTTTTCTATGTCCGATGCCGACACCAGGTCAGCCGTGGCAAATCTACAATGCTGATACCATATTGTTGTAATTTATTTTTCTGTATTTGAAAGACAACAGTTTAATGACACTTAAAGATGAGAAACAAAGTTGCTGTCATCTCTTATTTAATACATGTAGAAGATATATGACATAGTAAAATATTTCTACAAGAGACTTTTAGATTTCTACACAGTTATCTGAAATTTAAAAAAAAGAAAATAATTTCAAGGTAAATATTGAGATTAAAATAAAAAGAAAGTCACGTAGAAATCCATTATTCTGCACATCAAGGTCTGATAAACATGGCTTTCTTAGCCAGTTACAGGTTTTAGATGGAATTTAAATGAATTTATGGAATTGGGCTATAATTTTTGCAGTTGACGGGTATTTATTTAAGAAGCAATAATAAGTTGCATTTATATCACAACAAAATCTATACTAAGCATTTGTTGGTGACTATTTAGATCCAATTTGCTGTCATTTAGGATGTGAAAATTGTGTTTTCATTTAGAAAAGGTAAGGGTCATTTTGTTCTACTGATGACCAATGTTGATATGATGCAGATTATGTCAAAACGCCATAAATCCATAAATAATTGGTCTATCTCTAGTAATTTATCAATAGCAGACTGCTGTTATGAAGAATGACCCATTGCTATTGATATGGCTAAGAAGGACAGACCAACAGCAATTATATCCCTGAGCACCACAAAACATTTGGTTTTGGTGGGAAAACCAGGAAAAGAAACCAAAAGAGTGAGGAAAATACAGGGAGGCTCGCTAAAACGCAGTTGTCTAGGACAGAAAAAAACTGGAGATGGCAAAGAAAGCCAATACTCAAGGCAATGCGATGGGAGATACCACGCTGTTTTATGCCTGATTTAAGACTGTTACTATAGAGACAGCTTACACTATGACAGAAATAAAATGACTTTGAAATCACTTAAACTGTTTCAAAACCAGTTTTTAATGTAAAACGATTAATTTCATAGGTAAGTTACAATGCTGCAACCAAAAATGTAGAGTGAGCTGAAGTCAGGACTGTATTGTTTTATCTGACAGATGAGCAGGAGCAATGAACAGCTCTTATATACCAACTTATGTGGTTTAGTTTTTATGATATAATTTTCACACCAAATCACTGGTCAGGGGGCTAAAGGTCCTTACACACCAGGGCCGACGCAAATATAGAACGCGAAATTATGAAATATTTGGAGGCGGATTTTGACGCGCCAGACTATACACATCAAGCCTGATGAGATTTTGCGACTTTCCGGTGGGGAAAAAGATGCGTCCCGGGTGGAAGCGAGAAGACTAACACAACAGCAGACTGACTGTTTTTCAGTTCTGATTAGACACTAGTGTTGAGATGGCTGTCTGTCATGATAGCATTACTGAGTCGGGCCATTACCAGATAAGCACATTAAACTATAATCCATAAACATAAGGTAACAACCGAGACCTAACGGTGCTGTGACAGCAACGCGATTGAGTTTGAGACAGTGAAAATACATATGGTATGTTGTATCTGAACCGGTTAGCTTACGAGCTAAAGTTACTTAGCACAGATGAAAGTTAAAACAAAGACGTTTAGCAAACTGTTAAAACACACAAACCATTGTCATATGAGAGATCCTACACTATGACTCTCCACAAGTTGTCCTTCAGGTCGTTATCTTTGTAATGTTTGTGTTTTTTATCAAAAAGCAATCTGTTCTCCGACACGTAAACAATCAGCCGGTCAGCCATGTTGGATATACCGGTAAATCAGACATCGCAATAACACGCAATCTGATTGGTCAGAAGTGAACACACAGAATGCGAAACTTTAGAAAAATCGACCGTGATATGAAAAAATAAATGCTGCAATATCACAGGACTGGAAAACGTTGCTGATGTGAACGCTTGTATTGACAGGATATGGGTTTGAAAAAAATTATTGACGTCCAAAATAATCGCACGAAAAAAAATGGTCCCGGTGTGAAAGGACCTTAAAGTATATCAGCTCATATTTTAGACGTGCCTTTAACAAGCCTATAACAGCTGTTTGATTTATGTTATTGGAGATTTTAACACAAGACAAAATAAATCATATGTACACCACTGGCAGTACAACAGGACAGCAGCCACACTAACGCAGTTTGTCAACCAGATACCACAGACAAATGTTTTGTTTTTATTTATAAAATCTCAGTAAAAAATGCATCAAAAAAGATATATTGATATTTTCTGTGTTTATAATAAACACATGATGTACAGTATAAGTATGAGTAACAGCCACAGACCAGCAAATGAACTGAAATCTCACATTGATTTTTTTTAAGTTGTTACCTTCTTCAGGCTTTGCAAAAAAATCAATTGCCCACGTGTTAATTTTTCCAAGAATAGTTAATACTATACTTGAAAACATATATGGACACACGTGTGATTTTCTTAGCTGCGTCTGGGTCTCTGGTATCACTCTGTTGCTGTGTTAGTAATGCCCTGAATAGCTTATTTGCCATTTTACATTATGCATGCTGGTATATAATGAACAGGTCAGAGCTCCACTGGCTGACTAAACACATCAAGAGTCATCTGACGGCTACACGGGAACATCTAGATGCCATTTTGAGTTCAGTCTGGGTCTCATTTTCCCCCCACAGTGAGACACATTCATGTCTGTGACACAGATAGCAAATCTAAAAAAAATTAGAAGCTCTGTCTCCTTATCGTGTGCTTTTAAATCACTGCTGTGAACTCCTGAACTAGTTTTACTAAATTAGTATACGCGCGCCTTTAAGTCTGTTTCTCATAGCAGTCTTCTTTCACAAAGGACAAAGTGTATTTTTCTTTCTTTTTTCATGTGGCCAGCATTTCTCTCCCTGTCAACTCAGAAAACAAAAATCTTCTCCTCTCATCCCATTGCACGACTCCGACGTGACTCATGAAATCCTCTCCAATCAGGAGCAGCCTTCAGTTTTTCCAAGCAATACTCTTCTTCATCATCCTGTGGCACTTTTCATTCCCTTTAAATCATCATTTCATCTCACACGATGAGAGATCATCCGAGCTGCAAAGATGAAAAAAGTCAAAAGCGTGTGAGAAGGTGGAGTTGTTTGGGTCAGATGTTTGATCACTGCCTAGATACATTTTCTAATATTAGAACGTTTCCTTGATTTGCCGGGCTTCTCTGGTGCTGCTGAGCACATGGCTCGAGTAGCAGCCAATCAGAGTCTAGGATTAGCTTTCCCTCTCTCTAGCAACAGTGAGTTACTTGCTGCCTATTCATTAATTATTTTCCTGTGGTCTCCCTCAGCCGTGTGGACTCTGCTGATAGCAAAGTGCTTCGTCTCTCAGTCACACTCTGGTTTTTCACTGCGCTCTGCCGCTCTGTGCTCTGACTGAATAAAAGTCTTGAAAAAGAGAAAATGGATCCAGTGACGCTGAGCCTGACAGCTGTTTCTGCTGCTGCTGCTGCTGCTGCTGAGCTACTACTACAACACTATCAGACCAGGACTGTAACAGAGATGACTCCTTTCTCACCTCGTACGACTTTTCCTGCTCTGGAACTAAATAATAGAACAGGATTACAGAACGAGTGCGCTCCCCTCGCTCTGCTTTTTCGCACCCTTGGTTTAGTTTTTACCTTTTTTCTGCTGCTGCACTTTGACTATAAACAAAACACGGCAACTGGAAAACCGACGGGACTTTTTTCGCTGGCTGAAGATGGTGGGGGGGGTGTCAGTTGGAGGAAACACTCTGTGTGTTTGGAGTTGGAGGGGGGTAGAGCAGGTGGAGAGAAGAGGGAGGGGGGTTTTAGGGTTGGGGGGGGGGGGTTATGGTGGTGTGAGGATTGCGGGCTGTGGTTGGGTATGCCAGTGCCACGTGTCTAGCCTGGCACCTCTTGCTTCTCGACTCGAAGGATGTTGGACCGAGTGTCTGGCTGAGCCTGTCCGGCTTCTCTCTGAACCAAAAGTGGGGTGAGTGCTGCACTCTGCTGCATCCTGTTATCACCTTAACTCGGCTTTTTCATTTCTAAAGACGATTTTCTAAGTCACTAAGGTTTGCAGGGAATATGCGTTCGCTTTCCGAATGTCGTGTGGGGAGAGGATAATCTAGACTAAGGTTTCGAAAGCATGCACTTTGGCGTTCAAAGATGCAAAACGGAGGTTTTCGGTTTATTTCTTAACCTTTCTCCTTGTTTTATTTAAGTGTCTGCAATGCATCACTCAAATCATTGTCTATTCAGGAACGTTTATGAAACGGTTGCACAACATCGGGCCTCGAGAAACCAGGCCTTTGGTTATTCGGATTTTGGCATTTCGGAAAAATGTCCCAAATAGCTGTTGGCATACAAGACCAAAACTTCCATGCACCTTCACGTCCCTCTCACCCTCCCTCTCTACTGGCTTCATCTCCTCTCTGACATCCTTTTATCCTGTCCAGAGAGGTTAACATGACCATCGTCCTTGGTTGGTTCACAAACCACAGATGTCGTACTTAATCTGGAAACCCTAATCTCTCTCTCTCTCTCTTCCTCACTCTCAGCCTGATCTCTCAGCGATGGTACCGTTTGAATTTGGACTTTTTAGCAGTTTTATTTTGCACCCCTCAAATCTCAAACGACCAAATGGGTCAGTCATTTTTTTCCATGTTTGGTGGTGAATACTGTAATCTCGTGTTTCAGCCTCGGAAATCAGGATATTTCTTCAAAGCGAGTTTCCGAAGGGTTCGGTTTATTTCCCTTTTTTAAAAAACGTTTTCTTGCTGTTGTTCGATGATCATTTCCCACTTGTGCGTTTCATTTTAGTTGGCCCTGCGATCACTTCTATCAGAATACTCGTTGTCTGTCCCAGGATGACCTTTTTTCTCCATTTTGATCCTATAAAACAACTGACATGATGCAGTGAAACCTTCGCTTTAAGGTTCTTATTTCTCGATATTGTATCAGGCTTTAGTTACTCAGTTGACTGACTGTTCGATATTTTCATACGTGGGCAGACTTGGTACACTTTTATTTCGTTGTTTCGACAGAACGAAGCCGAAAATATTTCTCAGCCAACACAGGTCTCTCTTTTTCTCCCCTACTGAGAGAGAACTGTTGCAAAGGGTTCTGCATGTATCAGATCACCCGGGTCGCCCTACAGCCTTGATGCAGGTCCTACTTTCTTTTGCATGCATGATCTCCCCAAAATGTTTTTTCTTCGCCGTTTTTGCACGGATCTTTTCGGATGCTGCTCGATGTCGTGTTAGTTGGAAGGGACATGTATTTCACAGTGAAACTTCTAGCTCTTGGAAAGTGTGATGTGTCAGTGAGGGCTGTGAGTGTGTGAATGTGGAGTGGAGGGAGTGGAGGCTCTTGTCCAGGGACTTTGTCTACCGATGGTCATGACGCAGCAGCATCATTCGATTGCTCCGTCCTAACCGAAGACTGCACAAATGCATGGAGATGCCGCAGTTCGCCATTTTCGTACACCGCTCAAAGCTTCACATACCTACTCTAGTTAGTGCTTTATATGAAGAGGTTTCGTCGTACAGAAACGACATTTATCGACAGTTATTTCCTATTTTCCACGATTTATCTTTTGATTTTTGACCCTGATTTCTGTTTTCTTTTCTTTTTCCTTTTTGGGTTTTTATGTTATGCAGGTCAGTCGTAATCTTTGTCCAGATCATGTGGGAGCCCTGAGAGAACCGAAGAGGATTAAGGACCTTCCCACTCCGCCATTCTTCGTCCAATCAGACCGCTTCTCAAAACCTTGGGGAGCCGGCGACACAGGGCCCTCGACTGGCAAAATCTTTCACCGGGCTGCTCCGATAGCACCCAGCCAGCAGGTTTCCGCAGCGTGAAGGAGCATGTTGCCAACGCTCTCCCTCTGCTCCATCATCTGGCTCAACCGGGGTATCAAGCTGAGGAAAGTGCACCAGTCCACCAACACCGGTCAGGTCTAGAAACTGCTGCAGACACAGACAGACAGAGCCCCAGCAGAGCGCCACCTTATCGACTTCTGAAAATGCTTCTAAGCTTTGGGTGACTCCCCGTTTCCCCTTTACCCTCCCCCTGACCACCTGGGCCTCCAAACCAACACCACCACCAGAGTATAGTGACTCTACAGCCTCTTCGGTTTCTGCGGAGGATTCCCGTATTGCAGAACTCTGTTGTTGCAGTAGGACTCCGGCTGCACTACTTAATCCTCTTGTCGGTGGCCATTTTGAATCCTGCCTCCCTCCCAAAATGGCGGTCGAAGGTTTTCAGTATCTCGCCCTGTATGCATTTACCAAGGACCAGGAAGAGGACTTGGATCTGCAGCCCGGGGACCTTCTGACCGTCAGCAAAGCATCGTTGCTGTCCACGGAGAACTACGAGGAGGGCTGTGAGGAGCAGCCTGAACACCTCGGCTGGCTCCTCGGGTACAACGAGCGCACCAAACAGAGAGGAGACTTCCCAGGGACGTACGTCAAGTACGTGGGCCCTGTCAAGATGGTCCTGCCATCGAGTCAACCCAGATCCCAGCGACCTCTTCCTGCTGCCCCAAGACCAGAGGCGACTCAAGGTAAGAGCCTCCGGTGGTTGCCTCAGTGATGCAGCTATATGTGTTTGTCATTTATTAATAAGAAAAAATTGAAGAACAAAATCACTGCAAAATGCAAGATGACCCCAAAAATGAGGTTGCAGTAAAAACGTGAAGTGGAGTTGAATTCAAATACAGACAACATGTCGGTATCACTGTCTGTGAGGCGCTTTGTTGTTTCAGCGCAGTGTCTGTCAGCGGAAAACAGTAAAACTGGCTCCTAAAAATAAATCAGGCAACATTTCATTAAATATTCTTTTTTCAGGAATTTTTGGGTCTGTATCTTTTCTCTATTTTTGCTGCTCTGCATGAAATTATTTTGGTCTGTCATGTGATGTCACACATCAACATGTAAAAGGACTCAGGTCGCAGTGAGCCAAGCATCTTTGAACCCCCCTTCTTTTGTAGTCCTTCGTCAGTCTATGTTTCTGTCGTAATTTTTACAAAGATTTTCTTTTACATGTGGATTTTTTTTTCAATAATCAAAACGAGAACATATTTTGGGTTGATTTGAACACACCATGCATGTACAGGAGTGGAGTCCTGACGAATGCTGAGCTGCAGGATCACACAGACTGAAAAACAGCTGTTGGAGTTGTTGGTGTGTTTCTGGTTTGGCCTTCTTGGCAGTTTTGATCGGGCTCTCGCATTTGGCAGCGACCTCTGGCTGACCCTTTAATCTTTACTTAAAACACGTCATAAGCCTTACCCCTTTGGAAGCACAGCTAACCAAACTCTCACTGCTGAATAATAAAGGGCTAATCCGTCTACTTACTGGACTCTCCTGTACAGGTCTGCCATTGATTCTGTCTGTCTGTGTGGTCTCCTTTACATTCAACACTAACTATGGCGTCCAAACTGCATCTCGCTTCTCCTTGACTGTGACTTATTATTGACCTGACTCAGAGATGGGAAAGGAAACAAGCTATTAGATATTTACTTTTTTTTTTTTTTTTGCACGGGGAAATACAGATGTTTTGTCCGATACGTTGCATGCATAATTAACTGTAATATTTCAGATGATACAATGACAGAAATTTGCTCTGTTCCAAATCACCTCCATTTGCTTTTTCGACTTTGGGAAAAAAAGTCAAGTCTGATATTTATTCATAATGATCCTAGCCGGCTTTCAGCTGCAACAGCATCCAACTTAAACATTCACTTGGCATGGATAAGTCGACCTTCACAAGCTCAACCTCAAGTAAAATCTTTGATTTGTAACCAAAGGTCTTCCACACCCCCCAAGATTTCCATAATTTGCATTCCCCAGCGCTTGGCCTGAGCTGGTAAATTTATCGTTTCCTTGTAAGGGATGCCAGAGAAAAAGGTGAATGGGGCCAAAATAGATAAATAAAAGTTTTTATGTCATTCCTCATCTGAAACCATACATTCCTCCACTGTCAAAAGCTGTATTCTCTTGTGATTCCCCTGTGCCTTTTATGACAGACGGGATAAGTACCACTCTGAGCAAGTAGGCTGTGAACTCTGAATTACCTCTGCTTGAGCCAATTGGCAATTCATCGAGTACACCAAAGTACACTGGGCCTCATTCAAGTTTATCAGTTTTTTTTTTTTCTTTTTCTCTGAGATTTTATGAAGAGTCCTAAAAACACGGGATATTATAACTGCGTCACAAAAGTCTGCAGAATGCCATTAAAAGGAGGTCTCTCTCCATGCCCTGATAAAGTAAAAAGCCTGAGAGTGAACAAGCGCTGGCCTTCACTTTGTGAGCAGAGGCAGGTGAGGAGGAGAAGAACAGTATCCTCGTGCTTTGACAGACAGTGAGACAAACCAGTTGGGCAGGAGGCGTTTGTGTCTGTGATACGGAGAGACAGGGGCAGGAGTGTAACCCTGAGAGGTAGGAGGAGGAGGAGGGCTGGTGAGCGGAGCAGTGTCTGAAGGAAGGAGACTTTGGCACTGCACCAAAAGTGCATTGTAGATTAGAAATGGTCATGCCTACATTTTTACAAATATCATCTTTATCTCCCTGAAGACACAGCAGCAGCCCTGGACTCGGTGTGAATAGAGCTTTTGTCAGTGTGGCCCATTTACTATTCGTGGGGATTGTAACATTTGGCGTTGAGGAGCTGTGCAGTGGTTTAGCGGCGAGGAGAGGTTGTTTAATCCCAACGTCTGTCCTCCTCACCAGAAGCTGAACTTTTAAGCAAATTAGCATTAATAAGATAATGAAGACCTTATTAGTTACTTTCTGTAGTAATGCCGTGGATAAAGTACTAAGTTTGTGTGCTCATATTAAAGACATTCACATTCATATAATCAGGTGGTTATCTGATTTCTTATGCTTTGAACATATTTTCAGCCTTTGACGGCACAAATAAGTGTATTAGTAATGTGTATTAGTCTGCTTTTGTTTGTTTTGGTGGACCAGTGCACTGCGAGGGCGGGCTCTGTAATAGGAGACTGTTTCTTGCTGCTTCACGAGTGCAGATTTACTTCTTTAGATGTTGCCTCTGTTTCACTTTCAGACTGTTTGATTTCATTATTGAACTACAGCCACAAACCGTACATCCTTTCCTTACTCCACAGTGAGGCTGCAGCTAACTTTGTTCTGCTAACCCATGCATGTAAAACTCTGGTTGCAGACATGTTTAAGTGTCTACATTTCCAAAAGTAGTATTTCCATGGCAGAAACAATAAATAGTTTTTAATACCAACCTAGGACTCTAACCAGGACTCACATTTGTTTTGAAGGAATCAGGTTAAAGCAGAAAGTTGACTACATGGTGGATGGTTGCGCCCATGTTGATGCACCAGTGTTTGCAAAATGCAAAACAAAAGTTTCTTTTCAGACAAAAAATGCAAATGGCTCAGCTCTGTCCTTTCTAAATTTAAATCCACAGAGGAGGATTCTTAGTATGCCAGTGTCACAGTTTTTATGTGGAAGGGTTTTGTACACAACTCTCTTGAATAATAAAATAGTAAAGGCCTACTTATTGTTTAGTTCAGCAGTGAGTGAGGCCATGCTGAAGTTGCTCCCACATTGTAAAAAGTTTGAAAGTATTGTTTTAAACTGGTGAATTAACACTTTTCCAGCCATGTGGTGCACATTTAGTGTCAGTGGTAGCGGATATGAAAAGTTTGAGAGCACTTTGGAGACAACTTGGTAATAAAAATCAGTTTAATTCCCCGGACTCTGAGGTAAAACGTTTCTCAACTTGCAGCAGAAATAATTCTACGAACCCAGGGAGAGTTTTTTTTTCCCCTTTTCCCTCGATTCTCCCTCTCCTCTCCCTGGCCTCACTTTAACTGCCTGCTGAAATGAACCATGGCTTGGCATTTTTGCAAAACTCCTCCCTTATTCACCCCCCAACCCCCCACCTCCCCTCCTTTTTGCAGCCTCTCTCCCTGATTCACATACACGTCTGATACTGTCTCTGGGCGGCTATAAACCATGTTAGCAGGGCCAGTTCTCAGAAAGGAGAGGCCTCCACTCGTTCTCCACTCCCTGTGCCTTACCAGGAAAACACTTTCAAAGAACACATGAAGTGGGGGGGAGGGAGGTGACAGAGGGGCTGAGACAGTAGAGAAAGTGAATGGGAAAGATATTGAGAGGCTTGAGAGAGAGGGAGACGAAGGTTACATTGTAAGCCAAGGCCACCTGATCCAACTGCAAATATAGGAACCAGCTGTATTTGGTTTCTTTCGGACTGTTGTACTACTCTCCCAGAGTTTAGTAAATTTAGCACATTACACTTCGGAGAGCTGCAGAAAATGTTATTTCCTTGAGTGTTTCCATTGCAGTAAAATAGAACTAATTTAAGTGTGAAGTCATCTTCCCAAAAGATTAATGGCTTTAGCAAACCAGAAACAGAGAGAAGAACATTTTGTTCAGTTTCTAGCTCAAGGCAGGAGTGAAATATAATCCCAGTCCAAACTTTCTCTCTACTAAATAAAAAAGCAGTCGGAGGTGTTTTTTTTAGTCAAGGTCTTTTTTTATTTTTATTTTTGTTATTTTAAAAGTTATACAAAAACAAACAGAAACATCAGTGATGTCTTATTTTTGAACAGTATAACCCCCCAAAGCTCCAACAGAGCCCCTTCCCAATATACCCTTCTTACACTAAATATAAAACATCTAATCATATGCATACATACATCATACATACACACACATACATACATACATACATACATACATACATACATACATACATACGTATAATTACATAAACACACACACATCCATGTGCATCTACATTCACATAATAATCAGAGGAAAAAGATAAAATAAGATATTACCTAGAATGTTGTGGGGTCATCAGCTTAAATTGATAATATCCTCATCATCCATTTTTTGCTATGTAAATTAAGGAAGGTTGCTAGATGGCATAAAATTTCTGGGCATTGCCTCTTGTGGTGTAAAGTATTTTCTCAAATGTCAAATTATAATTGATAATATCATTTATCTCTGATTTAAAAGTTGGAATCATTTTTTTTCATCTGAACAGTTTCAGTCGACGAGTGAGGAGAAAACCAAAAGCTAATCATAATTTCTGACCGGCGGCTGATCCGTAGACCAAAAATTGCTGTTCTAGGAGAAGGTTTTACGAATATCTAAATGAAAGCTGGTAAAGTTGTAAATATCAATTTACAAAACCTGTCTCATTTTGGGCAGGACCACAACACATGTGAGAGGGTGCCTGGTGCTTGTCAGTGTTGGTCGTATGTGGGATCAAAAGCAGGAAGCATTTTACATAACCTGACTTTGGACCAGTGGAGTCGATGCAAAACCTTGAACTGAATCACAGTATGTCTTAAGCAAATAGAAGAAAAAAGTATTTTTTTCTAAAAGCTGCTTGCCAGACTTTCTCTAAAACTTTGCCTCCAGTTCTTCTTCCCAACAGTTCTTGAACCGAGTTGAAGGTTTCAAGTTATGAGGATTAATGAAGGAATAAACGAGCCTGATGGAGCTTTTGGAGGATGAATTAGGATTCAAAATGGAGTCTAGGAGAGAGCTGGTCAGTTTAGATGGAAAAGAAGGGATGTTACGATAAAGTTATGAGTTTGAAGTTATCTAAAGAAATGTGAACAGGGCATATTGAACTTTGATAAGCTGATCAAATGATGCAACAGAAGTGTTAATAAAGAGATTTTCTGTTGTAGTGAGTCATCCTCCTTTAAGCCACACGTCAAAAGCTCTGTTGATAATTAATGGTTTGAATATGTGGTTTTTAGGGGTGCATAGATTGAGATATCATCATGAAAACAATCTTCTGAATTGTGTCCATGTCTTACAAAAGTGTATTACTATCGGATTTAAGGAATATTTGGTAGTATATGAGTTCATGTGTGAATTCAGTTTTGTACTGAGCAATGCACTTAATTAGATGTAGAGTCACAAGACAAGTTTTGTAATTGGCGATTGTACTGTTACATATTTTTACATATATTAGGCCTTTTCTTACTCTAAATAAATTCTGATATTAGTTTCTTCTATTGACATGAAAAAAAAGACTGATAAAGATACGGAAATACTCTGAAAAACATATAAGAAACACATTCATATTGAATTTCCCTCAATAAAGTTCTTTTTCCTCTTCTTCATCATCTTTTTTTGAATAAACTGATTTTCCCTCCTAATGACAGAGGTAGCAGACTCCAACGGTTCAGATCCTGTTTTTAAATAGTTACTGTATTTCTAAATAATAATTATAAGCAATTAAAAACTATGTGCTACTACAAACTAAAACTGAAAACTGTCCATTTGCACATTTTGAGGCACAGTGTGTCAGATGTTGTGGGACAGATTTGATAGACATGAAATGTAACATTCACAAGTAAGTTTAGATCAATGGTCTGATGAACATCCCTGTGAATAAAGTTGTCTCTGTTTATCTCATCCTCCACACCTTAAAAATAGTGTCTTTTAAAAACATCTCCTTCTGCTGAGTTTTGACAGTCAAATGAATCTTTTTTTTTTTTTAGCTCTGTCTTTGGCCGCTCCACTGACACCTACCCCCTTGCACCAGTTTCAGGCATTAAAGATTTAAGTGTACAAATCAAATATCTTGTTACTGATGGCCTTGTTTGCTTTTCATATCATAAAAAAGCTTAAATAGAAATGTTAGTCTGTTTCAGAAATGTCAAAAAACTCCTCACAGGAGCTTAAATGTGCAGAAATTAAAATGTAAAACTCATTTTGCTTTTGTTATAGTAGGATGAGAATTTTATATCTACACAGGAGCGGGTCCTCTGGTCAGTTGAAACACAGTGAAATAGGACTAAAGTGAAACAGGACTTTCTTTAAAAAGATATATATACAGTACAAACTTGTTTTTTGATGTTGCACAGTATTTGTAGGTTTTCTTTAAATAAATTGGCCTAAGTCACAGTGCATGAAACATGTCTCAATCAGCCTGCAGTAACAGGCTTTACAGCACCCCTCCTGCATTAATATGCCTCTCCTCAGCAGTGCCTGTAGGCTTGTAAAACCAGATGCAGCAGTCACCTGAGTCTTTGCATGGCTGCAGAGGCTCACTCCCTCAAACACGTGTGGCTTTGGAGCATGTTGTGACAGGAGCGGACAGTGTGCCCGGTCCTGATGCATGGCCTGTCTACATGGTTTTGGATGAAGCGAGGACGTGCAGCAGTGAAACCTGACCAGCAGCATTCACACTGTTCCACTCCATGTGTGAGCCAGACACCAACTGGCCTTGTCACCACTTTGTACTATAAACACAAGTTCAAGAAAACAACATGATTTAAAGATGTTTGGCTAATTTTACCCCCATCTGTTGATGAAGGTGATCCATTTCAGTCCAGTCTTTTATAATTGAAACAAATGATTGACCTTTATATTAGTTTTAAAAGCCAATGCTTGTATTTATAGAGAAGGTCAGCTGTTTTATTGTTCTGTCACTTAAAAAAAAAAAGTACCGTTTGATGAAATGCAAAAACATTATTCCATAGTAACATTCTACCTAATCAGCCCAGGCATCTGTCAATTCTGTTAAATTTAAAATGTTACCAAACCACCCAATTATTCATCCTGACAGTTGATTGAAACTCAGAAATGTCAGATACTGTGGTGCCAGAAAGTAGAAACAGAGGAAAGTTTTGGTAGGAATGACAAAATCACACAACTCCATCATACAGACAAAGCCTGTTTTTCTGTGGGAACTGAAACAAAGAATTTTGCCTCATTTCCCTGATTGCACCTGAAAAGAAAATGGCAGGAATAAAGCATCAAAATAAATTTGTGTTGTAAGTGTAAAATGTTGTTTAATTTGTATCAGCTGTGCATAATATTAGGTTTTAAAATGTACGAATTTTACAAAAAAAAAAAAAAAATTTAACAATGACAAATCCGATTCGAGTTAGAATCTCTGGAGGTTTGATTTGAGCCGTGAAAGCCTGAAAATGACTGCGCTCTATATCTCTGCACATGGAGGAGCTTTGGTTTCAAACACAGAGCTCTGACAGGAGAATGCAGCAAAGCAGCTCCGCACAGCATTACATAAGTACGCTGAAGATACAGAGCAAATATTTTGCTTCACATAGCTTTGCTTCATCCAGACAACTTTTGCTTGTCTGCTGCTTGCTTTGAACTTAGCTGTCCGGTCAGTGCAAACAGACAGAGACAGGATCTGCTACATTCATCCGACCTCCACAGCTTCATGTTTGAATAGCACACACACACACACACACACACACACACACACACACACGATTGTATAGTCAGTTCACTAACATAGATGCTGAATGATACAGTTTGATCAAAATTTAGCTGGTTTGTCAGTTTTATCAAAACTTATTACCTGGCCTTCTAACTCATTACCTGGCTGTGTTAAATACTTGGTCCTGATTGGTTAAAACCCTATGACCGTCATTATGAATAGCCAATAGCAAAGGCGCGACAGGGACAACCTGATTAGACGTCCCATATATTAAACCAATCTGTAGAAAGGAGTTTCGGCACATCTGAAGACCATAGTAGATCTGGGCAAAGCTATTTTTTTCATTTACTGCATAAATCTTCATTATTAAACCAATAAATCAATCAAATCACCTTTTTGTGAGTGAACTTGTTTGTGTGTTTAGTTGGAATCCTGATAAGGTAGTAGACATGGAAAATAAAATTCCCAGCCAGACTGTGTGAAATGCTGTTGCCAGTCTTGTTGAGGACACTCTTTAAAGACAAATTTATAATCTCATTGAGTTCTGTTCCTCTCAGTTAAATTTAGTTTAAATGAAATAAATGAGGGTTAAATAATCCCTTATTTTTCGAAAGCAAACCTAAACTTGGTCATGAGATCCTCTCTGTGAAGATCTTTCACGTTGAATTCATACTTGAACAAGACTTAGAAGGCCTCAAATGCACCAGCTCTGAATCGTTGGAGTAAATGTGTGCCAAACTGCAGCAGCACTCTATCCAGCTTGTTTTTTTTGTTGTATCTTTCCCATTGGCTACATCTCAGGGCATGTCAAGTCATATGCCTGTCTCTCAGTGTGCAGCCTGCCAAGGAAGTGGTTCTAATTGACTAACAAGTTGCTCTCTCTCTCTCTCTCTCTCTCTCTCTCTCTCTCTCTCTCTCTCTCTCTCTTTCTTTCTTCTCCTCTCTCAGCCCTTCAATCTTTTTCCATATCCCTCCAAAACCCAGAGAAGACTCCAGGGCTACAGCTGCTTTTAGAGAAAAAAAAAGAAAAAAAAAAGGACTTCTTTGCACGAAAGTCAAAGTTTAATGCTTTTTTTTCTCTCTCTCTGGAGTGCAAAGGAATAAATAGAGTGTTTATGTTTGTTTGCATGAAGGAGGAGAAAAAGTTCCTTCCTCATGGGGAAAATATGGCAGACCATTTTTCCTTCCTACTCCCTTTCCAAACTGCTGGAGCATATTCAGTGTGTGGGTTTATAGCCCAAATTTGTACTTATTTCCATGTTTTATTCAATTTCCCTGCTTTATTGCATGCAACCTGCCTAAACACATCTGTACATGATCTCCATGAGAATTGGCTTTTGCTGTCTTTAGCTGAGTGATTACAACAATGTGTTTTATAAAGCAATACGATTTTCATTTTGCTTCATCTGTATTTGTGTCAGTCTGTTCTGACAAACACACTATTTACTCATTTGGACATCATTTTCGTGTTTATTTTCCATGGAAATTGCACGGCACAAATCTTGTTTTGGTGCGTTCAGACCAAAATCAAAGCAAAATTTGTGCACCATGACTGAACACAAAGTCAGTACAAAGATGCAGATAGACGTCATGACGCTGTGCCTAACGCTGTTATGTTACAAGAAACAAAAGATCAGAATCAGTCAGATGAAAATCTGCTAACATGAATAATCTGAATTTTTGAAGTTGTTTACCCACATGAAACTTTGTTTTACAACATTCAATGTAAAATCATTTATGTGCAAATAGCCATTTGAAATTCATGGACTGCATCAGTCCGAACATCCAACCATCCATCCAACTTTTTAATTTTAATTTCCTTGAGGGAACCTTCCCAAAAGGATAAATAAAGTTGTATCTAATCTAATCTATCTGCTGCTAGTTCTGACACAAAAGGCTGTTGATCCACTGAACGGGGTTATCTAAGCCTATCTATGTTCCTGTGTTGCTGTTTTCAAATGCATTAACGAGTTGAAGGTTAACAAGGTGAACGATGTCGGCACCATAGACTGTATATAGAATGGACATCATCTACATCCTTGCTGGGTGAACCCTCTGCGAGAACAGCACCCCCTGGTGACTGGTTGCAGTATAGGTCATAAATCCGGTTCCCTCCAGCAAAAAACTTCAGAAATTTATGACACTAAATATATATATATTTTTTCCTCTGAATGTGATGTTGACATGTAGTTACTCAAGTCCTCTTTTTTCTGTGCAGCTCCATTTTTAAAAGTTATTAGAGGTTCATGTTTTCTATGATTGACACCTGATACAGCCTATGGGTGTACGGAGATTGTGTACCTCATCCGGGGGATATGCTGTTTGAGCCGAGCGTCATCACAGCGACTCTCCCATTGAATGCGTACAACGCTACTGCGCAAGTGGTGGTTCCAGGAGGTGGAGAAAATCTTGAGAAACATGGAGGGTATTTGGCTTCAAATTTGTATAATGATGGAAGGCGGAGCCAAATTGTCCATAGTATACACAGCCTATGGCCAGCACACATTTTGTCCACTTGTTGTTGACCGTTCTGGTATTTCACTGGGAAACTAAAGTGACTGTGATGATGGCTGATAGCAGGGATCTTCAAGATCTAGCTTTTTATTTGTTGTGGCTGGCATATGTGTGTGTAGTACTTTGTGTTCCACACGCATCCAAATTGGTACACACTGGCCCTGTACTGAAAGTCCCGTATCACGACAGTCCAGTACATGTATCTTTACAGTGCATGTGGTTCTAGACAAAAAAGTGATATAGTAAACATGATGTTGCAAATCTCCTGTTAGTATTTGGATGTTTGAGGAGCTGAAACACTTTTTACACTAATGCTTTATTTTGTGTCTTAATTCAGCCACAAGTGACTGTGTTTCAGAGAGCCGGCATTTGTTTGATGGAACCTGGAGCAACAGTTTTTCCTGAAGTATTTCCACGCTCTTTTAGAACTTTTTTTCTTTTTGTAACTGTTTTTTGATTTTGTTTTGGGAGGTGAACTCCAAGAGTCAGATGAAAAACTGCTGACAAAAATAGCTTTGGAAGTAAACAACAAAAGACTTGTTCTGATTCATGGATTGATTTTTTTTTTTTGTAGTTTTATGCTGTCATGTATTTATAAAACCTGAACTGCAGGCTGAGGAGAGAGACCCTGTGATGAGGGAAGATGGGGGGAGGGGCCTGCCAGCCAAAATGGCCAACAGGGATAAAGACGAGCCAGAGGCCTGTCTGTGTGCTCGCTAGAGAGCTGGAGACACTGCCGGGCAAAGTTTTCATGTTTAACTGGCAGGCATGGAGACACGGAGAGAGAGCAAGAGAGAGAGAGAAAGAGAGGGAGAGAGAGTGGGCAGAGACAAAGAGTAAAGAGAGAGAGAGAGTGAATTAAAACTGAAGTAAAAGAGAAGAAATGCTCGAAAAAAAGGAGTAAAGAATGCAAGAGAGCACAAGAGCGAAAGAGAGAGAGAGAGCAAGAGCGAGAGACTAAGACCAAGAACCAGAGAATGAGAGAGCGAGTGGAACGGAATGTGCTGACGCGGCGTTTCTTGTCTGAACTCCCCAAATTAATAATCAGCAGCGGTTTAGCCGAGCCGTGCCAGGAACAGGAGCCTACTGCCAAGCCCCCAGCCAGGCCAGGCCCTCCCTGCTCCCACCGTCACCCCCCCTCCCCTCCCCTCCCCCACAGCTCCCAGGCCTGCTTTGGGGCCGAATAGGAGGCGCTGCCTGTCTGCCTGTTCGGGCCGAGCTGGGCCTGGCGCACTGCCACGGGGCTTTTGCTTGTTCAGGAGTTTTGATTAAATCCTTTATTGTGCTCCACTCACGCAAAGAGCTAAGGCGAAACACCGAGCGGGACGGAGCAGAGCGGAGGGGAGGAGAGAAAGCGAGAGGGGAGAAAAGAAAAGGGGGAAAAAAAAGCGAGGGAGGGAAGGGGAGGGAGGGAGGGAAATGGGATCTCTCTCTTTTTTCACTCTCGCTTTCTCCCTTTCTCTTTCACTCAGACTGAAAAGATGTTTGATTTAGTCTATGGGGAGTTGTAAAGTAGATAAAGTTTTTGCTCGCCATCAGCACTCTGTTATTCTTTGGGGTGTGGGGGTGGACCTTTTTTTTTCATTTCACTCCTCTAAATAAAGCCTCCTTTCATCCTTTTGCACATTTACCAAATTGTTTTGCTATTATCGTATGTCTTATCAGTGAGGCCTTCAAAATAAAAGCCATCTTGGGGTCGGTCAGCACAAACTTTAAGTTGAGTCCTTTTTTGGAAGTTTTTGGAAATACTTCCCAAACAGAGGAAAAACGGCTTCTGGGTGTTAAAAACAGGTGTGTTCCTCCAAAAAATCCACCTTATAGCATTTTATAGTTTTCCTCACCGACTTTATGCATAAGCAGGACATTATATACGCTCTATATCTCATACTGCTCCTAGTTAACTGAGCCCTTGTTGGTGCAGCACCCCCCCTGTGGCCTTTCGGAGGCTTTGTGCCAGAAGTGTAACAGTGATTTGTGTTGTTGTTTCAGCTGTTTCTTTGCCGGACCTGAGCGAGCAGTTCACACCGCCAGAGACGGCTCCCCCAGCCCTCGTCAGCCTGATCCAAGCCATAGAGAAGAGAGGTATATACACGCTCGCTGGCCAACACTTTCTTCTGTTGTCTGTCTCGTCTGCCAGTCTCTCCGTCTATGTGTGACTGTCTCCCTCTCGCCATTTGCCTCCTGCTCTCACGCCAGCGTTTACACAACTGTGGACATATAGACACGGGGATCTTTTCAGGCTGTCACACAGATGTCCCGCAAGTTCATGCGCACTCACAGGGCCTCTTCAGCCTCTTCATTAGAGACCTAAATAGAGTTTATATATTTATGTGGATCAGTTCTTTTGATCCTCTCTGAGAGTCCTGCACATGGGGGTTGATTGGTACCACGTTATTAACAAATAGTGCTCAGTGGGACTCCACTCACAACTTTGACTCCTTTTTTCATTTTTAAATTATCTGTTTTTCCTTAACTCAGTTTTTGAATTCATTTAAAAGCAAATTGTAGTCATGATCGATCACTCGATCCACATTTAATAAAAATGTCAAAGCCCAATCTGAAACTTTCTAACTTTGTCGAAAATCCAAAGCTACACAGTCATTTTCAACAGAAAATTGCACCAAATATCTCCACTGGAAGATCTGTCCCTTCGAATTGTTTGGGCATTTTTGCTTAAATATTTGCATAAAACAAGTCGAGTTGATAAAGTTGCCCTTTTTTTCAGATATTTCTTGCAGCTGTCTCAGAACATTTAATGATTTAATTTTGTGCTGCTGTTCGCACGCCCAGAGGCAGACCTCCAAGCACCATTTTATTTTGAATATGTATCCTGACAGCTTAGGTAAATTTAAATGGTCACAGCAGGTCTTGTGTGAGAATAAGGCACATTATGGAAACTGATCCAAAACAATAGTGCAAGTAAAAGCTTTGTGGAGCATGTATGAATGATTGATATTTTTTGTTTTGAACCCCAAGAAAGAAAGAAATCGAGTCAAAGAGAAGCTGATGGATCGTAAGGACTACAGTTTTAACCTTTTATATGTGATTATTATTTTATGATTGAGAGAGGTTCGTCTCTGAAAAACAACTGAATCTTGATACCTACTGGCTGGGCGACAGACGGTCTGTCCCCGAATGTAAATAATATAAATGTAAATAATACATTGAATTACTTCCCAGTGTTGGATGCATACTCGCTCTGACTGCACAGTGAGGTTTTCACAACTATCTGAGAGACTGGCGGGTCTCGAGGAATTGCCTCCTAGATGCAGAAGCTGTCTGGACCTGGTGGTCCTAAATGCTTTCAGCGCCTGAGATCTAAATGAGAAATGCAGTCAATCCGAGGTGAAAGTTTCTTTGGGGATATTTTCACGAGCTGTGTTAAATGTTTTTTTTTTTTTCATGGAAGAGTCGAGTTACCAAAGTGAAGACTCGAGTGTTTGTCGTTCAACCACAAAATATTTTAACTGGACAGTTTCTTGTTTTTGGTAATAAGTAGATAAATTTTCCACTTAGGAAAGAACAAGTTAAAAATGAATCCGTTACGGGGGGAACATGAATTAGTCCTGCTCTTTTAAAAACTGCTTGTACTAAAAGATTGCAGGGACCAACTTCAGCTGATTGACTGCCCCCTCTCTGTGGTTTCATTTCAGACTGGACTAAGAACAGCTGAGATGTATCTAATTTTTTTCTCATTAAATCCAAAATATTATCTCACCATGTGCTTTTAAAGTTCAAGCTGTGTGTTGAAAACTGATATTATCCAGCACAAAATAAAACCATTTGGCCCGAGTACTTTAACACTACAGAGGAATGATGTTGTTCTCATGAGTTTGCACAGTTATTTCATCCTCAACAAAGGCATGAGCCCGTGGCTGCGCTGTTTTTAAAATATTTGTTCCTTCTGGCAAAATTCAAAGTGGCTACTCAAAATTCTCGCACTCTTGTCCAATTCACTGAACTGTTTCCTGTTTTTCACACGTAACTATATTTTGTGCGGTTGAGGTCATTTGAGCTTTTTTTTTTTTTTTTTTTTCAGGTCTGGACTGCGTCACGTTGTACAGGTCAACCCCAGGTTCTTCAGAGGCAGAAAGCCCTGTGTACAGTCTGAGCTCAGGTGAGTGATTGAAGTCAGTCATTTTATGGTTTATTTATAATTGTGGATTTAAAAAAAAGTGTATTCTGCATTGTGATAGAGCTCTATCTTATTTTAACTTATTGAAGTTCGATGTTTAGGGAAATGACCGCTGTTGGTTTGAGACAATACTTAACTTACGTTTATCAGCAGTTTTGGTGGGACAAAAAAATGCAATCTGCTAAATATTGTCATCCTGACCTGAGTGATTTAATTATTTTCATGTAGGGAATAGATATTGATACTTGAATGTTAAAACTTGGGGCTCTAAACAGATTTTCCCATCAGCTTTAACCCCTGCACCACTATGTGATTATCCCTTACAAAAGCTGACCGCACAGTGATAACTGAGGAAGACAGCGTGTTGTCAAAAAGCAGTGAAAAAAACAACAACACCTCTTTCAAAAGCTTTCACAAAAGCACAACAAGAAGAGTTCTTCCACCTTTAATACCAGGATAAGAGGAAAGAAAGAAGATGCACTTCAGTTATCACACTTTTTATTGAAATGTGAACATCTTTGAACAAATAGACTGATTTTCTGTGTAAGCACTAAAATATGTGTTTCTTTTTGAAAAGTCTTTATGAAGGATTCTCTATTTCTTCCACTGATTTTACAGTTTTTGTTCTTGGGCTCTAAAAGTGTAAAGACTCTCTGTGTCTCTCTCACTCTGTAACCTTCAGTTAATCAGAAATGGTGGTGTTTTTAATGTGGTAATAGGTTTTCCTCTAATCATCATTTTGTCTTTTGGCTGCAGAGTGTGAAATAGGTCAGAAAGATTTGGCCGGATTGTCAGAGTGTGTACTTCGTTACCTGAGAGACCTCCCATCACCGGTCATCCCTGCCTGTATCTACCCCCACCTTCAAACTGCTGTCACCCTGCAGCAGGAGCAGCTCCTGCAACAATCAACAGGTTTGTCTCCGAACAAAGAGTCTGACTCTCTTGTGCTCACTCTGCAGTTTTCTCAGGATATGCTAAAACTACTTTATAACCATGACAGAACTTGCATAAGCATAAGTCCAGGACAAACTGAAACCAGCCCAGTGTCCTGAACTTTGGAAAACTGAACTCAATCATGTAAAACCCCGGGGTAGGCTTTTGAAAATATTTGACAGCAATGCAACGTACTCACAACAGACCTGTTTGTGCAAAACCAGTTAGGACCTCTTCCTTGGTGTATTCAAAATACCTGCACCCATAAAGCTAAATGTGATGTAAATCAGTTGTTATGGATACATAAATCAATTCCATAAGTAAATGAGTTTGCCATCACATTTTAAATGTATGAATTGGAGTCGCTTGAGTCTAAAAGTGAGCCTCGAGCTGCTGATATTGTTTCAGTGGATGGAAGCTCTCGTCTCGTAGCCTCAGTAACTGTAATTGAAAAGAAATGCACGAGGCTGAGGGTGAGCCTCATGGGCTGCTGATCGAGGTCAGTCGCATGTCAGCACGGAGAAAACAGAGTTGAGTGTTGGGAGAGGATGAGCTCACTGAGGCATGTTAGAAATGCTCTTGCTGATTCTCTTCTGCACAGAGGAGGCCATGATTTCATTTCACATGGACACAGGACCTATTTACAGGGTCGTGCATTGACCTGGTTTATCATTTTTGGCGATGACAAGTTATGAAATGGATCTGTTAGATATAAAAGCACGGCACAGTATGTACAAATAGCTTACCATAAAAACTGCCTTGTGTTTATTAACTTGATGTTTTGCAGATGGGGCAGTCGCTGGAAGCCACAACAGAGAGGTCAGTCTGGTCCTCGAGAGCTCCACCACCGTCCCTCTCCATCACCGTCTCACCCTGCAGTACCTCCTCACACACTTGTCCAAGGTCACTCAGGCACAGGCCAGCAATGGACTGGACACACACACACTAGGAAAGATCTTTGGACCCCTGCTGATGCAGACCGGACCCTCTACTCCTTGGTAAGATTTAAATATATGAATTTTTTGAAGAGGACAGTGAACAGAGCAGGTGAGAGGGAGAGAGAGAGAGAGAGAGAGCGAGAGAGTGGGGAGTGACATGCAGGAAAGGAGCTAGAGGCTGGAAGTGAAGTTGGGCTGGTGCTTATAGCTGTAGTTTGAAGAGTAACAGGGCTTCAGACAGTGGTATCAGGAGCTGGTATGTGATTGGTCAGTACAAGCCTGTGAAGAAACGGTGCCATTATCAGTGTTTGATGATACCATTAATGCTGTTTTCAGTCAGTCCTTTAAGTCTAACAAAGCTGAGTCTTTTAAAGATGACAAAACACCATTGCATCTTCATGACGTATAAAGTCAAGGACAGGGATGTGATTCTGCCACATTATAACTAAACTGAGAACTTTCTAAAAACATACTTTAAATGAAGGAGGTAATAATCTGCTCGATGAAAAAGGAGAACAGCAATTGTTTGTTCAACTCAAGGCCATAATTCCTGCTTCTCTTTTTTCTACATTTCAGTTGACGCTAATGAAACTAAAATGTTTAACTCTTTAAAATCGTTTCACACAAGTTATTTTTTCTTTGCACCAGCTGCTGAAGTAAAGTCTGAGCTTTAATATTTCAGCTGTGTCAGATCAGTAGTCTCAGTTGGACATTTCTAATCTCTATAATGATTGAATTGTTTGTTGGTTTGCAGGTTGTCGTTGGATGATGAGTTACCTGCTCTCGTCGTGGAGAAGCTGCTCATAGAGAGAACCGCAGAGCAAGACCTCACTCCTCCAGGTATACTGTTTGTTGGGATTCAGTGTTTTAGTGAGTTTATCATTACATGAGTGTAAAAGACTTTCACTGGTTCATTTTATGTGTGTTAATATTGTTGTTGTTATTGTGTTTCCAGTCCTTCCAGCAAAGCCAGTCAAGTCAAAAATGGCCCCCGCAGCCATGACAGACACAAGTGGCCTGCTGACAGATGCCGAGTGGTACTGGGGAGAAATCTCCAGGTAAAACATGATCGATACTTCTGATGTTTATTTATGCTTTTGTCAAACTGCTGCTGCTCACTGTCCATGTTCAATCAGTTAATTCTGAGTCATCTGACTTGCAGAGAGGAGGTGAATGAGAAGCTGCGAGACACTCCTGATGGCACCTTTCTGGTTCGAGATGCTTCAAGTAAACTGGAGGGCGAGTACACACTAACCCTCAGGTAACACAGCACTCTTATTTATTTATTGCACTGTCCAAACACTCAATCAAATCTGCCATTTTTGGAGAAATAGAAATTCATTAATCCCTCAGTCAACATGAACAGCCGTGTAGCTCATCGCCTGATTTTGATTTTGTTTGTCTCCCCCTGCAGGAAAGGGGGGAACAACAAGCTGATCAAGATTTACCACAGAGAGGGGAGGTACGGCTTCTCAGAGCCTCTTACCTTCCTGTCCGTGGTGGAGCTTATCAATCATTACCGCCACGAGTCCCTGGCACAGTACAACGCCAAACTGGACACGAGGCTGCTTTATCCAGTCTCCAAATACCAACAGGTGGGTCAGCCTGCAGATTTTGGTATTCGTTGGTAGTTGTTTGCAAACATCACATTCGTATAATTTCCTTCAACATCATGACACTTTCTTTGCATGTTGGCGAGACTCAGCAGAAGTTTGTCTTTTTCTGTAAATAAAATCTGCATGAGTTTGTTGGTGATCTTGCTGTCTTCTGCCCGTCTCAGCTGGTGAAGGAGAACACCATTGAAGAGGTCGGGGAGCAGCTGAAGGTTTATCATGAGCAGTACCAGGACAAGAGCCGCGAGTACGACTCTCTGTATGAGGAGTACACACGCACCTCTCAGGTATGAGTTCAGCACACACAAACACCACACTAATGCGCACTCACACACACTCTCAGCCCCAGAGAAAGAAACTAGAGATGTGTTAGTCAATTACATGTGACATGGAAGTGTGACATCTCAATTATACTTTGTCGTATTTTCAGTTTGTTGATTTTTGACCTTTGCTGCTCTGCCAAAGTTGTTTCAGAAAGTTTGATTCAAATAAAAACTTGGAGATAATTGATATGATGGATAATTATTGTACATTATATGTCCTATTATAGCTGCAGAGGGATTAGTAACAAATGAAACGAATGTAAAATGAATGGAATCACCAAAACTACCAGAAACACCTGAACGAATCTGTGCTGAAAACCAGCATGATTTAAAGACATGACATCAGAGTAAAAGATATGTGATATAGAAGCAGTGATTAAAAAACGTTTAATATCAAATAAGTGAAAAAGACGGGAGAGTAGTAATAAATCTGCACCAACACAAAATAAAATAAAAATATGTCCAAAGTAGGAAGGCCTAGACAAAATAAAGTGATGACAGAACGATGGTGACAGTCGACTTCTCTGTCTTGTTGTCTCACAGGAGCTGCAGATGAAACGTACGGCCATCGAAGCTTTCAATGAGACCATCAAGATCTTTGAGGAACAGTTTGAGACTCAGGAGCGCTACAGCAGAGAGTCTCTGGAGCGGTTCCAGCGAGAGGGCAACGAGAAAGAAATTCAAAAGTAGATTCATGTTTTTATGCATGAGAATATTGAGGTTATATCAGGAGCATTTCACCACAAATATAAACACGATTTTGAATTTTTCTCCAATCAGGATTCAGAGCAACTCTGAGCGTTTGAAGTCTCGTGTGAAGGAGATCCATGAGAGCAAGCGTAAGCTGGAGCAGGACCTGAGAGAGCAGGTGTCCGACAACAGAGAGATCGACAAAAAGATGAACAGCCTCAAGCCTGATCTCATGCAGCTCCGCAAAGTCCGGGACCAGTATTTGATGTAAGGAAATCACTACCTGTTTACAGAAAATGAGAGATAATAAATACGCAGAAGACTAGATGTGAACGAACTGTCTGCTTTGAATCTAGATGGCTGACACAGAAGGGGACGAGGCAGAAGAAGATCAATGAATGGCTGGGCATAAAGAACGACGCTGATGAGTGAGTGTTTCAGCTCGACCTGTTAGTCTTTGTGCTGCTCATGTAAGAAATGTGACTGAATGTTTTCTGCTGCATTATTTTACTTCCAGCTCCTACTCCCTGGAGGAGGATGAGGGCTCGCCCCACCACGATGAGTGTACCTGGTATGTAGGCGACATCAAACGCACACAGGCAGAGGAAATGCTGAGAGGCAAAAGCGACGGCACCTTTCTCATCCGAGAGAGCCAATCACAGAAGGGCTCCTACGCTTGTTCTGTTGTGTAAGTTTTTTTTAATTTTTTGGTGTTTGTGTGGGTAAAATCTGTTCAAAACATCTCTGCCAGCATTGGAAGATTAAGTTTTTTATCTGCCCCGAACATTAAAACAGTTTGTTTGTTGCAGGTTGTTTCCTAAATATCAGGAACTTTATAATTTACCCCTGTCTCGTCACTTGTACTTATAGGAATGATAGGCTGACTGTTCACATGTTTAACTAGCCAAGACCAAGAGACGTCAAACTGGGATGGGAAAGGTTTTGGACATAAGCTGAAAAAATAAACCTTGGGAAATGTTGAGATGGAAGAAAACTGAGCTTAAAGGCAGTCATCAGCCAAAGCTCATCTTTATGTAGAAAAAGATCAGTGATCAACAATTAAACATAGCTTAAGTAAATCAAAACGATGAATAGGGGTTATGCAATTAAAACTGTAAAAAAAAGTTTAAAAATAAACTGTTTTGACACTGTGGACGATGTGTAAAAGTCATCTTTGTCCGTTTTTCCAGTGTGGATGGCGACACCAAACACTGCGTCATCTACAAGACAGCCACAGGTTATGGATTCGCTGAGCCCTACAACTTGTACTCGTCCCTCAAAGACCTGGTGCTCCACTACAAAAACGTCTCCTTGGTCCAACACAACGACCAGCTGAATGTAAATCTAGCCTACCCGGTTCTGGCCCGTTCCCAGAACCAGAACCAGCACCCCAGATGAATTACTCACCAGCAGTGTTGGACGCCAACCAGGGTCTGGAAACAAATTCTTCGCTCTTATGCATTGGGGACAAAGTGAACCTCTGAACAATGCTTGTTCTTGTTTAAGTGGCAATTAAAAATAGACTCAACAGCCACAATTTACAATTCATGCGTTTTTTAGCTGGAGGCTGGTGCTTCTTTCCCACACAGACCCCAGTCCAGCAGAGAGCACTCCTTGCTAACAGCATGGCTTCAAAATAAGCACACTACTACCAGAAACAAAGCACTGTACAGTTAGCCTGGCTGAGGCAGCGGGTTTTAATATAAGGAGCGTGTCGCAATCGCCAGCCATGACTGTACAGTGTCATTAAAGGAAAAACATGAAAATACCTTTGATACATAGAAAAAAAAACAGACTAAATGTGTTTTAAAGAAGAAAAATAAGCACACAAAATGCTGTTTTTTTTAAATAACGGAGAAGAGGAGAGATGGCGGGATGATGGGAAAACTTAGAGGAGGCGCTTGTTTTTCGTATTTTTTTTTTCCGCCTTGAACACGTGACAACTGTCCATAGACAAGGGCCCGATCTGTCATCCCCAGACTGCCTGCAAACTCTCCATCGACAAAAGCCTGAGCCGTCATCCACTGACGGGGTCAGCTTGGCTAAAATCAGGCTGCTCGTCACACCTACAGGCGGCTGAGAAACCGTGGACCAGGCGGGTGTAGTCACTGGAGCCGAGGGGCAGGGGTTTGGGTGGGACGGAGGTTTTTAGTGTTTAGGTTTGAGTTTAAAGCTTGCTTAAGTGCCATAGTTATAGCTTTGAATGACCACAAGCCTGTGTCTATAGAACAAGGTCGGGCACGCCGAGGTTGAGAGAGGAAAGGAGGGGGATGATCGGCTGTCGACGTAGACAAAGCTACAGCTTTAAAAGATACTCACATATAGGTCTATTTTTTATGAAACTGTGTTTATTTCCAACTGCTTTGGCATGTTGCTCTCTCTCTCTCTCTCTCTCTCTCTCTCTCTCTCTCTCTCTCTCTCTCTCTCTCTCTCTCTCTCTCTGTGGGCCTCATTTTGAATCGACGAGGTACATCATATACAGTCATACTGTATCACAGGACAGATATGCATGGTACAGATTTGGTGTATTATAAATCAGAGCATTACTTCTCTCTCATGATACACCAGATAGAGAAGTACTTTGTAAAATGCAGCTCCATGTGATTTTCCTCTGAATGAAAAAGTGGAAAGACTCCTGCATCAAACGTCCCTTTGTTTCAAACTTCCTCCTTCTTTTTTCATCCTAATACTGTAGCACCTGTAGCCATTGACTTAAGGCATAACTGTTAGTGCTCCTTTCATGTGTCTCATTTTTGTACGCTAAAGACACTTGCAGAGCATCAATCTTTGTGATTATTGTATCCTCGGTACTGTATTTGCCTTGTCTCTTCTTAGATTAGACTGTTTTAGTGGTACTTTGTCCTCGCAGATGTTTATTGTTGTTGTTTTTTTTATGCAGATTTTACTCACGGTACTTCCTGCTACCCGCCTTCGCGCTTGACTGTTCATTTCATCGTTAAGGTTGACTCACAGAGCTGTATAACATTGTTGTACAAAAAAAAAAGAAAAAGAAAGCAGTAATATAACACATGTACAGTATATTTCAGACACACATGCAGTCAGTGTATGTGACTTTTTACCGTTTCATGGCTGTGTTTTTCTTTATTATGTTTTTTGGAATATTTGCTATGCTCTTAGATTCAGTTAAAGGATGCAGAGTATCCAGCTAATGTGAGCCAAATGAAGGATATCTTTTCATGTAGCAAGAAAGAAAAGAAGAAAAAAAAAGAGAGACGTTCCTTTTTGCCATACAGCGTGGCCTCTGTGGTCTGAGAGATTACCCAGTACAGTACGCATAGAGTCCTTCATTTGGGTTGTTGCTTTTCTGTTCTTACAAGGTACCAGTGGTTTCAAATAATCATGCTTTTTTTGTACAGTACGATGTGCCGTAGAGCAGTACTATGCACAATGCAGTTGCATGTGGATTATTAGTTTCAGTATTCCCCCGTCACTTCCCTCGTTTCTGTGCCGTGGCAGTGAGTTGATCTCTCAGTTCCCTCGTGTTAATTTCGCTCGAGGTCAAGATTGTACCATCTCTGTTCTTTGTCACTCTCAAAGCACAGTTCATTTGTCTCGAGGGTTTTTTCAATCGTTCTGGTACAGTTGTTCAAAACGAAGAGGCGTCACGTGATGCTTATTCTAAATTTGATTCACATTATTGATTTCTTGAGAATGAATGAAAATGAAATCACTTTGATTTCTTACAGTAGACTCAGATTGCCAAAAAGAAAGATGTATTTTTGTAGAAAGGTATGGAAGAGTCAAAACTGATCAGAATTGGAGGATTGGAGAAAAGTAGTGCACTGTTTTTAAAGGTTGCACATTTGGTATTTTGGGTTTAATTTTGTTGAAGTGGATTGAAATCAAACATTTACCTGCTCTTCTAATCACGAATCGAACTCAAAATCTGCTTTTTACATTAAACTTCCACTTCTTAAATTCACAACTTCAGGTAGCAACGATTCCCGGTGACCCATTATCAGGTGAAGCGAACTCCATCTGAAATCTTCAAATCACGACATGGGTTTGATTTCTGTCAGGACGAATCAATTGTACTGTACTTTGCACAGTTCTTGGCAAGTAGAAAATCCCAAGAATTAAACCAGAGGTGATGGCGCTGCTTCTGATTCGAGGGCTATAAAAACGTGTGAGTGAGAAAGATTAGAAGTGCCTTTAGCCATCGTGTCGAGCTCGTTTTCTCCTCGTTGTCAGTGGAGCGTCGCTCTATGAGACGGTGCCATCGCCACCACATGCTGTGCCCCACGGTTCACACATTTGCCATTTATCAAAGCGTATCTGGCGGATGAGCATAGTTGTTTTAGTTTGTGTGCGTTCGCGTGTATGTGTGTGTTAGAGCAGTTAGCATGTTCTCAATAAGAGAGTGACAGATTTTAGTCGTGCCTCTTTGTTGTTACATCTCTAGTTGTTACATATTCCTTCTTTCTCTGGTGGGGGCTGTACAGTAGCTTGGTGCTCTCTCTCACTGTGCACCAAAGCTACGTTTTGTTGGTGTTTTTTTTAATTATTATTTGTCTGATTATATTTTAAATAAAACTCAGATGAGATAGAAATGTGAACCGTAACACATCCGTAGCCCAGCCCAGTGGTTTGAAGTTCATTTGATAAGCTCTCAAGAAAATGCACGCAGCATTTCTCAGTGTTTATTTTCCTGGTTGAGTCATCCACCGCTGCTGACACATCCATTATCCAGTTTGTTGGACCAACACCTCTGTGACTGCACTTTTATTTCTGTTCCACACACTAAAGGTAGTGTGTCTGACGCCCAACAACCATAAACTCACAGACAGTGGTGAAGCTCAGTTGTCGATAGTGTTTGTAGTTGATTTTTTCCGTACAGTATATCAAGAGGGATTGGCATATTTCTTTATGATATTGGATTGTCTTGTATACAGTATACGCTTTTGTTGTTGTTTTTTACGGTCACAGCTGTCATGTGATTCTGATGCTTTTGACTGATTGAGATGTTTTCACTGTAGAGTTAGATTTACTATATGGGCTGTACAAACTCTGTATTACTTTTCAAACCATGTTTAAGGAGAGCTGCTGGTTAATTATGCAATTTGTGTCGGCACTGCGATACTGTCCAACTTAACAAGTGATTCAACATGATTAAGGAAAAAACTAAAACATGTTTCTGCTACATGAGAGCCTTGCCTGGAACGGGTCATGTTGTATTCTTGTACTCATTATAAGACGGCATTTTCACTTACAGCGTCTTTGAACATGCAGGAAGTCAGACTGTGGTGAATCAGTCTGAAGAATTTCAACTGAAACTATCAGGGACTTTTTAAAGCTACTAATGTCTTTGTTGTTTAAACGGAAATAAAAACCCCTGACTAACCGGCTCGTCTGAAAGTAAGATAAGCGATCCAAATTTAGCACAGGATCACAGAGCCTCTGAATTGGTTTGTTTATTGTGGCTAATGGCAGCCGGGCTGGCAGCACTAACATTCAGTGCTCCCCTATTTTTTTATTTACATATGCCTGTGCAGGTTAAACACAGCCTACACCCAACATCATCTCTATTTTCTTGATAAGAATTCTGCCAAACTGCTCCACGCTGCAAGATGCCATCTGTCACCTGTGTTTGTGTAAATTTCCATCACAACATGGGACAGACATTTCAGGCTTAAAATAGTCAAATATTCCTCATTTGGTGCTAACAAAAGTGGGTGACCAAGTTTTTAATAGTTAGTTGACTAGCCCTAGACATTCTTGGGAACTACTCTTGCTGAAGAAGATATCAATCAAAATCGAGTTCACAGTGGGGGCTGTGATTCTTCAGAAGTATAAAGACGTCATTGCTGCAGATTGTGTAAGATTAAGATTTTCAGTTCCTCAGAGAAGTTCATGATCCGGGCGGTTCTGCGCACATTCAGTGAAAGTTTGTAATTGGATGTCCCCCATCATCACTTGTTAAGCTGGACATTTTTGCAGTGCAGTTCAACACTCCCATCTGCCATATATGCCATGTTATTAACAGATGTTTATCAGCTTAAAGCAATGCAACTTCAGTAGCAGTGAGCTCTGGTCAGGTAGTGAACCCTGGTCAGGCAGTGAAGCGGGATGAAGACTTTTTTTCACTTTGACTTAGAGTTCGGACTTCCGTTTTGTGGTCGATGTTCCTCTGAATGTCAAAGCTTTCATCCTGCTCTTCTATCAGATATGCATTTGTGTCGGAGCTTCTTAAAAAAAAAAACAAAAAAAAAAAAACGGTTTTCTATGACACAGATAATCATTCAAGGAATCAGATATTTTTTCATCAGCTTTGGTACACTGTAAATGATATTTCTTGAGACAGCCTCACACACAAAGCACATCTTTCTCCACGTGTATTTGGTGTCGATTAAAGGTTTGAAGAATGAGAGACATACTAGAGAATAAATATTTTGAAATATATACTTAGATATCTATATTTTTGGATGATGTCAATCTGATTTGGATTGTGCTTGAATCAAATCAGGAGGAGGCTTTGATGTGAACATGATCTTGCTCCATGGCTGCTTTGTGTTTGAGCAGTTATTGAAACGCAGGCAATTTTTTTACTAATCAGCTGCAGTGAGCTTCATCAAAACGTTGTGGTTACAGTCAATCAACATTCAAGTAATCAGTTCAGCATGATTATCAGGTGCATTCAGAGGATGAAGCAAGCTTATGTACATGTGTTGATATTTACAGAGCTGAGTCTATATGTTCAATGCAGTCTTGGCTGCTTTGCATTTATTAAATATTAGAGAGAAGTTTTTTTTGTTTTGTTTTGTTCTTTGAATCTGTTTTGTCGATTGAAAGATTCTGGTTTTTGTGCGTTGACAGAGTGTTTTAAGTTGCACCACAAAAGACACACTAAGGATGCTGCCACAGAGATCCCCCACAGTTTGGACACTGATTCTGTAACAGAGTGATACATCTTACCACTGTTTTTTTTATCCTTTGGTGGATCTCTGTGGTGGCTGAAGGGTTAAGAGAAAAAAGGTACATGATTTAACGGTTTGTGATCACTCCTTTACGCAGACAAAAGAACCATGATGGCATTAGAGTGTGTTCTTTACGGTGCCTGAGTATATTTTGTTTTTGTTGTTGTTTTTTTTAATCTGGCTTTTTAAAAAAGCTCATAGATTTGTCTGTCCAAGTGTTGGTTATTTTTGTTTGTTTGTTCACATCTGTTAATGATAACCTTACAGAGCCTATAAAGAAAAAAATAAGCTAGCTTGAATTTTTTTTTCCTCCATACAGAAAAAAAGAAATACAAATGTTTACAATATGTAATTAACCAAATAGTAAATACGCATTTGAGAATCAATCTGTCTGTCCCTCAAAGTGGCCGTGATAGATTGATTTATATTTCATTATTTCCTCTGTCATGTTAAACTTGAAAATGTTATGACTGCTTGTTCTGTTTTATTCTGTTTGTTCATCTTTTATTTTTTACTTTTGAGAACAGTGCTCCCTCAATTTCAAAATTACAACTCAACAAATGTCAAGTTTGAAAACAAAAACATCCTGTAGATAATCTTCAGTCTTTGTCGATCTTTACCTGCTGACTTCTTCCTCTTCCACTGAGCCTTGTACATGCAGGACTGAATCCTAACTTTAGATGCTGTCAGTGTTTGTACATTTCACTTTGACTGTTGTAGGTGTTTCTTTTGTAAGGACTTAGCCTGAAGAATTTAGAGCAGGTGGTGCTCACATGGTGTGACTTACAGTCCCAATACAGCCCTCATTTAGCATGCTTGAGTAAGATTAAGTACATGAAGAGAGTTTAAACTTCAGGAAAACTATCATGAGGCGCCCATTTCTTGATTTTGCACTACACAGCAAATAATCCTGAAAAAAAGAAAAGCTCATTGAATTGTTGTACGGTTAGGCTAAGTTTTAAGACCAAATGTTCCTATGATAGTCTCAGCTTTTGTGATTTCATTTGAAAATGTGTTGTTGGCAACTCTGCACTTTCATTTCCCTTTTCATTCAATAACTCCACGTCATCACTTCTGGATTTGATCTAAAAGGTTGCCCTGTGTTTGATAAATCCAGTGGACATGATGTGTTTTTGTACTGGTTTTTACTGGTGTACAGTAGTTGATCCTCCAGACTCAATTCTGCATATTGGACACAAGAATGATGGTGATACAATCTGCAGCAACAGCTTAAAATCCAAGTTTTTACACCAAGAGCAGCATCCTGTCTCTTATTCTCTTATGTTTGCCCAAAATCTTGCCCAATCTCTGCCTCAGCAGCAGCGACAACAAATATCTGATTCCTAATAAATGATGTGTCCTTATTTCTTTTAAAAATAATGAATGGAAGTGAATGGGGCAGTCTGTTAAAGCTACTTTACACCAAAGTGCAATTGAACTCAGAGGGAGCACTGTTATTTCAGCCAGTAGAGGCGCAACGGTTGAGGTATCAACCCAACCCCCTATGCACGAAAAAGATGGTTCTTCTTCTTCTTCTTCTTCTGTTCTCTTGTGTTATCTTTCCTCTGCTGGTCTGTCTTAATTCAGATGAGACATTTCTTTCTATCTTGTGTACAGCTTGCTTCAGAGTTATGTTTGTCCTCAGACAGGTACTCTTTCATCTGTATGGTTCTTTCTTTAGGCTGATGCAATGATTTTAAAAGACAATAAAAGATATATGAAAGGAGGTTCGCTGCCGTCTCTTTCTTTGACCTTTGAGCCAAACATCCCCTTATCACACTTTCAAAAGCTCATGTTTTTATGCCCTAGTGATTTTCTTACACAGTCTGATGGCTTTAAACTGTGTGGCATCCTCTATTTGTGTCGCTCACAAAAGATGTTCCTCATTTAGCAGCAAAAAAACTTCATATTTAATGTATTGGGAGGCAGTATACAATAATCCTTTACCAAAAGGTGAAGATCGTTCTAGCAAAAACAATCATAGACTAAAGGCTGAACTAAGTAATCAAACTCCTCATGTTAGCCAAGGAATCAGAGGAGCCCAAAGGTAATCAGCAAAATAGTTTATTTTACAACAAAGTATCCTTAATGAACTGCAGTCTGGGTCCTGTAAAAAAAGTGCAGCCACTGTCACTATGAAGGTCTTAAATGATATATTGTTAAAGCTGTTGACTCTTACTGTGAGGCAGTTTTAAACCTTAATGGGGTTTTTTAAATACAAAATGGTGTTCCACACGGATCCATACTCGGTCCTATTTTGTTTTTAAGTCTGCAAGCTAGCATATGCACTTTTTTGAATGACAGGATTTGCAATATTTCCACCAAAATGTTTCATGAAGACAGCAATGCATCAGACACTTGAAGCCTCTGTGATGCCTACAATGTATTTTGTTGACAGGGCCTTTGGGAGACGTCCTTGTCTTGCTCCCTCTGGTTTCAGGAGAATTTCTTTTTTTTCGTAGAATGTGGCCCAGACCAAACTCTGTGGTTTGACCAGATTAAAAGGAAGTGATATTTCAGGGGAAATGTGCCTGTCTCTTAAAAAAAAAAGTAATTTCAAATGTTCAAAAAGACCCACTACCAGAGGTGGAATAACATGACCTTTCTCTCATTTGGAGTGGATACATACCCCTTTGACAGATAACTACGCTTGAACTTGTGCAATTCAGCTATTAGTCTCTGCACGCCTGGATGCAACTAAGAGGAACTGAGACAAAATATGTGAACATTTTCTCAGAATGGCAAAGGAACATGTGTAAAAGAAGCTTAGGCAATTACTTTTACTAGTAGTAAAATAAAACCTGAACCCTTGAACATCTGCATTTTCATTATAATGCATTTTTCTTTGTTAATCTTTAAAAGCCTAGACACAGTAAAACAGGAAGCAGTGTGAATCATGCTGTTGTGTCTGCTTTTATTTTGTCACTGTCTCTATTTTCAGGGCAACGTGAAAGAGATCATGTGAGAATCACCAGGTATGATATTTTTATAGCGTTCAAGGGTTTGTGATGTTTTGATGAAGTTGTGTTTCTTGTGACTCCTCTTGAGCAAGAGCTGAGGAACTGAGCTGTGACAGTTTCATAACAAGCAGGATGATGCCAAGAATACAGTCACTGAAAACCAGACGAGCAACATAAGGAGTGTGCTGATTGCTAGACTGCAACTCCTAAACACATGTTCATTTTCCAATTGTTGATAACCTTGTAAATAGTTTGCCCCCATTCAACATAGGCTGCAAGATGCCACACTCTGAATACAATTTAACTCCCTACCCTAATTGCTACTGTTTTCACAGTTTTATTAGTATTTTTTGCTATAGGGAAAGAGTGGGGTAAGATGAGCCAAAGGGTAAGTTGAGCCACCCCTTGTTGCTTGGAAATGGTAAAAGAAATTGATCATGTGACCAAATATTTAGGAGATGGGCATCAATTCATGAAGTCTGTGAAGGTTAGTCTGTCCAAATTTTTATAAGAATAAAAAAGATAAATTTTTGATCAATCACATCAATTTTCGTATCTATGAGCTACAACATGAGGTTAAAAACCTAGCATAAAAGTCCACCATTTTAGCTTAGAGGACTAATAAAGTCATCATAGTAGTTCTGAGGTAAGTTGAGGCAGTGGCTCAACAGAGAAAGTAAAGGAGTCTGATGAGAGGATCAGAGTTTTAGTTCAGATTGTTGAAATGTGTTACTTTTTCTTTTCAAAAATACAGCTGTGGATGTTCTGAATCACTTAAAAACATTCTCATGTTAAAATGGCTTTTTACAAAACAGCTTCCTAGCAGTTATATATAATAATAATAAAAGGATTATTGTACCAATTGAATTGCATATAATAGATAAAAATACACATGAATATAAAGAAGTGACTGTTATTTAGGGAGAGAGAGGGTGAGGGAGGGCTGGGGTGCAGAGTGAGGGGGGTAGTAGGGATACGGCTCAACTTACCCCGCTCCTATGGTCAACTTACCCCCATACACAGGGGAAGTTGACCATAGGAGACAACTTTTTTTTGGCATGCTATATTATCAATACAGTTCTGTTTACACTCATTCTGTTGGTTTGCAGGGATGCACAACATCTTTAAATATATACAGATACACTAGTTAGAGACAAAACTGTGATTGCCTTGATGTAGTGATCTGAAATATGAAAAAATGGCTCATCTTACCCCACTCTCCCCTATAAACATAAATCCTTCAATATTATATATTTTTTTTCTGATGAAAATGTACTTTAATCAGGATAAAAAAGTTTTTAAAAAAAATTAAAAAAAGAAAAACAGTCGTTTTAATCTAAATTAATCAAGGGTGTGACCTGGTCTGATGACAGACTAATGCACAGATTAATTTCATAACATTTTCAATCATTTTTGTTCAGGTTCTCCAAAACCTGACACAAAAATCGCAAAGTTTTACGAGAATCTGACATGGTAACAAGTGACGCTGTCTTGGTCATGGGGTCGGGAACCAATCAAAAAATAGGTTACCCCCACGAGGAAGCGCCGGTACTGTTTAAAGTTGCAAGGATTTATGAGGAGTGGGTCAGTGTTGTGTCTCGTCCAAGTGTCTTTAATCGTGTCTGGCACTCGAACCGAAGATGAGAGCTGCTTTGCTGCTGGTTTTGACTGTCTACTTCGTTAGTCAGTGCGACGGAGGTGAACTTTCCTCTTTATGCACACAACCTCCGTCCAAGTGGTGCTCGTCTCTGGACACGGCTATTCAATGCGGGGTGAGTTTATTAATGTAACAGGAAACAGTTTTCATTATTTGTGTAATAATTGAAAATGTTCTTTTTAATACAGTTGTGTGTTTTAACTCACTCGTGGACTAAAACTATTCTCAGTTATTTAGGTTTTTGTAGGACATTAACCAAAGTTATGCAGCTTGGCACTGGGTCAAGTGGTAACTTAACCGGCTTTGCTCACTGAAAACAAACGACTAACGCCCTGAGTACAGTTGCTACGTGACACTTTTATCATTATTCACGACAGAAAACTCATAACAGTTAAAACTTAGGGTTGTTGTACAGTAAGTAGTTAATACAGTTCAATTTTACAGGGAAGTGACGACAAAACCATGTTGTACATCACACTTTTTTTTTTATTTTATTTTTTTTACTTTAAACTTTTTACTTTTAAACCTTGACTGTTTTAGACGTCTTCTCTGGCATCACCTCTTCGGTTTAAGGAAAAATTCAGCCAAGCGAAAGGGAAAGTCCCAATAATGAAACTGTTTTGCATAGCTGTGCTGCATTCAGGTACCGCTCGGACAGACAGATAGGCAAATGGACTGTGAAAAACGAAGCTAGATTATTCTGTGTCAGGGGTGTCAAACTCAACCACAGCAAGGGCCATAATCTGGATTTAGGTCTATTCTGAGGGTCAAACAGGGTCATCATTTCATCAAAACTGTCAACTTCCTTTACAAAAAATATACAAAAAAAAAAAAATAAAAAACAATGATTATAACTCATTTGGAAATTCAAAAAAGATAAAAAGATATGTTTAAAGCCAGTCTGAGAAAGAAAAATGTATTTATTTTTTATGCTATTTTTATTTATTAGTTCAAAAGATCAGAGCATGATATTAAAAATAGAAAAATAATGCTTTTAAAGAGCACAAACATAAAGAGAACATTGAAATCGGGTATAAAAGATCAAAATATGACTTAAAATTTTAAAATTCTAATCTTCCTTACTCTTTAATTTCCTAGATTTTGGTGGCTTATTAAGGACATTTTAAATAGCAGTGCTAAAGTTTACATTATTATACTGGAGGAAATCTGCAGACTTCATACTGGTGGGCTAATGATAATACAAATATGATATGATCTTGTTGGCCAGATATAATTGTTCCACAGGCCAGATTTGGCCCCCGGGCCTTGAGTTTGACACCTGTGCTCTGTGTGGACTACACCTCTTGGTTATGACCTCAGAGCATCGTAAACTGATGTGTAAAACATGAATTGATGCAAAATATTTATATATATTTTAAATATTATATAAATTTTTACTTCAATGTCAATGTCAGCTTTATTTAAATAGCACGTTTAAAAACAGCCAGTGGCCTACCAAAGTGCTTCATAGTAAAATAACCAGACACAATATAAACAATAAAAACAATAAAAGCACAAAACATATAAAAAAATAAAACAACAACTAAGATAAACATACCAATTAATCAATGACCCAATAAAAGTAGCTATACTTCCTAAAAGGTTAAGTGAACAGAACAGAAGTGTTTTAAAAGTGGAAAGGCTTTTCACAGTAAGCACTGTCTGGGGTAAAGCATACCACAAAGTGGGAGCCACGACAGAAAATGCTCGATCTCTAGATTTTAAAAAGGATCCGAAAAGGATGGAGGAATGTCTAAAACCACCTGATTAGCTGACCTCAGGGCTCTGGATGGCTGACGCAATTTAACAAGGTCAGACAGATAAAAGAATCTTAAAATCAATCCTGTGCCTAACAGGGAGAAAGTGAAGAGAGGAAAGTACAGGAGTTATGTGCTCCCATTTCTTAGTCCCAGTGAGGAGACGAGCTGCAGCATTACTTAAATGCTGTGATTCATTACAAAAGAAGTTTGTCTACTCACCAAGTTTTTGCCATTCTTTTTCTGACTCTAGTGACCTCAAGCAAATTTTCCTGGTTTGAATAGTTTTTTAAGATTACTTCTAAATTTACATGAACATAGCATTGAAGCCACTCTCTCATGGTCACTCTAAAAACTGAATGCACATCTCTTAGCACCTTTTAGCTGAGTCATGGAGATGGTGTGGGAAATAACCCAAGCTCCCAAGCAGCCTCATTAGAAGAAAACAGCCTGAGTTTGCATGTAATGCACACACCCAAAGAGGACCAAAGAGAACAATTAGCAAAAGTCTCCTGACTCTCCTTTTCTCTCTCTCTCTCTGTCTGTAGGTTTTGAAACAATGCCTTATGTCAAACTTCACTCGATCCCATCCAAAAGAAGATCCAGTCCAGGTGGCGCTTTACTATGAGAGTCTGTGCCCGGGCTGCAGACTCTTTCTCACTGAGATGCTCTTCCCAACCTGGCTCTTGCTGAATGAATTCATGTCTGTTACTCTAGTTCCCTATGGAAATGCAAGGGTAAGCAGTTTACCAAGCACCTGCACACAAAAGGACTTATTATAGAGTAATTATAGTGATATAAAATAAGTATTTTTGTGTTTTTAAATTTATCTAAAAAGGGGCCAGATTAAAAAAAAAAAGAAGGCCTATTTAGATTTGTGGTCCCAAAATAGTCTTGGCAACAAAAGGATAATCATGTGAAACAAAACTTTGGTTGTATTACCGTAAATAATGTGTTGAACTTTTTGAACTTATGAATCTGTTGCATTTACCCTTTCGCAGGAGAAACCTGACGGGCAAAAGTACGTTTATGAGTGTCAGCACGGAGAGGAGGAATGTTTGGGTAACATGATTGAGGTGAAGCTACAACCCAAATGCACAAAAAAAAAGACATTTCTACAATTGTATTTCTACAATTATAATAACGAAGTAATCTGCTTTTGTATAATTTCACGAATCTAAAGCATGCAGTGTGGATATGATTGCTGAGAGAAATTCTCAGAGGATATTTTTTCTAATATGAAGTGCAGGCTGTTTTTGTTTTGTTGTAATAAAGTGATTGCCTCCTTCCTTTCAGACCTGTCTACTTAACATGACTGAAATGGCCTTCCCTATCATCTTCTGCATGGAGTCCTCCACCGACGTGCTCAAGTCAGCACAGAGCGTAAGGAACCCAACATTTGCATCAGCTGTTTGTCCAGTCATTTCTGCATCTTTATCCTTTCCTTTCAACGTTACTGTTTCACTGCTGAAGTTGTGTTTATTTCCCTTCTTTGCTGTTTGTAGTGTGTTCAACTGTACAGCCCTCAGCTGAGTTGGGATACGGTCATGGGCTGCGTAAAAGGGGATCTAGGAAACCAGCTCATGCATCAGAACGCTCTGAAGACCGAGGCCCTGAACCCTCCACACGATTATGTGCCATGGATTACCGTTAATGGGGTGAGGCTCTAGTGTGTTGATGCTTTGATTTAAATGTTGTGCTACATTTTACTGTGATTTTATGATCTGATTTTAAAGCTCCTATTGGTAGCCAAGGGTAGAAACTATGTAAGTGCTCCAAACAAAACAAAGATATTAAAATTTTCTCCTTTACTAAGGAGGAGCTGATCAGATCATTTACATTTTTCAAGTGGCATAAATTTATTGATGACACCAACTGAGGAAAATGTAAATCATTGAGGTTAGCTTCATGTATCAGAAAATCCTTAACCACTTTATCTGGTGTACTCTGATCAACAACAATGCATTTATTTGACACTGAAATAGTGAACTAACATAACGAAGCATGGCATTATCAAGCTGATTAAAATGAAATAATAGCTTAGTTTAGACACACCTGATGGACAAGAGAACACCGGCGTGACTAGTGGTACATTAGACTAAGCAATGGATAATAATCTTTTTATAAGAGGACTGAATGAGGGCAGAGTGAGATCATGTGTCTCCAGACATCTTTGTGCTTTTAGACACAGATAAAGCAATAAAAAGCATAAATATGTTTCAGCATTTTAAAAGCAGCTCTTGAAAAATGTAGCTTTAGAAGATTAAGCATTATCCTGTGTTTGTACAGATAAAAAGGGGTTAGTTTGTTGGAATGTGAAAAAATGAGAAGCAGCAGTTTTGGTGGTAAGTGATCTGAAACATCGTTAAAAAACATCACAATCTAATCAAAGTTGTCTATATCCAGACTGAATCTACTAAAAAAGGCCTCAAAATCAAACTCTGCAGCTCTGTTTCCAACAATAAGAACTCTTCTGAGCGGTCTCCAATAACCATGAAGGTTTTTTTGTTTGTGTGTGTTTTTTTCTTTGGTCAAACTATTGATTGTCATATTTTTGTTAAAGTTATCACATTTTGCTCATTCACTGCGGAGGCAACACACCCACTCTGACATGTGCAAAGGTTATTCCAGAGACTTCCTTTTTAGTAACATGATGTTCTGTCACATCTGCTGTGAGGAAAAAAAGAACAGACTGTTTTCAATAGGGCCTAAAATGTTGTATAAGTGATCAACAAGTCCACCCATAAACACACTTAAAGTACACCATAATTTATCAGCGCCCCCTAAATCACATTTTCCTGTTCCCAAATAGCAGCTTTAACAGTGTGGTAAGAGTTTTTGGAAATTAATGTTTTAGCTCAGCAAAGGAGAAATTATCTCAGGTAAGTTACATGTAATGATAGCGAACCATTTCAGTGTGATGCTTGCTGAGAGTCTAACATGAGTCAGTGTTAAATAATGCAAGCAATCATTTCTTTCCATTGTGCATTTGAAGGCGGTATTACTTTGAAAATGAAATAATTGATAGTAAAAGGTTTGTTGTTAACTCCGTTTGCAATACTTAATTTTTTGACCACATCGCTAAGAGTAAAGGTCGGCTTTTTCCTGGCTGATAATCAAGTAAAGGTCAAGGTTCATATGGTATTGGAAAAAGCAAAAATAGTATGAAAATAAGTTTTAAAAAGAGCCAGCTTATGCACCTTGTCTCTCTACTCATGATACTAATCTTTAAATTTTGCAGGTTCACACAGATGACCTGCAGCAAAAGGCTTCAACTTCTCTCTTCAGTTTGGTCTGCGGCATGATCAAGGTACACCTAACATCAAACCCAAGTCATTCACTGACTTTGCTCTGAACATCTGACTTTTCAAGTTTTCTGTACATTCAATTTGTGACCGTCTATGACCATGGGCTCTTCATTTTTCTAGGGCACCAAGCCTGAGGCCTGTGGGGGGTCGCAAAACAAACACTACAGAAGCTACTGCCACAACAAGTGACGAGGCAGCACTGCACACACATATGCTTGCTCTCTTCCAGGTGTGGCAGCTAAATGAGGAACTCTGAAGAATTTTGTGATTTTCTTTTGTATCTGATTTTATAATGTCTTTTTATAAAGGGAAAATCAATCACCTCATGTTAAAATAAAAATACAATCCACATTTTAAAAAAACGGGTGTTTTCGTTGAAGTGTTTTCCTCTGAAACCAAAAATGCTCTGTAGAGTTATATGTTCTACAGAGCAGGATTAAGTTAACTTAAACCTGCTCTGTAGAACATTTTGAATCTATTATGTAGATCTAGACAATGTCCACTAGATGGCGCCATTTATCCTCATCCTCAACCCCAGTTAGTTGTAAGAAGGGAGAGAGAAACAGCGGGACAAGTGACTGTTTACCACCTCACAGTGTTTTAATGTGCTCATATTTGTTCCATTTAGTATATATCTGATATCTGAACTTAGTCAAGTTCACCAGATCATTCCAGGAAAGGTTTCACATTGTAGATACAATGTTCAATAACTCAAAGTTTACGTACATTTCATCAAACACCTCTAAATAAGCTGAAAGGTCTTTAATGATACAGAAGGGGTCGGCTCTCAAAAGTTCTCAACATCTCCAGGATAAGACTTGATGATGTTGACAGTATTTACAGTGTGAAAAAGGATGCCACACTAACAGTTTTTAGACAGCTGCTTGATTAGAGCCTCAGTCTTGCTTGACCAGAAGGCCTGGATGCATGAATGGCACTGATCCTACAGTCGGATAGACACACATGAATAAAGACCCGTCACGCGCACAGCTTTATCTCTCCAGTCTCAGCACTGGTTAATTCTGCAGACTTTAAGTCCACACTCTTCCTTCAACTGTAGAAAAAAAGAAACATCTTCATCCTCTTCTCTGGATTTTCTTCAAAATATTATTCTCCTGAGTTTAGTTATTTAAGCCTGTGAAGATGCATCTCAAAAATGTGCTAATGACAGCCAAACGGTGATGAAGAGGTGGGGAAATAGTTGTTCATCAAGTCCGAATAAGAACACAGAGTGCTGCGTATCTGATTTTAAACGTGGTACCTTTGTCCTCCTCTCTGGTATTTCCTCAGTAGTTGTTTTGTTCCCGTGATCTATTTGTGTAGTTTGACCATGAGGAGAAACAACTCTTGTAGACTTTTCCACTTCACTGAGGTAAGAACTTTGAATATATTATTTAATCAAACCATATTCACAATTAATACATATGTCAAATTAACATGTAGTCTTAACTTGTTTCACATAGGCTAGGTTTTTAAATCACTCATGAGATTGACCTTGATTTTTTGGGGGGATATTTTTCCCTCAAAACTCATGGAGCAGATTAATGGGTCCTTATCTGTTGGGTTTTTAAGTATTTGTGTTAATAAGATTGAACAAATTAGCTTTAAGGATTCTTTGTGAAGGGTGTTTTGAATTTTAAACATAACTCAGGTGTAATAACTTACTCCTGTCAGTGAAGAAATGAAAGTGCTTTGTGGTTGGTCCGCTCGGTCAGATATAGTCAATATTTAAACCAGAGAGAGTGCTGATGATCGTTTATTTAAAGGTGTCCCAAGCAGCTGGAGAGATAATGTCACGAGATGCAGCAGAAAACAGAGACTGTTATCTGTAGTGACGCTAACAGAGAGATGCCCCAAGAGCTAAATCCCAAACGCAGTCTGACTTTGAGAACCATCTATTGTGTCCAAGGTGATAATGTTGGAGTCTCAGGACTTTGAATCAGATAAAGCCTCCCAAAATAAAGCCTGAGTGGTCTCTGTTTACACAACCCTGTCGAAGCTTAAACTTAACATCTCTAGGATGGTTTTTCAATGTAAGGTACAAAAATATATCTAATTCACTGAAATAAGAACAAGTTATTAAACACTGTTGATTCTTACTCTAATACCAATAAAATCCAAGACAAACACAAATAGATTATTTTCTGCTCCTTTGTTAAGCAGAGTTGCAGTTGAGGTTTATCATTAAAAGTATCAATCAGAATCAAACTTACATGGATGTATTTGTAGTTCAAGGACCTGTCATTTGTATTGAACTTGCTGTTCCTGTCATAAAACAAGGCACAGAAAGGAGGACACAATAGCAAGACACCAAATCAGTTTGTCCAACAGACAGGGTCTACTAGAACTCAGGCAGAGGTCGGTACACAAAAGGCAGACGGATCAGGCAGAGGTTTCCAAAAAGGCAAGGTTCATAAAAGGCAGGCAAGGTAATACACGGCTATCAATAACAATGAATAATGCTGGATTGAGACTATGAAGTGCAATGAACTGGCGACAAACAGTGAGACACAGTGAGGGTAAAATACAAGAGGTAATGAGGGTGATGGGAAACAGGTGGGAGACATGATAAGGCAGACCAGACAGGAACAAATCTAGAAGACAGAAACAAGAGTAAGTGATCAACAAAAGAAAACAGGAAGGACATGACATGAAACGTGCATGTGCAAAAATAAAGGAAACTTAACCAATGAATAAAGAGAAGTCAAAGGAAACTTATCAGTTTTAATCTGCTCCTTTGTTTCTTTTAGAGGAAATGGGACTCCTCAGAGCAGCCCTCCTATGTCGACCTTCTCCAGGAACCCTATATCACATGTGTTGTGAGGAGGCTCTTCTCAGGAACTCTGCAGCTGCCCAGGCTTTCTTGCAGACCCTCCAGACCCGAGGATGGCCCCTCAGCGGGCGGCATCAAGCCCTCCAGAAGTCTAGGGACCTTGACCAGCTGCATCTCCAGAGTTTTGTAAGTTATGACGCTGTCAGAGTCTTTCTGCGGCTCCTTTTGATCAACGCTTTTTATTTTTTATCATTCTGTCACAAACGTTTGGAGAGGCTAGATCTATATTTACATACAAGAGCTTTTCTCCCGGCTGACAAAGACCGTACTGGTATATCAAACCTCATACTCGTAGTGAAAAGTCAATATCAACAGAGAGTTTTTCATAATATCAAAACAAAAAAAGAAAAACTATTAATAACAGTTTTTTTCTGGGCTGTGTGAGCTTTCTGCTGCTAGTTCCCAAACACTTTTTCACATTTTCCAGATTAATGATTACACTTGTATGTGGTCAATCGATAACCAGCGCCTGTGACTACAGCATTTTGCAGCCTTGAAGTCAACACAAATCAATGACAACTTTGCAGCTGCACCCTCCCTCTCTTGGAGTATTCAGCAGCCTCCCCCCCACATTAGTATTTTTATTGCTTACTATTTGTACAAAAAGCTGATTTGCCTCTCCAGCATGTGATCCGACTAAGTGTCCCGCTTGAGGCGTTGCACTCTTCTCTGGATTATCCTGAATATCTATCACTGTGAAAAATCAGACAAACAAGGCTCTTGTGATTGTCTCCACAACATCATTCCAGCTGATGCTGCAGCAGTTTTATCTCTCTCCTCTGTATGGGCGTTCTTCTCCGCGCACATGTTAAAGGAATGTGGACCAACCTGTTTGATTACGTAGGCAGCTGTAGTGCATGTCAGAGGTGATCAGATATGGCTGGTCTTTGAACAAAGACTTATTGATGTTTCTTTTTGTAGCTAACAAGCCTTCATTACTGTGGTTTTAATCGCTTTGAATGTTGGATGCAACACATGCTTTTGCTATTATTGACTAACATTGGTCAGGGCATCTGACTTTTATCACCCATTGCATTAAAGTGGTGTGTTATGATGAGAAATTGAAGGAAGATAGAAGCAGAGAAGACATCAATAGTGCGGTTAACAGAGGTCAGTCTGTTTATGTGAAGCAAAATGAAAACCTGAGATTTTGCAAAAAGCTCAAGCTATACTTTTAATTTACTAATGCATCAGATTTCATATAGCGCTTTATCAGAGACCCTCAAAGCGCTTTACATTAGATACACCATTCATTCGCTCACACAGTCACACCTTGGTGGTGGTAAATTACCTTCGTAGTCACAGCTGCCCTGGGGCAGACCGACAGAAACGTGGCCGCCAGTTTGCGCCTACGGCCTCTCCGATCACCACCACACAACACTCACAATCATACACCAGTGGAGGACACACACTGGGAGCAAGTTGTGTCCTTGCCCAAGGACACAACGGACAGACTCGGGATAGGAGGGAATCGAACCACCAACCTTAGGGTTTTTGGACAACTGCTCTACCTCTTTGGCTACTGCCACCCTTTTGGTCAAAAGGTGAAACATAGGTTCATGAGATTGTATTTTAGACTACATTTATTGCATTCACACAAGAGTGTTTGGACAATAAGTGAAGCATCACTATCTTGGACATAATTTCTATGATGTTGATGCTCTAAGAGACTGTCACTCTGACTGACGACGGCCGTATGCTCATTTGTTTACGGGTCAATTGTGCACATTGGAAGAACTTTTTACTGTCTTTAGTCTGAGGTTTTGGTCAAGACATGGGTGCTTAAACTCTGTGATGAGGTTATCATCTGGAATTACCTTGAAATGCACCAAAGAGTTACCTTTTTGCTCCTTACTCCCCTTCTCCATGAGAAGTTGAACAAGGTCATGTGGAAAGTGGTTTTCTCAGTCGCAAGTAACAGTAGGTTGGCATGATTACCTGAGAAGGACGTCTGAGCCAGAACACAAGGTGAACAAGGAAGCAGAGATTATAGGAGTAACGTTTTTCTCCAGTGTTTGTTGGTTTGATTCCAGATACAGCTTTTAGAGAAATTGCTGAGATTGCATCCAGGAGGGATGTGAAACATAAGAGTTTTAATCATTTTCCTGTCCCATTGTTTGTTATCAGAGAGGTGGTCTTGTTGGAGTCTCATGGTAAGTTTCAACATTATCATGAAGTGTGCCACTGTGCACATGTTAAACACAGTCTAGTCTGACAGTACTTATTTTAGAGGGAAGTAACTAGACATTTACTGTAAGTCCACAGTAGATTCCAGTTGTGACGTAGTGGACACAGCAGACTTTGAGGACTCTGTCTCAGGATCTTGAAGCTTTATGCTTAATGTAATGTTACACACACATGGGCAGCACTTCACATTACCATCCAACCACAAGAAACTCCAGATGAACTTTATCAACCCACTCCAGGACCTGTGGAAGTGCCACCACAGAAATGTGACTTTATTTTGTCTGAATTCAAAGAGGAATTGTGTCGACCTTCACCTCTGTGTTTATTGGCCCGTGTCTGCCATGATGACAAGCTTGACTCTATACTGCTTTGGCATCAGAACAAGGCAGAGCTGATGGATGCTAAACCTTACACTACTTTAACAGAATCAAACCACAGATTTGCTCAAGAGTTGTCGGGCAAGGATTCAAATTGATGTGCTGTGGCTGTAATTTTTAGAAACAGTAAAAAGATAGTTTCAATTTTCTTCAAACTGAAGGACACAGTAGAGAATAAATAGTCAGAACAGTGACATTTCTCACATATTCCTCAACAGCCTTTCAAAAAGAGCTACACTGTAGTAGTGTTTCTCCTGCCTGCAGCCATTTCAATGATATACTTATGTTTACGCCAATTAGAGGGACCAGTCTTGTGACTGTAACTCTTTAAAACAAAGCGTTTTGTCTGAAGCGGCCTGTAAATCACTCATTATTTTTATGTATTGCTGTCAACGACTACTAATGATGCATCAGGGTTTTAAAAGTTTTTCCGGTATTTTAGGGGGACAAACCATTTCTGCTTTGAACTCTCCATTAAGAGATAAGGGACACATGCCAATAAGGTGAAGTCTATGTTTACAGTCAAGTGGCACCAGACTCTGCATGCACAACAGTCAGTTTATCGGCTACACAAATGTAAATTATCTTAAACTGCTAAAACACGAATCACAGCTCCTACAAAAACCGTGCTAAAATGGTTAATTGAGCAATGATTTAATTTAGTAACTTCATGTTAAATAGTTTCATTTAGTACTTAAGTGTTTGTATTTTAGTAGAACATGTCTCAAACTGGAAACTATGCATGCTCATTAACATATAACCTGTCGTTTCACCTACCTGATGAAAGTAAAATCCAGTATTTGTTTCCTGTTTAACTCGGTTTTGGTCTCCTCCAACTCAGGAGGGGAAAAAAGGTTCGGCAGCACTAACTGATCAACCATGTTCACCAGCTTGCTGCTCATCATGCAGAGGAGTTTCAGATCACGCTGTACAGTAGGTTGATGGCCATTAATGGCCCCTTGGAGGAAATATGATGCATTATAGACGTAGTTGTGACGCTGCAGTGTTGAACCTGGTGTTTGTAGAGTGTCATGGAATTTTCAGGATGGATCAAAAGTCACATCTGTTGTTATGCGCTGAAGCTTTGTAAAGTCCTCTGAGACATGTTTGGGTGATTACGTAGGATCTAAAAAATCTTGGCATGTATTTGACCCTGTAATGGCGAGTTCACATGTGCTGTGCTGCATTTGGATGAGAGCAAATTTCTCTGTCTATATGCGCAGCACAGCGGCTATGTTTGGATACCCATTAAAAGCATTTAACCGAAGACTCTTTCACCCCTGCTCCCTTTTCCAGCCGTTGATCATAGGTTCAGGCCTGCGTCAGATGTTCTCGGCTATTTCAGTTTCCCTAGACGGCACCTGTGTTTAGACATGAGTCCCTTATCACAGGAAAACCTTTCCTCACTTTGCATGGATAAACAAAGAGATTTGGTGTGCGAGAGCGGAGGGAGTGGTGATGATGCCTCTGGTCACAGATAGAGAGCGCCATCGTGACAGCACTCATGCGCCCTATAGCTTTTATCTACCTCTGTGTTTTTTATAGTCAGAGGCCCTTCATGTGACTCCTCCTGGTACGCCCCGAGCATGTGAAAAGCAAAGGGGCCGTCTCTAAGGAAATAGGCAACTTCACAACAAATAGCACCTCAGGGAGCAGCAAAGCAAAAGCCTGAGTATGCAAAGTCAGTCTGACCAAGAGAGGCAAAACTGAGGGCCGAGCCAGGCGACGGCTTAATGTTTATACACCAGAGGAAGTGATTATGGAGCACTGTTTGACGTTGATGAACAATTTGCTCTGTGCGATTAGGAGTGAAGGAAGAGGGGAGGCAGGCATTTGGAAATAGGGGGAGAGAAGCAGAAGGAGGTGATCCGTCATGCTTCTCTTCCCTGTAAATCAGACGTCCATATTTAGTTGGAAAGAGGGAAGGCCTAGCAGTAATGTAAACAAAGCCTGGGAGAGGGAGGGAGGCCGAGAGAGCACATCAACACTAATGTCTGAGACTACTGCCCAGCAGGCAGTCAGCATGATCGTGAGGCAGGGACCAGAAAGAGACTGACTGCTTTCAAATAAAGTCACTTGCTGTTTTTTTTTTGCTGCTGCTTTTTGATTTTAAAAAGAAGATTGGTTGAAAGTTTTAACAAGAAAGTTTTGGAGCCCAGGATTTGATCAAATATCAGGATGGACCAGAGGCACTAGCTTTACGTGTTCTTGTCCAGGCAAGACTAACAGCCTCTGGGACTAATGGACCACTTCACTGTTTTCAAGAAAGTCAAGGAAGAGGCTTGTGAAGTTTGAAAAAAATACAGGATTGAAGGGAGCCCCTGGAACAAGCTTGAACAAACTGATCACCAAACCCCTGGTCATCCTTTGGTCCTCAACATGAGTGAGTTCAACTCCGAGGGCTCAGAAGAAGAGCAGTCTGAAGTCGATGAACGGCTACATGAACAGTCAATGAACAGGCCTCCCATTCAGCTCATTTCCAGGTCCAAAGTGGACTCCCCTGGAGGATCCCCCAAAGATTCCCCTCGTGGGTCTCCTCGAAACTCCCCGCTGCTCTTCAGAAAACTGCTGATGAACCGCAGCATCAATCTCCAGAGACGCCGCTTCACCCTGGCCCACACGCCCAGGTAGAGTCAGAAATGCTGGGGCTTAGATGACACAGATGGTGGTGCTTTGTGCTGAATTGAAAGACCTACTATGGAAACTTTGGTTTGTGGATGAGCCGCAGATGATAACTGTTTTTTTGTTTTGCACCTCTCTGATTTGGCAAGTTTGGACTCAAAGCTTTTAAGAAAATGCAAAAATGCCAAACAGTCTTGACAAATGCAAACATTTTTGGTGGTAATTTTTCCACGAGCGTTTAAACAGAGTATTATTCTTCCTATAGACTTTCACTGAGGTCGATTTTTGAGCACACACAAATGATCAAAACAAACACTTTCTTCTATTCTTGCACGCAATTTGTGAAAACATGGACATCCACTCGACTTATTTTTGGTGGAGCAGCAGCCTCACTCAGTAGAAAAATGTTTGCCCTGAAGCTTATGTTATGAAATAATTCTGACCACAAGATGCTGATGAACTGTGTTAGCTGTTGTTTGCAGGGGAATTCTGCATATCAAATCCTCCTGTCAGCTCATACTGTTAAAAAGATACTGCTTCTTTATTCAGATTAGCTGATATTTAATTTGCAAAAAACTGAAAAAGCTGAAATGCTTATTTGATTCACTCATTACCTGAAGTAGGTTTTGCAGAATACAGTAAAGGTAGATCTACAAAAGTGCACGGTTTAGATCATGTTTAATTTCCATCATCTCAGTAAACACACACACAGCTCCGAGTCATTTCTGCTGGCAGTGGATCAGCAGTTTGTTTTCCACGTCTTTGTCAAGCGAGAACTCAATTCCTGCAAACACCCTTTTGAAATGCAACATGACAAGGTGGATCTTGCTCTGCCAAAAATAAAGTCGTATATCTTGCCTCTCTGTCTATAATGGTGGTTATAACTCTTGTTTGAGTGCAGCTGCTTTGCAGGCAGACCGGCTTTATTTTTATGAGCAGTTATTTCATCAGACACGAGCCGCGATGCCAATGCAAATCAAACATTTACTCTGCTGACGATGTCAAAGCAGGAGCCGTAGGATCAATTAAACCACACTTGACCTCTACTTCTCGAGAAGGGAAAAGTAAACAAGGCTTTACACTTGTGTGGAAAGATATACAAGCTGGTGGCTTGTTACACCAGGCGAATGTTTCGTTTCATGGTTGGTGTGCTTCTTCAGAAGAAGGAGACTGCCACGGAAAATTGCAGAGTGCTGTAAAACCAATTTTTATGCACATGCCTGCTATCTCTTTGTCAGTGTTTGTCCTTTAATCCTCAACATACACAGACTCAAGCAGCAGGAACCGAGCAGTCCTGGGCTGTTACTGGGCGTCTACAACTCGTTGCAGTGATGTTAGACGACATCCACTTTGGTGAAATAAAATTAAAAGCCCGGGTGAAACTCGAGCTGGTGTCGTGAAGTGCTGCCGTACTTTTACTGGCAATAAATGTGTATTAAACCCTCTTAAAGAAGCCAGTGAAGCCTTGAAGAAAACTCAGAGTGTTTACAAGTTCATTCACCTTTCTAAACATGTCGTCGGAGGATCGTTTTGCCCCAGGCGTTTAGTGGTCTTGGATTGGAGATTGGCAGAGATGTTTTTTCCAAGCTCTACTAAGACTGTTTCATTAATTTCTCTGGGTCTGTTGAAAATCTAAATATTAGAGGGTAAGAATCCAGTGGAGAGGATTTCAAGGCTCAACCTGGAGAGTCAGAGGCTTGCAGTCTAGCACAGATGTTCAACATGTCAGAGCTTTTATATTACACAGATCCCAGGTCAGGCCATTAGAAGTGTCCCTCTGCAGGCTATGTGCAGTGTCCCATAATGTCAGAGCTGAAATAAATGGATAGAGAGGAGTTATTGCAGGATGGCTGGCAAGAAGAAGGAATTAAACAAAGTGGGGGTCCTGTGGAAAATAAATGTCGCAGACATCTCAAATATAGAACACACCCGCAAAGTTCTTTTCACTTAGTGTCGAGGGTGATTTAGTGTTTTTTTCCACTCCAAAGACAGCACGTCAAATAGATTTCTTTGTGAGAAACATTTAATGAAAACGAAGTTTTTCAGACCAGTACTGTTAGGAACAGAAAGTTTGTTAAAAATGTGTTTTTCATAAAAGATTTCAGAGTCTCTGTAAAAGTTAAGTAAGTAAATTTAATTCATATAGCACTTTTCATAAATAAAATCACAAAGTGCTTTGCAACAAGGATAAAATGCAATAAAATACAGAGATCACAACTCAATACATATAACAGAGGCCCCACAACATCAACATCAGTTAAAAGCCTGTCTAAAAAGCCTGTCTTTCAGTGGACTCTATGCTGCGGACTCTAAGGTCAATGGTAGTGTAAAGACGAGGGGGATTGGCCTGGAAAGAGCAGTTACTCTGGTCTTTGAGAAGATAAACAAACTTTTACTCTATTTGATGCCGTCTTCATTCCTTCTGTCATTGTTCAGATTTGTTCCTAAAATATAATAAAGTTTACAAGAGCAACTGGCATGTTGTAAGGAAGTAAGTAAAATTGATGTAAAGTTAATGGGTGGTCCTGCAGAACAGAACCCCAACAGGGTAAGTACTAAGCAGGACACTAAAATAACCAAAATAAAAAAGATTTCATTTTGTAAAATCTAAAAAGGATTTATCTTCAATTATTTCAACTGTTTTTTATATGATGCATCAGATTCAACATCAGACTCCGTTTGATATGAATTCATATTGAGGTGAACATTTGAATTAGTGGTTGACATGAAACATTAACCTGTTTATTTGTTATTTGTATGTACCTAAACATTTTTGGCAGTGTTAGTTTAAGCAAACGTGACTTTAGAACAGATATTCATGCTGACATTTCTGTCCTCATTCAGATCTACTTCCTCTTGAGGCTTCGCAGTTGACACACAGTGGAACTTAAATGATGCAAATGTCACAACTTTTAACATGGTTGCAGTTCTCCCTGCTGCTTGCAGTTTAAGTCTCTTTGTAGAGATGCATTCATCAGCTGTGTTGCCATTAAGAGGATTGTAGGACAGGATATTGGTCCACTTTTACCAATTAGAGATGGTCGGAGCTCTGGGGCTCCTCAGGCTGCTCTCACATCTGTGTTCAGGGAATGTTATTGTTTCCCAACTCTCAAGACCAGCCTGAAGGAGAAACTCGTGTTTTTGCCACAGTGTCAACAGGCAAAGTTGAAATGTTCCAGACTCCTTTCTATGGATTGATTTAATATTCTCCTCTGTGTTGCTTTTGTTGTTGAGTTAGTGATGTTATAAGCATATTACCTGTTTTGTGTTGGGGTCTTGGTCACTGTGTTAGGACTTCGGTTAACTCACAAAACAAGACCCCTGATGACATATATAGTGACACTCAGACGCCAAAACCACGCTTCACGTTCATGTTTATGTACATACCATATTGTAAGAGTACCTCAAGTTTGTATTTTCCTGTATGCTGCACAGTGTGACACAATACTTATTGATTAATATGGGGAAAAAAAGGAGAGATAGTGAGTGATTTCAGTGTAAAAAGCAAAGTTTACTTTGGTAAAAAATGACAGTTCCTGCAGATTTCAAAGGTGATTGATATTTCCTGATTTGGTCTGTCGTTTTGTTCCTCTTTATGATGAGTTTGGACTTTTTAAAATTCGTCTTAATAAGCTTCAGATTGGAAACCTAACTCGTGTTAGAGTTCAAGTAGTACTCAAGGAGTAGTTCAGAACTGTTTACCTTTGGGATTTTCACAATTATAAGCAGCTGAAGCTTATTGTTACAGTTCCTTTTTCTTCCACTAGAGGCTGCTGTGTTGTTAAATGTAGTCAACATACCAGAGGTAGTTGTCTTTTTTGTTTCTATGATGGAGTAGAAGGGAAAAAATACCATCCATTAGCAGCTTTGAGGTAGGGAAACGTATTGAAAATGAACTTTAAAGGTTGCAGAAATGCACTGATGTGAGTTTCTTGATAAAGTTACTGGCATGTTCTGTACGTGTTTGTAAGCAGCTTTTTTTTTTCACTTAGTCAGAGGTACATGAAACTTTTTAGAGTCAAGAGGATGTGCTAACTTTCAAAAAAAAGTACCCAACAGACTCTACTTTAAGAGTCTGTTGGGTACTACTTTACATTTCACTGCAAATATTTCATGAACTGTAAGCCTGAAAAAGTTTGTTTATCTCCTGTTGCATTAGAAGACTTTTTTTTAAAATCAAAATGTAACATTAAAGTATATCACAGCAACAAAAACATCATTTTAAAAGTTAAAAAGTACACTCGTGTACTCTGAAATGCCTTCTCATGAAGAGTTTACACCATGTAAATTGCTGTGTTTATATTACATTCACCCATTTGAATCAGTGAACACCGAGGACTCAGAGGTCCAGCTTCAATATAAACCTCATATAAACCTCATTTGTGTTGCAACAGAGACTTCCTGTTCACTCCTCTCTCTCACGTGAAGACAAATGAGATGTTTCCATCCTCTGCTCATTTTGAATCCTCTGCTGTATTTTCACAGTCATGCACTTGATGACATCAAATATTTATTTAACTGTGAGGAGGATACCGTGCAAATCAGATGGATTAGATCAGGACATGAGAGGTTAGAGGAGAAGTGCTGGATATTAAAAAGGAAAATGGGATCACCTTTTAAAAGAGCACACACACACACACACACACGCAGTATTGAAGAATTGATTGAACGGTGAACTGTTGTTGCTGGCATTGAGGCATGACGGTTGCATGAAAAAAGAGGAACTTTCTTTCTCTCACGTAGGAAATAATCTGCTGTTTTGTGTTTTTTCTACGTGTTCAAGTTTCCTCCTTGTGAACCAGCCTCTCACTCCACTTCTTTTTACTCTGGACAACTTTCTCTTATAGTAACTTTCTTTGTCTGTACACTCTTTCTGTGCAGTCCGCTCTCTCTCTCTCTCTCTCTCTTTCTCTCTCTCTCTCTCTCTGCCTCTCTCTCAACCCCTCAACACCCCTCCCCTTCCCTCCCCCCTCTACAGTATCTCTCACTCTCAGGGGAGATAGTGTCGTTGTTTGTTGTTTTAAGCCCGAGTTTGGTCCCACCACTCTCAGGAGAGAAGAAAAGAGAGAGCAGAAGTCTGTTATGGCCCGCTGACAGGGACGACGTGGGATGGCCCACTCCAGGGAGCATCTGATGGGATTATAACACTCTTTCCAGTGCACTTTTTTCCCCCACTAAGAATAACTCTGCTCAGTGGGTTGTTGGTGCAGCATCACAGAGGCAGCGCTGTACTCGTTTGGACAACTTTTTTGTAAACATTGCTGGATTTGATTTCTAAAGGTACCCAAAGTCCATTTTTGAGGATTTCTGCCGCTCCCAATTTGGGACTATGAGGAGAGAGGAAAAACACACAAGAGAAGAGTTCATCTTGACATGTCTGTGGTGAGCAGAGAGGAGATTCAGCGAGGAGGTCATCCCAGATGAGCGCTGACAGCTGACACCATCCTTAATTCTACTTGATCTGATTCGACTCCAGACTTCCACCGTTTGAGAGATGATACGCTGACCCCCTCTGCGATTCGTCTTTGACAGCCAAGACTTTTTGCCTTTTTAGGATGTTCACACTCTCACACATGCCGGGCTGAACCTTTTTGAATTCTCCTTTTTTTTCCCCCACAAAAACAAAAAGGACATATCTGTGACTTCAGGACCTGCCAGTTGAATTTGAGTTTGATGCACTCTGGTCTGTTAACTCTTTGCTGATCTGGAAATATCAAATAAACACCTGTGGGGGATCTCAGCAGGCCTGACTCACAGTTTTGTTCACCTCTGTGCTGCCTCTTTAAAGGTATAGCTGATGACAACCTTGTGTGTCTCTCTTTTCCATCTTGGCGTTGTTGTACATTTGACATTCATGGACCAGTTTTACCTTCCTCATCCAATCGAAGGATCTGTCCCCTTTCATAACTCGTGACCACGGACAGCATTCAGGCAGCGTTTCCCCTCTGTTTGATGACGACATGGGGGCACTGGACTTACCACAGAACTTTGTTCGGTTCATCCCTTGCCTCCCAAAGCTTTTTTTCTGACGCCTCGCTGAATCCAACCTGAATCCTTCTGAACTCGCCGATAAAATGATGAACAAAGACTCTCGTTTTCCAAGGAAGATGCAGGGCAACTTTTCCAACCGCAGACACTCGTGCATTGGGTATGTTTTGCTGAGAGCTTTGTCAATAAAGCTGCTGATGAGTATTTGATAACATAACACAAACATGCATGTGCGCATTTCAACAGGAAACAGATTTATCTCATTTCTGGTTCTTCACAGACTGTCTTTGTCTTATGTAACACATGAAATGAAGTCAGCAGTAGGGGAATTGTTTGACGCTGCAGCTCTGTTGTTGTTTATTATTGTATTTAATATGTTGGTAGCACACAAGCAGCAGTTTTACTTTGTTGTTTAGCTGCAATGTTTCAAATCCATCCAGAGAGAACCATCGTCATCACATCAACTGAACTAAACTTAGAAAGAGTTTTGACGTGGTGGTTGATCTTTTTGTGGTTAAAGGCACAATACCATATACGCTCAGTTTTGTAATGAGTCTGCAGCACCTGTATCCTGTTCGAAACTCTGGCTTGAGTAACCTACTCAGGAAGCTCACATCTGCACAATGATTCAGTGGTTAAGGCAGTGGGTGTCCATGGTGGTGTGCAGGCTGCTGTGGTTGGTGTTTCAAGCCTCAGGGTGGCATTTTGGATCAATGGCTCTGTCCACTGATGGACCTCCTTGTGGTCCCTGGACTCGAGCCAAACCGAGGCTTCCATGTTAGGCACAGCATGGACGTCATTCAGTCCAGGACTTCAGTTTCATAAGAGGACTGAAGAAATATTGGTGTGCTCTGGAAAATGGTCCCAAACATGAGTGTCTGCAGATGGAGCAGATTTCATCTCTGTTTTCTATCTCGTCCTTCAGGAAACTAAACAGTTAGGAGTACAATTCTGTGTCATGAACTTTTGCCACTTTAGCATGTTTCTCTATCCACACGCTGAGGAGACTGACTGACTTCATTGTCATAGTAACTTGATATAATAGTGTAACCAGCTTAACATCAAATCAGCACCTCTATGAGATCCATGCAGGATACGAAGTTGATTTGAATATGTTTGCAGGGATTGAAAACTGGAGGTAAAATCAAATGGATTAAATATATACACACACACACATATATATATATATATATATATATTGGCACATAGAGCACATGGATGCACACACAGGTTAAGAGGAATCATTTGAATAAGCTTATACGCTGCTCAGATTCAGAGAGACTCAGCCTTTTCTTCCTTTCAAATCCCCCGTCATGTTGTGACTCTGGGCAGAAGGCATGTGCCTCGCGAGTGTCATCCGAACTCCTCCAGCGCTGAGCCTGTTTGGATCATATGAGGAGATCAAAGCAGGAGATTCTCGACCGCAGAAGTGCAGCGAGGAGGAGAACAAGCCTCTTTTCTCTTTACCTGATTTGTACATTCAGCCCCTCAGCTGAAAATAAAGTACTGAGAGAACTTCCTGGAGGCTTCAGATCAAGCTGGCTGAAAACTTGTTTTTCATATTCAAAGCTTGCTAAGACAGAGGTGTATTCAAAGTATTGGAGGCTATAAATACTGAAGTAGGCACATTACAGCAGTAGTAAATTAGTGTAAGTAGAGGCTAAATTCTTTTGTACATGACTGATTTTCTCTGCCTTTTTCTAAACACACACACACACACGCATATTGCGAGACAAGGCTGTCTCTTGTAATCCAGATGTGTCCATCACAATGGAGACAGCTCTTATGCCTGCTTGTACTAACAGTACCAGGGTACTATTCATCCTGGACTTCGCCTGTCATACTGACTAATAGGGGTGGGAATCACCAGTGACCCCAAGATACGACATTATCTAACATTCTGCAATACAGTGAGTATTGCGATATGATATATTGCTATTTATATATTTTTTCAATTATTTAGCTAATTTAGCATTTGGCTTTCCTTTATGTTTGTCTTATTAACGCTCTTTATATATATGTGTGTGTTGCACTAACTTTCTCCTGGTCTATGATGTCAAAAACCGTTGATTTTAATTTTACATTATCATAGTTTTGACTTCACATTAGCAGTTAATTTGAGAAATTGATACTAGACGATACGATATATCACCAGACGAAATATCGCAATACTATGCTGTATTGATTTTTTCTCCCACCCCTACTGACTAACACGCACACACACACACACATACAGACAGAGTTATACTCCTCAGGGTGCTTTCTTACCAATGTTTTTATGGCTTTCCTATCAGTGTGTTGCATTTTTTATTATTTATTTGATTAAGATGATGGACATTGATCAACTATCAGCAACAGCATCAAAATAAATATGCCTGAGTTAGCACAGTCGCTAAATTCCATCTGTTGTCCCAAGGCAGGCATCCTATAAAAACAAGATACACATAATACACCATGACGATTGGTTAAAACATGTAGAAGTTTTACACAAAAAGTCAATCCACATTCACATTAAGGTTAAAAGTCCAAAGAGGAGAGACAAAGAGGTTACCCATGAGAGCAGGTCTGGCTCGTTTTCAACCACTGTTTCAGGGTCTTTTTAAAGGTATTGTAGCTGACACAGTTTCTAACATGAGCAGACACTGTGTTCCATGCCTGTGTCCCTCTGATGGATACACCATTTAGCCAAATTTAGTCATGCCTGTATTGCATTTAAACAACTCCCTGTTGCTGCATTAAGCAGGACGGAGACTGATTGCTCTGAGTCACAATCAAGAGGAGATAGTTTGAGCTGCATAAATACTTGATAACAAATTGAAGTGGTACAGAATGATAAGAGGAGACCAGAGCGAAATGTGCGCAAGAGCAACTGGTCCAATGGCTGATGGACTGGTAAAAAGAGATAATTAAGACAAAAAAAGGTCACGGCACAGACGAGAGGGTGGTGAAGAAGTGATAAAAAGGACGTGGGGCAAGATAGCGCCACGCTTAGCCCAGAGATAGTGACCGGGAGGGGAGGGTTGGACTGAGTGGTGGAAATAAAAATAAAAAGTGTTTTGAAAGAGATCAAAAAAGAAAAGGAAAGTGTGGCCGACAGAATGATGAGAAAAACATGAAAAAGTGTCAAGTGAGGTCATCCAACCAAAGGGCAAGAGTGTCAATGTCAGAAGTCCCAATATAGTTGCAAGCCCCCTCCCTCAAACACACACCCAGATTAGTCAATAGGGCCTGTGTGGCTGTGGCGGGCTGGCCGCTGTGTGCGTCACTGCTGTACTCCATATTTTCAGCATGACTGATTTTCCCAATCGCCTGCAGAGCTTCATTGATTTCTGAGGCAGCAGCAGCAGCACTAAGACTGTTGAAATTCACAACTAACATCCCTATCGTAGATTTTACACGCACTGTAATTCATCACCCAAAGTTCAGAGGGAGTTGTTTGAATGACTAAAAGTCCATTTTAATTTTTTTTTTCATAAGATTGTAATATCCTCAGTTTATCAGAAGTGCTGCTGCTTTGGTGGTGAAAAAAAATGGATTTGAATGTTTTAAAACTGCCGAACCAAAAGAGTTAAATCTGTAACAAAAATATTAACTTTTTCACCATGTGGTAGATGACATAATCATTTAATTCAAAGTGCTGATTGTTAATGCCTCTGACATTATCAGGATGACTGCTTATTGTAACCACTAGAGGGAGAAATGGACTAAGTTATGTCTGATGACCGTTTCAGAGCAGCAGACGGAATTTGTTTGATGGAGGGAAACATACTGATGGTTTGGCAGGTTGTGATTCAGTTTTTATGGCAACCAAATGGAAACCATGTGTCACTAATTAGACATTTATAGTTCTGTGGAGATTGGTGGTAATATGAAAGCATGTGGTTGAAGAATTTTAACCTTTATATTTTATGAGGGGGAATAAGCCGTTCCCATTTTTTCTCACAGTCACATTTGTCGGTGTACATACATATTTGATGTTTGGCCTTTTTTTTTTTTGACTAAGTTATTTTTTTTCCTTTTTGATCTACCTTAGATTTACTTTTCAGATATGTTCAGCTCCCTCTGAGGTTTCTTTCTGTTCTCTGTTTGCCAATTTCAGCTGTGTGCATACAGGTTGTTGTACGCTGCTGACAATTTGAAGCCCTATTAGATAATTTTGTGAGCCTTGGATATATAGATTATATACACAGCTGATAGTTTTTTTTAAATCAGGTAATGGTATTCAGCTGATGGAAATACCTTTTTAACTAAAGTGCTGATACATTGCAGATCAGTCTTAACAAATATAGCAGCTAGATTTAATACTGAGTAGAGCACTCATGTTTAATTTAGCTAATTTTAACACAACACTCACATGTAGTAGAAGACTAATTTATGAAAATAACTTGGCTTTTTAAAATATAGTTTCATCCCAGGCTGGTTCTTCATAAAGTAATGTGACAGATTATTCTAAAATCAATGTTTAAATTAGTTGCCATTTGCACAAAACCTCTGAAACAAAGCAAACAAACAAAAAACACTGGCGGCCCATATGCTGGTTTTAGTTTGCCCTATGGGTGATAAACTGGTGACATGAGTTAGTACGCTTTTGTTTTTCCTACAAACACCTACAGCTGAAGGATTGACCACCTGACATATGGGTGCGCATTTCATTTAGTGTGTGTGCCTTTAGGTGCATGTTCATGTCTTTTTTCCATATGCATGTACTGGAGACCTCTCATGATTGTGTGTCTTTTTAGACTATGTGTGTATGATTGCGCGCGTGTGGGTGTGTGTGTGTGTGTGTGTGTGTGTGTGTGTGTGTGTGTGTTTGCGCACGAGCTCAAGTCTTCCATCCATCCAATCCCCAAATCAGACGAGCCCCAAACCCCACCGTCATGGTAGCAGATGGCAGCCTAATGAATCATGAGCGACACACTGATAGCCTTTACTGCCGTACATGCTGTAACATGACGTTTGACATCACAGGGACTCAGTTAAATATAGGCTGCGAGCAACAGCCACATGCTCACACCTGGTGCTGCTGCTTTGTTACGTTTGCAGTAGTGTTTAAGAAGACATTTATGCCATGAAAAATGAGTTCACAGTGTTTGTATCTGGTTCTGCAGAACTTCACTGCTGTATTGACGGGGTGTTTGCTGGGTAATAATAACACTTGTATGCTTGTACTTCTACATTTTCTTTGCGCAGATATTATGTGGGGCTGCATCCTGAATATTTATGAAAACAAATTGAAGAGGGATTGTAATTTTTTCTCATCAAGTAATTCTGGGGGAAAATTCTCTCTGGAGATCCTCTTACTGACCTGTCAAAGTTTCCTGCAAAGATGTTACACTGCTCCCATGAATACGCTTGTATGTGTGTGTGTGAGTGAGTGAGTGAGTGAGTGAGTGAGTGAGTGAGTGAGTGAGTGTATTTATTTCAGTCTGAGTTTTTCTAAAGTTGCTTATTTAACCTTTGAGCTCTGCAAAGCCCACCACTTGTCCCTTCTACGCGTTCATGTTGTCCAGCAGAGGGTTGTCAAAACTAGTGGAGAGTTATTTTCATTCCTAGAAAAGACAAACGTCCAAAGATAGAAAGCTAGCCAAATATAGCATACATCTGTATGTACAACATATTACACATACTCAATTTCGTCGCTGTAACACAGCATCACAGTATTTTAACGTTGTTTGATCAGACTTCCAGTCAGCAAACACGTAATTTATAGTATCTTTTTAATGTTATTCCTTCATTTTCTTCTGCAGTCGCTCAAAGCTTTCATGTGCTGAAAGGAGCGCACACTACTAACAACAGCACGTTTAGTTTAAGCACTCAAATTTTTTGAAACTGTGTACTACAGTTTGTGATTTAAAGTCTGGGAAAAGCAGGTGTGAAACTTAAAACGCTCTTGTAGGTGTTCATTATCTCACCTTACAGATTTAATACTGTCCTCCATGGTGGGTAAAAATACTTCAGAAGTTTAATGAAAAGCAAAGCATATCTAAATTCAAATAACTCCATAGGAAGTTTTTTAAACATTTAGAAGACAGTGTTAAATTTAAAGTACTCTTTTAGATTGATTATAAAGGGACTATACAGAGAATGTCTTGACAGTTTTGCATTTAAGGACATTTTTGGGGACTTTGTGCCTTAAATACAAACCAGAAGTTTGACTGCATTATTCAATTGCTACTCCTCTCCCGTTAACTGTCTTTAACAGTGTTGTATTTGTAAGTTACTGCATGCTGTTGTCAGTGGCAACAGTGGTTTTCCAGATATCCTTTACAGCCCTGATTTGAATAACCGCGCGGATATTTAAATGCACTACAGCCACACATTTGAAATGTTGTTATTTGTGAATATAAGGTAATCAAATCTGAGAGTTTATGAAACGCTAAAGCAGAATCATGCATTGTTGAATACTTCTTCGGTTTCGTGAAATGCTGAAGTGGAAGGATTAAACTTTTTTTTTTTGCATTTATCTTAAAAAAAAAATCTCCTCTTGTGTCTGATGGACATGCATTTAAAAGGTTGCATGCGTGAATGGTTGATCTTGTTCACACTTAAACATCTTTTGGAATATCTCTGAATGATAATGTCCCAAAAACAGTCCCAAACCTCGAGCAAATAAACTTGAACAATAAATTCCCTTGCTTAGCTTAATTTTAGTCCCTGTAACTTCAAATACAAAACAAAAAACAGTGTGAAAAAGCAAGCAGAGAATATATACGGGGTATTGTATCAACATCACATCATCAACTTACATGAATCCCAGACAGAGCAGCACAAACTGACTGACACTGACATAGAATAGAAAGGCTTTTTAAGTCTCTGTTATTATTCAGGGTTCATTATCTCATATGACAGAATTATAAAACACTTTCTACAAAACAAAACATAAGCTAAAAATATATATTTTTTTATTATTATATTATATTATTAAATTTTTGTGTGTTTTTTTTTCTGGTGCTTTAATTTAAACATAATTGGTTGTCAGGGGACAAAATGACAGAGGAAATTAATCAGAGTCAGCTTTACAAACAAACCACAAACAGACAGTATGTCCATTGACAAGCAACAACTCAGACACACACTGTCCTCGCTGACTTCAAAACAGCTTGTTATACAGGAATGCTCGCCATGCGTTCATGTAGCCAACACATGATGTCATGAGGCCCCTTTGCAAATAATGGACGATTAGCCCACAACTGAGGGGTCAGCCAGGATTTATGATGCCTCACTATTTTATGACTCTCAGATATTACCTCGCCACATTGTCCTGGCTTCAGCATTTCGCTTGTCTGTCTAGAGACGAGAGGTGAGGATACTGAGCAGAACTAAACATTTCAAGTCTGTTTTCTCTCAAACGTTCACTCTCTTCCACCACGCTGACGCAGATACATGAACTCTGTGAAATCCTCTGGTAAACTGCCAACCAGGGAGTGTGTGAGTGTGTCACTGAGTGTGTGTGTCCACTCTAGATAACAAGCACAAGACTTCTGAACCGTGTTGTTTTAGCGCTTATTCCTCACACTCAACATATGAAAACAATTTCCCCGTCCTGAAAACGTGTAAAAGTGACATAAATCTTTCAGTCTCAACATCATGTTTACATCCAGACACAGTTCATTTCACAGGTGATAAATTCTTCAGTTTTACGAGTTTAAAGTCAGATCACATGTAATTTTTTAAACGTTTTTACAGTGTGTATCCACAGCAGATGTGTGTGAACACAACCCTCACCAAGCCCAAATATCTGCAGTTAATTCATTTTAGACTTGTGATCTGATTTGTGAACTGTTGCTCTCGAATTGAGGCTCAATAAAATTAATGAATAACAGTGTTGTAGTTCTAAGATTGTGGTTATGATTGGATCTTTTTGTGTGTACACTTCATCAGATTTCCTTAAATGGCAGTTTATCTTAAGTTTGGCACACACTGAACTTGTGTAATATTAACAGCTTATATAAAAAGACGTTACCGGAGGAAACAGCAGAGGTATAGCCGTAATATGTCACATCTTACATAAACATAAAGTTTAATATTAAAACATGCCACATGAGAAATTGTAAGCCAACTTTTCACATATGTAGGTAATGCACTAACAGTACTGCATTGTATTTTAAACTCTCTGACTTCGAGCAAGGCGTCTGGTTTATGTTAAAGATACCAACCCAGCCTTTTATTACCGGCACAGATTCCTTGCTTTTTCCGATCCATTCTCACCTACAGTTGTCCTTCTGCCCAATAATTTGAAGTCTGCGGTTGAGAAGTTCGCTCTATTGATTGATTTGCTGGTTTAATTGAACATCATCATACAGCAGAATTGAGCTCGAAGTTCATATCCATTTATGGAGATCTTCTTGTGGTTGAAGCTCGCTGGATAGCAATCAAATGTTCATCAAGCCCTGAAACAGCTGCCAGCTTTCTGTTTTGCGAGGCATATAATGCATTTAACAGAGGTGGCGAATTTTCTGCTTTAATCTTCAGAGTTCATGTGACACAAGCTCTCCGTTTCAAATGGAAATAGATCACAAAGGTAGAGTTATTTATCCTCAGCTGGCTGCATCTGACAGTTTGCTTGCACGATAGATACATTACTGTCAGGTCCTACTGTCAGCTAGCAATTTTTTATGAGTTTGTCCTAGGACCAAGAAAAAATAAAAGTTTGGGAGATAGTAATTTTACGATATTTTAAGTTTATGAGATGACGTCAAAGAGATTTTTTTTAAATGCCTCTTCTTTTTGATCTGTGACAAACCCAAAGTATCTAATCAAACAGTCATAAAAGTGAGTTAATTTTAATAGTATAAACCTCTCTGACATAACAATATCCATCTAACAGAGCTTTTATTAATAGTGAAGAAATAATCTGCAAGTCAGACTGAACAGTTTCTTTTGTAGAACTAAATGCAGCCTAATTTCAAAGCTACACTCATTTTCATGGAGGTAAAAAAAACATATGTGTGTGTGACCCTGTTTACTCCAGTCTAGGTTTCACAACAGTTTACAGTCACACCAGCTGACCTGGTGTCAATCAGGGTGAGATTTTTGAAACCAAAGCTTCAGGATTTCCACAGGTGATACTGAGTATAACACCGCTGCAGCTGAGTCCACAGAAGCCACAACAATATTTTCTAATGACCTCACTGTCTGAAACCACACTCCACTCTCTCAATTTCTTCATCATCCAGAAAGAAGCTTTAAGTCTGGGCTTACATCCACCGTCAAAGCCCAGTTATCATATGAGAGCAAGTTGAGATAGTTCAAAACACAGTTAGGGGATTAAACTTTTGTTGCTATCAGTTAAAAACTGCTTTCAAAGTTCGATCAAAATCTCTTCTATCCAAACATTTCAACTGAAAAACATCATTTTCTTCCCACTACAGTTGCAGAAATTGTCGTCATTCTGAACAGGCAGAACTCTTGTGAATGACACAACCCAACAAATGATAGGTGAGACCAGGATGTCCTCGATATGGTTTAACATGATTCAGTATGATAGCTAATAAGGTTATAGACCTGGGTCACCAGGGGTTAGGGTTGGTTCTAGTACCTTGGTGAAATTCCTAATACCATGTTCCCTTGGAGATATCAGGCAGGGTAATAAGGCATTGCTTTGTTGTTCCGTATTTGTGAACATCTGAGAAGATTCTGCTCCTTTTTTTTCCAAGATGAGTTGATGTCAGGTACCATTTTGCTGACTTGGCTTAAACTCACCGTACCTTTATTGTTAGCCTAGCTCTCTTTAAATATTTGATTGTCCATTCTGTAAATTAGCCTTTAGCGTCATCTTGAAATACTGATTACGTAAACTTTGTTAACTCCGCTCTCTTCTTATGTTTAACTTTTTTTCCCCAAATATGGTCACATTTCATTTCGTTTATTTAGATCTCCATTAGCTTTGGCTTCGGTCATTGCTATTCTTCCTGGAGTCTACATTTACAGTTAGCTCTCCATTGCAGTGCACAGTCACAAAAAACATCACAGCACAAACACAAAGACAACATCGGTTACCACAGCAACTCACAACAGCCTACAAGACAGAAACAAAACAACAAAAGTAGAACAACACAAACAACATACGCATATGACTGGACCTTATATATTTCCACAGTGTAGCTGTAGTTCTGAAATAATCAGACGTTTGAATAATTAATTAATTTACTGAAACATCTTCTTCTGTAAACATAAGGAAAAAAATCAATAACATTTTGGACTTGTCAAACTTGGTATTCAATTCCTTGTGTATAAACTCTGTTTTTCAGGTCCTGATCAAACACTTGAGGCTTTATCTGTCTTTAGGTGTCTGAGTGATTGCCTGGGTCTCATTTAACTGACCTCTTCTCATATATTTCCTGGCTAAGCTTCATATGTGGCGAACAGGAGGGAGGCCTGCTAGGGTTTCATATATTTACTTTTCACATTTCTGGTCTTCAAAAATACACCGCCCCCGGCCATGGGTGACCTTGCGTGCGCTGTTCTTAAGCCTGAGTACATACTGTATACGGGTAAGCATGTATGTTTGTGTGTGTGTGTGTGTCTGTGTGCATGTTGTCTGTCCTAGCAAGCTGTGTCCAAAGAAGAGCTACTTATTATAATACCCTATCATAGTCATCCTGCCATCAATCTCTTTACCTAACACAGACAACACACACACTGGACACTCACACACACTCAACATGAATACAAAGTGCTATCTGGAAAAGTGGGAGAGTTCTGTCTGTCTAGAGATTGCATCAGGAGTCAGTGTGTGTTTGTTTGTGTCTGCATGGAGGGAGAAGGAAAGGGTTAAAACGGCTCTAACATTTGGCCATGCTGGCTCTGATCCCGCCCCCTTTCTCAGCTCTGACCTCACTCTGAAACTTGTTCCCCCCTTGTGTTGTTCCCCCCTTGTGTGTGACACAAACACACACACACACACACACACACACACACACACACACACACACACACTAGCCCTGTCACATGCCTACACACAGCCCTGCTTGCTGACGCACGCGCCTACACACACACACACATACACACACTTTGAACACATTCTGTGGGGCGCCCTCCACACACACACACACACACACACACACACACACACACACACACACACACACACACACACACACACACACGGCACAGGGTTACTGTGACAGACTGGAGCAGGAGAGCAAGTTTGCCCGAGGAAAGGAAAGGTCTCTGTTTGCTCTGTTATTAAAGGTGTAGCAGAAACCCAGAAAGGAGAGAGGGAAGCGGTGAGAGAAAGACAAGAAGAGCAAAAGAGAGAGAGAGAGAGAGAGAGAGAGAGAAGGGGGAAGAGGGCAGCAGTGTTGCGCCACATTTAGACCCGCAGCACAGACAAGATGTTCATAGGGGACCGATAAATGGAGCTCAGCTGAGATTGATGACAAGCATTTTCTACAGCCTGCGAGGCAGACTGGCAAGCAGTGAGGAGGGTACAGCTCTCATAGGAGGAGTTCAGCGGCTCAGGGAATAACAAGACTCTTATTTTATTCAACCCAAGCAAAGAGAATCAGATTTTCACCAAGTGTACAGTGACAGCATGGACTGCATCGCCACCGTCATCCTGCACTGGTGCCACTGGTCCTAAACAAGCTGGTGTCCACTCCTGCCAGAGGTAATGAGAACTCCTGGGAAGCCATGGAGAGCAGCCGGACAGCCCGACAGAGCAAGACACACAAGGAAACGGGCCAGGTTTTACAGAGATGAGAGCAGCCACAAGCTGAGGAGAAGCAAGAGAGGGAGAGCAGCAGCAGCAGCACCAGCAACAGCGGAGCGGCCGAGAAGAGGAGGGTGAGGACGAGTTTACAGAGAGTAGACTAAAGAAAGATGAGTGTGCCGACGAACTGTGGGTTCTGTTACTCCGTGGAGCGGAGTATCACTGTGCGGAGTGGGAACATATGGGGATCGCCGTGTGCTGTCAATAGGCCCATTGACATCACACAGAAACGCAGGCGGTAATTAAGAGCTATCTTGTTAACTTTCACTTATTATTTCCCTTTTCTCTCTTCTTCTAAGTGCCTCCTTTTGTATCTCACACTCATTTGTAATATCACTATTACAAAATGCTGCTGTAGTATATCAAACTGTGATTCATTTCTCTACAAAACTCATAGTTTTCTCTGGAAGCTGCAGCCTTCATGCAGTCCACTATCAGCTGTTATTTACAAAAACATTCCCTGTCCTTATCAGCTGTTTTTGCTTCATATCTCCATTTCCAAAAATATCTTTTTATCATATTTCCTCTTGACCACTGGTGTGCTCTCCTCTCTCCACTGCTACAGAGAGCCACACTGTTCTGTTTTTCACTATTTAATAGACTTCAAATATGTTCACTTTTTATGCCACTCTTTTGCAAAAGTTGGTTTAAAGAGCTGTATGAAAATAATAGCTTTTGGTTTAAAAAAAAAAAAGAAAGACCTTCTGTGGTATAACTTTCTGTGGTTGTACAAAACCTTAACCAAGATTTAAATTAGGTAGCAGGCTGTACAGAAGAGCTATTGTTTGTTTGGATGTGTGTGAGACATGAGCTATTGTGTGGTGTCTGCAAATGTCATTTAAAGGCAGTTAAGTCGAGCAAACATGCAGCAGATTTACATTTTTTAATTTAAAAGAACTTGGAGGCAGAAAAAATGAATTGGATAATAAGTATAGTTTAGTATTTCTGATTCTGAAAACCATGACAAGTTATTTGCTTGTCCTGTAGAGTAAAAAGAATCAACATATAGAAATTTCACATTTACTTTTTAAATTTTGCAATCATCTGTTTGTCTGTTACGTCTCTAAACAGCAACTTCTGCCCCTTTCTTACAACGTAGAAACTTTGCAACCAGATGGGACGTTAGATAAACTATTGCAGTGTCCTTTTCAGAAATGTTCTCACAGGAAAAGTCCCCCAAAGTCTGGTAGCTTCACACATAATCTTCAATGCCAGCAGGGAGGCTGTGAAGGAGGGCTCGGAGATACAGTCTTGTTTACATTGTGGTCCTCTGTTCTCTTTCTCAGGCAAGATCTTTGTTTATTAGATTTAATGCAGAACACTTGCGCAGATAGGGGGATTCAAAAGGTCAGTCACCCTTTCAATTTATGTCCCCCAAAGACCCGCACCAAGTAATGTACTTGACTCCCACTCTTAATACAGTTATATCAGGCTTCTAGTTTTCACATCACTGCCCTGACTGCTTTTGAATCTAAATGAAAAAAGAGGCCCAGAGATTTAAAGTCACTTGTGGTTTTAAGAGTAACTGCCTATGTTGAAGATGGTCATTTAAGGAAGGAAGTTCGAGGCTTGGACATTGGGACAACAAGTCTTTATATGGGTTGAGTTATAGATATTCTCTGATAGACGGGGTTTCAATGGCAGTGTTAGAGCTGGAGTAGCCGCCGCCATTTATTCTCTGGAGGAACACATACGCACAGACACTCCTCTTCAGTGCATACTTTGGCAATATTTATAAATCAACATGAATTGAGGAAGATCTTTTAATATTGAGCATGACATCATGAGACAACACATTAGTGTTTGATGATATCAAATTGCAATCAAATCTAAAAGTTTCTGTTGTCCATCCACACTTTTCAACCCCTGATTCTCTTGTCTGGTCTTTTTCTTTTCTCCTTTATCGTGGCATCCACCCATCTGTACAGGATATACCCTCCTAACACTACACTGGTAAAACTGGCCCAGATGCTGGTCAGAGCTTGTATCCTAAACGTGAAATATACTCTGCAGGCATGAGAAAAGCTGACTAAATGAACCTGAAAATAGAGGAAGGGTTTAAATCTGAAATCAGACACCAAACTCTGATCTCTCCTCTTGCGTGCCTTTGGTGTGTGATTTAAGGCTCAATTATCGCAGTTAAACCACAGACAACAGCCAGATAGCAGTCGCTCTTTTCCTTAGATGGGTATTTGTCAGGGAGTTGCATGTTTTTTCATGTCAGTGAGTACAACAGGTACTATACAAATTGAAGTGTTGAAGTACATACCAAACTCCAAGATAAGCATCAGCGATTTATTTTACCCAGTGGCACAGCGGTTAATGGTTTCTCTTTGCAGGTTTTGACAGCATATATAACACCTGCTTGTTTTTCCTGAAAAATAAAAGACAGATAAGAGGATTGTCTCTGAAAACCTGGTACAGGAACAGCTTAGTGTCCTTCATGTGGTAGGCTACATTCATGTATCCTTCATTTCAATCTTATGGACCTGAAGTTGGCCTCAGCTATGAAAACTTTCTGTATGACACTAAGATGATCAGCTAAGATGATCATGATGAAACCTGGGATTTTAGTCATGGAGCATGTGGTTCCTGAGATGGCAATGTCAAACTTTGACTCATATTTAAGTATCATAAGTTTGATACAACTTTCCTATTCACCGCTATCAGTCTGACTATCAGACTACCTGAAGTGATGAAAGGACTACAACCCAAAAGCCTTCACATTTGAATGTGTTTAAAATTAAACCTCTGAATGCAATGTAAACTAAGTTTTCCATCAACCCTAGCTATAAATTGTGTTTAGACCATGCTAATTTGCAAATATTACTATGCTAACATGCAAAACTAGAATAATATACACGGTCAATGCTGTTTCAGTTGACTCACGCTGTATTTGTCAAAACTGTCTTGAAGCAGTGGAGCATTCTTCATGTTTGGCATCAGGGCTCCAAACCTCGTCACTCCTCGCAGATTAATTTTGCAAACAGAAATTGAGGAGTGATGTATTAATATCCCAAACCTCCTGTAGTCAGAGTCCACAGGTGGGTGCTTGAAACTGGTGGGGCTGAAAGTTTGAGCCCAGCAGGGGTGTCAGTAAAGCAGAGGCATAAACCAAATCTTGCTGCGTAATTGGACTAATTTGGAGGTGAAAGTAACAAGGATGCAAGTGTTGAATGTAGGAAATGTGCAGCTAAAGTTGCCTGCCTGAACTAGCTCACAGGCATTGCCCTTTGATTGCTCAGCATCAGTACGTTAGCATTATTATTTTTACATGCTTGTGTGATAGACATGGAAATAGTCTCAGTGATATCATCCATTGTTTTCTGTTTTAACATCGTCATCTTTGATAGTTGGCACCAGAATTATCAATCAAATTGACTAGATTTAAACCAGAGGCCTAAAATGCTGGTCCTACACTATGTCTAAGCTGTAGAGCTGCCACAAGCTACCAGCCCAAGTTGCAACTCAGTTGGGAGCAATAATGTTATCATTCTGCCGTAATGCTATACAACTGTAAACTATGTAAACAAGTTCATTCGACACAAAAGTTTTAAAGTGCATATGACCGCCCGGTTGTGTGCAACCAGCACAGGCATGTGGATGTTAATTTGCAAGGAGGACCAAGGGCTGGTGGGACGAATTCTGCTGTTGTTGGCTGGATTTGGTAAACCAGTTGGTTTGATGGGCTTTTATGATACGTTTTTTTATTTTATTTTTTTAATTTTGGGGGCACATGAGCTGTTAACAGTTTAGGAGAGACGGAAAATGTGGGGAGTGGTAGAGAATGGGGGAAGACGTGCAGCAGTGAGTTATAACGAATGGCAATTGTTGTGACGAGGACTGTAGCCTTTAACTGCTACACTGACAGCAATGCACATTTTTGAATGTTTCTTTTTTTGAAGCTCCTGTGAGGAGTTTTTTGATGTTTATGAAAATTGTTGGCATTTATATTGGTGCCTTTTATTATATCCAGAAGCAAACAAGACCATCAACAAGTTGAGGATTTTTTCAGTGTTATATTTGATGCATGAAACTGGTGTAGGAAGGTAGGTTTTTATTTATTCATTTTTTTATTACAATTTTCATATCAAATATTCATAATAAAGGATACATAAGTCTGTCAAAGGTCAGCAGAGCGACATGTTTTGTTTTTTTTGGTCAAAAGTCACAACTCAAGCACATAGAGGATAGAAGATAGCAAAGACTTCTTTGTGCTCAGGGGGTGACAAAAAATATAAAAATAAAGTTCCCCACAGAAGCTTAAAGACTAGCCTGTGAGATTAAAAAATTAAATTTTCTGTTTTTATCCACCTGGAAATCAGTTGCTTTGGAACATCCCTGGTCTTGACATCTTCAAAATAGATGAGATATTTTTAAAAATGCTGTAAAACATGAGCAAGTAAAATCAAAACAGATATTCGTTTCTTTGTACTAGGCTGTAAATGTTTTATTTTGCTGTAAAAATGGGCAATTAAACAGGAGTGTTAACGGGTCTTTCAAAATCAGCCTATGGTCACATGAGCAAGTGCAGTTATTTGCACCTCCACAATGACTTTAGCTGTTCAGTATCTGAGACTGCTACTTGGTTAGCATTCAGCTTAAAGTTAGTCTCTAAACCATCTTTAAACACTTGCAACAAAATGGATGACTATCTACCCTTATTTATTTATATTTTTTTAAACAAAAATATCACATATATACTTTTATTAAATCAAACAAAAAACAATAGCACATTTATTGACGGCACAACAGATCCAGTAAACTGGTCTAGGGATGTTAGATTGTAATTAAATGCCGTTTTATTAGCTCCATTAGTTGAGGCTATGTTTCCTCCTCTGCTCCTCTGCCATTTATAGCCGGCTCTGTGTCCACGGGCTGTTGATCTAATTTCCCTCCGCACTTTTCTGCAGAGGACAGATTACAAAAAGCAGCACTGACACAAACTATTTTTCAGCTATGACAACCAAGACAGGGATGGAAAACCCCTAAAAAATTATTTCTAAACGAACCACTGACAGCAGATACAAATGTAGCAGCGCAGATTGATGTTTGGGGGTGAGTGAGCATGATTTATGGGCAGAATAATTTATTATGTATTAAGGGTCTCAAAAGGACAGTTTTGGCAGGTTGCATGTAGATGAGGTAACTGTGCTTGAGCTTTAAAAGTGCATTTAACGGAAACCCAATACTCTCCCTCCTGTTAGTTAAGCCCGGGAGGAGAGGAGGAGGGAAAGATCAATCTTTCCTGTCTTGATTTATCAAAATCTCAAAGTGTGAACACTGGACTCACTCTGATGTTTTGGGAGCCAGACTTTGTCAGTTTTTTGTTGCACTAGATAAGTCAGCATGCAGATATTCTTGTCTTTGAGATAGTTACACAGCAGCAGTGCTCCAGGTCAGAGTTTCTACATAAATTTGCCAGGTTAATGTGGCTGTGATAGATTATTCTGGACATTCAGTTACAGAAGATCCGTCTCTTTCTTTGCTGAAGTTATAAAGTCACCCATACCCTCCACAGAGCATTGCTCACACTGGTTCTGGAAAAGGTGAAGAGGCATCACAGCCAAAAGGCATTTTATCATAATAAATGTGTCTGGAAGTGTTTCCAAAGCATTTCTTACATCGTCAGCAGGTTCTTGTGGTGGTCTGGCCCACAGGCAGCGCCTCGGACCCTCATTTATCTGCCTCCCGAACAGGAGGAGCAGGTCTACCAGTATTGAGTTTCAAGCCTCATGTACACACACACACATACACACACACATAGACACACACTCTGCTCTAATGTGGGGTAGTATTCAGGCTCATACCTTAGTGTGGGTGCATGAATACAAGCACGTATCAACACTTGCTGGTTCTGGGTCATTTGTGAAGTTCAGTCACTCAGCGGTGAGTCGTGCCTGAGTGTTTGCAGTGTGGCAGGCTTTATTGACTGAAAACTCAGTTTGAGCCTTAATATTTTACTGTCCAGTAACAAGGTTTCCAGACTCTGGTGTTCAAGAGTAACACAGACAGAATAATTGTGCAATTATGTGTCTGTGTGCATGTCCAAAGAGAAGGTGAGGCTTTCATCCCAGCTCTGTATGGGGACGTTTAAAAGCTGCTGTAAGGAGTTTTTAGCTGCTTTTGAGACAGACTGAAATTAATGTAGATGACTCTTAATGACCTTTAAGAGCAAAACTGACCATTATCCCTCAGGTTGAGCAATTTTATACAGTTTTTAAAAAAGCACAGGTAAAAGGGTCATGTCAGATGAATTGATTTAGCCTTCAGTTGACAATCAATACAGAGCAGGGTAAATTTTTAAATATAAAAACACAAGTTACACATCGTCACCCTCTTAAAAATGGCCTGAGTCAATCATCACGTTTTTCAGAAATTATTCTGAATACTCTCAGAAAATGGCCCAACTCACACTCGTAGTATCACATGATCTTTTCAACTGAGGATTTGGGCAATTCTACCAGAGATGGGCAGCATCATGAAGGACTGACTGAGGCAGAAAAAGTCATTTTTGTCAAAAAATGACATAGGCCATTATTTTAAGAAGGTGACGACATGTGGAGGAAAGAATCAGCAAGGGGACAAAAGGCACCACTTTCTCTATCGGATGAGCTAAAATCGATACTAACTGAAAGTTCCTCACAGGAGCTTTAAATCAAGGGGAGTTGATCTATAATTATGGTAGGATAAAAATTTAATTAAGTTATTTTTATTTTGTCGGAGTGAATCAGCAATTAAGGAAGCTACAACAGAAACTTTTGTAATTATCTCGAGCAATCAGATACTCTTTCTCTTTGCCGTCGTGACTCATTGTTATGCCAGGGGCGACGCTAAAAATGTAAGAAAAGTAATCATGTTTTTGTTCGTCATAAGTTACTTCTCAAACAAAGAATAGTCTGAATTCAAACTCTTGATGTGCCTTTAAGCTGTCTCAACAAAGCCACACACCATGAGTATGTAATGGCTCAACATGTTTGTGTAATGTCCTCATGTCTCATTTATTTCTCCCTCCTTTCCCACATGATGTATGATGTTTTTCTACGGTGTCATCTCACGTCAGGAGCCTTTGCTGTTAATACCTTCTGCTGATCATGTTACAACACTTTAATAGACCAGCTTCTGAACTTTTATGAACCTTTTCTTTTCCTCCCTGAACTTCTCCTCTGGGAATTCTTGCCTTCAGACCACCACTTACATTCATTTCCCTCTAATTCGTCTCCTTACACACCGATGTTTTCTTTGCCATGAGATCCTGCGGGATAATAGAAGTTTCACTGCTGTGAGTGTGAGTAGACAAGGAAAAACCTCGACTCATTCTTAGTCTCTTCTGGTTGCCATCTCACTCAGGTTTATTAAAAACACCTCTGCTAGCCTTTACACAGTGTTTACTTTCACTGTACAGTTATAATCCATAAAACGCATCTATATGTAGCATATTCTGTCATGTTTGTCCAACCTCTTGTTCACTTTATTTTCTAAGAGTTGTCGAGTGTAAATCCTACTTCTATACTATAAATTTTAGATAATGGCTGATATTTCTGTCAGTACTACATTAATCCAAACATCATGACAGAAATTATATTTAAGACTTGCCATTAAGTGTTTCAGATTTAATATGCTGTTATTGTTGTTTTTATTCAAAAAGATAATGGTGATGTTGACCTTGTAAGGGCCAATATCGATATGATGCAGATTTTGTAAAAATGTGAGGAATCTGCCAATAGATTAATCGTCCTTGCTCTAATTTTAAAGTAAGAAATGTACTGAAAGTGTTTGATTGATCAAAGTCCAATTTTTTTTATTCTAAAGATGAGCGTCTCATCAACCTTAAAGGGATATTCCGGCGTAAATTTAAGTTAGGGTCTAACACACCATAACATCGAGTTAGACACCCACTCGAGAGATGAACGTTGCTGACTGCTTGCTTCTCTAGTTATACCAACTTTAGTAATGGCCGCATGATAGCAATACACAGCGTTCTATATCTCCACGATCAAACCTCAACCAAAAAGCCACTCTATAGCCACAAATAATGCTCAGAACAGCACCTAACTTCATCAACAGTACATATTGGGTCCCAGCCATAACTAGCCATTAAACATCTTTTTAGCTTTGCCTGATTTCTTTAGCCAAGAGACTTAAAACAACTCACCCACTCTCCTCCAGCAGCCGCTTGTTTGTGGGGGAGCCCTGACTAGTCGATCACTAAGTGCAGTGGAATTTCGCAGCTCAAGGAAGAAAATTTATGATCATTACTTCATGGAAATGCAATCAGAGTTCTCGTGTAACTTGCACTAACGTGCACTGCAGACACGGTAGTTCTTCTGCCTTAGATTGTATTTCCATGAAGTAATAATCATAAATTTTCCACTGACTCAGTGTTACGGTGTGTTTGAACATAACCTTAAATTTTACCTTAATTTGACCTTTAATTTACACTGGATTATCCCTTTAATGCACTCATTAGTCTGGATCTTTTTGTCCAGCGAGAGCTTACGCAACTTTGAACTCCACTGTATGTTGACACAGTCAAGAAAAGCACTGCTGTTGGATTAACTTTGTATAATGTGGGGAAAGATGTCCAGAACATCTGCGGTCAACCTGACATCACTGTCTCCCTCACCATAATACTATACCATCCATAAACTGCACCAGTGGATTGTTGATTGACAGAAAGATTGTCCTCAGCAGATGCTTCATATTTTCAGGCACATCAGAGGTCAGCAAGCGCTCCACACTCATCAGTTCAGGCGTCAGGATGGTATTGTGTAGTTTTCCAAAGGAAAGATCACAGGAAGAGATCATGATTACAGCCATCGGAGAGGAAACACTGAGAATCCAGCTCAAATATAATTATTGCAAACACACACAGATGTGTGCACCAGCAAGCCTACCGTTTAATTTTAGATCCCCCTCAGCATTTTGATTTAATGTAACCATGTAACCATCTGTAGTTAGATCAAGGACAGCGCTTTTATAAGTTTCTCTTGTCCACAAAAACTGAGTCAACAGAAGACACAATGACGTTTTTTTTTTTTTCACATCACTGGCTCCATACAAAAGTGTCCCATTGTACATTCTGTCTCATAACTCTATTTAGCGCTGAGTTGAGTCAGAAAAAGGTCAGAGAAGTGATTTGGTGTTCCTGCTTGTCTGTTATGTCAGCTCACACTTCATTTACTCACATTCTCACAGTTCTTTTTTTTTCACTCTTTGACTCTGAACAATGGACATACATGGATATCACAGTGTTGCAAAACCTCTAAACTTGGCTACCGTTTGGATCAAAAAAAGAGGGTGACATATGGGCTCTGTTTTTGTTGGGTGCTGAAAAGGTTATTGTTTGTGTTGCTATTCATAAGTACTTTGTGGAAAAAAGGCAGCTACATTCTGCTTTTAAGTTTTGTGTTACTTTGTGAATGTGTATGCAGTGTACTGCTGTTTCCCTCATGGTTTTTAACAAGGCAGATTAGTCTCCCATAACAGAGAATGGGAGACACAGGGAGAACTGTGAGGCAGATCTAATGTTTTCATGCATGTTGCTACCAGAGGAAGAGGCGTAGCTCTGGAATCAGTTAAACCTGTTGATAAACCAGTTTATAATAACCTGAAATTATGTATTTAAAGGAATCTATTGCATGATAGGAAACATTGGAAAGGTTCAGAGTCAGAGTTAAGTTGCAAATGCGAGTCACTTAGATTTCTATGATCAAACTAGATGTTGAGTTTGATGTGGACCCTTGTAATGCCACCTGCCTGTTAGCTTAGCATACAGACGTAATAAGAACAAACAGGCTTATTGGCTGACTCTTTGTCAATGGTGACAAAACTTGACTACCAGCACCTGTGACGCTATTCAACACATTAAATTTTGCAAGTTGTACCAGATATTCACACAAACACATAACTGTCAAAAGGTTTATTTGACTTTCAGTGTTCTTAACTTCTGTCCAAGGAGAGCAGATCTGTTGATAATGACTGTCCCGATATGAGCGACTAACAGGGCAACCATCAAAACCATCAGGAAGTTACTGTTCCCAAACAATCTAACAACCTATTGACTGTTTCATATTCATTTTACTTGGTTTTGTTTGTATATTAAGCTAAGCTCATTATTGCTGCAGTCCATATTTAGTTTAAAGCATCAGTGAGGGATTTTTATTTGGTCGTAAGATAAGATAAGATAACATAAGATAAGATAATATAAGATTAGAAGAAGTTTATGTATCCTACAGGGGAAATTCGATTCATTAGACATACTGAAGCTAATTTGACAACAAGATTGACTGTTTCAAAACAATTTTTCTTCTGGGGGTATGAGAAAATTTATAACACATTAAAGAAACAGACTTGGTTTGTATTTCACACAGCAAACATTGATATCAAGCTCTTCTGTTTGACGATTTGAATACAGCAGAATCAGTCTGGATCAGAGTAGGAACTGCTTTGTCCACAGGGGGTGCCAGAGACAACAAAAACCAACAACTCCAAAACTAGAAACCGTGTTTGCTATTGTAATGGTTGATTCGTAGGAAATTAAAAGACTATTAAATTTAATTGTGTAGACTCAAATGTTATCAAGTAAATGTAGGCATATTTCATACTTTGAATCTGACATGTCTCCCAGCAAGCAAACGCCAACCTGAGAAAAAATTGCAACAACACAGCAATTTGAGATTCAACCACAACTAAAGTTAAGGTCGCATTAAAACGCACCTCCTCCAACATACTTGCCATATGGCTTAATCATGTGATGTCAGGGGAAAGGAGAGGAAAGGCAGAACAAACAGGGTGGTTCTCCCTCTGTGTGAGGGGCCACCACAGAAATAACATCCAGACAGCTTTCATCCCTAAACACACACTCTCTTTAGTCAAACCCTAAATCACACACAAGGCTTTTTTTCCCTAATGAAGCCAGATTACCAACTCAGTGGTTCAGTCTTGGTTCACTTTGTTCTGTGTGTTGAGCTTCAGGGCGTGGACGCTGATCTGCTGCTAGTGTGAACTTTGTGGTCTCACTAAGCCAATCCTGATCCTTGTTTGCTCCAGGATACCTTTCATGTGTCATGAGCAGATGTCTCAGATGTACGTAAAAGCTTACATTGAAATACATAATTACCACACCAAGCAAAAAGAGTCGAGTTTTATCATTCCTCTCTTTTTTTAAAATGTTTTCCTCATAAATCCTGAAACACACCAAAATGATAAACTCAAGTTATCAGTGGAAACATAACGCTCTACCAGATGAGGTTTTGGGTGTAATGACCTCCGCCTGGCTTCTTTTAAGTGACTTTTGAATGAATGGCTGAGCCGGTCCTGCGAGTCGACTCTGGTTGTGTCACAGCAGAGGCCTGGGAATGATGAATGAAGGTTCAGATGACAGCTTGCCCCGGTTTACAGGACTATCTCTCTCCCTTCTTGCTCTGCCCTGTAGCTTCTGTATTTTAATGCTCCCCAGATGGGATTGACGTCGCTGTGACAGGCAGTGACGCAGGCAGGGTGTCGGGTATCAGGGCCACTGACAGGTTGCCATCAATCACACCTCTTACCAGCTAACCACTTAAGTAATAAATGCTGTAACACACCTCTCTGAGCATTTTTGTAGTAGTAGTTGTTGTTGTTAGTGGCTTTATGATGCATAGGAATGTCGATTCTGGTTTGGTCCTCAGACTAGGGAACGTAATCAGGTGTGTGTGTGTAGGTGCATGTGTTGAGGCCTTTGTTCAGGTAAAAATGCAGCTGAGTGTGTGACAGCACTTATTAAATTAGGATCTGTTTAACCTTAAAGCTGAAAAGGAGTGGTATGTGTTGAAACTTTATAGGTATATTTTACAAAAAAAAATAAAACCTAGTAGATCAATCAAATGTCAGTATTGTGATTCTTTTTAATATACAGAGAGTTTAAGATGTGTCTGAATTTTAATGTTCAGCCTTTTTCAAAGATGAATCATAAGCCTCGTATAAAGATGCAACACAATTTTCTTTTATTAATGGCAAATCAGTGACCTACTGCGTCTGTCATAAAGTCAAAAAAGTGTGATAAATTCACATCAAGTTTTTTTTTCTTTAAGTTGTTTTGAATTTAACGACATTTTTTCTGTTGTCAAAGGTGTTAAAAACCAAAAAATATCTAAGCATACAAAGAGCCAGAGCCACCATACGTACTGCTCTTTCTCCATAGATATATATATTACCACCTAAGTCACTTATTTTCTGACATCAAAACTTATGACAGTTAATTCTTCACGTCTGATCATCTTCTTTTACAGCTTCACAAAAATGCCTCTATTGTCTACATTTAAAAACCTGGATTGACCAGCTCTTGTACTCCCATTATCATCCAGAAGAGGGACTCTGATCATAGACTGACTCTTTTGACAGCAACTACAACACACATCATTAATCATTCACTTACAAGCTAAGCAGCTATATTATTAACATCAAACACTCCAATTAATGGGATTATATCAGAAAAGCCTAATTTTTAATAATTACTTTCATCACTCTGGGCAGAGGCTGAGATAGAAGTTTGAAGTTTGATTTTGTTAGGATCAATAATTTGTCCCCCTTCAAAACCACAAAAACCACATATCACAGACAAAATACATTCAGGGAATCAATAAATTAAGAAGAAAACAATAAAATAAGTAAACCCACAGGAAAGGGGCAGGCTAAAGCCAAATCATATTCTGCCCATGTTTTTCAGATTGCGTATTTATTTATACCCATGGGCTACCCTGTAACTGCTTTGTTAGGGTTCATCATTATGAACAATCTTCATTGTTTTCTCCACAGCTGTTCCAAAAAGTTTACCCTTAGACAGATATAGATCTCTGCTTTATATACCTTCTCTTTGTTAAATAGAAGGACATATAGAGAAGAGGGTGTAAGGGCAGGAGAGAAGAGGTGAAAGTGGGTGTAACTGGCTGGTATGTGAAAGACACAAAGACAATGGCATTGTATTTGAAGACCAGCTGTCAGTGCTTCTGTAGGAGCTTCCTGTCCGGATAGTGTGTTACGTGAGTCTGATCACTGACCTTTGACCTCTTGAAAACACAAAAAGCCTAAGTTGATATAATAGGTACAGAATTTGTAAAGCATAGAGCTGTTTAGTTTCACAATTAAAGCACGATCCACCACTAACTCTGCAGAAATCACATATAAACACACATGTACCTTACAAGAAAAGGAATTTAGTCACTAAGGAAATAAAACTTTCCCCTCTGAAACCTATTATAGTTGAAGATCTAGTTATTTGTAATTCAGCTGCTGTTTTGAGTCTCATAATAGTCTCATACAGTGTAAAATTCCTGTGGGTTTATTATCAAGAAATTCAAGGAAAATACACCAACAACAAAACACAAATACTTCCCCCAAATTTGATGAGCACCCCCCCCAAAAAGAATACAAAATGCACCTTTTTAACACAAAATATTCATTGTAAAATCACTGGCTCATTTTGTTGGCTATTCGGAGCCCGATTTTTTGTTACCTAGGCAACCACTATTTCTTCCAGGCTGTGTGTGAACTGATGTCTGTCTGTCTGTTTCATATAAACCTGCAGGATTTCATTGAGGTTTTCCTAGTCTGCATCATGTTAAGTACACGTGTTGCTGTGCAGAGTATGCAAAGATTCGATACCATTCAGTGTCTCTGCTTTTTGAGGAAAAGGTAAATAGTTCAGTGTCGTGTGTAAGTCAGGACTGAGTGTTCACTCCCCCGAGGAAGACCAAAGAGAAATGAAAGTGAAAAAGCAGCGGGAGAAAGGCGTGGGTGATATTTTTGATCTGTGTTCTAAATTTAGCTCAGCGTTGGCTTCAAATAGAAACTTGCCCATGCATATTCATGAATGGAGGGAAGAATCTGCTGCTCTGCGATGCAGAGAGCAAAGCGACAGCAGGGAGGGAGGGAGGGAAGGCTCAGTATTCTACCTGAAACTCTATTTTTAGCCGCAGTGCTGCCTCTCTTGGTCTATTCCCTGTGCAAGGGAAGGCTATATTTAGCTGCATACAGGCAGAAGCGTGATTCAGATACAAAAATAGAAGCAAGTTTATGGTCTGGGTGTGCGGGACCACAGCCAGGGGTGCAGCATCTTAAAGAGGACAGCACGAAAAGATGAAGACAAACAGGAAACATGCAGAGTGTTTGAAGCTTCGAGCTACATGTGTACCTGTAGCAACTGAGAGAGATATGTGTGTGCTCACTGATCAAAACCATTCACGTGATAGGTGTGTAAGGTGGCACGTTGCACTGCTGCAGCATTTTGAAGGCAACATTTGCACACCTAAAACAGCTTTCATTCCTCATTTTTCTCTGTCAGGGTTATGGTAAATCCTTAAACCACCTTTAAATACACATTTGAAAGGCATGCAATGAATCGAGCTCAGTCAGTGCTTCCACAGTTATGACTTAGAACAAGCTGTACTCTCTTTGAAATTAAAGTGACCCTCTCTCTTTCTTTGCCCTATTTTACCCCTCGCTCCGCTGTCTTCCCGCTCTCCCTCTGACTTCTCTACACGTCTATGTATAGTGCAGTCAGTGTCTGAAGCTGTCACATGAATGGAGGGATGGGGGCTTCTGTTCTGCTGCTGTTACGTAACAGCCAGTAACACACCAACATCTTGTCCTCACGCAGCATCCTAGGAGTATATGAGGGGAGGAGGGAAAAGGATGGGGAGGGGGAGCGAGATGAGGAGTAAAAAAAGGAATGAATGAGATGTTTGCACTCTGCAGCTAGTGAATACCTACTATAAGAGAACTGCAGAAAGCTGCAAGGGCAATTAGAGCTGTGTTTAATATTTGTTGTACCATGACTAAAAGCATGGCAATGTTAGTGCACTAACAAGATGTGGATTGATTTGCACAAAATGATGTGCAATATCTGTTTTTATTCACTTATCTTTCTTTCACTGCAGCTATGAGGTTGACATTCATGTTTTCGAAGTGAATACCACCACAATTATGAAAGAAATTAACATGAGAAGTGGGTAAAACATCCATGTTTCCTTTTTGCACAAACTCAATGATCGTATATACATTGTTAAACCCTTCAGGAGGTCACTTTGGCTGTGCTCTTGAAATGAATTCTGGAGACTACTATACATAAAGAGCATGCAGCGATATGATCTAATCTTGAGTCTGCATCTAAGAAACATTCATAGTCCCAGATTTTGAACCACAGTTACTTTTAATGGTCATCTGGTTAATCTGTTTAGCACTCCAATAAAGTCGACAGTTGTGCTTTTACTTAAAATTTTGAAGACCAGAGGTTATCACTTGTCCCCAACACATGCAAATACACAAACACACAAAATTAACATTAGGCCAATTGTTGCTCTTAAAGAACAGAACAGCCTGATCTATCTTTGTATAGACTGTTACGATTTTGGCTTGAGTCATACTGCCAGAGTTATTTGATACTGCGTCAAGCCTCCATTGATGTATGGGTGGCTTGGATTATTTCCCACTCTTATCATTATTCATCGTTCTTAGGGTCAGTCTTTATTTTTTATTCTTTATTTGTATAGCCTTAATTCATAACAAATGTGATCTTAAGACACATAACAAAAAGAGCAAGACTAGACAATACTCCTTGATTTTATTATTCATTAAAACCAGTGCTGGGACTAGATAAGAGTCTATCGTGTCTTGATCCACCATGAACAGAGCACACTTCAGAGAGATGGAGAAAAAGACAGGCAACAACCATGAAAGCGTCACGAAGAGCTTTGTAGGCCAGAAGAATGATTATATTAGCTAATACAAGAGAGATGTGTCCTCTGTTCCTGGTTCTTGTCAGTATTCAAGTCGCAGCATTTTGACCCAGTTGAAAAGTCTTTATAGACCTTTTTAATAAGGAAACATCATAAAAGGGAATTACTATGATCCAATCTAGAGGTTACACAGACACAGATAAGTTTTTCTGCATCATTTTAAGGAAGGATTTGTCTTTGCAGTATTTTGAAGGTGAAAGAAGGTTGTCCTTGAAAACTTGTTGTATGTAGAAGTTGAAAGACATGTCCTAATCATAGAGAACTTCCAGATTCCCAACAGCAGTCCAGGGTAGCTATTTAGAGCAGTTTTCTAGAGTTCTGGGGAAGGATTAAGCAGCATATTTTCTGGTAGTCTAGGTCTTTCTGTTTTTAAGGCATGCTTCTAGTTTTGTTTGCTGGCTGGTTTCTTGCATTGATAGGTATAACAGAGTGTCATCTGCATAACAGTGAAAGAGCACAAAGTGTTTTCTCTTGATATTACCCACTGGATGCATGTATAAAGTGAAAAGAAACGGTCTGAGTACTGACCCATGTGGGACTCCATGACTGACCTTGGAGTGCACAAAGCATTCTTGGTTTGTATGTACAAACTAAGATCTATCTAATAAATAACCGAGCTAACAGCAGTTCCTATAAGGTCAATTGATTAGCTTAGTGTCTGTAACAGGTCGTGATGGTCAGTCACCCTTAATGCTGCACCAAGATCTAACAAGACAAGGACAGGGAGCAAAGCACTGTCTGATGCCATCAGTAGATCACTCAACAAACATCTCCAGTTTTTAAACTTTTGCATCCATAACTCCAGCCTTTATCTGCGTTTGGCTTTTTTTTTTAATTATGTTGTTTCCATACCATATGTATTAAAAATATAAGATGTGTGCTCGAGCATCTTAGCCCCCTCCTGAATCTTCCATGTTTAACTAATACTTGATTTGCTAAAGTGTGGATTTCTACTCTGGATCTCCTCAGACTGTTTAGAAATGGAGTCATGTTGCCAAACAGAGCAGAAGCTGACAGAGCCTCCCCGGGTTCGCATGTCAGCAGAGGGGCTGTGGGAAAATAGAGATGTGGATCAAGGCTGAAACGTGCCCAGACTGCAAAAAGACGCCCTTCCATGCTGTTGTTTGCTGTTTTTCTATTCATAGTCGAATCCTGTTTGATCAGGAGAAACTCCTTCTCACCTGCACGCTCATCTATTTATAGACTCACACTCACATGACCCCAAGTCAATACTATGAAGCTAATTTTATACCTGCTGTTCACTCACAGTCCTTCAGCACACAGACCTCCTCCGCACACACACTCTTGTTCCTCACCTGCATGACATTAGCCTCCTGGGCTTCACACCTTTAATGAAGGGCTCATCATGTAATCCATGTTGATACAGTTTTTCTCGAGAACACCATGTACAAATAGACGGGCTGAAAGTGGTTATAACTTTCAGGGTCCCCATTGTTCTCGATCTACTTTAGAGGCTGCATATGGAATATTTGTGATGTTATCTACTCTTGTTATGTTTTCGACTTTATGTGAATGGCTCGGTGGTTCTTAACAGTCTGCTTTCGTTTGTGGCGGGAGGTTCATTAACACAGAGAGATCAATTTAGAAGCAATTCACAGTCTGTAGCTATAAACACCCTCTCGTTGTGCTGAGTTAAATGCACTTTGTGAATTATCTCAGTGTTTTCTCATATATTTCACTCCGTCACCCTCCTAAATTTGTCTTTTTTAGCCCTTATTTTCCATTGTTACTTCAATAATAAGGACTACACTTCCCTCTAAATTACACAACTTCCTGTGAAAGAGTTATAAACAGCTAAATTGTGCTACAAAGTGATGAAAGCTTGTGATATTTTTACTTCGGGACCATTGTGTGATATGTTCTGTATCTCTTTCTTATTGTTAATCAAGCAGCTACACTTTTACAACTGGAGTATGTCTTTAATAGGGATTTTTAAACTGTTTATCTACTGAGAGTCCATATTCAATTAGACAGAGTGGCCCCTAGCCGTGTACGTTCATCTGGAGTCTATAAATCCGGCCTCCATTGATCTATTTATCTCTCATTATCACCATCATGATGTTTGCTCTTCTCTCAGAAACTAATTTGCGTAAAAGACACCACAGTGGCGGCTTGAGGATGCCCGAAGCAATAGATGAGCTTTTTATGAATACACCCAGAGACATAGATATATTAAATACAAGATAAGATGCCTCCTGATTTATGCGTGTACAGATCAATGTTGAAGTTAATGGAGGCTTTGTGGGATTTGCGGTTTATTGGGAAGACAATGACTTGAAAGTAGTTTAACAATAGCAAATCTAATAATAAGAAGTGGGTCTCCATGTTGGATGAATCAGTGCTCTCTTCATTTCTTCTCCTGTGCTTCAGACTAAGTCCTTCTGGTTTCCTTATTATGAATTAAATATTTCTGAATATTTCTTTTGGACTAATGATCTCACTCTTCCCCTCTGTCTCTTTCTATTTTTTTCTCTTTCTGTGTCTCCTCTCAGTTTTGATGTGGAGAATGGATTGTCCGTGGGACGCAGCCCCCTGGACCCTCAGGCCAGTCCTGGCTCTGGTCTGGTCTTACAAGCTAACTTCCCTCACAGTCAGCGGCGGGAATCCTTCCTGTATCGCTCCGACTCTGAGTTTGACCTTTCACCCAAAGGTCCCTCCAGAAACTCCTCCGGTGCCAGTGACCTGTAAGTTGACTGAAACCTCTTTTTGATCACCATCACATTACTTCACTGGTTTGATTTTGTAGAGAAGTTGGGTTATAAGAAGAAAGAAAATACATGTTTTCTTCAATTATTCACAGTCAAGACAATTCGTCCTCGTACATTACATCCCTCAAAAAAGTCCAGCATCTCTTATTGGTTCCTCATCTATCCATCCATCTATCCAAGTAAACTTCTATTTGATAGTCAAACAAAGAAGATATTGAAAAAAAACTCATAGGCTGTGCGTTTCCAAAGTCCCTGATCAAATTAACAGTCTCTACAGCCCAACATTTGTAGAACAAGCAGTTTTTACTGTCGCACTTGAATGCATGTCACACCTGCTGGTCTGGAATTTTAAAGTACTTAGGCACCTGTATAAAAGGACGTTTTTACTTTGAGTTTATTTCTCCTCATGCTCTGCCTTTGTCCTAAATACCCCTAAAAAGTCTCTTGTTATGTGGAAAAGCCTCCAAGTTTTTAACGTCAGCAGTCAGAGACTTCCTTATCAACTCTCGCCTGTCTGTTTTTAAAGGGAAGAAAGCTTGAAGCACTGGGAGGTCAACTGGTTGTCATCTCGGTGAGAAGATCATGATCGAAGAATCAAATAAAAACACTGACTCTGTCCCTTTGAAGCCCACCCTCCCATTCCTTTTGGGTTTTTTTCCTTCAGACGCACCCTTTCCCCTTCTTACAGATTTTACTTAATATTAGACACTTCACCAGTGACCCTCCCTCAAACCCCTCCCCTTAAAACACCCACATCTGTTTTGTTTGTTCTTGCATGTGACATCCGAACCGCGATAACCAAGTTCTTGTTACGCACTTGTTACAGTTTACACTCATGTCATCCACCCTTTCACTCACCACGACCCACTCCTTCACCAACCTTCTTATGTGCAGTGCATGACATCAAATATTTATTCTTTGATTATTGAATTGGGAAGAAAGATGTCAAAGATAGTGATGATTGAATATATCAGACACAAGAATGTGATTCCTAATTTTGTCATGTGGATGTTTGGTTGTTCAGACATTGTTTGATGAAAGCCTCAGGGCAAAGTGCAGTTTGGTTTGTATTTTATTACTCTTAACAAAGTTGTTTACTCTGAATCAGTTTCTCCTTCAAATGTAGGGGCTTCTACGTAGATCGTGAATCTTGTGTTTTAAGCTTTTCCTTCATGTTTATTCTGTCCTGTTACACAGACACACAGAAGACATGATAGTCACTCCATTTGCACAGGTAAGTCCTTTAAAAACTTTTAAAGTTATTTTGTTGATGCATTTTTAAAATTGCCTTGTGGTTAAATCAATAGATAATAAATTGAATTTGCAGCAGACACTTGGAGCCATAAAAGCATATATTGAACACCATATGGTAGGAAACTGGGATACACTGCCTCATCAGAATAGCCCCATGGCGTTATGTTGGCCCAGTGACAATATGAGGCATTCCACCGGTGATGCCCCTCTCTTGCGTTGGATGTGCGTCACACTTGTGCTCACTTTACAGAGCAAAAGTAGTGGTGAATCCAATACTGCTGGTTCATGCTGTCTAAATTCGCATGCAGTAGCTGATAAGGCCGCTACATGGGTCAGGCTTGGACACAGGATACTCTGCAGGCTCCCCCTGTGTGCAGTGTCAGTGTTTGGCCACAGATAAAGTGACAGACATGACATAGAAGGGTGTCAGTGATGCCATCAAAACATCAGACAGGCGAGACAGGGGAATGCCACAGCGTAGCACTTGAGTATGGAGGACGAAGGCCACAGTGTTTGGTTTCAAAGCCACGTCGGCACTTGATCTAGTTCAAGATGCATTAAGTGAAGGCATATGTATGTACTTATAGCATTAAATGAAAGGACATGTGTGCAAATATTACATAAGTCATATTTTATGGTCCTGTACATTCAGTTTCTTCTTCTCACCTTATAGGTCCTCGCCAGTCTGAGGACAGTCCGAAGTAACTTTGCTGTCATAACCAACCAGCAAGATCGCGCAGCCAGCAAGTATGTTTTTAGAAAATTTCACCAAGCACCTGACTGTTTTAATCATCATGTTCACTCAGTATTAGCTCTGTTTACTGACTGTGGATGGTTTTCTTATTCACAGGACACGATCCTCAGGCAGTAACCCACCATCCATGTGCAAGACCAGCCTGGCAGGTTGGTCCTTTTATTAGAGCGGGCTATTTAATAATCGATATTCCATTATCATCATTGACCCTGCTCACAAAGGAAGAGAGGCAGCAAGGACATTATCGTGATTAGAGCTGTGAACTGTATAATCTGGGTTACTGGTAACATGCCACAGCAGTGAATAAGGAAATGACGTCAGTCACAAACACACAAAGTCTATTAGAGGGATACACATCTGAAAAGCTGTGTGCTTGTGAGTGTTGTTTGTCCACAGAGCAACAAATGCTGCATGTGCACACAAGATCCATGCTGATTAAACAATGTAGTCTACAGGTAAACAGGATGAGTTCAATGGAGGGTTTTATCAATGAAAGGTACAATAAAAAGTCAAAGCAACAACAGATGATAAACAAACATTTAAAGGTAGTTTCTAAATGAAGTTTTTGTCCTGAAATCATTAAGGGCCTGTGTCCACTAATCAGGTTTTTCACAAGTGTTTACAAAGGACCTCCAATTCAGACACCCCTGATTGGTGTAACTGTTGCTAGGATACAAAAGTTGTCTAGCTTCAGCTCTGCTTCCCATGTGAGGGACCGAAATATCTGTAATATGTTCTGTGTGCTTGATTTGCTTTATATTTTCATTTTCATAGGGAATCTTACAGAAAAGTAAATACACTGAACAGAAATGGCATCATGGCATTTATAACAGCTCTAGACCTGAAAACGTGACTGTTAAAAGAAGTACCCAGATTAATTTCTTCTCTGCAGTTGTTATCCCACCCTTTTTTGATCCTGATCTGTCGTTGAAGAAAAGGTGACATTTAAACTATCCAGGGGTGCATTAAAAATTCAACCATTTCAAAGTGAAATACGGTGACATAGAACAGCTGATTCTGAGGCTGTTTTTCTGTGCTTGGGCCACTGAGCACTAAAATGACTAAACTGAATTGGTTTTATTTCACAAAAAGTTAAAGCTACCAGTGCAAACAAAATAATAAATAAATATTTGGTGGACACCAGGCCTTGAACATCCACATGTCTCTTGAAAGATAAGGGAAAATGAATGAATATAGCCAAGTAAAATAACATATTGAAAATAATGCAAAGGATTCAAGGATTTAAGGAACTTTATATGTCATATCCTACACCTTTGACAGTCTGTGGTACAAAATTAGTACCCAGGTCCATTTCCAAGCCAAGAATAAAGTACAATACAATAAATAAAATATAGTTCAATAGATAAAATACGATAACAAAAAGCAAAATGTAAACAGATTAAAGTAAGCCTGAAATTAGCTTAAATTCTTTTTACATTTTGCTCTTTGTTGCTCTTAGAAAAGGTTATTCACAAAACCAAAGTTAGTTTGGATGAAAAGCCAATGAGCAACTCACTTTCTGTCTGTCTTTGTGCTGCTTAGCTCGTCTGGGTTTGTTTTTAGGAAAGGAGTCATGGAGAGAGTTGGGGCAGGCTTTTGTGTTATTGGGGAAGTAGCTCAGTCAGGTGTGGCATGATGTGGGGTGCAGAGATGCTGGTGGAATGAGGAGCTCTGATTTAACACATCATTCATGCTTGGTCACGTGTCAGTCTCACAACTTCAGAATAATTAAAATGTAGAATCTATTGTCACAAATGTCAAACAAATAAAATAATCTAAGTTTTATAATGCAAAAAGTTACATTCTGTCACAGATAAGATCTTGTTGTTCTCAGATATCATTATCATTTCTTTCCAATACCTTTTTAAGCTTTAATAGAGAGCCACTTTTCCTATCAATTTAAGTCCATCCCATAATCCCTTGTTGTGTTTGTCCGATGCAGAGGAGCCACACCAGCAGCTGGCCATAGAGACTCTGGATGAGCTGGACTGGTGTCTGGAACAACTGGAGACTCTGAAAACTCGACACTCTGTCAGCGAGATGGCCTCCAATAAGGTACTCAAACACCAAACACTGGACCAACCCATCATCAGCTTGATTCACTTTACATACACACCAGATAAAAACCTCACACTGCCACATGGGTCATTAAGTCTGGTCAGGTCGTGTGCAAGGTTGCAGTGCAGTCCCTCAGATCTGCGCTGTGATTCACCCCTCTGAAGGATTTCTATGAGTCATGTCATTAGTCATTTTCTTATGAGTCTTGTTGCTATTTTCATGGTAGTTAAACAGCTTGAACAGAATATATTAAATGACCCTGAAGTTATCAAGGTTGAATTCCAGTCTGAAGGTATTTTGAAACTGAAATGGTTAATTTTGTTGTGTCAGAGCACAAACCGCAAATCCTCGTGTAGCTCCTGATTGTTGAAATATCTAAAAATATACTGCAGTCCCTTCCGCTATTATTATTCTCACTGCGACTGCTGGTTTTGATGTGACCTGAATGACCCCAAATCAGTAATCAAATTCATCAAATAAGGAGGTGTTAGCTTTATGAAGATAAAATAGCTCAGCAGGTTATTAATAGAAAAGATCATGTAGCAATACCGAAGAGCTTCGTATCATTTTCATCAGTTTTATCCCTGTGAACATGTATGTCTGCAGCTAAGCTATCACCGATCCAAAAGCTTCAAAATGCAGAGAATCCATCACTGCAGTGTGAAAAAGATCTGTCATCCATCAGCACTGTGGAGGATTTTTACTCCATGAATGAGCGGGATGTTTCATGCATGCAGATAGAGACTAGACACACAGACTCTCCCTTCCCCCCGCTCATGTGCAGAAAAATGTGAATGAGGTAGTGAGAGCTGAAGATGAAACGGCATCCCCCTCTCAACCACTCTTCCTCCCTGGATCCCTCTCCTCTCCTCCTCCTCCTCCTCCTCCTCCTCCTCTCCTCAGACTGGAGCCAGTCGCTCATGTGATCCCATGATTAGACCGCCCACACACAACATACACATGCTCTTCATAGTAACACACACGCACCTCACATGTACACACCGTTTTCCTGCCATCACATACATGTCATTGCACTTCCTCTCATAAATTGCATGCTTGAATACATAAACGGCTACACACACTCACGTGGCGGAGGTTTCGTGGGAGGCAGACAACCCCCCCCCACACACACACACACACACTCGCCCCCCCACCTCCCTTTCCGTTCCTGCAGATCAGTCAATGAGCAGCTTCAGTCAGTGGGGGAGAATTATTCATGCTGGCACTTGGGAACAAAGGCAGGCACATGGGAGGCCGAAGTGAAGACTGTTTCCACATCACTGACAAACTTATCGAACAGTTCGGCTTAAAGAAGATCTTTAATGACCCCTGAAAGTGTCTTTAAGGAAGACTGCAGTATGGCATAACTGAAACATTGAGCCTGAAGCAACTCACTTTAGCTAATTTAACCCCACTGGGAACCCTTAACATCGCTGTTTACAGTCTCCAATGCTGATTTGATTTTTGAGAATTATCTCCATTGCTAAGGTTTTGAAATTGTCGTGTCATATTCTCTAATACAAGCTCTGCATCATGGTGCAACAGCTTTAGAAAATCACCGAGTTTGGAGAAGATAACAGCACATTTTTGTGAATCAGAATGTGTTCAGGACTTCCATTCAGCTCGAGCTCATCTCCACACGTAAACATGTTATCTTCAGTATGGAGGGACTGGAAGATTTGAATGTGATTTGCAGTGAAAATGTTATCTTATCCATTCATGATCATGTTTACGATAACAGAGGATGTCTCCTCATATTTGTGGTACGTTTTGTTCTGTTTTTATTTTTGGCTACATGAATGAAATCCCCCCCCCCCTCCCCCCACCCTCTATCCATTCAAAGCTTTTCCTTCATATCTTCTTCAAACTTGGTGCACATGGTCTGTCCCACTACCTCCGCCTCCTAACACGCTCTGCTCCGCCTACTTTGTACATCTCCCCGCCAATGAGGGTCTGCTGCTCCTCCATCCTCTGCTGCAGCAGGCGCCTGATTGGCTGCTATTCTTAGACATTTTTTGGAAGGAGGCGGGGATTCGAGTACCTCGTTCTCCCTGTGTTTACACACACATACGGGAGCAGCCAGTAACTAAGTGAATGAGGGAGAGTCAGGGGGAGCGATGGAGTGCCTCGCATCCTTGCATCCCGCAGCACTCCAGCATCTCGGCTCCTGTCTCCTCTCTTCTCTTGGACCTTTGAGCACTTCTTTCTTCCATCTGTCCTACTCATACTGATCAGAGCACTTACCAGTGGACTGTCTGCTTGCAGTGGATTTTCGCTCAGGCAAGCAGTATAGGAGCACAAAGTGTCCCTGCTGTCTTCCCTTGGCAGGAGTCAGAGAACGACAAAAAAGCTCTCTCGTTTTTTTTTGCAAGGTTCTTTTTTTGCCCTCATGCTTGACTTTGCGCTGAAATGCCAGAAGTGAATTATCTCATCACCGTGTCGTGGATGTTCATTCAGGTAAGGGGAGGCAAGGGATGAGCGGGGTGGGAGGGGATTAGACTGCTCGGGCTCACATGTTGCTCGTTTTGTGAATGAGTGTGACAGAGTGGACAACTGGTGTTTGATGGTAGATAGTCGGCTCTTTCTCTGTCTCTAGACATTTTCTATTGGATTAGTTGATTTTTGAACAGATAAACACCAAACACAAGCAGAGTGTGCAGCGTGTGTTTGGCTGCAGGCTACAATGTGTAAAATCAGCCATGCTTTCCCCCTCGTCCAATCAGAAGCTGCAGCACTGTGTGACATGAGACAGACACATGTGAAGACTGTTGGTGGTGCGATTTCTGCATATTTTGTGACCGAAAGAGTCCGAGCTTTCATGATTTTGCTGCAAGGTTATTTGTGAAATGAGTTGTGTTTGATCAAACTCATGAATACTTGCATGTGTGTGTGTTCTTCAGTTCAAGAGGATGCTGAACCGAGAGCTCAGCCAGCTGTCAGAAACCAGCCGATCAGGAAACCAGGTGTCTGAGTTCATCTCCAGCACCTTCCTCGGTAAAACACCTTTGCTTTGTACAATCAACAAGCTCCACGTGCAGAGAGTGTGCAGTGTTAATGTTTCCCCCGTCTCCATCTAACAGAGAAGCAACATGACATGGACATCATGTCACCCCCAACAAAGGACAAGGACAAGAAGAAGCGGCCCATGTCCCAGATCAGCGGTGTGAAGAAGGCCACCCACAGCCCCAGCCTTGCTCCGTCCAACATCCCTCGCTTTGGGGTCAACACCAGCCAGGAGAGTCTCCTATCAAGGGTATGAGGACTAGTCGTATTAAAATTAGATCTGAATTGTTTTTTAATACATTCTGCATGTGAATGAACATCATTTTTTTTGTTGTCCACCTGCAGGAGATGGAGGATGTCAACAGATGGGGTATTGACATCTTTAAAGTTGCTGAGTACTCTGGGAATCGTCCTTTGACGGTCACGATGTACACCATCTTCCAGGTAATCTTTGTTCTGCTTAAACTCAAACAGTCAGTGATTGAAAGACTCTAAACAAGCAAACAAAGAATTGAACTAGAGCAAAGAATGACAGATGTTGACCTTGGCTGACCTGGATGTTTCTGCTTTGTAGGAAAGAGATCTTCTGAAGTCCTTCAAAATACCCACTGACACTTTCATCACCTTCATCATGACTTTGGAGGACCATTACCGTGCTGATGTGGCCTATCACAACAACATCCATGCTGCAGATGTCGTCCAGTCAACACATGTCTTACTCTCCACCCCTGCTCTGGAGGTAGACCATCTCCCTAGTTGGTTTTTAGAGAGAAAAAAAAAGTTCAAACTCAATCATTGTAAATCAAAACAACTGGATTCCATCATGTTGACTGTTTCTGCTCTTTGTGTCATCCCAGGCTGTATTTACTGATCTGGAGATCCTCGCTGCTTTGTTTGCCAGCGCCATCCATGATGTGGATCACCCTGGAGTTTCCAATCAGTTTCTCATCAACACCAGTGAGTTTGCATAGCTTCACAGGGATAATGCGAGTGTGCGTGTGTGGGTGCTGGGTGTGTTTAACTTTGCAGATGAGGCGCCTGTATGCGCTTGTCTGTGTAGAATTGTGTTTCGCGTTTGCAGAGCCGATTGTTAAGTTTTGCCTTATTCTCCCATCAGACTCAGAGCTGGCCCTGATGTACAATGACTCCTCTGTGCTGGAGAATCACCACCTGGCTGTCGGCTTTAAACTCCTCCAGGACGAAAACTGTGACATCTTTCAAAACCTCAGCAAAAAGCAGAGACAGTCGTTGAGAAAAATGGTCATTGATATGGTACGAGGAGCTCTCAAGACTGTAGATGTAATTCTGTCTGACTCAGAGACACAGCAGGGTAACACTGTGTTTTATTTCCCAACCTACAGGTGTTGGCCACAGATATGTCAAAGCACATGAACCTCTTAGCAGACCTGAAAACCATGGTGGAAACCAAGAAAGTGACCAGCTTGGGAGTCCTGTTGCTAGACAACTACTCAGATCGTATACAGGTGAGACCACCGTCTTATCTATTCAGTAGAAGAAGTTTGTGGTTAACAGGATCTTCATTTTAATGAAAGGTGTGTGTCTAAATCTTTGCAAAAGAGCCCTGCAACCAATTAACGCTGCTTCAGGTGAAATACTTCATACTAATAAGACTACCTATGAGTCACTGCCAGCCTGTTTAAAGCAGAAAAGGGGAAAACAACTCAAAAAGACAAACATTAATAAAGCATTTTTTTGTTTTTGACAGCACAAATTGTTCTGTGTCTCCACAGGTCCTCCAGAATATGGTGCACTGTGCAGACCTGAGCAACCCCACTAAGCCTCTGGAGCTGTACCGGGCCTGGACGGACCGCATCATGGTGGAGTTTTTCACCCAGGGAGACAGGGAGAGAGACAAAGGCATGGAGATCAGCCCCATGTGTGACAAACAAAATGCCTCAATAGAGAAAAGCCAGGTACAGAGTCAAAGCTGCAGCTTCAAATTCATGAAATCTGTCATGAATCTTTCAGTAAGTTTGGTGTTAAACGGTGTGCTCGCTTCTTGTTACAGGTGGGTTTCATTGACTACATTGTTCATCCTCTGTGGGAGACCTGGGCAGACCTGGTCCATCCAGATGCTCAAGAAATCTTGGACACACTGGAGGACAACAGAGAGTGGTACCAGAGCATGATCCCCCATAGCCCCTCACCAAACCAGGGCCAGGAGGATGAAGAGGGGGCCCTTGCTGGGGAAGCATCAGCGGTCAGTGGGGGTAGTGCTTCCACCTCAACTGACAAGTTTCAGTTTGAGCTGACACTGGAAGAGGAGGGAGAGTCTGAGACTGACAGTCCACCTGAGGAAGAGGGAGGGCACAGTGGCAGCAGGGGGTCTGAGCACTCCGGGACTGATTCTGGCAGCGTGTTCGATGCTGCAACCCACCTGTCCAGCACAAAACTCTCCCCTGACTCAGACAGGACGTTTCCCTTAGACTCTGAGAAAGACATAGAAGAAGACATAGAAGAAGACAGAGAAACAGACGAGGAAGGCGTCTCTGAGGTGCCTCGCTTCAGAATTGGCACATAACACCAACCTGAAGTCATGTTTCTTTTGGCCTTTTTGTTTCTTTTCTTAATTTTGGGGCTTCATCCTCTGTCACTCCCCCGTCTCCCATCTAAACACCATTGCATCCGGTTTCGGCCAACAGGGTGTCAGAAAGCCCTGGTGTTGGGAGCACAGGAGTGCATGCAGATGTGCGGTGTGTTAAGAAAGCCTGCAGTTCTACACAGCGGTCACTTGCACTGGAGAGAGACAGACAGACTGAGTCACTGTTCAAGCAGAGGACAGGAAACCAAGTTTCTGAGCCGTCCTTTTTGTCACTTAGACAAACTGTGGAAAGAGACGATGAGAAGTTTTAAAAACCTCCCTTTTACCAGCCAAACCAAGGTCTACTACAAAACAGTGCTGTCTTCCTCTTTTGGAAAACTAGTGAGGAAAGTGAGGAGGTGGTCTTTTCAAACTTGCAATTTATAAGGACAATGCTGGTATGCCTGCATTTTTATGGTGGGTATATTCTGCTGTTATGTTTCAGTTTAAGTCTGCGCACAGTGAAGTAGAGTAAACAAAGACAAAGTTAAAAGCACACTTCGAAGCAGCAAAGTAATGACAGAAAGGAACTATGCAGGATTGTATGCAGAGAATTATAAATGTAGCAGGCATACTGAGTGACTTTTGTGATTATAATTTGAATGGCACAGCCCTGTTCATTGTGTTAGGCAGGCAGTTGTTTTGGAAGATTACTACAAAATTTTAATGAAGTGGCAAACAGATCATGTAATTGGGAATTCCATTTGTACCAGGCTTAATGTTTTAATTTAATGATACTAAGCTATTACATTTTGCCTGCAACAAAACTGAGCCAGGGTCTGAGAGATGCTCTTGAGTCAGAAAATGACATCCAAAGGGGTGTGGATATGCACATGGTGCCTCCCAGTGTTGACAAGTAGAACTGCAGTTCTAACACTGGAGATGAATGATTTGCAAGGTTTTGTATAGGCCAATGAAGAAAACACATCCAAACTGTACTTAGTATAAGACTACCCAAAATATCAGAGATGTTTCAATTTTGTAACTTTTGGATTATTTTTTGTCAGTTTTGATTTTTATTTCAGTTTGCCTTCAAGTTCAGCACTTTACAGTCAGTTCTTAGCCAGCCCTCTTTAAGGGCTTGAGCCAGAATATGAAAAGTTTAGGGGTTGTTGAGTGGGACACAGTTTGTCATTGGCTGTGAATAAACCAGCACAGAGACCATGCAATGACTACCAACGCTACAAAACAGCTAAAAAAACAAACAAACAAACAAACCATTCATCAAGAACCATCCTTGCTACTACACGAAGCGTCCAGCACAGCAGCATCAAGGCACTTGCATAAATCAGTAAACTAATAATGGATACAAATAAGATGTTAGCACCATTGTAGTTGTAAAAACATACAAACACAAGAAAAACGATGAAGGTTACCAAGTGACATTTTCATGTGCCAGAATATGTTCTTTTTTTTCTCTCATTGATCAATATTCCGCTCTTCACAGGGACATAGTCAATGACAAAACAAGTGCCAAGCAAGCATGACACAACCCGTACTGTAATTTCCATTTTGCCACTGGCTACTTTCCATCAGTGACTGATAAAGTTGGTTGATTGTAGCGCCCTGCGTGCCAATCCGGCCCATAAGTCTTTTTTTTTTGCTTTTGATTTTAACTCCTGTTCAAACAGTAATTGAAACTGATATTGTCTTAAACTAGTGATGTGTTTTAGTGTGTGTGAGTGAATGACTGAGTTTGACCTTTTTGATGTATTTGCTAAGAAAAAACCAAAGCACTTTGTATGGTACTTTTACAGTTCTGCACTTCCAGTACAGTTAAACATGTATAGCGTGACTGTTTCACTGTTTTTCTGTTGGAGAGATGAGTTGCACGGGCTGGACCACTACAGCTCCTAAAGGATGGATGTTGGAGGGACTGAAATTTTTTTGTTTGTTTGTTTTTATATATGACTGTACAAAAATTGTGTACTGTTGAAATGCATGACATAGGCTGCAGGATTCAAAGACTTTGGAGAGAGTGTAGAGTACTTACAAAGTTAGCCTGTGGAGAAACTTGTTTTAATGTGTAAATGAACTGATTTTTTTTTTTTTTTTTTTTTTTTTGATGCCTTATTTCCATACTAAAGATTTTTTTTTTCTGGTCACTGACATGCTGGAGTCAAACATGTGCAATCCTTTCTGTAGCCATTAACATCACCTGACAAACACTCAAGGATGCCTTCAACACTAAGGACTATTTAACAACAGCTCAACCAGCACAGTAGTTTAGTTTCTCTGCGTGTCACATCTTTTATTTTGTACATTTCCCCCACAGTACTTCATGTACAGATTATTTATTATTTCAGTTTTATCTGTCAGAAACAATCAAACAGTAGACTTGATTTTAGTCCGAAAGTGTAGTGCTTTTATGTAGTGTATTAAGCGAGAAAGTCAAACAGGACAGATTTCAGCTATTACTCAGCTTTTCCCTCCTCATTTCATTTTTTTGGTGTCTTCAAATAACATTAATTGTAGGCAAAACACCCACTGTCATGTTTTTCTTGTTGTGAAACAGTTTGAATTTGGGTTATCTGAAACATCCCTCCTCTCCTGTCTTCCTCTGTCTCCACTAAAATGTTTGGATCTTGTATTTATGAAGGATCTTGCAGTTTGCGTGCTGAACTGGGACTTCTTTGATTCAAAGTGAGGATAAAGTGGTTGTTCAGCCTCAAGTCATCCTATCAGTATTTCTTTTCTCTTCTGTTTTATAAAATGTCATAAACTAAGACTGCAGCTTTGACAATCCAAATTCTGCTGTTTAACTGCAGGTGTGTTTGCCCTCTCTCCAACTAGAACTGTATGCCTTGCCAATAAAGGAGATACACTTCACTCTCGGATGTCTTTGTCTCTGCTTTCAAAGGAAAACTAAAAAAAGACCCAACAGCCAATCAAAAGCAACATCTGTACTTGCAAAGAACAAAATGCACTGATGAGAGTAAACATTGATCACGGTAGATACACAGATGATCAATCCATTAACACTGCAGCTTTCCATTGGATCATTAACCTTAGTCAAACTATGGAGCCTATTGTTAAAACCCTCAAAACATGGTATTCTAAATCTTTTTATAAAAATAAGCATCTGGTCCTGCATTAAAGACATGTAATCAGAGTATTTTAGGTACATAAACATGGTAAAGCTTCAATATATTTTGGAGACAACGCAAGTGATAAGGAGTGTCTGAACGACTTTACAATTGACAATAAAAAAAAGGAATGCAGTGTGTTCAGAAAAGGAGGAAAGCATATAATATATTTTGTATTATAGTACACAGGTTTAGGGTAATGCATCTGCTTATTTTCATATTTTGCTCTCCTCCCATGAGCTGTGTTCAACAAGCATTGCAACTGTATATTTCTGTTTACCACTGCTTAAAATACTTCTACAGCTGATATGTTGATTCACCCATGAGCTTTTATAACGTGAGCATAATTAATTTGTCATCATATTGGTCATAAATATTGGCAGAAATATTTATATCTGCTATAATAAACCTTCAAACTACTTTACTTCAGCTTTATTATGTCCCAAAAATGGGCAAATCAGGTTGCAGCACAGACATTTAAAACACTGCCATACATCATAAAAAATAAATAAATAAAATAAAATACATACATCTACATAAAAACAGTTCAGGAGGTAAAAAGTATTAAAGATGATTTAGAAGGTAAAAAAAAAGCATGTCAGTCATACCAGTACTTTTTGCATGAACAGAGTGCATAAGATAAAATGCAGAAACAAAGTGCAATGTACGGTTTGCTAACCAATAAAAGACCCCTAGATGAAGTTTGTTCAATAATAATAATAATAATAATACGATCTGGTCCAAACCATTATTGTGCCAATGTTACACAAAACAGAGACACATTTTGATGCTGTTAATTTCATCTGAATTCGATGGTTTCTTTCCATTAACTACTATCCATACTAATATCTATAAATTGGACAAGGGCGGTGCTCTGAAGAGTGAATGAACCCTCTTCTCTGATTGGTCAGTCGTCCTGCTAATCATCCTTACACTCCGTTTGTACCCGCTTATGCTGAGGCTGTCAATCAACAGGCGCACGAGCTACTGCAGGTGCAAAGCTGGGCACTGGGCTAGGTGCCGCCGCTACCGTGAAGCCGAGGATAAAACGCACATTACAAGGTAAACCCTGCTCTTATTGGTCATTACCTTACCGTCTTAATTGGAGCATTTTCAACAGCCAGCCTGTGGTTTATTCGCCGCTCGTCAAACCCCGGATTTGGACTAAAAATTGGAGCGTAAATAAGGAAGAGTAACCTTCATTTGACATAGCTAGGATGCTTAGCTAGCTTCTGCGGCCACTTTAAACAGTGGTAACGATCTGCCGTGTTAGCATCAGAGGGAGCGATGGGAGTCTTAATTTAATACATTATCAACGAGGGAGAACTGCTTTTTGTCTGCATTTCTTGCCCAATCTTCACAGTTATTTCATCCTTAATTTACACGGACAGAAATGCGTGAAATAAAACGGTTCCGTGCCTTTTTTTAGACTTTTGTCCAGCTAATGTGAAGCAGACTGTCATATTCAAGCTGCTAACATATTCACTAGCAGGCTAACGCCAGATAAGCCCTCCTGTGGTCAGTGAGGATAGTTAAAGCTTTCAATATATGGATAATGTTGTATTTAAAGACATGAGGGCACATGAGGGGATGGCAGTGTGTTGTTTTATTTTCTTACATATTTAATGGCCTATTCTGTTTAATCAGATGGTCATTTCTTATTATGTGTCTCGCGGAGGCTCCTGTCCTCCTGGATGTGAAGGGATAGTCAGTTTAGCTGATGCTTAGCCTGCTAAGCCCTCGTACTTCCGCCCCGTTATCTTGCGTGGCCAAGGTGTGCACTCCTTGTGTTATTGACATGCTGTGGAAACACAGGGCTGTGTGCATGTACTGGCACACAGTGTTTACACAGGCTCTTAGTTGCACGGTTGAATTATTTTATTACCTTATAAAATTATGAGATTGCACAGGAACCATATGGTGTGTAACTTGACCCCAAACAGCTGACTATACTGACATCATTTAACCTCGTCACGTGTTGCATTGTTTATCCAAGGCTGTTAAACAATGATGTATGTGCTCAGCTGATACTTAAGTTGTCTGTCAATAACATGAAGACTGATCCATGTCATATTTTGGGGGTTAGGGTCTTCACAGATGTGCACATTCATTATAAGATCTGTGATGAATTTAATGGATTCCACAATTCAATCTTGTGGGTAGCCCAGTAATTGTGAAATGGCAGACATCAAATTTAAATCAGTCCAATACAACAAATTTACCAAGCCTCAGAATTGTCAGTTCTTGTTCACATGATCAGACAGGTGATTTTTGTGCATCAGACAGAGTGGATGGTTGGTGGTGGTGTACTGAAGTGTGTTATAAGGGGTTCTACTAGGCCTGGGCGACTTGGCCAAAAAAATGATCATGATTTATTTTGTCATATCGTCCGATCTCGATTATTATCACAATATTTTTTTTAAACTGCCCGTTTTAAAGTATCTATACTAAAAACTAAAGAAACTAGAGATTAGTTCAACATTTTATTAACACAGAAGGTTTATAACAAAGCAAATTGAATAAGATATACTCAGAAAAATATAAAAAACCATTAGTACAACAAATATAGATAAATACAAAATAATACAGTGAATTAGTTTACAGTCCTGAGTGTTTTTGACCGACGACATACCTTACACACATCGGCTTAATTGCTTGACGTCACTTTGGAAATAACCGAACCACCACAACACAACCAACGTTGAACAACTTCTCAATAATAACATCTTTGATGACTCAAAGTCACGGCTGATATCTATTTTGCTGCCCTCGGCACCACGTTTAGCTCCACGTTCAGTCATTCTGTTTACTTCTCCGGCAACTTACAGAAGTGAGCAGGAAAAGCTCGACTCTGATTGGCTGTTGTGACGCACATTTCCGCTATTTTTGATCGAGTAAATATGCTCACAGTTGATCACCGTGATCAAACTGAAATTTATCACAATCATCGATCACGATCATATAATCGCCCAGTCCTAGGTTCTACATATTTTGTCTACTTTAACATGTAGGGAGCAAAATGCACTAATGCACTCTATTACACCACCAACACTCACCCCAACCTCAACAATAAGTTTTAAGTGCAAAAATGTATCACTACATGAACCAGAATTAAGATCATTAGCTTCATTAAGGATAAATTTGAGGGAGTGTGGGGTTGCATTAGAAAACCAAGGTGATCACAGTGTTGTGGTTGGTTAGTGTATGTGACAGACACCCTGCCCCCTTGAAAGTGAGTGAATAAATGAGTGAATAAATGTTATTTATTTCAGTTATTTAAGGAAGTTTGAACCACTTCATTCACTGCTCAAAAATTCGTCCTAAAATTCTTTTGATAATAGGTGTTACATTTTCTGTCATTTGACCCATCAGTTTATCAGTAAGTTGTTGCAGCTGTGATGCTATCATGTGTGACTAAAAACTGAGTTAGTTAAAAACTAATTGTTGTGTCAAACTGAAAGAGGCCACAGAGGATGTCACCAGATGATACAAGAGGTTTGACTGGGATCAGTATGATAAAAGATTCCTATCTTTAGACTAAATCTTACAAAATGTGATTTAAAAAAAAAAAAAGTAAAAACGTCTCAATCATTTATAAACCAATGTGTCCTGCACCAGAAAAGCAACATATTATACAAAAGGTAAAGAAGCAGGGATGTTAGTTTTCATTCTTTATATTTTGTCATTCATCTGCCTCAAAAATAAAATGGCTCAGCCATTTGCAGAACACAATTCTTGATAGCATCAAATCCAGCAACTCAGCTCTTGAATGATAAATTTGTTTAATGTCATGTTTTTACAGGTGTTGTGACAGAGGCTTTAAATAAACACAGTTTATTATTCTGATTGCACTTTGTGATGTTGATTTGTGTCTGGTTTTATTGTAAGGTGTCACTATTATTTTTCTTGTGAATTAATGATATTCCATCTTGATCCTCGCTTAGATGGCGTCTGCAAATGCCACATATGGACAGAAGGAGTCCTCAGACCAGAACTTTGATTACATGTTTAAAATTCTCATCATCGGGAACAGCAGCGTAGGAAAGACATCCTTCCTTTTCCGCTACGCAGACGACTCATTCACACCAGCCTTCGTCAGCACAGTGGGCATCGACTTCAAAGTCAAGACAATCTACAGGAACGACAAGAGGATAAAGCTGCAGATCTGGGTGAGGAAGTACATGCAAACATACTGTACATGGGGATATGAGAACATAATAATGATCATTAACTTCATTTATGCAGCATGTTTCTTAACCTAGGGTCACATAGTGCTTTATAACAACAGCAAGATAAAAACAGTGTGAAAGGATAAAAGGGTAACGATAAAGCAGGACAGCAGTGGTAATAAGATATGGTAATCCTATATAACAGTGGAGGTGTGCTCCTAAGTCTAATGAATACATATAGACCCGGTCAAACACTATAGATCAAGGTGTAAGGTAATCAAAAAAGCCAAATAAAAAAGGAGGTCTGAATTTATTTTTTAAAACAGTCGACAGATTTCACAGATTCAAAAGTAGGAGAGAGTAAGTGTCAGAGTCCCGGAGGTAAAACAACAAAAGAGAAATCATCTTTAGTTTGAGATTTGATGGTGATATCACCGCAAGATTCTTGTTATAAGCCCCTGTGGTTACTTTACAAAAAGACATTAATTTGAACTCTGGAATATTTGTGCAAAAGAGTTGAGAGCTCAGCAACTTTGCTTGATGATGCTTATTATTTGCACTATGCACCGATCTACAGGGCCAGTTGTTGTCAAAAAGTTGGGACACAGTAGGTGGGGAAGTCTATAAATGGACACTTAGTGATTAATTTTAGGCGTTTTTTTGTAATACAAAACAAAGCAGCAACAACTCAGTGAAATCAGCAGTGCTATAGGAAATGCAGATGTGCCCTATAGCCTTAAACGGCATCCTTAAATGTTATTTAATATCAGACCAATAGACCAAAACTCAAAAGTACTGTGGAGATGTATTGTAAGCTCATCATTGACTTGCTTTAGTTCAACAGCTCTTAAAGTGCAGGACTTGAATGATTAGACATAATTCCAAGATGTAAAGCACATTTCCCTGTGGCCTCTAAGATGGTTTTCATAGCCTGTTTTTTATGCAGCCCAATAACATCTGTGACTAAAGCGGCCTTTATTATCATGTATCCCTAATGATTAGCAGCTGTTCAGCTCGGCTCTGCAGTCCCTACAATCACTTCATCTACAGAGTAATGGCAATCCCCTTGAAGTGTTCTTAACATGAGCCATAAAGCCCGACCCTGGGACCAACCGCTTATTACATGTGACACCAGAGGAAGACCTTATCCTCATGGGGCTTTGACTGAATGTTAAACCTCTGCAATCATCAGGAGGCACGTGCACAATTGTAAATTCTTTGCAGGTGCTGGGCGGGTATCCTCTGAAGAAAAGAGACAAAAATGTATTTGCAGTACTGGTGTCATGTGAACAGTGTTTATTCTGTCCTTTAAGGAAAACAGTGGTCTGACCACGGCTAAAGGAGGAGCAGTGATGGAGGAGTCTGTTCACCTCGTCACACTTTTCCTGCTTTGTTAGTCGTCCAATAATTTATGATGGTTTGATGGAGGTTTCATCAACTAACAAATGATGGTGTTGGTGTGTGTAGGACACTGCCGGCCAGGAGCGCTACAGGACGATCACCACCGCTTACTACAGAGGGGCTATGGGCTTCATCCTCATGTATGACATCACAAACGAGGAGTCCTTCAATGCTGTTCAAGACTGGTAAGCAACAGCCGAGTATGCATGTCTGTGTGTGAAAGTGGCAACCACCAACCTCCAACTTGATTTTTTTGTAATTTTATTCAGCTTTTTCCGGTCTGTTCCTTAAACTGTACCTGACGGCTGAGAGGAATCAGACAGATAGTTTGTTGAATTTGTTTGGAAATGAAAAGATGAATGAAAGTGTGATTAATGTCTGTTCAGCAACTTCATTTATGTCACAACATCTGCAAGTAATGAGGGGAGAAAAGGGAGTAAAAATTTCCACCGTCACCTTGGTGTTTGGTTTGTTTTAGTGGTTCACATTTCTCTTTTAGACTCTTTTTTTGAAACTCGTCTGTGTGTGCGGGTTCAAGTCATATGAAGCTGCAATTAAAGGAAAGTTACTGGAAAGATTTGAGGGCTCAAGTTTGCTGAACACAATTTCCTGTACATGCAAACAGGTCAACTCAGATCAAGACATACTCCTGGGACAACGCCCAGGTCCTCCTGGTGGGGAACAAGTGTGATATGGAGGACGAACGAGTGGTGGCTCATGAGAGGGGCCGGCAGCTCTCAGAACAGCTGGGTAAGTCTACTGACGGAGTAAAAACTCTTTGCCTGTTGTAATTAATCCCCTCCACCTGAAGGAACTAGTGTAAAATAAATGTAATCTTTAGACCAATGGTTCTTAAGTCCAGTCCTCGAGGCCCACTGTCCTTCATGTGTTGGATGTTTCCCTGCTCCAACACACCTGATTCAAATGATCAGCTCGTTATTTAGCCATTACAGAGCTTGATAATGAGCTGATCATTTGAATCAGGTGTGTTGGAGCAGGGAAACATCCAAAACATGCAGGACAGTGGGCCTCGAGGACTGGACTTGAGAACCACTGCTTTAGACTTAACCTTTTGACCCCTGAACTTTGCAATAGAAATAATATCCCAAGTGTTTGTGTTGGAATTTGAGCTTTCTGTATATCTCCGTTTTTTAAATGCTTTGTATCTGGAGCCGCAACAGATCTTAAATGTCATGATTCAGACTGGATCATAGATTTTGGTCACCTGTTGGATCATTTTCATATATTAAAGAAGAGTCTCATTTCACTAACAATATTTGTTACCCTGTGACTAACTACACCAACATCAGAAAACCAAACAAAATCATGCTGAAAATTGCAAGTGTGCTGCAGACTACAAGAACAAGTTTTCCTTTTCTGAGCTCTGACAGTGCTGAACAGGTAACATTATTTATTTTGGGGATGTGTGTGCACTGGCTGCTCTTGCTGTGTGTACTACGCGAGTCAGACAAACAGCAAATAGAGGGCAAGTGTTTGGCAACATCCTTAGTTTCAGTTTCTACACTGAATATAGTGCTCTGTAACAGATTTTGTGTAACTGGGTAAGTTTACTGCTGCAAACTAACACAGGCTGTGGAATAACACTACTACCATTAAGTCACAGTCAAAAACCCGTACAAAGGGAATCACACTGAACATCTTCATGAAGCTGGATTGTCGACTCAGGGCTACAGTGAGCGTGTTCACCATCAGCAGATCATCATACTTTCGAGTTCATAGCAAACTTTGATACTGGAAAAATATAAAATCAAACTTTTAAGCCACTCTGAAGTCAATAGCCTCATTATCAGAATGATAACAACAGAGGAAATGCTGAGGGGAATTCACAAACTAAGACTTACCATGATCTCTTTTCCATCATTACTGCTACTTAGATCTGACTGTAAGGTCCCTCGTTTATTTACTGAATCTGATTCGCTGCTCCAAATTTTGTATGGCATGTGAGGCAGTTTAAATAATCCCAACAGAATCCAACACGGCAGTATTAAGATAATAAAAACATAATTTAAAGCAATAGGGATGTAAAACAGCACTGAATAAATACAACAACTTAAAGAAGAACTTAAAGGCTCTGCTCTTAGCCTGTTTTTGTCTCTGGGATGATATCAAACAGCACAATGACTGTCATTCATATTTTTGATAAACAATCACACGGGTAGACAGAGTGTCCCGCTGTTCTCTCTCCCTCTTCCTCGGTCTTCATCAGTTCACAGAGCTCCACCATCATGAGAACTGATCGGTCAGAGATCAGTTATTACAAACTGTTCTCTTATCCTGATCATAACCTACTCTGGCCTAGGTTACATACTTAGCACAAGTTTCTGTGATGACTTAACCTGTAAGAAGTGAACCACCTTTTAAAGAGTAAACCCTGGAGTCACCTTGACAACAAATCCTACTTTGTAGTGCACCCTTCAGCTGCCACTTTCAAAATAAACAGAGAGGAGGTAAAAGTAAGATGAGGAAATTAGAAACAGCCTTTGATACCAAGTAAGTAAAATATCAACAGTTTACGACTCCTTTCTGTACCTAAACTTGAGCAGAATTGCAGAAGGGAAGTATAATAGACTGAATTTCCCTCACATCTTTATAAGGGGCCTTCATGGCGCCCACTCACAGTGCTGAAACACGGTTTCTTTTCACAGGCATTTATTGGCAGTTAATTCATTTTACAGTGTGATACTAAATTTTCATTGAACCACGGTAGCATGTGAAAACCATGAGGGGTGATCTTTACAGATCAGGGATCATCTGTGATCTGTTGCACCACCTTAGGCTGACCTGTGTCTTAAAAAACATTGTAGCTTATAAGTGTTGGAATTATGATATCCAAGGATCAAAGTTCAGATATACAACGAATCATGATCCAAAAGACTGAAACCCCAGCTTTTCTCTTCTGATGAGTTACCAAGTTATTTAAAGTCCTTTAGGTATTTTCCATCAGTAACAAATAGACCAGTGAACTGTAAGGCCGATTAATTGGGCTGCTTAATGACATTTTTAGATCATCTGCATCAGCCATTAGCTGACCTAACCAATACCTTCCAACAACAGGAGGATTCTTTGAGTTATAAGTCATGGTTTTTTGTTTCCAAATCTCTGGACGAGGCAAAATTTAACAGGATAGTGAAAAAGAACAGCATGAGTACTTTTCGACTGGTTAGGGCACGCTGATGCATTAGATATGCATCCAGAATAAGTTCATTTCATCACGCTTGGTTTAGAGTTGACCTATTTTATTGATTTATTTTTTTGTTTGTTTGTTCGTTTTGTTTTTTCTCACTATAGATGATTGCAGTGAGACATTTCCGCTTACCACAATATATAATGTGATGATGTTAAAATTGATGTAACAACAAATCAGGCTGGAGTAATTGTTCTTCAAATGCAGCTTCGCCCAAGTCTTGAAAAGCATCATGTGCCTCAGTCCTCCATAAATCAGAGTTGAGGAACTGTTTTCAATGGTGTGCTCTTTTCTCCTTTTTCTAATGGAACTTCTGTGTGTTTGTGTAAATTGAGAGATGAACTGACTGGATTATGACGATGAGTTTTCAAACAAGCTTTGAAATAGTTTAAGTTTTACCATGAATCCAGAAATACTTTTTCTAAGACTTCGATTTAAAACATGAACTGATCACATACAAAGGGCAAAATATAATTGAGGCTTGAACTTCCTGCCTAACTGTAGTCCTGATGTGTCCTGACATGATGGGATAAGTGGATCAACTGGATAAGCTCCACATTAGAACAATGAGTGTAGCCAAGGTCTCTCCCTCACTCTCTTTCATTTGTCTTGGCAGGTTTCGAGTACTTTGAGGCGAGCGCTAAAGATAACATTAACGTGAAGCAGACCTTTGAGCGGTTGGTGGACATCATCTGCGAAAGGATGACGGAGAGTCTGGACGGCAGCGACCCGACCGTTGCCGGAGCCAAGCAGGGGCCACAGCTGACTGAGCAGCCTCAGAGGTCCAGTCAGGATTGTGCTTGCTAAACACAAACACGCTGTTTACTGTTCCGGTATCTAAACACACGTTTATGTTTTTCAGTCTGTCTGTCTGTCTGTCTGTCTGTCTGTCACATTTCTCATTTACAAATATGACACCCAAACACTGCCACACAGAGAAACACAACCTGGCTGCTCACATCCTCTACCTATCTCACTACATGAAAAGCTTTAAACTCTAAAAGTTCGGTGTTTTTTGAAGATATTATCGTAAAAGTTTTGTTGATCGCAGTAAGATGATCCAAGGTGTGATTAACATCCCAAGTTGTCCTTATTGGTGTACAAACTCCATACTGCATCAAAAGAGAATAATCAGAGGCCAGTCAATCCTCAGACTTAAGCATTCCTTAGTGACATTTCTGCAGGTTTTATTACGAAATGTGTTTTTAAGAAAACCAAGATATCAAAGTGATCTTTCATTCCTAGCTCTCGTTCAGAATTTAATGCCTGATATTGAATGGATTCACATCAGTTCAGGTTGTTTTAAAATAGTCTCATTGGAAATATACTGTATGTTTGTTGCTGTGGATAGAGGTCCTGTTTATTTTTCACTGTTTATGATATGGTTGCGTGTTGTTTTGAGGATGTGAAATGTCGGGTCATTCCTGAGTGTCGTGGTTGAGCCTCAGATAATCGATGGTCGAGGTCTAAAGGAGTCATTTAAACGTTTTATTTTGATTTAAGTTCTAAAGATATCATGCATATCAGTTTGCTAGACAAGTAGCTCCCCCTCCCAAAATTTGAAATGGCTTTCCACCTCATTTATTTATTTATTTATTTATTTTCTAATTGAATGGCAGTTTCAGTTGTTTCGTCAGTCTTTTATAAACTTTTATTTTTTTAAGACACATGAACACAAGAACAAGAAGAGTGTACAAATGTCTAAAAGATATGCATTTTGAGATGCATACATAGTATATACATATTAAATGAACATACATTAATGATACTGATTTAGAGTATGGGATTCTGGCCTGTGGTTTCGAGGGATGTGCATGTTGTTGTTTGGAAAAGGTCCTGGTTGACTGGATGGTCATTTGTATCAGCTATTGTCTCGGTTGAAAACCCACCTGTCCTACAGTCCCACCTATCAGAGGTGCCAGATGGAGCTGAAGGTTTCACATATGAAGCCTGTGTCCCCTTCTCGTTGTATCAGCTTTCATTCACCGCGAACAATGTGAAACATGCACTCACTAGAAAGGCATGTGTGAACCCATGTATATCATAGACCTGTTATCTCCCAATAGCCTCTTATGACATGGTAGAAAATATTTCATCTTCACGTTTCAGGAGGAACATGATGTGTTAAAGCATGTTAAATGTCAAATTGTGACTTTTATTTCTCTCTCCCTCTGATGCTAAGGATCTGTCTGCTCGTGTGTACAGTACCAAACCTCCTGTATGTCTTGCATTCACAGAACAGCTGAGGCATGCAAAATACCTTCAACACCTAAGTTAATTCAAAATATTGTATTTATTTTGTATTACTTGTAACTTTATTTATTTTTTGAGATTTCTTTCTTCCTCGGTGATGCATCGCGATCTGCGCTCTGCTTTTTAAAGAGCTGTTCGATAGTATTCAACTGCTTTCAAATGAAAACACATTTGTGTTTACAGTGAATAAAAATTGTAGATACTTCCTCAAGAGGAAAGTTAAACATTCCAGAGTAAGAGTCTCTTATCATGTCAATGCGGCTTTGGCGAGAGGTTTGTTTGTCTTTTGATATCAGTTGTGTAGCTTTTAAGACTTGATAGGACTGTTCTCACAGAGCAATAGCAGTTTTTTCCCCTCCACACCCTAAAATCAGCACCGTACAATCCTGCTGAAGGCTCTAAAATGAGTTCTCTGCTCGGGTGTGTGAATGTACACTTTGTATAAAAGGCTGTATTGATAATAATTCTTTCCAAAGAGATTTTGACAATACATTTGCAGCCAAAACAAAGGGGCATTCTTGTTGTTGTCTGCGTTTGCTAGCCTTGCACTGAAGAATCTGTCTGGTAGAGTTTTCCCGCTCTGTGCAAAAGCCTCAAAAAGGGAAAAAAAAAATTAGAAACTAATCTGGATAGTTTGGATGCTTCATTGAAATAGTGACTCTTACTGCATTGGTTCACTTTTGACTTGTTGAACTTTTTTGTTACTTTATTTATTTATTGTGTTTTGCTACAGCTGTAAACTTTTCTGTGTCGTAGGAACACATATTGATCATGTTCAACCCTACTCTTCTTCCTCGGCCCTCCCTGTCAGGAACAACAATTGTAAATAGAAAATTTTTCTTCCCTGTCAGGTATTTAGTTGTGTGAATTGTGCTGTACTTCTGTAATGCCAGATTTGCTAAAACAAGAAATAAATAAACAAATTATTGAAGCTGGAATTTTGTGTTGTTTCAATATTTCTTTCCGAAGAAGCCAAGTGATTTACAAGAAGCGCTCATGTGATCTTTGAGAAATGTTTGCAGAGTTTTTGTGCCCAGCAGAGGGCATTATACTGCAATAATGTCTTGTTTTCTTCCCTTTACAGCTGTTTGACCATCTATGGTTTGGTTCAGCTTCTCTTCTGCACTTAACACAACACCCACAGCTGCTAAAGAGAAGATAAATGTAAAGGTATGACTCCAGTTATTCTCACAAATGTTCCCTCTTACACTGTTTGAGCAGGCTGTAAAAAAACAAATGCCAGGTTTAGTAATGTAGTGAATTTAATAAATGTCAGGTAGAGACTTTAAGGTCCATTACACATGGATACATAGGGTTTCTCGGCACATACACATACATTCATGGAAGTGGCGACTACACAGAGGCCAACATAATGAGAAATACACAGTTACTGTACACGAAAGCGACGAGACATGCAGCATTCAATTTGGCAGAACAAATACAAGAAGTAAGACCATAAGTAAAATCCGAAATGTTTCAGTAAATAAAATATATATTTGTCTTAGCTAAGTGCTTGTAAACAAGTAAGGCATTATAATACACGTTGGATGACAGCACTTGGTGACACCCTGGTGTTTGGTTGCACTCTTGGTTGAGATTGTCCAGCTTACGCACACACTGATAAAGGCTATCCTTCACAAAGTGTCCAATGGATAGCTATTTGCTACATGGCTTCCCAAATAAAAAAAACAAACAATAAAGGGCAACAAAATGAGTCTCTTTGCTGCAAAACACTGCCACATTTTCATGAATGATCAGAGGCTGCTCCTTTTACCTGCAGCGAAATTTCCAGTACACTTTGGCCTGTCCTGTATAAAGGAGATGTCTGTTTTCTTTCTTAGTTACAGACTTTATCTGCACGGTGCATTTACAGTGACCTCATATCAAGTCTGTGATAAGGATTAGAGGTTACAAATGTTCCTTAAAGCACAGGCCTGCAGCCTCAGAGCATATTTAGAGCTGTAAAAACATCCAGTACTGGGGTCTTAGTAAGCTTGGACCTGGTTTGGTAAAAGCTGGCACCCACTGCTGACATGGTTCATCACCTTCTGCTTCAGCTGGGCCACTTGTTCCCTGAGGACGCTGGCCGTAGACGCCAGCTCGGTGTTCTGCGTTTTCAGACTCTTGACCTTGTCCTCCAGCCGAGAGATCCGCTCCAGTTTTCTTTTGCGGCATTTGGAGGCAGCTATCCTGTTCCTCAGTTTTTTCCTCTCCGCCTTGATGCGCTCTTGATTGTCCATATCGATGGGAGACAGAGGGGGGCTGTCCCCGAAGCTCTGCATGTCGGGTACGGTCTGCGGCTCGTCCTTCACCGCGCCGGCAGCCTGGAGTCGTGACAGCGCAGCCGCAGCCTGTTGCTGCGCGCCGGCTAGATGAGACGGAGGCGGTGGGAAAGGGATGGTGTCCGTGGCGTAGTTGATGGTAGTGGCTCCGAGAGGGCTGGCAGCATACCCGTTTAACGTAGTGTACACGGGGAGTTCTGATGTCTGGAGTCCAGAGGACCCGACAGTGTTGGTTGAGCCGAGTAGCTCCAGTCTGTCCACGGAGACGCACCCCGCCTCACTCAACTGGTTCTGCTTGTGAAGATCCTCCAACGCCTTCACGAAACCTTCCGCGAACTCCTGCTCGTCACTCGCCGACTTCGGGTACAGGAACTGGGAAGTCGGGTTGGCACCGGAGGAGGAGACCAGACCGTTCGACTGGATAATAAGGCGCTCCAGATCCGGGGTGGTTAGTTTCAAGAGTCCTAAGTCCGGGGAGTTCAGAAGTCCGTCTGTGTCTCGGAGCGGGTTCGATTTGAGCTCGGGGTTTTGGCTGTCCAGGTTCAGGTTGATGTCCTTCTTCATCATCGTGCCCTGGGTGTAGATGCTGGGGACCCTCGGATTGTTGACCACGGTGCTTGGGTAGAGGCTTGTTTCCATTCTACACCCTCACATGAGGGAGTCTTGAGCGTAACACATTGAAGATTATCGAGCAGTAACATCCAAACATGAGGAAATCAGTTGATCTCTATTCCTTTATGATCCCGTTTCCTTTTCTCTTTAGTTGTCTTTCTCAGGCGACCACTTGAGCTGTACTGCCTGAGGGTCTCTGATGTGTCTCTCCTGTGCGCGGATGAGATTGTCTTTTCCCGATGGCACGACTGCTATGCGCAGCGCCAGACCTCGCTTGCTTTCTAGCCCTAAAAATTCCATTATGTCACTCCAGAGCGCGGAGATTGGCCCAAAATGACGTTGGTTTCCGGTTCAATTTGAATAAGGGGCCGAGCCGGTCTTTATTGCCATGGAGACTCTAGGTAAACTACAAACAGTGCAATGCATTGTGGTTTGATGTCATAGCATAAAAAAGCTCAGGGTCGCCAACAGAGAGCAGAGACTGGGCGGGGAAGGTGTGAGAGGCGAGGGCCAAGGAAAGGAGGAACAGAGGAACAGGCTTTACAGAAAACACTCCTTTAACTCAGGCTGAAGTGTTTTGAAAAGACTTAGAGACAATTATAGACTACATTAAGGCAATTTGATTGTGATTCTTTGTCAACACATAGATCATTGTAATCTTGTTTTATGTGAAATAAGACTTTATCGCACGCTGGCACTTCTTAAAAAGGGATGACTTAGAATATCAAAGAACAAAATGAACACAAAAAACTCCTGACGGGCTTTAAATTGAAGATAATTTAAAATGTAATACTCAAACCTAGACTTTATACTTTGAACATTTATGGAAGGATCCGGAGCTATTGCAAAACTGGAAATGAAGTGTTTCAAGTTCTCAAAGAGTTCTGAAAGTGTTTCTGAGGAAATTGAGTGTAAACTAGAAAAGGGAAGGAAACAGTGACAGTAGAAGACTAGATATATGAGGAAACCATGTGCTTTTTCTGTGATTGAAAGAAGCGTGTGGAAAGGTTAACCTAATGAAATGTCTGCTGTTGAAAAACAAACACGCAGTGCCTGTATGATTTGAGCCTTCACAGTGATCCACTTCAGACCAAGAACACTCAGGGGAAAGTTTAAAACAACAGTCCATTTGTCTGGTTGAATAAAATGTCCAGAATGTAAAGCAAGGAGTATCTGAATAGACCACAGCAGAAACAAATAAATAAATAACACTTAAGAGTGGAAAATGGTGGGAAAAAGCACTACAGAGTGGGACAGAACACTATGTAACAGACCATGTGATATAGACAGTGTAAGGAACATTATAGAAAAAAAATACTGTAGAACAGAACGAAATAGAATACAAAGATTAAGTAAATAACACATTATAGAATAGAACTCTTGAATGTAATAAAATTTCAGGAAGAGGACAATCTAGTGTAGAGTCCAATAGACTAGAACACTATAGACCAGAACACTTAAAAAAGAAGAATTATAGAATCGTACACTATAGAATATAATATTTTGCTAAAGAATAGAAAAGAACATTATCAAAAACATTAAAATATGATACAGTAGAATATGATAGAACACAGTCTAAATTAAAAATGCTGAATAAAAACACCATAGAATGTGATATAACACTATGGAAAAATAACAGTATAGAATGAAAGAGACCACTACAAAAAAAGACCAATAGAATAAGAAAAGATATGAATGGGATAGATCCCTACAGGAAAAAAAAACACAATAGAAAAAAACTCAAACAATAGAATGTATAAGCAAAGAGCCCTAAAGAAAAAACACTATAGAGAAGAATAAAAAAAACATAGAGTGGAATGAATATTAAAGAATAGAAAATGCATTTGATAATGAAAAAGAACAGATGAAAAAAGCAAACATAGAACAGAATAGAAAGTGTAACAAAAAATGAGAAATACAGTTGACATCCAGGATATTCCTGTATATAGCCACAGAGTGTGGCCCTGTATTATAAGCTTCAGTACGATATTGTTATTCCGCCTATTCACAGCAAGGACGTCAGCAGACTGTCTACATCAGCACCACACAGAGGAGAGGGCATCATTAGTTTCCATGGCAACACTGACATAGTGAGTGACGTAGGCAAGACAGAGCGAGAGAGGGAAAGGTGAATGGGTTGAGGGAGGAGAAAGAGCTGTTAGCAACTGCAGTGCAGGTTGTGTAGGTGGTCTGAGGAGGTGTTACAGTGTGTGTGTGTGTGGAGGCAGAATCCAGTGTGATTTCTGTCACTTTGGAGGCACTACCTTTTCTTCTTCTTCTTTTTTTTTCTTTTTTTCTTTTTTTCTTTACAAATCTCCACCCTATGAGGAGCATATGATCTTCAGTGTTCAAGTTTGAAGCCACACAGGGTGCAGTGTCCAGAATGTGTGAGTCATTTTTCAACCCGAGGGTGTGGATGGCAGAGAGAGCACCGAGGATAAAAAAGAAAAAAAAAGGCCCATCCCTCTAAAACGATATTAGATTAGCTTTGCCTGCATGTAAACAAACTCTTAAAAGGTTTGCGCTGTAAACTCAGGTCATGAAGCGTGTCAGAGGTTGTGTAAGATTTCATTTGCTGAGAAGTGTCCTTTGACTTGAACCCTCCTGGGAGAAACTAACAGGGCACACATGTTTTAGCTACGCCCTTCGTCACACACATGCTGTTACAGTGCACACATTCACACCTGGGAGCTGCCCTGTTAAACCACTGGCTGGAGGCATAACGTTCAATTATAGTCAAACTCGGTTTTGATGGGTGTAGGAAGAGTTCATACGATTTTCTTTACCAACCTCTAATCTGTGAATGCAGAACAGATGTTTGGTTTCAGTTTCACACATTGTTCCAGTTACATCCTGCTGCATTTAAACATTTGGATTAAATGATCAGTTTCACTCTCCCCCAAGACTTGTCTGAGGGGGATACAGATCCACAAGTCTGCTTTTCTTCTTTGTTTTTCCCTCTCTTCTTTGCATTTAATCTGTAAGTGTTGAACACAGTTGTGTGAATGATGCATGCCCAGACAGTAGATGGCAGTATGATCTATTTGGATGTGTTGCTTCACTGCCTTTCAGCTCTGCCTCAGAGTAAGAAAGAGCACTAGCGCAGACAATCCTGGGCTTCCTATTTGGGATATTTGAATCCCTCTTTTTAAATCTATGACAGTTCCTGCTGTAACAGCAGAGGAGAATGGCCAGTAAGAAGAAAGTAATAGTAACAGGTGAGATGATTTCATTGGCTGGAGGATGAACAGAGTGTGTCTTATATTTCCTCTATGTTGTCACTACAGTGATGTGAAAGCTCAGAGTTTTCTAGTTGCATCCATGTTGCACATATGTTCTGGTTAAAGCTATTTAATGGTTGTATCTGTGTTGTAAGTATGTAATGTGAATGGATAAATGTTGCTGAATTTTGTCTGCTGGCTTAGACACCAGATTTTATTTTGTAGAACAAGAACTGAGTGTCTGTGCCGAGGATCATGTGCTTCTATCACCTTTAATGTTTAACTTGATGCAACCTTTAGACCCTGAATTAAGAGTCTTTTTAACATTCAGTCTTATCACTGCGCTCCATGACAGATAAGTATCCTGACTGAGTCCTTTGTGTAAATTTCACCTCTGTGTACTGTTGCTGCAGTGAGGAATCCTCATTGATTTTTTTGTCCTTTTCTTCTCTGCAGGCTTTGAGCCCTTTGGTGAGCATGCAGTGAACTCCAGCTGGGTGGCAGTGCAGGTAATCAGGTCGTCCATGATTAATAATTGCTAGGCACCTTTTTTTTCTGTTTTCAAGGTTTTAAAAATCTAATTTAACATCATGTGTTGTTTACTTTCATATCAAGTGTTTTATGTGCTTGTGCAGTCTTTATTACATGTTTGTGTAGCACTTTCAGGCTCTAAATCAGGCCTGTGTACATATATATGTATATATGTTTGTGCTCACAGGAACTGGAAAAATTAGGACTGGGTGAAGCAGTCGATCTTTATGTGTGTGAAGTCCCTGTTGAATACCAGGCTGTTCAGAGGCTTCTGCCATCTTTGTGGGAAGAACACCAGCCACAGGTATTAAAGAAAAAAAAAAAATCTGAATCAGAGGTTTAGGAAATATTGCTTTACATGAGTATTGTGATATTTACAAAAAATAGGTTTTCAGTTTGTAATAAGAAGTTGATTTATATTTATATATATAAGTATATTAGAAAATTGTTTATTCAGACTGAGAAAAAAAGTGTGATAAGACAGGAAGTTGCACTGATAAATACAAATGCAGATTTAACTGTTCTGATTGCATGAAAATTATGTTGACACATTTCTGATACTGGATTTTATATATTGTAATATTCAGAATTTAAACACCTGTATCAGTGTAATTATTTTTTGACCATATCTTTACTAGTGCAAAGCCCTTGCGGTTTATTTGCACGATATTATACATAGAATATACTTGATGTCTATTATTTCATCCCAAATGACCTCAACCTCTTCAATAATTTGGGGTCCTGGGAGCAGCTGGTGGTTCATGTGGGTGTTTCAAGCTACGCCACCACTGTCACACTAGAGCAGTGTGGACACAACAAAGGCTACAAACGGAAGGACAACTGCAGCTTCTGCCCCGCTTCACGGTGCTGCATGGAGGATGGCCCTGACTGCATACACTCAGCCCTTGACATGGAGACAATCTGCAAGAGGGTCAATGACTCAGGCGTCGGGGTCACTTTCTCCGTGTCTGAAGATGCTGGAAGGTGAGAAAAGTTACAGAAACACTTGCACAGACTATCTTTATGTCTGACATTTTCACAGATGATTTATTTTGAGTCAGTTGTTAGTCATTGTTAGAAAATAGCAAATCAGAGTGTCTGCTGTAATGCCGAAAACTGTGGTTGAAATCGTGTAACCCAGTAAGACGCGACAGAAGGACCAGCAAAAAATATTTTAAACTGAATAATATGGAAAAAGTCTTGAGAAGTTGTTGTTAGAAACCAAACAAATAAATCAATTGTTATTTATATAATGCCAATTCATAGGAAGTGTTCTCCTGGTCTAGACAAATTTACAAAAAGCCGATGTAAAGACAGGATAAGATTGAACCCCATCTTGTAAGATCAGACCCTTTCCCCATTTTCAACCACAGGAGTGTAGCACTTTGTAGCTTTTAGCAAGTTTCAGTGGGGAGGGAAAACTCCTTTTTAATAGGCAGAAACCTCAAGCAGAACTAGACTCATGTTAGACAGTCATCTGCTGCTACTTGATTGGGTTTATAGAGGGGAGATGCAGAAAGAGAGATGGACAGAGTTGAGACTGAGGGATATAGTTGAAGCAGCCAGAAAGCAGGCAGTCCCATGGCAACAAAATGTCTGCAGCAGCGATCCAGAGGAGGCTACAGCATAATGGAGCACAGGGACTCCCAGAAAAGACCGTGTAGTGGTGATTCTAATGAGACATGATGATTCAAGAGTTCAAGAAATCACATAATCAGTGTTGTGGTTATTGTTACTTGACTTTTTTTTATTCCATACATGAGACAAACTTTTTTTGGATGATCATCTGCAATCAGGCCTCTAAATCTGGTTTTGATTCTTTTTCTGCATAAACAACAGGATCATTGCAGAGAATGGTCTGGAATGAACAGAACACATACCTGTCTACATATTTGATCAAATATGAAATGAGTGTTTTGATAAAGCTTTTTAGTGTGTTTCACACCTTTAAAAACACATGAACATACTCCACTCAAAAAGAAACTCCTTTACATCATAATGAATGATAAACTTAAAACTCAGATGAATCAATGAAGTGTTGTAAACCTGCTATTGTTTTTTACCTTTGTAGTCTTTATAGTAATTTATAAAAGCAATTATTTAATGTGATACAAAAACTTCTTAATTCTAACATCCATCCTTTTTCTGGCTGGTAGGTATCTATGTGGCTACACCTATTACACCTCCCTGCACCTGGGCCAGGGTCGCTCTGCCTTCATCCATGTACCTCCGTTAGAAAAACCTTACAGCAGTCAGGAACTGGGCAGAGCACTTCAGGCCGTCATACAGGAGATGCTGAAACTCCTGGATGAAGATCACAATCAGGACTAGCAGTGCAATCACACACATCAACAGTAACAGGACCACTAATCACTGACTCACTGCCTGGGCGTACATTGGTGCTTTAACTGTATGACAGTGCCGAAATGAAGCCATGTGCTGTAAGTCAACACTGTTGAGAATCTTAAAAGGGTTGTGTTGAAAACAGCACCCTAAATACAGCATCTCTCTCTACTGTAGAAAATGTGAAAGTCTTAGCATGTGTGGGTTTTAATGTGTGCACAGGAGTGGTGGGCATCTCTGAGTATTAATCATATGGCTCTCATTTCTGGTCTTCCATATAATGGACATATAAATGGTATACTGTGAGTAAGTGCATTTATATGACTATAATAACATTGAATTACTTGTACTAACTGAAGCCAATGAAACTACAAGAGTTACAAGATGACACACTGTGGGACCTATTCTTGTGATATTTACTGGTGTTACACTAACCTTCTCTGCTTTGGATAACACCTGTAATCCTCTCAGTGTGATTTGATTGTTGTTTTGGGATAATCTTTGTTTTTGTTTATCCAATCTGCACTGAAGAAAAGTAATGACTGTGAAATGATGGTATCCTGAAGAAGTTAAAGATTTAAACATTAATGTGATTTTGATCATCTCAGGGAATATAATTGCACATAAAATCAATATTAAAGCTCATGTGAGACATTTAATGTGACCAGTTAAAGCTGTTCGACAAACAGACTTCAATTAATATTTTTCTAACTGACCTACAAAAGCAAACAAAACCTTAAGGAATTGGATTGACTTTTCTTAAGTTATTTCTAATGCCTAAAACTAGACAAAATGGTTAAGGACACGCTGCGAACAATCATGTGATATCTGTCGAAAAACACCACTTACCAATGTGCAAGACAAAATTATCAATTTTGTTAGAGGTGCCACTTTGTCCAAGGGGGACCAGAAACCACACAAACCAAAAGTCCCTCACAGGAGCTTTAATAACTGTGATTAATTTAACGTGTCTGTCCAAGTGTGTGTTTCAGCTTTACCAAGTTGTGAAAATTAAAAACAAACAAACCATAGGTTTTTTGTATTTTTTCCCCTTGTCTTCACCTTTGTGTACTGAGGCATTTGCACATTGCAGAAACATTGCTGCACATTATGGATTTTTAATTGTGTTCCTTTAGTCACATCTATGACAAGCTCATAATCCAACGTGAACACTGCGACATCTATGCCTGGCTTATAACATGAGCCATGTGAAATTATAATAATGATGATTTATTAATGATTTACACCCAGAAAGTTGCAAAATAATTGCATCTTTTTTATGATAGTAACGCTAATGTCATTTAAAGCGTACTTTCATCTATAACAAAGACTTCAGTGTGTCTTAGTGGGCACGTTACATCATCACACACTTGGTTCTCCTTGTGTCTTTCATTTGTGTCCCATGATTGTATAAAGTAAATGAAGTAGCTTCAAAGGTACAGGAGGAGAGCATCTGTTTGTTGAAAAGTTAATTTTGTGAAAAGAACCACTCTTAATAGATTCTTGTGTAGAACAATGTAATATCTAAATAGAGAGATAAATCTGAACTTTTGAAACAATCTCATGCTGCCAATCTGAAAAGCATAAAACATTGATTACCATAAGATACGCTTGGTCTTCTCATTTCCTTCCTAATAGAATCCATGTCCTGTATTATTTCACACACGTTTTCTTGATCGAAAGAGATCATAGACAAAGATCATGATATGAAACTGCAATTGTCATATCATGACAGTGAATACACTTTGTACATCTGGCTCCTCTAGACTCTGTATAAGAACACTATATGAGTAGAGCAGAGTAGACTGTGAGGACATTGCATAAGGGCTCTGGAAAACAGCTTTAAGAGTGCATATATCCTCATATCTGTGCCAAACACAGACTTATACAATGCAGCATTATTCATCCCCCACATCTTATAAAGGCCTGACTTTTTCAGATTTGAGGGGGTATAGAGCAGATCTGTAACAGATGTTGTCTGGCTTCAGCTACACATGCACATATGCTTTAGTCCTGTGCTGTTCAAATCTGAGATTTGTGAGATACTGTCAAGATCATTATGAGAACTGATCAAACCACATGCTGTTTATGATGCAGTATTTGGGGTTGCTGAATCAACTGATTCTTCACTTCCTTGCTCTTAAATTTTCAAAAACATCCAAACTAATTCATAACTTGTACGCCCAGTTGCATAATTATTTCGACCGTTTTTATGCCTCACAGTTCTTTGTTATATCTGTGTGTGTGTTTTAGGAGCTGTATTTGTGACTGTGTCTTTTTCTTGTTTTTAACTACATAAAAAAGTGAAATTAACAGATTTTTCATTAAAATGCATCACATAAAACTGCATTTGGATTTACAACTATGCCCTCCAGGCAGTAGTAAAAGAAAAGAACGGTATTTGACTTTTTGTTTCATGGAGACACACCCATGGATTGTCAAACACTCTTTTTAGGCAGCTTCTATCCTGCCAAAGTATTTAATGATGTGTGATCACAGAGTAATTTAGATGGTGAACATTGTGTACTTAAACAAACAGTTCGATCATAGTGCCACTCTGTTTCTTAACTCGAGCCTGATATCAGCTGTTTGAGTTTCTAAACAAGTATGACACCCTTTTATTAATGTTGAGGCCTGACAGTTTTATTAAGACTCCTAGATCTTTAGTTGGTGGTCCTCCCTGAGAAGCTGATCATTATGTGCAGTTATAACCTGCATGTAACCTGCTCTGAAACTCTTCACTGAAGTTTTGTTGAACTCTCTTCTAGATGATTAACTTTGACATTCCTTCAGTGCAGGGTGAGTTACATTAACTGTGTGTAATAAATACATCACGGTTCAATAGACCTGCTGAACTTGTTCTGACCTGACAGATCTGTGAGGGATGGTGTGATCAGATCACAATGTTGCAGATTATTAGTGTATTAGTGTGAGTATTAATGCTGCTTTGACACTGAGGATAAACAGCTGTTGAAGTACAAATGTGGTTACAACTACTTCTATACACATTGAGCATAGAAGTGAAAAACATTTTATTTCCTTACTCAAATGTGTATGAGGGATGATATCTTATTTTTGCACTTTGAAACAAACCTGAACTAGAGCAAAAAGTCAGTTAAGAACAACAACAGAACAGACGAGCGTTTAGAGAGTAAAAGTGTCCTTGTCTCAGAAACACATCTGAATAGGCGAACACCTTTCCCAAGAGAAAGGTTTCAGGTGACTTTTGAAGGATTCAGCAGTCTGTGGGGCCCTCAGGTGTTCAGGAGGAGCATTCCACAAAGGGAAGGGAGGAGGAGCAGAAGGCCTGATCCCCCGATGAGCAGAGCTTAGTCTCAGAGTTATGGAGATGGTTGAAGTTTCTCAATCTGAGGTTTCTTGTGGTGGTTTGGGGGGTTAACAGTCCTTTAAGGCATTGATAAGCTAGTGTGGAGACTTTGAGTGTAATTCTATCATACCTTCACTCATGGCCTTATGAGTGAAGGATGGGTAATGTATTTGTGTTCATGCGCTCTCATCAGGATCCTGGCAGCACTAGGGGAGACTGCAGGAACAAGGATTTAGGAGCCTCAGGCTGTCCAAACAATTAGCTAACTGTGAGCATAATAAGACTTGGAATCTAAGAATTAAAATGCTTCTTTACTTCACTGACTGATTTTAACTAGCGGCCAAGTTATTAAATGGATCTCAAAATTTGTCAGAGTTATGTGGTGAGAAGTTTTCTTGCCTGATGAAAACAGACATTTTATTAACGATAAGATTTAAAACAAAGAGCTAACCGGGGCCATGGTAAGCAGCATGTGTTTTCTTTCAACAGTGTGATCCTGCATCAAACAGAGGCTTTACAAGGTGGCTGCTGATGTAGTTTACCTCAATTTATTCTTCTTTTTCACGATGACAAATACGTGCTGTTTTACAAAATGATGGTACATACATTAAAGGCAGCATTAGATTAAGTGGGCCTATAAGCATTTCCAGCAAACATAGATTCAGAAGCCAACAGGTGAAGCTTTGTCCATGTTTTCAACAGTCTACATCCTACAAATAATTTTCAACTTTACATGATAATTTTAGGGCAAATGAAAGGATGGAAGATGACAGTCCCTTTGGAATTGACCTTGTTACATAATACTGTGAGTTTTCACTGAGGACCTCCATTACAGTATAAGAAAAAAATGCCTTGCTTCAAATTCTGTTCATATATGTTTCCTTGTCTCCTTACCTTCTCACGCTCCAAACAGGTGACTTCCTGTAGGAGACAAGTGGTAGTGAGGGAGGAGAGGAAGCGAGCTCGGGTTGGGAAAAAAAAACGGGACGTAGCCATCGTCGAGGATCTTTCTACCTCACTCCCACCACCAGTGTTTGTCATTTTGTCATCAACACACCGACACCGTTATTCTTTTTTTTTTCTTCAGGGAGAGCAACAGTTTGGGGGAAATACTTCGGCGAGGGTATAAAACGCTGTAAAGAGGATAAAAAACATGAGTGTGGAGGCGTACGGGCCGAGCTCACAGACTCTAACGTTCCTCGACACGGAGGAGACCGAGCTGCTGGGAGCGGACACCCAGGGCTCCGAGTACGACTTCACCGACTTTACCCTGCCGAGCCAGACCCAGACCCAAGGCCAAACCCAGAGCCAGCTGGACAGTCAGGTGCGTGTGTGTTTAACAGACAGATCTGTGATACTGTGTAAAACACTCGTCTTCTGCGGTGTTGACATTAGATATATGAGCTCTCTGACGTTAGCTAACAACACCAGTGGCTACCTCCGGTTAGCATGATGACGTCTTCCAACAGTTACCATGCTCTTATCGAGCTAATTGCCTAGCATGCTTGCTAACTAGCTCCCACTGTTAGCCTGCTGACAGCTCAGTCAGCCTGCTGACACAGCCAGCATGTCAATGCTGGACTTTATTGGCATACAAAGCAAGAATGAAAAGGGATTTGTTAGTGTAACTGACCAACGGCCAAGGCCTCTATTTATAGCTTTTAGCGCGTATATGTACTCACAACAACCACGGTGTGTAGAGGATACAGTAAGTTAGACACAGTCGGTGTGATATATCTGTCAACAAACCCATTATTGATGTAAAAGCCTGTGAGAAACAGTCCTGGTGAAATCCACTGACCAGGCACAACATTATGAACACCTGGTAGATGTAATGAAGCCAATACCACATAAATTCTGCTTTTAGGAAGCTTTATTAGTCATCAATCACTTTCTGTTGATATTATCAGACAGGTGACTTTTGTACTTTGTATTTACAGTAGAAGATGTAGTGGGTGTTAGTGTACTGGGGTGTGTTATACTGAAATGTGTTCCTTATATTTTGTCCACTTTATTAACAAATATGAGTGGAGCAAATGATCAGGAAAACCTTTCTATATAGTGCACCCCAATCAAACCAAAAATGTAGAGCTTTTCTAATGGGTTACCCAGGTGTTCATAATGTTAATTCCTCATGTGTATAGTGACATGCAATACTTAATCTGGTCCTGTGTTCAGTTAGTTCACGTCAGATTGACTCTTTGCATCCCTCAGTGTAACACATGTTATTGTGAAGTTGTAGTTTGTAAATATGATTGTTAACACCTTTCCTCTCAGGTGAATGGTCCCGATGGCCTGCTGCAGAATGGAGACGACCCTGTGGTTAAAGCCAGTCAGCTGCTGGCTGAGTTAAACTTTGAGGAAGACGAAGAGGACACCTACTACACCAAGGATCTACCCATCCATGCCTGCAGGTAAATGTCCAGACTGAAGATGAACATGTCATTGACAGAGGGTGATTGCTGATGTATTCTTAAAAGCTAGTATTTATTTGTAAATTTAAGTAAGCTAAAAACTCACATGCGTTGTAGCACTTTTAAAAGCTGTGAGTAAATTTTATTTTGAAAAAAAAAGATAAATGACTTTTGTTCACATTCTGTTACTGCAAAATTTTTATCATTTATGTTTTAGTGATGTAAACAGAGAAGCATACATTCACACTACCTGGAATCTTGAAATGTTAAATGAGTATGTTTGAGATCAACACTTTTAATAGTATTGCTCTTTATTTCTATTTAAATTTTCACTCATTTTTTTTTAGTTACTGTGGGATTCATGATCCAGCCTGTGTGGTTTACTGCAACACCAGCAAGAAGTGGTTTTGTAATGGCCGTGGAAACACATCCGGCAGGTAAAATGCACTGACTTATCTGCTCTTTTATTGACCCTCCTTTTTAATGTAGTGCGCTAAATGAACTGGGAGAAAATCATTGAACCGGTTCAATATTACAATAGCAGAAGCACAGTGCACGGCAGCTGCAGTAATGATCGTTTGTTCCGCTCAGCAGCCTCTCTCATAAGTGGACAGTGTTTGGTTATGGAGTTAGAATCATAATAAAGAGTTATGCTCATTGACTTTTAAGGGCCACTTATACCAAAATTAAGTTATCAAGTACTGTTATAAGAAGAAGGAAAACTGTTTTAATCTTTGATGAAGCCTGATGTAGTTTTAATGAATAAATATGAAACTAAGATTCGACCTTAAAAATTGAAACGAAAAACATTAAAATACTGACTGGGTGTCCTTCTGTGTGTTAAGTTTATACCGTTTCATAACATTAGGATATTTTGTTTATCAGGAACTTTATGTGCAGTTCTTTATATTTAAACAGCTATTTGACAAACTTTGTTAGAACTTAATATCTTTATTGCCAAATTTAGCCTGATCTTACGCTCTGTAATTAAACTTGTCTGTAGATACCTTTAAGAAAAAATACTAAAGTCTTATTTTAAGAAACTGCATCAGTTTTTGTATTTCTCAGAGCACACAATATACATTCTTCTGAATTCTTCAGCCTTTATGTTTGCGTCTGAATCACATCTCCCTGGTGCTTTAAATGTCATTCTCTTCACCTTCAGCCACATTGTGAACCACCTGGTAAGAGCAAAGTCCAAGGAGGTGACCCTGCATAAAGATGGCCCTCTGGGGGAAACAGTCCTTGAGTGCTACAACTGCGGCTGTCGAAACGTCTTCCTCCTGGGCTTCATCCCTGCTAAAGCTGATTCAGTAGTCGTGTTACTGTGCAGGTAAGAACATTTTGATGCCGTCTGATCTTTTTGCAGAGAGAGGCAAATCATTGGGAATACTGAATCTGACTGTTATCTTTGGCTGCATTTGTGTTGGGTTGTAACACAGGCAGCCATGTGCCAGCCAGAGCAGCTTGAAGGACATCAACTGGGACAGCTCACAGTGGCAGCCACTTATCCAGGACCGCTGCTTCCTGTCCTGGCTCGTCAAAATCCCGTCAGAGCAGGAACAGCTCCGTGCTCGTCAGATCACCGCCCAGCAGATCAACAAGCTGGAGGAGCTCTGGAAGGTTCTGTCAATGCATTTTTTAATGCACACACCCATCATTGTACTGTGCAAATATTAAAAAAACTCACATAACTTGAATTGAAGCAAGGTAGGGCTTATCTATAAAAGCAACCAATTATATTTATATAGTTGATAAACAACTTTGGTGCGTCTGCTGAGCCTCTTTGTTTGTTCAGTATTGGTTTCACTTCTTGATTCAGGCCTGAGTTTCTGTCTGTTGTAGTTTCCTGTTGTATACAAGCTCACATTTTACCCTGCAGTTATTTTGTCCATCTGTCATTTTGCTCTGATAAATATAGCAGATATTCACAATGGAGGAACAGGTATTATGTGTTGCAATAATGATAGTAAGCTGTAACATGGTGACTGTGCGCTAACATAGACAAAACCAGGATCCTGAAACCAAAGCAGGATTCATTAACAGTCCTGTATTTTCATTTAAACCTTTGACACGCTGCTTTTACTTGAGTGAAGAAGGCTCGAATGTCTGAGTGTCACCAGATAACATATTTGACCGTATAAATGATTACTAGCAGCTCTTAACTGATCTTTACTTTGCTTTTCTGTCCACATCCTGTGTATGTTTTTTCTTTCTCGTAGGAAAATCCTACTGCCACCCTGGAGGACCTGGAAAAGCCCGGTGTGGACGAGGAACCCCAACATGTACTGCTACGCTATGAAGATGCCTACCAGTACCAGAACATCTTTGGCCCTCTGGTGAAGCTGGAGGCAGACTATGACAAGAAACTCAAAGAGTCTCAGGTAAAGAAAAAAATCAGAAAACGGAGTGAAAAAGAAGTCATACTCCAATAATTAAGACTGCCAAAGTGTCCAATGAGTAATTTGATTTTAATTTAAGAACTTTTTAATAAAGAAAGATGACTTTGATTTGAATCTGGAAGTTCACCTCACCAAAAAGAAAAAAAAATGACTATCAAACATGAATTTTGTTGAACTATTTGAAAGTGAAGTTGTGAATTAAATATGTGTAGTGTATATAGATTTTTTGTAAGTGTTTTTTCTTTAAGTATATTAATATTACTCTCTAACAGACTCAAGACAACATCACAGTCAGATGGGACCTGGGCCTGAATAAAAAGAGAATCGCTTATTTCACCCTTCCTAAGACAGACTCAGGTATTTCTTCTCAGTTTGTTATTGTTATCATGTTTCGTCAAGGAGTGATATTTCTACGTTATCCTGGTATGAACAGACTTGTTTTTCTATTTTCCTCCAGACATGCGACTGATGCAGGGAGACGAAATTTGTTTGAGGTACAAAGGAGACCTGGCCCCTCCATGGAAAGGCATCGGGCATGTCATCAAAGTTCCTGATAGTATCCTTAATACTGTGCTGTCGAGAGGCTGTACTTATCAGGAGACTGTGTTTGACCTCTGTTTTTTCTACCAGATCAAGCTTCATGTAGATATGCTGTCAGTAAAATTAATCTTTAGTAGCCTCTAGTGGCAGTTTTTAGAAACTACAACAACATCTGCAAAAACATGTTCAATATTAAGAATGACTGTTACAGATTTTCAGCAATAAGACTATGAGCTGGAAATAAAATAAAAAAATAACTCTGACTCATTGTAAACTCTTCTATATGGTACTGTATGTGGTCAAATTATTCTCCTTGACTTTCTGCACCAGACTATGGTGATGAGATCGCCATAGAGCTGAGGAGCAGTGCTGGGGCTCCAGTGGAGATCCCTCACAACTTTCAGGTCGACTTTGTTTGGAAATCCACTTCCTTTGACAGGTGATCATAAGAAAAAGGCACACACTATTTTAGCTTATTTTTGTGTAAGTACAATCAGCCCATCTTCAATTTTGACGCTTCCCTTGTGTTAGGCTTGTGGAAAAAAAACTTTACTTAATACAAGTAAACTAACACATCAGTGTTTTTGGTGAAGCTTCTCATCAGAGGAATCGTTTTTATCAAAGGTTGTCCACTAATTGTTTTGCCTTTTGTAGATCAGGTCTAAAACGTTCAGTTAATATTCCCGTCGTTGTTGTTCAGAATGCAGAGTGCCCTGAAGACATTTGCTGTGGATGAGACTTCAGTGTCTGGTTACATCTACCACAAACTGCTGGGACACGAGGTCGAGGACGTGGTCATCAAGTGTCAGCTGCCCAAACGCTTCACTGCTCAGGGCCTGCCTGACCTTAACCACTCCCAGGTGAGTTACAAACTGTGACGTGGAAGAGAAACAGCTGTAGATATCACACCCTTATTCAGATATCAGGTAACATGTCTGATCATACACAGTTTTGAGAGTTTATTCTCATCACAGAGACAACTTTCCACTTGTGGCTTTTAGGTCCAGTGTATTTATTTTCTCTTACAGCTGCTGCATGAAGTTTTACAGGTCCTGTGTCCTCCTTAGATCTAACCCGAATGTGTTTTGTTGTGATGCAGGTGTACGCTGTCAAAACAGTGCTGCAGCGTCCCCTCAGTCTGATTCAGGGTCCTCCTGGCACAGGAAAGACTGTCACCTCTGCCACCATTGTCTACCACTTGGCTAGACAGGGCAATGGGTAAGAAGTGTGTTAATGTCTATTATTATAGCTGCAAGAGAGGGCTGGTGTTATTCTAATCATTGAGCAGGTAGCTTTTTGTCTGTGGGTAGTTTGGTGATTCTAACTATAGAAGAGGGTTTGCCTTTGTTTCATGGTCTCTCTGACAGTGTTGTATTATTTGCTCTTCCAGGCCGGTGCTTGTTTGTGCTCCCAGTAACATCGCTGTTGATCAGCTCACAGAGAAAATCCACCAGACTGGACTCAAGGTGGTGAGGCTATGTGCCAAGAGCAGGGAGGCTATCGACTCGCCTGTGTCCTTTTTGGCTCTGCACAACCAGACCCGTAACATGGACAGGTAACTCATACCTGGTTAAAAGTCTTTTTGAAAGGAGCTTAATTTTGTATGCGTCAGGTCAGCTTTGACATTCATACGGAGTACTTTCACACACATCAACAGCACAGAAAATGATTACCCTTTAACAGTTGATTATGTGGATGGGATAATGTTGTACTCACACGGTGTTAAAATGATTTGTACCTGCAGCATGCCTGAACTTCAAAAGCTCCAGCAGCTGAAGGATGAGACTGGAGAGCTGTCCTCCTCGGACGAAAAGCGCTACAGAGCTCTGAGACGCACCGCTGAGAGGGAACTGCTAATGGTATGAAGTACTCGTCTTACTGAACTCGGAGCACTGCCAAGTATTTTCAAGTACTTAATGGTTTTTGTGTTCAAACCATTTTCCACTAAGTTCCCTTTAGCTGAGTATGTTTTGTGGTACCAGTTATAAAAAAAAACTTGAAAAGATGAAGAGAAACCAAAGATTTTAAGCATTTAATGTTAAACCATTTATAAACATGTCCTCTCTTTTCTCAGAACGCTGATGTGATCTGCTGTACCTGTGTTGGAGCGGGGGATCCTCGTCTGGCTAAGATGCAGTTCCGTTCAATCCTGATTGATGAGAGTACCCAGGCCACTGAGCCAGAGTGCATGGTGCCTGTTGTCCTCGGGGCCAAACAGGTGAGAGTGTCATGAGTGGAAATTCATCGTTTATTTTATAGCATGAACTTTTTTTCCCCCCCTGTTGCAGGTTTTATATTGTCCTTTTTTTCCCCAACAGTTGATTCTTGTGGGTGATCACTGCCAGCTCGGTCCTGTCGTGATGTGTAAGAAAGCAGCTAAAGCTGGTCTGTCCCAGTCTCTGTTTGAGCGCCTGGTGGTTTTGGGGATCCGACCGATACGTCTGCAGGTCCAGTACCGCATGCACCCGGCTCTCAGCGCCTTCCCCTCCAACATCTTCTATGAGGGCTCACTGCAGAACGGAGTCACTGCTGGTAAGATCAGAAGAGGATGTTTGATGATGCTTAGCCCCCGATTACTTTTTCAAGCTTTGAACCTGACATCTAAATTTTCTGCTTAACAATATTGATACTCACAAACATGGAGAGTATTAAGAGAGGAAATTTGACGACTTTTCTTTTGTGTCCACAGTTGTTGTTGTTCTTTTCAAAGCAGTGCTAGATTTGGTGCGCCTGTGTTTAAACTTTGCTCTCCTTTCCATTTGTTTGCCTCTTCTCCAGCTGACCGTGTAAAGAAAGGCTTTGACTTCCAGTGGCCGCAGCCTGACAAGCCGATGTTCTTTTATGTCACTCAAGGCCAAGAGGAAATTGCCAGCTCTGGAACATCTTATCTTAACAGGTTTCAATATTTGATCATAATGTCCACCTAGATGCTTACATAAAGCAGTATGATGGGTATTATCTGTTATTTTTCATATCTGACTGTTCTGATTTGACTCTTTAAGTGATGAAGAGATATCACATCACTTCATACGGCACAAACTTCAGACTTGAATGACTGGCTCCTGTGGCATGTCAAATTAGCGTTAAAAATGTTCTTGTTATATAATCACCACTCTTCTTCATTGTCCCTGTAGGACTGAAGCAGCCAACGTGGAGAAAATAACCACCAGGTTGCTGAAGGCTGGAGCGAAACCAGATCAGATTGGCATCATTACACCCTACGAGGGACAGAGGTCCTACCTGGTCCAGTACATGCAGTTCAGCGGCTCCCTCCACACCAAACTTTACCAGGTCAAGTTACATTTGTTGACATCATTCTTTATCAGATAGAAGTTTAACAACTTTTCAAATGATTCTTCTTATTCAGAGACTCAGTTTGACTGTGTTTTGTCCTCTTTAGGCAACGAGTGTTACAATGCCGCTCTTGTTAATGACAGTCAGGCCCCCACAAAGCATGCTCTTGGTTCTGTATGGCCACAAAATGAAAGTGAAAAATGTTCAAGCACAGCACTTCAGGTCTGAATTCTGACTGAGATTCTAGAGTTTCAAGGATTTTGTGGAGGTAAATGGAGGGACTCTGAGCTTTGAGAGACCATTGTGACAACATTCAGGAAGCAGACTCTCATTTTGAGCACGCACTGGCTGTCACTTTCAAACAGGTTCAAATGAAAGGAGTTGCCCTTGTGGATGATTATTCGTAAAAACACCAGGTATCTTTGTGAAAAACTGAAATACGAAGAAGATGGAAAATCGTTAACTTTATGTTTTGATAGTGGATAAGATGGCCTGAGAAAAATATGACAAACTGATTTAAGGAAGCGACAGCTGTTTCACTGGATGTTTGATTAGCAAACATATATCTACAATTTTGACTTTATTTATAGACACTTTTGCCTTTACTGAGAGGATAGGCCAGTGGGTAGAGTGGGAACCTGGGAGACTGACATACAATAAATGGCCACAGGCTCTGATCAAACAAACAAGAACAAAGTACTCAAAGAGCACCTGTATGTGATTAAAACAAAGACCCAGCAGTGTCTCCACTTTTTCTGTTATCTTTTTGTTGACTGTTTCTTTTTCTAAATTCCCTCCAAAGGAGGTGGAAATAGCCAGTGTTGATGCCTTTCAAGGCAGGGAGAAGGACTTCATCATACTGTCCTGTGTGAGGGCCAATGAGCACCAGGGCATCGGCTTCCTCAATGATCCCAGGCGTCTCAATGTAGCACTGACCAGGGCAAGGTAGAACATTTTAACCTCAAGTATTTCACAATCTTCATGCATGACACTGTCGTCAACATCAAAAACACATCCTCAACTAAAGCTTTTAATCATGAAGTGTCTTTCTTCTTTTGTGTCTCAGGTACGGTGTGATCATCGTGGGGAACCCGAAGGCTCTGTCCAAGCAACCTCTGTGGAACCACCTGTTGAACTACTACAAGGAGCAGAAGGTTCTGGTTGAAGGGCCCCTCAACAACCTGAGGGAGAGCCTGATGCAGTTTAGCAAACCCCGCAAGCTGGTCAACACCATCAATCCTGTGAGTGTGTGTCTTTCATTTCAACTTTTCTGATATGGCATGTGAAGGATGTAGGGTGTAGTGTTTTAGGATGAGAAAGCGGGGTAAATTTGTGTGCTTGTGAGAGAGTTATTGGTCTTTTGTTTTGCAGGGGGGTCGATTCATGAGCACTGCCATGTATGATGCCAGAGAGGCTCTTATTCCTGGATCTGTTTATGACCGCAGTAGTAACGGTGATTTTTTTGTTATGTCAAACATTGGTCTTAAAAACATAATCCCATTTCATGTGCCAGATAATTCAAAGTGGGACCAAAATAACCGGATACTTCTTTTGGTACAGGACGGACATCCAATATGTATTTCCAAACCCATGACCAGATTGGAATGATCGGCACAGGACCCAATCCAATGACATCTATGAACATCCCCATCCCCTTCAACCTGGTGATGCCCCCCATACCTCCACCTGGGTACATGGGACAGGTTAATGGACCTTCAGGAGGTGAGAAGGATATAAGACCGTATGCTGAGGCATGATGATGAGTATAGAGTTCTTGGTGTGTGTCTGTTAAAGCTGATGTGAAATGATGTTATTTACTTCAAGGCCGCGGTGGAGGAATGAAAGGCAAGGCAGGCGGTGGAGGAGGCAGCGGGGCTCGAGGTGGTCGCCAGAGAAACCGAGGCAGCATGGGGAACCAAGGCGGAGGAGAGCGCGGGCAGCACGGAGGCCACATGAGCGGCAGCCAGGCCAGCCAAGACCTGGGCTCCCAGCCGTTCTCCCAGGGGCCTCTGACGCAGGGCTACATCAACATGAGCCAGCCGTCGCAGATGAGCCAGCCGGGGCTCTCCCAGCCTGAACTCTCACAGGTCTGTTCATTCATATCTCATCCAGAAAGAATAAAAACTTTATCATTATTAGGTATGAACAGATTTTATGAAGTGCTAAGTTTGTGGACTTTTACAAAGCGAGCCTTTCATTCATAACGGTTAGTGCTCAGGTCCAGGGCTGTCAGCACATTTATTCCAAGTCTTGGTCCAGCTCTCAAGACCTCATCTTTTCTAAAACCACTTTTCCAGTCCTGCCTGGAAAAGAATGAGGGAGTGATTGTGAGTGGATTCTTTAACTTTTTGTTTTTCCCATTATAGGACAGTTACCTCGGAGACGAGTTCAAGTCCCAGATTGATGTGGCTCTGTCCCAGGACTCCACCTACCAGGGGGAGCGGGCCTACCAACATGGTGGTCTGACTGGACTGTCCCAGTACTAGACTGTAAGTAACTCCACTGCAGACTAAAACTCAGATTATTCACTGAAAATCTGTGAAATAGTTTGAAAAATTGTGAGATTAGTTTTAATTTGTCGCTCAGAGTTAACTTGACGAGGACACCGGCTACACTGTGCTTCTGCAGCTGTAACAGCGCTGATTTATCTTTGTGATAAAGTGCTCTACCTGCTAATCGTTCGGCTCAGCATAAAGACTGAGAATAAATTAGTCTGAAGGGAACAAAATCTTCCTGGCAGAACCTCTAAAGCTCACAAATTAATCTGCTATGTGTAACTTCTTTGATTTTAAATAAGGGTGTTTAATTAGAAGCTGTTTTCAAGACCACCAGATAGGGCTGGGCAATATGGCCTCAAATCAATATCACGATATATTCAGCAGTTTACCTCAATGACGATAAATGGACAATAACTACTCCCCAAACTGCTCACCCCCTCCCACATTAACTTCATCTACTTCAGCAGCTGCTCCAGTCGCTACAACTTTTGAACTGTCCTCCATCTCCTCACCTGTCTGGATGGGGTGGAGTCACGTCTCTGACGTAGGACAGCGTCTTAAAGGGACATGAGACCATAGCCTACCTACACACATCCAAAAACAACTTTTATTTATTTATTTATTTATTTTTGACACCAAATATTTTGACACGAGCAAAATGACTTCAGTTACCGTCGTAAATTTCGGTATCAGTAAATATTCGGTTTATTGCCCAGCCCTACCACCAGTCAGCTGTCAAAGGTGTGGTATGCAGATTTGTTTACCTACCTTTTAGTGTATCAAGTTAAGGAACTTATTGCTATTTTATGTTAATGTATAAGTGTTGTAGAAATAATTGTCAAGAAAGACCATAGATGTCTCTCCCAATTCATCAATCTTTCCTTGGAATGTGTCTTTTGCGTGGAGAAGAAGGGTCAATAATACATTAGTCAGTTTTAATGTCTGTTTATATGTGTTTGTGTTTCTCCTGCAGGCTGCTTGAAAGGAGCTAGGCCTGTGTGAAGCTTAGTTCATTGGTATTTTAACCTGGGTAATAACAAAAAAGAACAAACAAGGATACCCGTTTTCCACTGCTACAACCGAAGCACCACTGTGTGAAAGTAACAGGAGAGAGACCGTGAGAAACCAACCAATCACAAGAGTGAGAGCAAAAAAAAGGGAGTAGAGCTGGACAGGAAGCAAGCAAGAGACGAGAGAGCAGGAGGCGCTGCTGCTCACACGCGAAGACGTGGCGAAAGGAGAGAAGCTGTCGTTGTCGGAGCAGCGCAGTCTGAAAGGCGAGACCTCGGGCAGGTCGAGAGGAGGGTGGAAGGTCCAAGCGATTCTGGAGTGGGGACAGCTGTGTCATCTTCTCCCCCCCTGTGTGTTCCTGAATGTCAGGCACCTCCAGACCAGTGTGGTTGGAAATCTTGCTCCAAAAGCTGAGAAAGATGGAGAAGAGGTGTCTCACATAAAAAAAAAATGGCCTCCAAGCTAACTCAACAGGGACGTCTTCTGTGACTTGGAGAAAGAGAGAGGGAAAACAAAAGGGGACTCAACTCTAGAAGCAGTTGATATGGCAACTTTTTAAAACTCAAAGCTTGAATCGAGGCTCTGCTTTTAATCACATCTAAGCATACAGGAGAGAAGAGTGTGAAGACACTGTCTGGCTACTCGAGTGAACTCTAAGTGCTTGTGTTTTTGTGCCTCAAAGGCTTCAAATTTGAGGATTAACTTAGCCACGGATCATTCACTTTTCTTTCTCAGCTTTGAGTCGGAAAGTTTTCTTAATAAAGCTGTTTTCATTGAGGTTCTCAGTGATGTAAGCTAGTGTAGTCGGCCATCTTTCTCGAGGTGGTCTGCAGAGAACAAGTGGTGGACTTAGCGTTGAAAAACAGAAAAAACATCTTTGTCTCCAGATCTGAGGAGGTCGACTCAAAAGATCTAAACCTAGAGAGACAATTTTGTTTTTGTTCTTAATGTTTCTTTTCTACTAGTGAAAGTGGACACCATAACCAGCTTGCAACTGAGTGAGGCAGTCACTGTTTTGACTCATAAAGCTCACAGATAGATCATCACAAGTGTTAAACTATTTAGTACATCAAAAAATCTAAATCAAGAGGGCAGCATTTAAAGATGTGTGATAAAAACATGAACTGTGATTATATAGGAAAATTATAGTGAAAATTCAAACTCCAGAAGTACATCAAGATTGAAACGATGATGAGCTTTAGTTTTCCTGTCTGTGGTGTAACAGGCACGACGCCACACTGCAGAGGGTGACTAAAACCTCTAATGCCCTGTGTGAAAACAGACATGTTGGAGAAGACTGGAGATTTAACATTTCTCCATGTTAGTCCGGTCAAAAGATGATTATTAAATTTGAGAAAACCTTCAGGTTACAGATTAGAGATGCTACATGTTTAAATTGACATGAAGACTGATTTTGAATCATTTCGACTGAATGGCCCATGGGGAATGACTGCTTATGTAGATTTGATCTGAATGAAGAACACCTTTTTTTCTTCCCCATGTTTTTCTTTATTCTGTCCTTTGTTGTCCTAAATGTATATAAAAGTGTAACTGTCACAGTTAGTAGTGCACTCTGTCAAATTAAGGACAGTCATTCTGAACAGACGTTTGCTGCTAGACTTTGTGTCTTAGTTTCAGTGCTCTGCATGTGTTAGTTCTCATTTATTAGTATCTCATCTATTTCCCTTTAACAGCTTTCATGTTCATCAAAACAGTACGCTCACTTATGACCCACCTGGAGCTGGCTTAAAAAGGGTTAATTTACTATTACAAGTGCTTGTTAAGCATTTGTTGCCACATTTCTGAGAAGTGTATCAAGTAATTTAGTAGTTTCATATTCCCACTGTTGTGAAATGAAAGCTACATCTTACATACAGACAGTTTAATATTATACCTCCTTGAAGTGTGTAATGTGTGACAGTTGCTAGGTAAGATCTGTAGTTACAACACTATTACAACAATCATTTACATACAGTACGCAGTCTAAAGAAAAGACATGAACATCCCTCATTCATTCCTCACCATCATCGTTTGTTTTTGCATGTCCAGTGACCAGAGGTTTAGTGTTTGTGTTTCTCTAATATACCTTTGCTAGACTGATCTTTTGTTTGGTTTATTGCTGTTTGAAACAGAGTGAAATGAAGAAACTTTTTTGTTTTGTTTTTCTGCCCACTGATTGATGTTAAAAAGTAATTCTCACAGATTTTCCTGTTGATAATCTTGGAAAATAAAAGTGTGCTTCTTTTGGCTCCTTCAGTTTGACTGTGCATCAGTGATTGTCTTTTTCAGTCTGCAGGTGGATGGACAGACTAAATGCTCCAGCACAGAATACTTATCCAATGATGAAACTCTTTGTATTGCTTCTCTAGACCTAAATGTTCAGTAGCATGACTCTCCAAAAGTCTTTTCAGGTCGTGACTTTTCCCTCGGGGGCGATATTTCAGTAAGCCTCAAAACTGGCAGCGCTCAACAGACCTTTAAGATCCAGTTTGCAGTATGCACACATGCGGGCAGGCTGGCTGACTGGCTGCAGGCGGGCTGACACACTTTCTCTGCCTCACTGCCTCATGCAGCTGTAGCGGCTGTTTGGAGCCTGTAGAGCCAGCAGGTGGTACCCTACCGTCGGCGGTGGTGTCCGGCTGTTGAACACGAGCAGCCGGTTGGATGAGGAGAACACATCTCTGACCACGAGGACGAGGTTGAAACAAAGGGACAAAGCAAATACAGAGCTGATCCTATCCGGAGATGATGGGCACTCACCGGACTACTGCAGTCACTTCACTCACCGAGGTCAGCAGCGCTGCCTGCGCCGGGTTGTGACTCCTGGATCTGCAGAGGTGATCGGTGGACTCCGGTGGACGGGACAGGACATAGCGACCGGACTGGACGGTCTTTGCAGGCTGCATGCAGCGGGTTGCTTTGGCACCTTGCAGTGAAATCTGTCCCTGGAGAATTGAGCAGCAGGAGTAAAGCATCTTGAAGCTCAGACTGGGAGACAAGAGGAGAGCAAAAGCAGCTCCAGCAGGGGATAATAGTTCAAACAGACACTCAAATAAAGAGGTTTTCACCGACATGGGGTAAGTGTGGCAAGGTTTCTACTTTCAGATTCTAATTAAAGTAAAAATGAAACATGAATAATGAAACAAACAAGCACGTGTTGGGTTAATGGACGCTTTACTTTAAATCCATCTTCTCCCGTTGTAGAAAAGGAGCCTCAGTCATCTTGTAAGATGTATCCTCACCACAGAGAAAGGTAAGAACACCCGAGGGTACATTTTTACAAATACAGAAAATTAAGCTTGATTTTTTTGTACTTGTGTTTTAGATGTCCACTGTCTCATTTAAGTAAAATGTGAGATGAAAACTTAAACATGTAAAAAAAAAAAAAACTAGTCATTTTTGTGTAATCAGGACCCAAATAAGATCAATGTTTTTTAAGTATTTTTTTCATTCCTACTTCAGATATTCCTCAAAATTATCCTGGATTTGTTAGATTAAAATTATAAGAATAAAAGCTTAGTTTTGGATAATTAATCATCTCACAATTCCTCTTTTTTATCTCATAGTTTATACCTGAATGATATTTTTTATCATCAAGGTTTTTTTGCTTTCTTTTTCTTTTTTTCATTCACTCCCCTTCTCTTTGAGAGAAATCTAGCGGTTTTTCACCCTGGCACAGGTTCGGCAGTAGCATCTCAGACTTGATGAATCTGTTAAATTAAGTCGATATTCTTCTGTAATGTTTTTCCTGTGTTTGTGGCCCCAGAGTCTCTGATTATTTGACCCATAATTCTCAGTAATGCCTCTGCTCGGGTTGCCTTTTATTGCAGTTGCGATTAAAAAGGGGCCCAGGAGTGATTGTGCAGAGGATCATAGCAGGCAGAAGTGTATGAAATTGTTCATTTCCTTTTAATTAATGGCAAAACTTCTTTCTAGTTAGTGAAATATGTGTGTGGTAATCAGGAAAAACAAATATGTTTTTATTTTGTAGAGCTGTCTTTTTAAAGATTAATTATTAGGATTAGGGTTTCCTTTCATTCATTCAAAAAACCAGTCTGTCTTTAATGTGGAACATCTGTTTGGAGAAGATTTAGATAGATCGTCCAGAGGGAGACAGGAGAAACCCACTGAAGCAGATTGTGGATGCTGGTAGATTGTGGTCAGAATTAGTAAGGTCATTCATCCTGAGGTACAACCAAGATCTCCATCCAATCACCACCAGGCTTCATTATGCTTAGAGTCCCCCCATTAAGCCCTGTAGGCCACATCCATCTGCTGTGGATGAAGGTCGAATAGCTGAGCATCCTACTGAAGAGCCAAACAGGAACACATACTATTCCTACCCGCTATTACCACCGAAGTCTCTACATCAATTTCCTCACACCAGAAAGCCTTGACATTGTCAGGTACACATGCATATTTGAATCTATTAACTCGGAAGGACCTCATTTATGTTATGCAATTCCAAACGTTTAAACTATTCCTAAAAAAGTACTTGTTCTATTATTTTAAAAACCTGCACCACAAAGTAGACTTTTAAGTCTGTTAAAATGTAAAAACAATCCAAAATATACTTAAGTTCCAAAAAGTCCTCAAACCAGAGCTTAAAAATCAGTAGTCTCTACAAAGATAGCTGTACAAGTTATCCTCACACACACATCCACTTGAAGCCAGTGCTCTTCTGTTCAAACATGCACTGTACTCCAAATTACAGACTTCTCCTGTCTTACAGAGCTCTAACTGTACATGTGGTATGTGTAAGATTGTGACATACTACTGCACCGTACTGTAAAATACTACTTGACCTTCAATACTGAACTGAACATTCATCTGTAGCAGTCTGTTAAGAATCCAGTTGTGGGTCAGATGTTAGAAAATACTGGTTTAAGAGCAACTAGATGAGTCAGACGTTTGATATTTCTGTAATACTACTTTGACATAAATGCACTCTACCTGCTCGGTCATTATCTGCATCTGCCTCTGAGAGTGATTCCAAGTTTTTCCTGGTCAGTTAAGGCAACATTGAAGCTGGTCACGTAGCTCTGGTGCCTCAGATACCACAAACAGATACCAAACCTTGGGCAAGGGCAAAGCTTTGTTGTAAAAGTACGGCTCTCTTTTCCTCGACCATTATGACAGCTTGATTAAGAGACTAAAGACTTATCACAGGCCTCATTTTTCATTCACTGTAACAATTTTAAACTTCATCAGTTCTAATAAAGGCATGCCGAAGCACTAGAAAGTTAAGTGATATGGTGATAAATGTAAAGTAATGACCCTTGCACACAGTTGATAACAATTAGCACATAATATATTGTTGCACATCAGATATATTAGGGTTTTTAAAGGGTCGGCCTAGAAGACAAGGAATCTGGAGAGAAGACTTCAGTGATATATTTTCAAACTCTGAGCAAATAAAAAAATACCTGAGAAAACAATGAGCAGAGGAATTGATCATACTGATTGCAGACTAACTTGATCAAGACTGAAATCAGAACTAGTTTTAAATCTGAGTCTTGCAAGTTTGACGTCTTACATGTCAAGTTCTAACATATCTGCAATAACAGGGGTCCAATAATATTTTAACTGTATATACATGGCTCATGTCACATTATTTTCACTCCCTCCAAAAACTGAATTCAGTTTTTGAAACTGTAAACTTTTACAAGAGTGTATTATATATATTTTTTTAAAAACTTACCCTCATCCTTTGAAAACAAACTGTTGCTGCGGTGGGAGTTGTAAGAAAATGACCCTGGTGATTTTTATTTTTAATCTGAGCTGTTAATTGTCATCCCAAGAACTACTCTAAACTAACCCAGACAGAATATTTTATTGAAAAAGGAAATGTAGTCTACGTTTTGATCAGATTCATTGGGTAATTTGCTTTGTTCACAAGATTCAGTGCATTGTCCCATTTGACACACGCACTGATGGCAATTTTCAAGTGACATTTTGAATACATCCTGGCCAGAATGGTTGTATTACAATGCAGCACAGTAACCAACAACAACAACAACAACAACAACAAAAAACCCTGACATGATTGAATTAAGTCAGTCTATCTTGTAACCTGCTGCTCACTACTTGCCATTGAGGGCTTTCTTAGCAATACAACCATCAGGTATTCATCAACCAACTCGTCATGGGTCAAAGGTGTCTCTGCTGTTGTAGTCGCTCTGTCTAAAGTACCAGCAATGGTATGAATTTGAAAAGAAATGCTTTAAACTGCCCTCTTTGAGTTGTCTCTAAATATTCTTGTCAACATCCCACAGCCTGTACGGAGCTGTGTTTATTCAGTCTGTGTAAAGTATAAAATTAGTTCTCATTATGTGAAAAGGATTTCAGCTCGTGATTTTTTGGGGAAATGCTGTTACAATCACCACTTTTGTCTCTCCTTAAACTCAAAAAATAACCGCCTGTCAAAACAAAGTAGTTCCCCTGACATGTTGAACCACTGAAAAATGCTGTAAACAGGCCTCAGCAGCTAGGACCATATTTCCAATGTTAAAATCCTGGTTAGTGCTCCCTTGACATGGTCATAGAGTTTGAAAGATAAGAGGATTAAGTCCAAGGCTGCTGTTAAATTGTGTCTTGAGAATAAAATAATGTATCATGGCAGTAAAACAGAGCTTGACTCAAGAAAAGGAGTAAAAGTCAGGATATTTCTACCTCTGCTGCTTTAAATCAGATTATTATATTGGTTTATGTAGTTTCACTTAAGCTTTATATACCTCAGAACTCAACAAACCAGCAATATCATGTTTTAATTTTTGTACACCACGCCTGGTCTACCCTTGTTTTCTAACAGGCCAGATTAACCTGCCAAATTATAAGGTTATTGAGGCATATAATCCAAGATGTCTGCCACTGGTCAGGAGTGTTCTGGATTAGCTGTTTTGTAGGTAACAAACCATGGACACATTGTTCAAGTTGTGTTAATCAGGTTTGAAATGGCCTGTGAATCATGTCATCACAATGAACTAGAGGCCTTACAGGATATTGGATAATTAGTCTTGTGGCCTACCATGCCATCAAAAGGTTTGTTTGCTTAGATTGGCTGTAAAAGTACAAGAAGTTTAGAAGGACCAAAGCCAGCCATGAAAGCAGTTTGGGTGGCTAGAAGTTCATTTTCATGGTCTAAAGAGGGACTTTTATAACACCTGCCTTGGTTATCTTCTTGAGTGGCATCACAAACAAGTCAAATTTAATTGCAACTCCTCCTCAGGTTCATCTTACATGAGCAGTAAATTTATATCCTCAGAAAGCCAGAGCACTAATCTCAGTCTCATCTAAGACTCATCCCAGGCTCCTGTCCTCAGAAAGTGTATCAGTGTTTGCAGCAGGAGATCCAATGACAGCAGGGAGGATTACTGTGAGATGAGGAGCAGAATTACACCTGGGTTATTATCTGACCAGAGCAGGTCAGCCGCCCAAATGCCACTGCTCATATCAGCGTCTTTACAGAGCGTTCATGAATTTCAGTCTAAGTAGGAGTCAATAGAATGTGTCTTTATTATGATGAAAACAGAAAAACCATTACTGCATTTGTGCGTCGCTAATGGGGCCAGATATAAATGTACGATGACTGGACAAAATAATACACATCTATGGGGAGCAGCTGCAATTCTACATCCAAGTGTCCTGGTTTTTACCACTTGTTTTTAGATTGGTGCTAATACGAAGAATCCTTTTCATGAGATGTAAATGAGCGGCTAATCAAAAGATATACTATAAACCCTTTTTATTTAGAGTCTGATCAATGTTGGTGTTGTACATATAAAACATTAGCTCTGGACTCATTTGGGTCCACTTTGAATCAGAAACATTACTATAGTTTTTGTTGAGTCATTACTGCTGTTAGCAAAGTTAGCAGACTTGTATAAAGAAGGTAAGGTCTGTGTATTGGTTCACACCAATCTGTCTACTGGAACATCTCAAAATGTATTTGTTGATGCGATGCTGTGAATTTTAGCTCTCCTGGTTCACAGAGGATGAGTTTGATGAGATATTTGGTGGTACCTTGTCTGGAGCAATCCCAAAACTTTTTTTGTAACAGAATATTGTCTAATGACATCACTTATCTTGAAAAGCAAGAATGAAAATGGCTGACTGCTAGCTTTACATTCAGATATGCTTTCTTTGCCTGAGACCCAATACTTGCACAACATTCCTATTAGCTTCAGCTGTTCTTTGCTTTTGCAGTTGACCCTTTATGCTGACAATACTCTGTAAAATAGTAAAACTGCTGAATGTCATGTGATGCTAAATGTTGGCATTTACCATTTAGCATCACTGTCCCAATCATAGACTGTATATAGAATGGACGCCATCTGCCTCCTCACTGGGTGAAGCCACCATAAGAACAGCACCCTCTGGCTTCAGTATAGGTCATAAATTGACCTGTCGACAAACTTTAGAAAATAAACATTTTCCCCCCAATTCTTCAGCAGCTACGTTGGCTCCCAGTCACTGACAGCATCATTTTTAAGATTCTGCTTCTGACCTTCAAAGCCATCCATAACCTTGCCTCTCCATACCTTTCCATCCCATCTCGCACTCTCAGGTACTCTTGCACTCTCCAGCTCACTGTCCCAACTGCCTGTTTGACCATCATGTGCTCCAGAAGCTTTAACCCATAGACTATATATAGAATGGCGCCGTCTGCCTCCTCGCCACCGCTAGAATAGCACCCTCTGGTAATGGGCAGCAGTATAGGTCATAAATCCCACCTTATCCAGCGATCCCTATGGCGCTGTGGACAAACTTTAGAAATTTATTACACAAAATATACATTTTTCTCCTCCCTGCTTGTGATGTTGACATGTAGTTACTGTAAGACTGGTTTTTGCTCAAGTTCCCTTTTTTCTGTACTACTCCATTTTTAAACGTTATAAAGGGGTTTGTGTTTTCTATGATTGACACTTGATACAGCTTATGGGTGTACAAAGATTGCATAGCTCACCCAGGGGATACGCTGTTTGAGCCGAGCGTCATCACAGCAACTCTCGGCGACTCTCCCACTGAATGCGTACAATGCTACTGCGCAATGTTGGTTTCAGGAAGTGGAGAAAAAAACGGAAATACTAAGAGCTTTTTGGCATTAAATCTGTATATTGGCGGAAGGCCGAACCAAGTTGTCCATGGTATATACAGTCTCAAGTGGTTGCATGCATGGCTGTACTATGTCTTAGTTTTTCTTATTTAAACTTGGATATTATAACCAAGTAGAAATCACTAACAGTTGGACACCCAACACCATTGCTCCTCAAAGTGTGGGGTATGCCCTGCTGATGAGGAATGGAGACATGAAAGGTGGGGCGTGACAAAGGGGAGGACATTTTTGATTTCATGCCCATCCTCTTAAATGCTTTTCTTTATTGACAAGAAAGATCATTCACTGTAAACCAAACACCCACACACATAATAATAATAATAATAATAATAATAAATAGCCTACATGTAGCTGAAATTAAAAGAACATTAAATGATTAGACAGCATTAGATAGGTGACAGGAGAAAAATGCAACGTGGAACCAAAGCTCAAAAATAATTATTGACTTGTAGTGATTTATTACGAAACATGTTACTTGTTCCTTGTTAATTCAATAAATTTAACAATGTATAATTTGTCAGTTACAGTCAGAAACTTTGTTGCGTGTTTAGAAAGATGTACAAAGTTAAGATTTATGTTTTAATGCTCTTTATTTTCCATCAAAGTCTGACAGTACACACGGCTGTTAATCTACTCACAGGACGCCAGCTCAAGGGAAAAGTAGACAAGAAGAAAGTCCTTTCGCAGTCCTGCTATTCATACCACATGACAGTGGCCAAACCAACTCCCAACACTGGTGACTTTGTTACTTTGATATATTTACCTTGTCTCCAGGAGACAAGTCTGCAAATACTGGCAGGATCAGACCAGAGGGCGGAGGGTGCCCGACGCGGGAGAGGGTTCAGAGAGTTTCTAGTCAACACACTTTGCCAGCTAAATCACAGCCCTGTATGGCTGCTGCCTGAGTGACGCAGGAAAGAAGTGTTGGAGAAAGCCAAAAGATGATTCAAACATCTGTTCCCTAGATGGCAAAGAGATGCGAATGCAAGCGCCATTCAGAAATTACCAGGGGGCTTACTTTTTGAAACAAGAGAGACTCAATGGGGTATGACCGTGGGCCTTAATAGAGGAAATATGAAATGTTGTGAAGCTCAGAAAATAAAAGGAAACATGATGTACTTTTTTTAGTTATTTTAATGTCTAGAACTTCCCACCCTTAAATAAAAATTAAACAGGATTCCTTCTTCACACTTTGTGGTTGACCTGAGGTCCAATAGAGGGTTTTACTTTGACATTTACCCAATAAAGAAACCCTACTTTCATGCACTTTCTTATCAGCTCTGCGTTTTCTCCTCCAGGGAGCAGCCAATCTTCAGCGCCCGGGCCCATGTTTTTCAGATCGACCCCACCACCAAGAGGAACTGGATCCCCGCCAGCAAGCATGCCGTCACAGTGTCCTTTTTCTACGATGCTAACCGCAATGTCTATCGCATCATCAGCGTCGGAGGGACGAAGGTACGGGTGAGGAAAAGGATGATACTGCTGATTATCATATTATTCTTTATTGTTCTCTCAAACACAGCAGGAGTCGACGTCATATCAGCCATAGTGTGTCGCTCTCAGGCTTGTGGATTTAGATTATGAGGAAGCGACCACATCCATCATTGAGGAGGGGGAGGGGGCTCAGGGTCTACTTGATCTCCTCTTAGCACCTCTGGTCTGACCCACATTTCTGCCTCCCAGAAGGCTGTGCGAGGTGGCAGTCGGTCAGTCAGCAGCCCGATCCTGCCAGGACTGGTGTCTGGTTCCTGACTAATCTTCATCGCTGCTCTCACAGTCAAACATGTTATGTCAAACAGGCCGACGTAGAAATGCCAAACTCAGAGTTCATGTAATCATTTGTTGGATGGTTGAAAAGGTCCCAAAATCTTCCTGCTAAGCTGCCATTGCCCCGCAATTCTGGGATTTAAACCAGTTGCATTATTTTAAAGCCGGAGATGACGCAATAAGGTTTAAAAATAAGTCTGGTCTAATATTTTTCTCTCAAATGCTTAGTGAGAGGGGTCACGAACCTTGTGTATGTGACTGCTGCTCCATGAGGTTTTTTTTTTTATCCTGCTCAAAGCATTCATTCCTCAAGAACCCGTGTCTCTCCGGGCTGATAAAAGCTAAACTCCAGGAATCGAAGTAAAAAGCAAATACATCATAAATGTCAAAATATGCAAAGATGTTCTTAAAAAAAGATGTCAAATTGCAGTTATTCAAGCAATGACGAGGTTCATGCAGGTTTACTTTTTATTTAAATAAAAAAAACTTTGAAAAACAACTTTGACAACTTGAAAAATTACAGTTATTACTGGCTTTGTAGCTGTGAATCTGTTTTTATCTGCTGTTAGTGCTCTCTAGTTCACGTTTTTCTATCCTTTTTCTATCCTTCCCTCTCAGCCCAACACACAGATGGCTCTTCATCTTGAGTCTGGTTCAGTTAAAAGGCTGTTTTTTTCTTGCCACTGTTACTTGCTGGTTGTTGCCAAGTGTTTGCTCGTGGTGGACTCACATTGGATCTCCATAAATAATATATTGGACAAGACAGAACTGATTTGTCACAAGTAATAATAGATCAGTGACTGGACTTTGATGTTAGTTGCTACAAACAACAAGTCTGTTATTGTATTAACGTGCAAATATTCATACTAGGGATGGGAATTGATTAGATTTTATCGATATCGATGCCATTATCGATTCTGCTTATTGTTTTAATTCTTTAACGGTTCCCTTATCAATGCCTTTCTTTGATTTACAAAAAGTAGACTATTGGTTTTCACCGTCAACTCAAAATTTTATTAAATCTCTGGTAACAGAAAAAGACGTATGCCACTTCAGTGAGAGTCTAAAAATAATCAAACCAATCAAACGTGCTGAGACGGAGCAGCAGCGGCTGACGAACGGCGAAGAGCAACAGATACATGTGACTCCTTATATTTGATGTTGTGCCCCATTGACAAATGTTAAAGTATGTTGCTGATGTTTCCACTTTTGCATGTTATCACTGCTCAACAAACATTGCACGTCACATTGTTGTCGTCTTTCTTAGTTAAATGAAGCAACGCTTTCGAGCGTTTCCGCTTACTTTTCGGACCGTCTGCCATGTTTTTTTCCTCAAGGTCTCTGTTCTCGTTCGTGTAGACTGGCTCTCACGAGACTGTTTTTCAAGGCACTCAGAAAAAAGAAATTGTTAAGGGAATCATAAAGATAAAATGTAAATGAAGTTGATGGCCGGAACCATTTGGAACCGGTTCTTGTTGAGTACTGGTTCTCGATTCCCAGCCCTAATTCATACAGAGTTTTTGGAAAGGAAAAGTAGAAATTTGGCCCATGGTAAATTCAGGAACATTTCATGTTATTAAACCTATCCAACTTTAGTCTGATATCTATCAGGTTTAAGGATTTTAAAAGAAAGGATTTGCTTTCATATCCTTTTGTGAGTTTTTATGATGTGGGTAGCAGGTTTAAAAAAAAGGGCATTTCATTAATTTTTTCAAGCTTCCAATTAAAAGTGTTTTCCCTCAGCTTTTCAATTATCGGTGTAAAGATGATTTGATAAAGATTCGTCAAGACTGTTGAAATTGCTCAATTCTCCAGCTTTCACTGAGTCTTTATAAAATGTCCTTTAGCTTGTGTATGGATTGAATGAGGGTTAGGGGCGGGAAGGTTGAGGGTTGTTTTGTAGATTTGTTTCATTATTGTTCATTTCTGTTTATGTTCAGCACTTTGAGCACGCATGTGTGCACCATTTACAAATGAAGTGTGCTTGTTTGATTGATTTAAATAAAAAAAAAAAACACCAGAGAACAATCTAAACTGTCGCTGTGTGGAAGAAAAGGGCACAAAAGGAGGTACCTTTGCTTACTACTCATTTTAAAGTAGTTAGTTTTGTCTCAGGTTTGGACCAGCTTCTGAACCACATCTTGTTATAAACTCTCCACTTTACTAAAATGATGCAGACCAACCTGAATCGGCTCTTTTATCCTTGTATTTACAGGCGATCATCAACTGCACTGTTACACCCAGCATGACGTTCACTAAGACGTCCCAGAAGTTTGGGCAGTGGGCGGACAGCAGAGCTAACACTGTGTACGGTCTTGGTTTTGCAACAGAGCAGCAGCTGCACCAGGTAAACTCACCCTTAAGCAAACTTTGGATAGAACATCAAGAACTATCTCTGATACTCATTCTTCTATATGCTTCAGAGATTTTCATTTTTAGTGTTTCATCATCTTAAACATTTCACTCCTTGTCCTCTTTTGCAAAAGTTTGCAGAGAAGTTTAAGGAGGTGAAAGATGCGGCTCGGCTGGCACGAGAAAAGTCGCAGGATAAAGAACTGGCCAACACAGCGCTCACCATTGCTGCTCCTCAGGTGAGTTCTGGAGGAAAAGTGGAGCAAACCCCTAAGAGAACCAAGTGTGATGAAAAAAACAGAAAGTCAGGAGTCAGAGAAAAGAGTCCAGTCATAGAGTTTTTGGCATTTTAGGAATAAGAAGAGAGTTGAGGCCAAGGTTAGATGAACACACCTCTGTGTCTCTGCAGCAGCTCACCTGTTAGACAGAGCCGCTGTGATTAAATCGAAGGAGGGATAGAAAGAAAGGCAAAAGAAAGATGAGCTAGGTCACTCGTCTCTGAGGAAAGAGAAGAGAGGAAAAGTAGGACGCTGGTAAAATTATCCTGTGATGCTCAGCAGTGAACCACAGCTGCATTTTTCTACCCCGTCCTGTCGAGAAGAGTTTGACTTTAACAGTGTAATGTTGAAAACGTAGTCAGCTCAGGGCTTTTTGATCAATAGAGAATAATTACCCATCAGTTACATCTGCTTGGTCATGAGGAACATGCCCATTTCCTTTTTAATTCCACGGCTGAACAGATTCCAAGTGATGTCTCTCACTCCGCATATTTATCGATTTAATGAACACATTGGAGGAGCCAAAGCTGCAGAAAATTACCAACTACGTCAATTAAGTGTACTTGATTCCTGCTTAGTAGTGCTGCGCTGCATAAATCATCACACAGCTAAGTGTGTTTGTAGTATTTCTGAAAAGGTCATTGTGTTTTAGGAGCTTTGTGTTGACATGTTCTTTGTTTGTCTTGCTCACCTGATGGGTTTCCTCTGTAGTTCTCACAGGTGAGTCTTTGTTGTTCTTATCTTATTTCTAAGAAAAATGAAGTTTTTATTTTGCAATCAAACTATCTCAGAGAGCAATTTGTGTGCAAAATACACTCTGGAAATCTTTTATTTCCTTTCAGTCTGGACCCTAAAGCTTGTGTATTTCTACCTGCAGTGTTGGGCTGATAGCTCTTATTCTGCCAACAAAGGAGAAACCCTAACAGTCTGAAAGTACGGCTCACAAAAGCAAGACTCTGTCAATCTGAGACGCTGAGCAGATAGAGATGATTTCTCTGCTACAAACGTCCATGTTTTTAATAGTATAGTTAAGCAGCCTTGAACTGTGAAGACAGTGGGATCCACTTTTCCTCTTCCCTGAATAATTAATGTGTTGATGAGATGCTGTGTGTGTTATCAGGAGAGTCCATTTACTCATGTGTTTCTCAGGACCTCTCGGATGAACTCCAGTCTCCTCCTGTGATGTGCGTGAATGGACCGGAGGATAAGCTTTTCCGCAGCCAGAGCGCAGACATCACACTTTCCTCTGAGAAGGAGCGCATTAAAAAGATGCTCTCTGAAGGGTAACACAAAAACACACATTAACACAATAGAAACCAGAGAGACCATGAACAGTTTCTCCTCCTTTCTCTCAGAGTTCAATCTCACCTTCTGTTCGAACAGATACTCTGATAAGACTTTCTTTGTGAAAGGTGTGTTGTGTGGAGGTGTGGAGAATCTGTATCAGGTTAATGTTTGTGCATCTCCTCTCTTTAGAATTCTTACTTAGTACGCTCTATGTTTCTGTCTTTTCTGCTCTGCTACACTCATGGTTCAAGCTTGAAAGCTCATTTACAACAAAATGAAAAATAACAAAGTTTATCTGATCCAGTACTCACAAACATATTTTGATCTGAGTATTAGTTCAGTAGTACTTCCATCAAAGTTGGTTATTCTTTTTAAAAAAACTGTGCGAGCAAGACGCCTCCCGAGATCCAACTATCAGCAGCTGTTTAGCTACACAGCCCACAAGCTCAGGAGTCAACACACCATGTCCTGAATTGATTAGCCCTGAAAAGAGGATGTGTAGTTTTGTGGTTTTCTTAAGTGGTGCTGATAGGTAGACTTGCTTTTTTTTTTTGGACATAGTCATTATGCTAAGCCGTTTGCTATACTGCTACAAAAATATTCAATCAAACTTATACTTTCTTAAGACGTCACAGCTCAACTCAACTCAACTTTATTTGTAAAGCACTTTAAAACAACCACAGCTGAACAAAGTGCTGTTCATAAATAGACAAAACAATGCAGACATGAAAAAAAAAATAAAAAAATAATTAGAACAATGGTTAAAATAAAAGCAGATATTAAAAAGTAAAATATAGTTTCAGTGTTTTTAAAAACTAATTTAAAAACAATAGAAACAATAGAAACAAATAACTAAAAACAAACCATAACACACTAAAACAGGAGAAGAGTCACATGCAGGTTGAAAGCCAATGAATAAACATGGGTTTTAAGACGAGTTTTAAAAATGCACACCTGGAACAAAGCTTTGTCCTGGTCAACATCTAGACCCCCTGATCTGTTGAGTGACAATGGCCTCAAACATCTGCAGCTAGCTCTAATGTAAACATGTAAACACAACATCATGCCTGAACAACAAACTTCATAATAAATGGAGTCATGTCAGCAACATTACTCACTGCTTTGCGAAACAGAGTTTTGAAGCAGTCATCATGTTTGAAATACTGACTCAACCTAACATTCAGTCAACCTCCTTGCAGATAGCTACAGTGTGCCCGCCTGTCAGTCAAGCCAGCTATGCCTCTGATTCGCCGATCTTAACCTTAACTTTATGTAACCAATGTGTGACAAACAAAATTTACTCTGAGTAAAGTGGGTGCTGTGGGAGTCCTGAGCTATTCAGACCAAAACAATGGGCTTTTATTAACTTAGTGCGTATGTGGTTTTTAGTGTTTCTGCAGCCAGCCTCAAGTGGTCACTCTGGGAACTGCAGTTTTCTTGCACTTCTGTATCTGCTTCATGTCTCAAGGCCAGAAGTTGTTGGCACTTTTGAAGTAGAGAAAGTACATTTCTGATGACCTTCTCACTGCAACAAATACCTCAGTTCTTATCAGAATTCCAGCTGAAAACTATATTAAACCCTGCTTAGTACAGAAACTATTGATAAATACTGTGCACTTTTACACTTACACACTTTTACACCACTGTAAAAAGCATTAACTTTTGTCATGTGGCAATATAATACTGATGCTAAATCTCAATATCATTACAATTACTTGCACATCATCATTAGAGACATGCCTGTTTTACTAACAGATACAACATTTATGTGATGGTGAGAAGTATTGATCTTGTACACATTAAATCTAAAATCAGCCAAGCTTTCTTCATGCGGCTGTTACAGATTTAATTTAATCCAGGTTATCGATTGGCCTCAGGCAGGTAATCCATCACTTTTTTACAGGGTTCACTGAGTATTAACATGGCTTTCATTTGTTGAGTTAATTACAATCTGACGTCATTTCGCTTGTTCTGCTCTCCAGGAAACGAAGTGGTCATTGATGAGGTGTTGACTCATAAATAACATCAAATAGGGCTTGTAAACATCTTCTCGTTCAGTCCCTTGAGCCACCCACAATGCCTTTATATCTTACAGTCCCATTATTAAGACAGAAAGCTGCTGCTGAATGGTTACCATGGTAAATTGTTGTCATGACAACCCCAAGCTTTACTTGATGTACAGAGACTAAATGAAGACACTGAGATAAAGGGACTCTGACTAATCTTTTGAGTAAACTATCAGAGTATAACAGATATTTTTGAGGCTTTTAGACATTATTCTTGTATTTTTACAACCCAGTTTTGATCAGGTTCACTCTAAGCCAGATTTGCTTGTGGAAATGGAATGAATGTAACACACAGGGAGTCTTAACATTAAGGACATGCAGCATTAGTTAGATGTAGCGGTATCATTGACTGGGTGGGCTAAAAATGAGAGAAATTTCACAGAATGCTTCCAAACTTACCTGTCCAGTTATCATGATTCATGACTATCTCCTCTTTTTCCTTCATTAGTCTCTTGTCTTCATAAATTTGGCAAAGGATGACAACGCAAATTAGTATGAGTGTGTAAAGAGTCTCTCTTTCCCCCAGAACATTGTCTCTCACTGTCTGGTGACCTGATAAAAACCTTCCAGTTTGGTCTTGTTGTTTGCTCTCTTGGAATTTTAATGAGCGTGCCTTTGCTTTGTTATAAACCTCTGACATGACCTTCAGTAGGTGTTGTGTCGCAGGCTAGAGTCTTAGGTTTAGCCTCCTTAATGTTGCTGTAATGGCTCACTGACTGTGCTGACCAAGCAAAGAGTGTTTATCATCTTTTAGGCAGCAGGAGGAGATGGTTAAGATGAACAGTCATCTTCGATAAAGAGCTACACTGTCTCATTTTCTCACAGATAATAACTGCGTCATTCATCACTCCAGTCCTCTCTGACTTAAACTTAAAAATTCTCTGATTTTAAAGCTGAAAAACTTTCAAGTGACATTGCACAATTTAGCTCTCAGGTAAATAAAAGATAACTGTATAATCTCAGTGCTGTACCAAACTAGAATTGTCCAGATTTCCAATTTTTCTGTGCACAATGGGAGCCTCTCATCCATGTAAGCTTAAAATATTTACCAACCATGAGAAAAATGAGCCTTACTATCACACAGCTTGTAAAATGTATCATGTCATTGGTATCGTCAACCCTATTATTCGGCTTGATGGAAACATTATTAAATACATATTAGATGAAAATCTAATAAATAAGTACCCATGATTTACAGAGTTCTATTTGTGTATTTCAGGTCTATTTGTGAGATGAACCTGGAGGCGGAGCTGTTCACTCTGCAGGACAGTAACTCCAAACTGGTGGCTGCGTTGCATGAAGCTAACGCTAACGTGGAGCAGTGGAAAAAACAGCTGGCAGCATATCAGGAGGAGACTGAGCGACTTAGAGACCAGGTGAGACTGCTGTGTTTAGACTGAAATCAAATCTGAAGTACAAAGGAACATTTGGTTATTTCAAGTTGTCAAATTACTTGGGAAATATATTGTACTGTGCTATTTTTACCATTCAAAACAAAAGCAGCTGCAGAGTCTTGTAGTCTCCCTATCCATCCTAATGCTTGGGGCACAGATGCTTTAAAGCTGCTTTTTGTTGGAGCAGCAGAAGGGATACTACTTTAAGACCAGTGCTGAACCACTTGTATAAATTGTATCTCAGATATTTATTTTTAAGTTTTTGCCTGAATTTTGTCACCCAAAATACCCAATTTCAGTCAATAAAAGAGCTTTGGTATCATACATTACATGCCAAAATGACTGTTTAGAGCTCCTGTTAAAAACTTTCAGTGTCTGGTGAGTTCGGCGTCAACAATGCTTTCTCTTTGAGGACTTTGTCTTGCATTGGTATCACCAGCTCTATTATTCAGCTTGATGGAAACATTATAAAATGCATATTAGATGCAACACAAATAAATAAGTACACATGGTTTACAGAGACGTATAATTCAATTCGCTGGTGTGGGCCTTAAAGTCAATCTCAAAGCATATTTTATCTGTTAGAGTCTTTTTTTTTTCAAGTGTTTTATTATCAAGAGGTTGGTTTTGAATCTGAGGAGACGGCACAGGTTGATGAACATTTGCATCAGGCCAAAAGACCTTCATGCTTCACTGAGTCCGACACTGAGAAGTTGTTCTCTTGTTTGCTGTGGCCACGACATGTTTGTTTGTTGTTTTCTGCAGGGCAGAGGCTGATGATCAAGGTCACATTTAGTATTTATCAGTTCTTGAGCCATTAGGCTCTGACACAGGAAGGGTTTTAAAACCTGATCAAGGTGATGAAACTGTCACTCAAACTTAGTAGAGTCTCAGTGCCAGCCAAGTTTTTCCAAGTTTTTTTTATTCTTTAATTTTATCAACTAATCATTTTGTTGTTGTTGTTGTGGATGTTTTTTTCTGCTTTTATTTGAAAGGACAGCAAAAGATAGACAGGAAATGTGGGGAGTAGAGAGTGGGGGAAGACATGCCGCAAGGAAGGCTTGTAGGTTTCGAACCAGTAACTGCTATACCCTCTAAACATGGGACACTTAAGACTGTTGTGCTATGTGCGCCCTGGTTCTGTATTTTAAATAGATGGATAGATGTTAGGTAAATTCTGCTTCACAATAATAGGAATAGTCCAAACTCAAAGGGTCAAAAAGTGACATTGTGATGAACGCTTGGCTGCCAGCAGCCAGTTCTCCCGGTAGTAACTTTTCTAAAATTCCTGCTTGAAACTCCAAAAGTCAGGAGTATGTTAGCATGTACAGTTAAGTCAGGCTACGGTCAAAGGTCATTTTTTACATCCTTCCTTTGTCCGTTGGGGTTTTGTTTACTACCCTGTTTCCTAGCAACACATCAATGCTGTTCAGCTTCCAGCTCAAAGCCTGGTGTTCAAACAGAACTCTGCACTCGAGTCAGTTGGGAAGTCAGATGTCCGAGCTGGGAATGACGTCACTACCAGCGTTTTGGTTACCAAATTGCAAAAAAGCAAAATCAGAGGCGGACACAAGATGGCAACATCTACGAAAGTTATTATAGCATTTGCTTCGTCCGAGTATGAGCAGCTTCTAAACAAATATGTGGTCCTTCTTCAACATCTTGTTTTCGCCTCTGATTTACCTTTTTTTCCAACTTGGTAACTGAAACGCTAGTAACTCGGTAGTAACGTCATTCCCAGCTCGGACATCTGACTTCTGAGGTAACTCGAACACAGCATTAGGCCAGTCACAGTTCAGTTAACTCTTGTATATGACAGAAAACCCTTGCTGCATTTTCCAGGTATGTTCGCCCGACTATAGGAAGTTCAATTTAGTGCGATTTCAGTCAGACTAACTCTTTTACATGTTTTTTTAAAGTCCAGTTTCAGTCAGACAAAGGCCATAAATAGCTGTATTTTTTTAAACAACATGTAAACATACTGAATAACCTCTGCATTTTATGACATGGCCCATTTGGGTGTTTTACTGCCTCGTCTTGACACAGTTGTATTTGGATGATATTTGAACTGGTCCGCCATGCTCATGCCAATGTCACATTTTAATGAGGAAGAGTGGGTCTAAATATGCTGAGCCTCTAGAGGGTTTTGCATTTGAATCACTCCTCTCAGGTTCCAGTGGATGCAGATGCCTCTGGTCTTCAGCCTGTCACTTATCAATAAGAAGCTTTTGCTGCTGGCTGATTCTTCTGGGAGTGACCTCTCCTCAGGCGGGCAATTACAGACCTCTCTGACTCTACGCTTAATACTCTGATCCCTTTCAATCATAGCCTGCCCATATACAGTATCGATCAGTACTTCTTGATTCTCCACCACTCGTCTGGTATTTAGGAGGACTTTTCAGTGTTTGGTTCAAATATGAGAAAATTCGAAGTCTTTTTTTTCTTCCTCTGGACCAAGTATGTCCCCTCTATGTGAAGAAAGGGACCAGGTGGCTGGCTGAAAATGGTTCACGTCTCCCGGGTGGAGTGAGAGGAAGAGGGGTTTGTAGGACAGCTATATCCTACTTTCAATGCCCCAGTTAGGAAGAAATGAAAAATCACCAGAGGGAGCTGGCATCCACAAGTTTTCTCTTTTTTTTCTGCTTCTGCTTTCAACCACTCCTCCAAGTCTCAACCATACAAGGTTTAAAATAATCCAGTCTGTCACTGTTTGACCTAGGGGGCATTTTTCAAGCGTCCGTCTGCTTTTGTCTGGTTCATACGGCCCAGATGACGGTGCAGAGAGCATATGAATCTTACTTCAAAAGAGTAGTTGACTGACTGAAGATAATGTTGTAATGTATGCTTGTAAGTTTAGTTGGTTGGGCCCCTCTTCAATACAGGAATCATGGAGAACAAGTTCACAATGATCGCCCACCTGCCACACACTTCGTACATTTAAACAACAGTTATATTTGGAGTAACTACATCACAAACTATCTCCATGTAGTTTGCTCCAGTTTCTCATTTGATTGTTACTGAGATTATTAATGACTGTCAGCATCTTCACTCTCTGCTGCTCAGAGCTGCGTTCCATGAACTCTCATCCTGACAGGATTAAAAAGTACACAATGAGCTGGATGTTGAGCTCCTTGCCGTTTTATCATGGAGTATATTCATAACAGATGTGACAGGTTAAACAATTTATATACATTCTTGAGCAAGCCAACAAAAAAGCTGATTTTACTCCTTATACCAGAGGTAAAAAAAATTCATATCATTGACTTTAAGTGTTTTAGCATTTATCTCTTTCTAGTTTTAATGGCAGGATCGTCTTTTATTGAGCTATTTTGGTGCTCTTATTCTAGTATCTTTTACTGTTGTTTTTATTTCATTTCATTTATTATTTCTTAAATTTCATTTTTTGTTTCTCTGTTTTTAGATTTTAACCTAACCTCCACTGTTTGCTTATCTTTAATTTTAAAATGGTGTTTCCTCAGTGCGCACATTCCTGTTTCTATGAAATCAAGCCCTTTTCAACTTAATGCATTTTAATACGTTCCTGTTGTGTTTAGATCGTGGGGTGGGAATGAGGGGTTGGGTTGGGGTAGATTCGGGTATTCTTGTTTCTTTTATTCCTTTTTCTGTGTAAAGCACTTTGTGCTACATGGTTGTGTATGAACAGTGCTATATAAATAAAGACTGATTGATTGATTGATAGTCATGTCAAATGGATGTTAATAGACTCCATGTGTAGATTGAACCATTATGCTTCTGAGACAGAGTAAATGTGATTAAAAGAACTTCCACTAATACATGCTAGGTTCATGGAAAAGCCTGTTACTATTAGCACTAAAAGCAAATTAAGGGCCCGGCTTATATTGAAGGATTTGTCTATACATGAGATATTTATATTTATATTCAGCCTGCTAAGCATGAGTCATTTCTCTGTGTTATAAGGTGGCTGAATTAGAAACTCATGGAGGCCACGGCCCGAGTGACCTGCTGAAAGACGAGCTGACCCAGTCTCTGGAGGAGCTGGAGTCCCTTCTGAAGGCCAAAGATGAGGTTGGTACTTTTTGTTCCAGTTTGCTATGAACAAGAGACAGAGATGGGACACTGGCATGTTTGACTATGCAGTGTAACCCTATCATGATGAACATGGTTTCATCCTTTTATCTTTTTTTTTTTTTAGGAAATTCACATTTTGCAAAACAAGAAAGCAGATTATCACGAGATGGAACAGGATAGAGATGAGGCCATTCGTAGATTACGGGTAAGTGAGATAAAAAAAATGAATAAAATGAATGGTTTAAGAATTATGTTCAGATTTTTTGAGCAACAGAGGCAGTACCTGTGTTTGCATTTTCCTTCTCTCTTCCTCTCTGCAGGAGATGGAGATGCGAAATTCAGAGCTGGAGCGTCGCATCCAAAACTCAGAGCAGAACCTGAACAACACTTTGGAGGACCGTGATCGCATGGATGCAGAAATCCAGAGGGCCATCGAAATTCTGGACATAAAGATCTTTGACCTCAATGATCTCCGACAGAGCTTGTTCAAACTTATTGACAAATAAGAAAAAAAACGGGAAACCTGACCCAAGAGAGACGTATGGATGACAGGGGGCGCTGTCATCTGGGTGAAGAAAACAAAATAAAGATGGAGCCGGTCCCTGTTCTCCACAAGCACAAGAGCCAACTCTGCAGGCTACAGGAAGGTCTCTTTATGCTGGGCTGTACTCAAATATACTGTAGGTGTTGGCCTATGCAGCAGCAAACACATGCTTGTCCAGTCTAATGTAATGCTTCATGATGCTTTAAAGGGTAACGTTCAATGCAATAAACCAACTTTAAGGTAAGTGCTTCACAGTGCTAGACAGTAATATTGGTGCTTGTAGTATGTCATAGGTCTAACTTTTGTACACGTTATGAGGATGCAGTGTCAGTATTAATGTTAAGAGGCCTTGTTTATGTTTTTTTTTTTTCAACTAGCAGGTAAACATCTTTACACCAAAATGAGTCCAGAGAAGATGCATATTAAATGGTCTGAGAAAAGCAAATGCAATTAGTACTTAAGAGTTAATAAGGCAGAAATCTTCAAACTTCAAAGCCTACATATGACAGCATTTTTATTAAAGTTGCAATTATAAGCGTTTGCTCTGAACAAAATGGTACAAAATTAATGTTTATATCATAGTAAAGCATGTGCGCATCACTCAACCTTAAAGATGAGGTCTGAATATTGACGCTCAAACCAAATGTTTTTTTTTCTTCTTTTTAGCAGTCATCAATAAGGCCTTTATCACATCTTCATTTAGACTGATAAGAAACCTTTAAATCTAAGACATATAACAGAAACATGTAAACACATTTTAGTAGCTAAGATACATTAAGTATTTGCAGTTAGAATAAGTAAGTATTTTGGACCACAGTTATATGAGTTATTTTAAAAGCTGTTAAGTAAATATGAAGGAAAATTCATCACTTAGTGGTACATACAAATCTTACTTGAGTATGGGGGGAGAATTGTCTCCTAAACTACTGATTTAGCAATCTTATTTATGATAGACTAGCTCAAGAAAATCACACACTTCTGCCTTCCGTCATTTCTCGGCACGTTACCTTTAGCTGTGGACAATATGCCAAACGCCTTCTCAGTCTATTACCACGCTGACTGTATTATTTAACTGAGTCTACGATGCTGTTTGTGTTGATTTCAAGCCTTATCGTTTTATTTCAAAGGTGGTTGTTGATCAATATGACAGCTCTGTGTTTCAGATTTTGAGCTTTCGTAATGTCAGTTTGGGAATAAAAGTCAATGCAGTCACCTGTGATCTGTCTTGTTCTGATATTTTCAAGTTTATTTTTCTTGTGGTCATCTATTTGTAATTTTTGAAGTTACTTTTTAGGCAAATCCACTTTAGGCAGATAGGAAATAGTGGGGGATAACATGCAGAAAGGGCCATGACCAGGGGTCAAACCAGCAACCAGTTGACTAGGACTGTATAGGCTTTGGACACAGGGCACACACTGAACAGCTTTGCCAACCTGCAGTCTTGAATGACAATTTTTGCCGCCAAAATGAAGTTACAGTTCTCACTAAGGAAAGTTAATTTATATTTGCAGACGCCTTTTCTTTTCACAGCACTTCTGCTCCACTGTGTGTGAAGAAACAGGAGTGAGCTGAAGCACCTGTGATCCAAACCGGTGTGGTGGATTTTTCTTCTCTGTCCTGTGCACAATCGGGCAACTGTGATTTCACGTAGTTGCAGACATCTACTGTACCCACTGAGGTAGGGAGTATGTGTCTATAGATCCAAGAACCATTGGGAGGCAGAAAAAGCCAATTCTTACTGACTAATCAAGATTTGAATCACTTGCAAAGAGCCTGAATTCCCATCACTTGTGGCATTTACACTGAGGTTGCTCACATGAAAACCAAAAAGTCTCCAAATCTTGCACTTGCATGGTATGATAGATCGAAAAGCTCTCAAGCAGGGTAGATAAAAATAATTGGTGAATCTTAATTTTTGGGCTATTATGGGTTTGGATCAGATCTTTTACTGGATTTGGATCATGGAGACCATGAGACCATGGAGAGAGGGAATGAAGAGGACTATCAGACTTATCAGGTTTTTAAATTATTAGGGTGCCAGTTTCTCTACTGTGAAAAGTGGCATTATCTCCTTATCCATACACCGTGTAACAGCATCTATAAGGCATTCATGTCTGTGTCATCTGGTTGAAAGCCAAAATGTAACCAAAGGGGCAAAATACGAATGCAGTTGTCTAACCATAAGGTAGGGTAAGTAATACACTGCCACACTCAGTGTTTGGCTTGTTAATAGTGAAATCATTCATTTTTGTTGTCACCATGGCAGCTGTAGTGATACTGTGTTAATGATCCAAGGGGAAATTTGTCTGGGCTGTGTTTCCTTTATTCCTAAAAAAAACCTGACCTTGTCTTGAAGCATAGCATTCATTCAATTCCACCTCAAACAGATTATTAAACTTGTGAGAGTTTGCACAAAAAATCTGCATCCGTACTCACCTAAAAGATATTACAAGAAAATGGGTCAGCCAGACTGAAATGGGCTAAAAAAAATACATAGAACTTACCTCAAGCAGACGAATAAAACTTATGATGAAAAGTCGCTTCATCAATTTGATCATTTAAAACCCTTTTTATGCACCCTCAAGAATACTCTCAGCTCTCTGCGAACACGAGTATTTTAAACATATTAACTCTAAATCAAGCTAAAAGCCAACTCCAGACACAATTTATCACGTTTTCAAGAGAAGATTTCACACTCGAGCAAAAACAATTTTCCAAGGAGCAGAAAATAAGGTATTACTGCATAATTATTCAGTAGCATGCTGGAAAAACAAGAACTTGATAGGCTGGGTCCTGTGTCTATGAAATAACAGGCTCATCTGTTGTTTTTCTGCTCTGAATACACATGACATCTGCGGGTGGGCCGAGAAAAATAGAGCGCGTGGCGACGTGCATGCACCAACGCGCACCGGCCAATGTAAATGCAATCTCAGACACTTAACACAGATATCACTCTTTTTAATAAGCGCTGATCCACGATCAGTGAAGTGGTCTGAAATTCACATTGAACTAACGCTTTGAGTCACTTTTTTACAGACTCAGAAGAGGAGCTTTGTTGACTGACGTGGGGCTGATGAGGCACAGCTCTTAAGCACTGAGTTCAAATTGGAAATTGATGAACGTTGCCGCTCTGACGTAACACGGCTTTTTACGTTCAGGTATAAGGAAATGATGCTGCTGCAACAAAAAACAAAAAAAAACGCATCGTCCCTGGGTGGGCTCGAACCACCAACCTTTCGGTTAACAGCCGAACGCGCTAACCGATTGCGCCACAGAGACAACTGACTACTAAAGTAGTGCGTAAAACTACTCATATCACAATACCACATGTTATTATGCGTAACTCTAGTATTTTAAGTCATCTTACCGGCCCATGAGCGCCTCTCCACAAAGCTAACTGTGACACACGCATGGATTTAAAGAAGCAAAAGTTGATCACGTGCGTTATGGAAAGCCTAGGCTCCACCCCCATCTTGATATGTTTCCACATTCATCAAATACAATGGAACATGCAGACTCCTTCAGAGTTTTGTTGTAGACGCTATCAAACATTTTCTGTGTTATTTGTCTATTAAAGACAAACAGTCAACGTTTTAAGATTAGACCAACCGCATTTACGGCTCATGCCAGCAGATGGCGCTGTGGTACAAAAGAAGCGCTGCTACAAATACCACTGACTGAGTGACCACTTTAGTTAGAGGCATTTAAAAATACTCTCTCAAATAGCTGTAAACCCAGGCAAAAAAAAAATATCCAGAAAAAGGAATAGATGATTAAAACAAAATAGTAACTACTTCAATCATCACAAGAGACAATTGTTAAGAGAGTGAAATTTTTAATTAATTTTCCAGATTTAAATATCTGTTGCATATTTCACATAACAAATTCATTATCTTGCATTGCTGGACCACTTATCTATGCCCACACCAGGTTTTACACCAACTACCCAATGCACACCTTCTTTGTGTTGTTGTCTTTAATTTGTGCCACAAACAAGCATAAAAAATTACATTTGCCGTATCCCAATCACAGACATGAAGTAAACCCTGAAATATTGAATGTAATATTTTATAACTTACAAGATGTTGCATTCAAAAGGTCAGCTCTGCTTTTCTTATAATCTTTTCTTATAAACAAAACATGTAGTTTATGAAGATTAAATGCTTTGAGGGCTGATTATTAGACAGCAACATAAGTCAATCTTGTGTTAACTCATCACAAAAGACAGAGAAAGTAAGGTGAGAAGTTTATTTTATTTTTGGAAATTAATATCAGTCACAGTCTTAAATTAGCTATCAAGTTGATATCTTTTTTTCAAACGTGTTTGATGAACTATGTGGACAGTCAGCTGTGTTCACAGTCTGCCATGTAGGCTTCAAAATTAAAAAAATAAAAACAGAGAAATGTGACTTTACACTGACCACAAAAACAGTGTTACTACTTCTAAACAATTAAATTTGTGCTCCGTCTGAGCCTCAGTGTATCTGTCCTCCTGAGCCAAAGGTTGCAGGTTTGAGTCTCTCTTGGGGTGAGTCGAGGGCATGCAAATCAGAGGCCTTCTCATCCCCTTATCCAGAAATCAGGAAATTGAACCTTTTCTCTGCTATGTCAGTATTTTGCAAGAAATAATAATGAACTGTCACAGCTTCACTCATCCAACTCCTCTTCCAGTGAAATGAGATTTGATCTCAAACAGGAAATGTAGCACAGACGGTCAAATATCACATCCACTCAACAAGTATCTCTGTTTCAGTTCTGAGATAGTAAAACTCTAAAAATCAACTTCACTGAGCTTTCCGCATTCTGTCAGCTATGGATGCCCTGTGGTTGGTCAGGTTATTGAGGACACAACTGTTAGTCAGCATAGAAAGTTTGGAGTTTAGCGTGTCTTTGCTTTTCTCCCAATTATAATCGTCTCCTTTATTTTCCTCTTCTCCTTTTCTATCCTCTTCATCCTCCACGTCCTCACTCTCTTCATCGCTACGTTCATCCTTTTCCAGCTGGAGACAGAAGCAGATAGAGAGTTAAATGCTAAGAAGAAAGTCTAATGACAAGGGATTGTATATTTACTCCATACAGCATACTCCTGTTTTAAAGCTTCTCACGAGAATACAGAAGCACCTCTGACTTGTATCACTGACAGTTTCATGGACAGTGTTGATGATGCCCATTGGTTGATTCAGCTGTGTTGTGTATTCTTACCTTCCCTTTCAGGAACTTGTAGATCATACGTAAGATCAACACAGCCCAGAAGACATGAAGAGCCTGCAGCACCATCAGCAGGATGTTGAAAAAGTAGTAGCCGACAAAAGGTTCAAACACCTCCACAGAAAGCACTAGAGTGGTGTGGATGATCCTGTAAGTAATTACATAACTTTAAAAACTGTGTGTCTATAAAAAAACAACTTAGTTTATCTAAAAATGCTATAATTGTGAAATATTTTAATTGACATAATAGATAAACAGATAAATCATCTTTGGAGTGAATCTTACTTGCTGGGAAAAATCACCAGTCGGGTCACAAGGAAGACCACAGCAAACACAACAAACAGAGCGTCACACGTTTTCCTCCAGCCAGAGCTGTAGTTGAACATCTTGGCGGACTGCAAACATACAGACAATCAACCGATCTTATCAAATTCAAACCACAGTTGAAGCTCTTTGTGATGTTAACTCATCTCAGCGAACAAAAAAGCAGTTATGTAGCAAATGACCTGAGAGAGGATGTAAGGCAAATTTACATGAGCATTTGTACTTTTCTTCATAACTTTGAAATTCAGTAAAAACACTTGGAAAACAAGGTGAAACAACACTGAATAACAAAGATTCCTTAAAACTTAATGAAAGAAATAAATTTATCATGTTTGAGAACAACCTACAAAACAAGAGCTGCATTTGCAAAGTTGCTCAGTTAGGTTGAGCAAATTTGAGCCGAGATAATCATGTCCGATAGCATGGTGCAGTGGTTTCCTGGTAGCTTGTTGTTTCATAGTTCAGTGCCAGACTTTGAAGTTTAATTTCTGTATTTCACTCATATTAAGTCCCACACATTGCTTAAGATTCAGGGACTTGAAGGCAAGAGACCTGTCCATGTGTGTTTTAGTGTTTTTTCAAGATTAAAGGGAGCTAGAGAATATTTCATCTGCCAAGGAGGGCCCCACAAAAGAGACCAGTATGAGAACAGCTGGTTTAATCTAGCATGAGTCTGAGATATCAGCGGACCTCCACGTAGTACAGAACAAAGCTAAGTGCTTTATATGCCTTACTACTTCTCTTTGCCATAACCTGAATTCTATTTTGTCCCTCAAGTTGAATAACTTTTTTTTTATTTTTTTTTTACACAGTAACACAGAAGTAATTTATAAGAACCAACTCTCAGATTTCAGTCACAGGATTCACCTCCTGAAATATGTGGACCATCCTGCGGGCTACTGCAGATTTCAGACCAGATATCTTTTGTCCTACGGCATCCTCAAGCAAAGTATGAACCTTTGACTTTGTTTTAAAGACATATAAAGCCTGTTTTTCTTTATTTGTTGCGGCTAAACAGAGACAGAAAAAGGTTAAAATGAAGGTAGATCTCTGGTGAAAGATTTGACCTGAAGAGATTTATCATTTTTGTGAAGTCCCATGTGTCTGAGTTCAAGAGGCTGAACTCATGACACAAGACTCATATTGTACAAGATGCCCTCTTGATTCTCACCAATGTTTCATGAAAGCTGCATGACCTTTCTTTCTGATACTTTCAGAGAAATTTAGTGGTCCTCATAGGACACGGGATCTCACATTACCTCCAGCAGGATGTCAGAGGAGTCGTGGAGCAGCATGACCAGGGTACCGATGCGGATGTAATTGGCACAGTAGGAGAAACTGAGCAGGAAGATGGTAGCCAGATGATGAACCACCTGTTCTTTAAAATCCTGGAATAGCAAACATATACAGAAGCTTTACTGAGTAACAAAATCAACCAGTCACTTATAAATCATGTGTTCTGTGGCGAAAACAAAAGTGTAAAGCCTAGCCAGGTTGAAGCAAACACAAGACAAAATGTCAACTTTTGAGAAGGGTCCTCACCTTCCTTTTGATGTCCACAGAGATCCGGAGGAGCAAAGAGCCATAGAAACCCAGCTCTAGCATGTAGTACCAGTAGTGAGCTCTCTCCATAGGCTGAAAGTAAAACACTTAACAGTCAATAAACAAAGTATGAAAACACCTGTACGCTTTGAGCCACATCTACCAACAATCTTTGAATCAAATTTTGTCTTTAAAAGCCTTTTAACATAGAAGTTGATCAACTGACCATGAATTGGGGACAAGTTTGCAAACAATAATATTTGTTTTTATTTAAAAGGGCATAAATGTTAATTCTAAGTGGATATTTATGTTTTTTAACCTTCCTCCTGTGTTAGCTTTTACTACGCACACACCATGTTAAGGGTCAGTTTTAACCTGTGTCTTAAATCAGCTGTAAATTACACTAAAATAATTTCTCTATCATCCAATTTGGTTCTCATTCTCATTGCCTTTCTCTGTCAGTATACCCCTCACACAGACATCTATACTGAATTGATCTCACATGTCTGGACATGCCTGACATTGTTTTTTGTGCAGGTAAAAACATGGCAAAATGAGAATTTCCTGAATCTCCCATGATTGGAAGAGGATCTGACTGTCAGTGTGGTGCCTGACAGTGCACTTATTATTTCAGTTTTTGCTCTTATCATTAGATATTGATCTAACCAGGTCAACAGCGACCCTAACACAACAAGTGCCATAATTTTAACAAGAGCATTTTATAATTTAGTCAATTTAATTTTTTTATTTCCATTATGTTGAAATAGAGATTCCTGACAAAGTCAAAAAGTCGTTCAAAAATGGGTCGGTGCAGACCCTAACACAGGAGGAGGGTCAGTGGTCCTCTCAGTAACAGAAACATGCATATCTCTTAAGTTTTAGGCTTTTGATCAGAGTCTTGCTGGGGTATGAAGTCATCTCCCATAGGTCTCCTAACTCATTTAGAGGGGACAAGCTTCAGATCATCTACAGCTTTGCGACTAGATGATTGTCCATTAAGGCAGTCTCTTTCTGAGTATATACCCATAATTGTTTTGATGTCTGTAACCTGACCAAAGTCTGTTAGGACTGAAACTTTGTTTGACTAAATATGCCAGCTTAAGCAAAACAGGGTATAGGGAGTTCCTTCTAAACTAAGTTTTGCTTTTGACCAGACAAAACAAAATAAAAATTGTCTTTTCTTTCCAGTGATACTGTAAGAGGTGTCTTTAATTTAAAGACCAAAAAGTAGTCTGTAGTTTAGCTTTGAAAAAACCATCAGGAAGTCCCTGAACACTTTTGTGTTCCCCTGATACTTCACACAAAGGCCTATCTGTACAAAGAAAATAAGGTTGAAAAGGGTTGGTTTTACTATCACAATTCATTGAAGCTAAAGACCTTTTACAGTTACTCCAGCAGTCTGATGGATAAGACGCAGGTCTCTTGAACCAGGGATTGATTTCAGAGGTTCGATGTCATGATGTCAGGGTGTGGTAGCAGATTACAATCATGATTGTTCCATCGTGGTATCTGTGATTTTTTAACACGACCAAAAATTTACTCTAAAACTGTGAGATACAACACTCATTGTTCTTTGTTGTATGATAGAGGAAATGCAAATGTTCATCAGAACGTCCTTGTTTTAAATTCCCCTTTTTTCAACAAACTCAATCTGCTTCCTTCTCACTCAGATTTCAGTCAGATTATGTTACGGCTCTGAGTATACACCTCTCTGACTGGTTCCCTGTGTTCACAACTTATCCCTGCCTGCCTCTCTTTGTTTGTGTCCTGTGTGTGTGTGTGTGTATGGGTGAGTGTGCATGTGTTTGCATGAGTGTGTAGGTGTGTGCTGGCATAGGCGTGGTCCCCCTTCCCTGTTCCCCTGGCTCCAGCTCCGCTCCTTTTATACACCTGTGTAAAATGAGCAGCGCTGTTCATCAGTCCCCTGTCTGCACACCTGCCCCTCATCATCCGTGGGGGGTTAAGACACAGCTACAGTCTCTTCAAACAAACGTGAGAAGCAGCTACTCCACTGTAGTAGTCAAATCCAAGGCTAAAACAACACTAAATTCATCAGGGGCTTCCTAGCTAAGACAAATGACCTTGAAGTGTTGAAATGCTCCCTGTGATAAAAGCTGTAAGGGAAGAGGCTTTGATGCTTGTTTTTTTTCCCTCTTTGGCCCAGGTGAGCAGGGTCCTCCTTTACAAAAGCAAAGATGATACCTTCACTCTAAAGTTTTCGCAGCAGTAATGTTTAAAGTGATACAGCATCAGGTGTTAATGAAAATAACAAATCAGAAGAAAATTTGAAACTTTGTCTTGAAGGCCTCTGGAATAATGTTCATCTAATCGTACAAGTTAGATTCATGTGGATCAATATGAGCTGAGATGTGAGTGAGTTATGTAACTTTGATTATAATTTCATTTCCAACCTTCAATCAGAGCAAGCAGGTCAAACCTACTCGCATGAAGCTTTATTGCCTTTTTGATTATTCTGATAATAACTCATGGCTGACATGAGATGAGTGTTATGTCCACTCCGATGAGACGACTATCAGATGGTGTCAGATTTCTGTTTGTTTACAGCTCAATGTGTTTCACTAATGACTGATGAGCGCACAGTAAGACTGAACAGCAAATTATTAAGCACTATTGGCACGAATTTATTGAACGATAAAATTAAAATATAAAAGAGTCACATTTTATGATTTGTGAATGGAGTTAAAAGTCAGTTGAAGCTATTTAAAATGTAAAATCTAGCTGTAAAGTTCGAGAACTTTTATTGGAATTTTTACAGAATTGACCAAAACTAGCTGCTCTGAGATCCTCAGGAGACTGAGATATAAATCCTGTACATTCAAACATGAGAGACAATGCTGAGCCATGCTAAGTTTACAATTAATTTTGATTACTAAGCAATTTGAGCATGTGATGTGATCGTCAATATCTAAATACAACAAAGAAAGCAGCTCTGGAGGTGTATAAAGTTTGTTACCATACTTGCTTCCCTCTGTAGCTTTACTAACATGACATTATGGTTAAAAAGGTTTTCATAACTATACACCTTTATCTCAGATTACATATCACTTGCAGGGGTTAGGGGGGTTGAAAAGAGCCAGCTTCATGACATGGAAAATCCTGGCGTGATGCTCTGCAGAGCTCGCTTATCATCTAATTTCACTTCACTCCTCATCTTGTCCCATTCCTGTGATTTTAAGACTGCATTTAAAAAACTGATTATCATCATCAGGGTCCACCCAAAACACGGCCTTCTGAGGTGCCAGAGATACACACACATATGAGGGAAGAAATAAGAAAACAGTTGTACAAAACAACTTAGGGAAATACCTGAACCGGATATCCCTTCCAACACTCCCTACGGTCCCAGAACCAAGGCCTCTGTGGAATTAAGGTAAAAGAAGATGAGGCTGAACCTCAAGAAATACTTAATCAAGAATATTTGTTCATTTAGATATGTCAACACACTCCTGATTATTTAGAAAAAATGATTCATGCATCAACAGCTTCACTTTGTTATAAGGTTTAGCAGTGAAACATTTAGAATTACCCACATCGATCAAACAAGCCAGTCCTGCTATGAAGGCTGTGAGATAAAAAAAGAACCTCCAGCTGGAAAAAAAAAACACAAGATCACAAATTAAATCACAGACCACTTAAAAGAATCAAGCAGATTGCTCCAGTGAAGTGAGACTCTTGTTGTGTTGGATTTTTTGCAGGGGGAAGTGAGGGTGGTGCTCATGAGTTGAGTCAACTGTAACCTGAACATTGGAGACCTTTTGAGGGGAAAACACTCACGCAGCTTCACCAAACTTCCTGGTCTGACACGGTCTGTCCTGGTTCCTGCGTAGTCTGAACCAGGTCTCGATCTGTCTCTGGGTTTTTCCACACAGTGACATCAAAGTAACAATGTCACTCTGAAACAACAATGGGAGGATGAAATCAGCGGGTGCACCCCCTGTGGCTTAAGTTGCATGTATGCAGTGTGGGATTGGGAAGGGACGGGGTTCAGTACGTGACTCAAGGTATAAGAGGAGGGAAGTGGACATTAACTTTCCCTTTTAATTTGCAATATACTAAACTGACTATAATTTGAAAAACTACTGCTAAATTGAAAGGTTTGAAACATGACTTGATAAGGTATTTCTTAAATAATCTGGTTCTTTGTTTTCTGAAGCTGCTTATTGATCATCTGCAGCACAAACAGACCTATTGAACAAGAAATGGGTTCATATGAGAAGTTGAGTCTCTTCTTTTTTTCTCCTTTGTCAGTATTTTGGTCCAGAGAAAAGTGGAAAATATGTCTGCTTCTAATTTATCTGAAAGCTGAAAGAACAATGTTGCATGAATATGTTGGTTGCAAGGTTTCAAATGGAAAAGGAACTGTCATCACAAAACTAAATACTGTACTCAACCTACAATTTACAACATAAGTGTCCCCACATTGAGCTAGGGTTTTTCCAGGTCCTCTCTTTTTAAACTAACCTGTGTTGGCTGTCTGCTCCTCTGGGTGTAAAACAACTCCAGCTTTGGGGAGGGGGCTGCAGTCACTTGCAGTCTTTTCTTCACCCCCAAAAATCTGCACATGGGTGGGGCTAAATACCTGGGAGGGAGGGCAAACAAAAGACAGCTCAAACAAAGATATAACACCCACTGTTGGGGAGTCAGGGCGCCGGTCTACGGTAAGTTAGCCATTATTCACAACAAACAAAGCCAAAACAGTGGTCTCACAGGTAGGTGAAGCCATTAGTGTACACATTAAAGCATGCCGTGTGTGTGAGTCCTGAGGATATTTATACCTGCACACAGATTTGTTTATGATAACTAATCAAATATAGTGGTTTTTAAGAGGGGTTATTTTGGATTACAGCACAAGGAAATGAACAAGTAAGTGAACGAAAACAATAAAAGCTGAAGAAATGGCACATATCATATCACAGTTTTGATCTAAAGACCTATTTGAAGTAAAATGAGGAAGCATGACTGTCAAAGTTATGAAAAAATGTGTAAAATGAACAGTTTAAAAAGTATGCACCCAAAATAATATGAATACACTGCTTGGCCTAAAAAAGTCACACACTCTAATATTTCATTGGAGTGTCTGATCACTCATGACATGATAGTTACATTACTTGATCCAACTCTCTTCTTACACTGACACATGCATCACTCTGGAGCAGGGTAAATCTGGACCAATCAGACCACATCACCTTCTTCTAAAGTCCAGTCTTTCTGTTCCCCATAGTGAAGCGTGATCACCCATCCAGTAATTATCCAATGGGAGGCTCTTACCTATTTGCTTAGTTTAATCCAGGTGGTGAGTGTTTTTAGGCCTGGCAGTGTATGTTGACCACACAAAATATAATACAGCATTAGAACAACGTAGCAAAGTGCTGGGTTAAATTACATTTTAAAGCTGCAGTGGGGATTTTTTTTAACACTAATGAAACAGAATAAAATATTTATAATAAAGCCTTTTAAAGACAAACAAAAGTAAACAAGACCATTAATGATAGGAATGAGGATTTTATATTGTAATTTTTGATGCCCAAAATAGGGGCAAGGGGGTCGCTGTCAGCCAACTCGCTAACAAAACAGCCTTGATTTAACATCAGATCTGTAAGATATTTAAAATGAATGATGCATTTGACTGCCCAAAGTCATCTGGTTGAGACTTTTGTCAGGAGACACTACTCAGTTATGTAGATAACAAGATAAACAAGGACTGCTTTGCCTACAGAGAGCATCCAAATGGACACAGACAAAGTTAACATAACCCAAACATAAAACCAATGAAAGCTCTTGCAAGGAACTTTTGGTTTATGTCATTTAAACCTAACACAAAGCCAACAACAGATGTAATCAACCAATCACAACCCTTGAAGATAATTAATGTGCACATTTTCATGCATTTGTGCATGTGCATGAAGTGCTTGTAAAGCTTTTATGCACTCCTGAAAAACCACTTTCATCTCACTCCATCTACAGGTCTATGTGAAGTTTTTGCTCCTCAAACATGAACTGCTTTGTTAATTTTTGTCTATGTAGCTACAAATAGAAGAAATCAAACCAAGCGAATTGGTTGTTTCTGTTGGCTCCTCATCTGTGATAAAAATCTCAGATAGCTTCATGAGAGAAATCTAGAGAACAGAAAGACTAAGTAACCAAAGTCAAACACTGCTGCAGTGATGACATATCCCTGTGCTGTAAAGCCAACAATAACCCAAACATGCCATCCAGATCTCTACAGAGCAATGATGGCAGGTGTGTTTTACCTCTCAAACAGGTAACGTAGCACAACAAAGCCCAGTGCAAGGGGTAGAGCTATGAGGAGGTCCTGGGGTTGTGGGCGGTCAGAGTCAGCCATTTGGTCCATGTCCATCCAGGTCACACCTGGAGGGAGCCAGTAGTCCTGTCTCCAAACATCAGGCAGCATATCCATTCTGATGGGATTTAGTACGAGAGAATATCATAAATAGTGAGACCTCAGGGGACTGACTTTTCATTTGTGTGTGTGAGAGAGAAAGAGAAAGAGAAGAAAGAGAGAGGTAGCAAGGGGTATAAGTAGGTTTAACAATAGAGGTATAACAAAGGTATAAATGGTAGCAGACCCACTAAGTCTGAAAATCTACTCAAATGCAGCTCTATGCAGTTCACATCAAAAACACTGAACTCTGATATAGGGGTCTAAATAATAGAAGATCTAGCTACAGAAACCTGCTCTGTTTTAAAAATGTCAGAATAAAAGTAATAAACACAACAACAGCCAGATATAAACTTAACAGCGTTAGTAAGTCTTTCCATCACGAAACACAAAGTTAAAGTCAAACTGTTGAAGTATCTGCAGAGGAAAAACTCACCTTGGGTCAGTTCTGTGTTGCTGATGAATTTGTGACTTTCAATAAGAGTCCTTTTAAAAAACTGCTCCTTTGTTTGAGCTTTAATGGTTCATAGATGCGCCTTGTTGCCGTTTTCCCCTGACGACTCCAGCAGATAACAGAAGGACCGTTTTGGTTGTCAGGGTTCAGCTGTGAAGTTCCGCACCTATGGGCTATGTGAGCGTAAGAAGCACATTTCAAAATAAAAGTACTTTGTTGTGATAGTTGCACGTTGATGTGCCCACGGCAACTGAGAGGAAACTTGTTCGTAAAACTGACTATTCGAAACAACTGAATCAAATATGAATAGAACAACTCTTCCGTCATTGTTTATAACGAAAAGGTAATTTTAGCGAACCCTTATTCTGAAAGCTTTCGGTGTTTTCTCCCTTAATGATGTAGCTTGATGTTTTAGCGGCTAGTGAAACACCTGGGGCGTCTCCTGCTTTGGTCCACGGTTCATAACCCATTAACTCACTATGATGAACAAAGGAGAAGCTGTAGCATAAGCAAGCTATTACACCGCCTACATCTTACGACATTGTGGTTTCAGTTAAAATGTCAAATCTATAAGTTTTTTCTCTCAATTCTTTCTTTCAGTTAAGACTCATATTCTGTCACGTTAACAGTGTGAAAGTCTATTTTAACCTGTTTTAACAGACGGGCTAAGTATTTAAACCACGGTCTACAGTTGTTGGACATTTATCCTCAGGTCAGTCACTGATGCAGAAAAAACTCTGACCTTTTTCGTGTCCTATACCTTACTGACATTTAAGTGATATTATGTAACTATTTGAATAAAAAATAGCCTAAGTAAAAATAAAACCAACAAAAGAGTTATAGCCACAGCATCTCTTGTGTTGACATGCAGATGGAGGCTAAGGCTAAGGTAAATTTTTTGTGACACAGCCAAATTACTTTTTTCTTCTTCTGCACTTATTATAGTACCTGTCTTAGAGTTTTCATTATTAGACTGTAATTTTCCACATTTAACAACATTTTTGTGGCCTTGCAGCTAGATTTAGCTTCTCCATTCTCAAGTCCACATGATATAAGGTTTATATTAGGCTACCTCACCCTTACCCAAGTTTGTGACACTACAGTCTAAGGGCGCAATCTGGTGCAAGGTTTTACCATTACAGGAAGAACAATTGTCTCTACAAGTTGAACAATTAGGTGAAATCACAGTACATGACTTTTTTTTTTTTTTTTTAACAATGGGCTTTATCTAATTATATTTTCAGGAAATTCTTGCATGTTAAACTCATGCCATCTCCTGGAGTTACTTCTCTCCACTTGCTGACAGCCACAGCAACAATCCCGGATACTTCCAGGACTCCATAGTTCAAAGTTAAACACAGCTCTAATGGGGTGTAGACAGCCATCTGTGAAGTTTACAAACTTTACCTTGAACGGTTGTGTGTGCTGTGGCAGGGGGACTCTGAGTTTCTCTATTATACTTACACTAACAATGACACACACACCCTCAAACACACAGATGAACACTTATCCTAACCACAAACACACACACAGTTCTTCTCACATGACCCTCTGCCTGGAGTAACACTACTGTTGTGAAGTGTAATAAGCAGGCTGCCTATCACTAACATCACTATTGTTCTTTAGTTCAACTTATCCTTTTGTCATGCACATCAGTCAGGACAAGAGCTTTATTTTGACTTAACTATAGGTGTATCATCAGTCACAAAGGTGTCAAGCTGTTTGGTTACTGGAAGAGATATTTCAGGTACATTTTACAACAGAAAAAGAGGATTTGCATTTGTTTACCTTATGTTTGCGTGCGTGTGTCTGTGTGTGGGTGTGGTCACAAGGGGGAAGGGGATTTAGAGATGGAGTCACATAAGCAGGAAATTAGCCAGTGCACATTCAGGACAATATTTGCATACTGTATGCACCTGTCTGCCTACTCATATGACTGTGACAGAAGCCTACATGTTTTGCTTTTGCATAATTGAACCTGCTAGACAGCTAGCATGGTGACACATTCAATAATTACTTTAAAATGTTTTGGTTTTTATCAAGGCAATGATCCTTTGACTGTTAGTTTTATTTTTGTGATCTGTCCTCTTTTGCTCTGTGCACACGCACGTGTTTGTGTGTCCATGGTAGGTTTGTGTGTGTGTGTGTGTGTGTGTGTGTGTGTGTGTGTGTGTGTGTGTGTGTGTGTGTGTGTGTGATAATAGTGATGGGAACTGAGTGCCTTTGTTGTTTTATCATGGTGGTAAATTGTCAGAAGCCGCTGGAGCAGAATCTGCCTTGTTAATTGCTGGACTAATGAGGAGGGGGTTGTTTTACTGTGATTCTAACCATCTGTTTGAGCCTGATAAACTGTAGGCTTTAGAGAGCTTTTGTGGTCCAGTCATCAAAGCCTGGCTGTTCACTGTTAATGCTTTTAACCCACCCTGAATCATTTAAATAAGTCACATTAAAATATCTGCTTTTTTCATCTGATATTTTGCTCAGGGTGCTTTTACCTCCTTCTACTGAGTTACAGGCTGTCATATAAATTCATTTAAATAAGAGGTTTTAGATAAACCATCACCAGATGTCAGCTTCCTAAATCTCTAGAAATTGAAAAGATAACAAACACTTCAAACTTTGAGAAATAATTCAGGTTCAAAAATGTTTCACAGTCCATCAGCTGAAGTCAGATAACAGCTCGCATGAGCATTTACTTCTATAATCAAGCTTGGGATAAGACAGTAATAATCTCAGCACCTTTAACATAATTTGCTAGCTAAAGTAATGCTAGCTTGTATGTACTTACTAGCTGACTTGACATTTTAAGGAAATTTTCAGTGAAACTTGCAATGTTATCAAGAAAGTTGCTGGATGATGGTATTTGCCATTAACAAAAAGTCTATGACAAGATTTAAAATAAATTTGTCCTATGTCAGAATGTAACCCCACTTTTACACAATCCATCCATCGTTTAAGGACTGTATTCTTACTTCATAGCAGGTTAGCTTCCAACCCTGTGTTTGACTTTAGAGGAAATAGCCTCTGTGGTTCTTAGCTCTATGTGGTCATTTTAAGGATAAGGCTGATATGGGTGACACATTATTGAGGTTCATTGAAATGGTGTAACCCAACTTTTGTGAGGCATGCTATAGTAATCTCACAGGAAAAAAGTTAACTAACAGCTGATGGGGATGCAATTAGTTTGTTGAATAATTGGTAATAAAACAAAGTATTCGACAAATTAAACTATTGATTATATGATAATGACGGCTAACAAGTCACCAGACTTATTCAAATTCATCCCAAGAGGATTATGAATGCCATTACCAAATTCAGCATCCTTCAGCAGCTGCTGAGACATTTTACTGAGAGCCACTCATGATCATACTACAAGAAAAGTCAGGGTATCAAATCAGAATTCATTCTCTGGGCGTGGTGAATGTCAGTACTAAATGTTATTGTGAAGTAGGAGTTCAGAGATTTCACACAGTAAGATAACCCCTTAGCTGCTGTTGGCACAAGAGCACAAGTCGAGGATATAAAAGACTATATCAGGCATTCTACCTTTAAGAACTGTGCGTCTGAATGAAGCGATATCTACCTCAACGTGATTGAATATTTCAGATGAAAACAAAGAAGTGGACCAGGTGATGATGCAATGTCATAATGTGTGTTACAGTTTATCAAGTGAAAATATACTCTGGAATATCTGCCACAAGAGAAGAATTATGACAAAATTTGAACCACAGATTATCTTAAAGTTTGTTTTTCTCCTTAATTTCCAAGCATAAAGACTTTTGATGAAGGGATGGCATCTAAAATCCTCACAGTCAGACTGTAAGAGAATGATATTCAATCATATTTTCCTCATTCCTTCCAAAATCTGCGTATTTCCTGTTTTAAATAAGATAAGATAAGATAAGAAGAACTTTATAAATCTCTGAAGGGAAATTCAATTGTCTGTTGTCTCACATAATAGGTATCTAAAAGTTATCTACGATACACACAAGAGTTAAAAAGTGGTCATTATGATGGTCATTATTTAAAGACTGGATTGAATTACCTTATTGAAAACATTTTTCCTCGTTTTGTTTCACAGTGTGGATGCATGGATTGATTTCACAGTGATAACTGGACTCTCACTGGTAGTTCCCAAAGCATCCAGAAGAGGTCAGAGCTTATCAGCAAGCTAAAACACTCATAGACAGAAGCAAAATGAAGTGTGGAGCTACCAGGAGGAGAAAAGTCAAAAAGACCTCTAAGAAAGTCCTCTGTTTAGGATATCATGATATTAATACCACAATCTTTATCTCATTTTAACAGTCCTGATAAATAGAGTCCTGACCCAAAGCTTTTTGTCATTCTGCATGTGTCACTCATTCACACAGAGTGCAGTCATGAGGGTCTAACTCACTCAGCGTAGGGATACATGTAATCTATCATGGTGGGGTGATCTGACCCCATATCCTCGTAAATAAACTGACTGTGTCTCTTTACGAGCCTCCGATTGATTATTCGATTGATTTCATTTGCTCTAAATCTTGCTAACATTGATTTGTGGGCCGGCGTGAGGACAGCCTTTGCTTAAGAAAAGTTTGTGTTTGCGTGTGTGTGTGTGTGTGTGTGTGTGTGTGTGTGTGTGTGTGTGTGTGTGTGTGTGTGTGTGTGTGTGTGTGTGTGTGTGTGTGTGTGTGCGTGTGTGTGTGCGTGTGTGTGTGTAAATTAACAACACTTTTCAAAATTAAGACAAGACAAAAGCTTTTATTTAGTTATAAAACTGATGCCATTTCAAAGAAACATTAGGAAAATATCTAATTTTTAGAAGCAAGAAGGAAGTTACTGTTTACAGTGTTTGGTAATAAATCAACAGTTTTTTGGTCGTCATAAAAGAAACAAACCAACATTTCTAACAAATCAGTAAAATATTCATTCTAAACTTTATTTAAAAAGATCCTTTCACAAACATATTTCAAAGGGCTGTACAATATCTGAAGGACTGAAACAAAATTACAAAACCAGTGGCAAAAGGAGTAGCAACATCATCAGTATGAAATAGATATTATAACTTTTCTTTTATTTCTACAGGCACTGTTGAACAGATTTGGCTGGTGCACTGGACAGGGCCTAAAGGCAGAAAGGATTGAGCGGAGGAAATTAGTCTACATGCATTTTATAATCATGACTTTAGATGACACATATTCAGCTGGAGCTCTGAGCCTCATAAGCCTCTTAAAGGGACGGCGACTTTGAATAGAACAACGGTCATAAGATATTCTGTATTAACTGCTTTGTATTAAAAAAATACAACTTTTAAACTGAGATAGAACTGAATTTTTAAAGAAAAAGAGACCAAATCAATCTGAGAGCGCTGATTTCTCTATAAAACCCACGGTTTCGAGGCCTTGGTTACTTAGAAAAGTTGTTGTTGCCTGAGGATCATGAAGAGGTGGTTTTAATGACTCAAAATACCCAGCAGGATTCACTTAGAAAAATGACATCTTTGTGATTTTGGTTCTGCTGCTTTTCCAGTGAAGCTCACAAATAAATGCAGCATGGACATAAAACTGTCATTTAGACATCTCATTCCTTAATCAGCATAAATTTGAAGGTCTCGTCCCTGAATCTTCACCTATAGATGATCACAGTTCTGCCTTTTTCTACTCCCATGCCTGAACTTAACTCATTTCTTTTTTATTTAGTCAGGGCTTCTCCGGCAGCAGATCAGCGCTGTATTTAGGATTCAGCCCTGGGATTTGTAATAGCATTATAGGATTATAAACTGACATGATATATGCAATTCTGTGATATAGAAAACTGCAGTGTGACTCCACAAACCCCATAAGCCTCCAATACACCATCAGCTATTATAAATCAAAAAAACTAAACTGATCTCCTGCTCCTTTTCTCTTCTACTGCATGTAGTCCTCACACAGATTAATATAGATGGTTTTTAACTCCTATTTCAACAAACATACAGTATGTATTAACCTGCATTTTCTTGAACTCCAACTTTGAACCAAAGCTTTAAACAGAGCAGAGAGCAACTGTTATCGTTCAACAGAACATTACATTCATCCCTCTTTTCTTCTACCCTTGTTTTCCTCACACCAGAGCATAATCAAATTGTCCTCTGTCCAGCCCCTCCTTGTGGTCCGTCCACGATGATGCTGGCATGCTGCTGTAGGGGTCCAACAAAATCCGGACACAGCGAACAACGAGAAAGAGCAGCAGCAGCACAAGGAGGCCGACAAAGCACAGGGCTGTTCCCTGCTCCGGATGCCCCGCCATGGGCTGCAGCACTGTCGGACCTCTGGGGAAACCGGGTGGAGCAGGAGAGGAGAGCTCATAGTCCACCACCCAGTAGTTTGTGTCACTCATGTTGGGGAAGAGGTAATTGTTTTGAGGTTGAAGTGTTTTCTTATTTCGAGTGTTGTTTAGTAGTCAGGTGCTGTCAGCAGTTGCCTGGCTTTCTGTCACTGAGTGAGATTTTTAAACCAACCAGAGGATTCGCATTGTGACATCTAACAGATGTCAACAGATTGAACTCAACTGTTAATTTTCACACCAGCCACAGGGCAAATCAACTTGTTCCAGTGGAAACAACACAGGGCAAAGCAGTGGTGAAAATTAATAAGCCCTCTGGTGAACAGACGGCAAGCTGGGGCACGCTCAGTAATTATATTCAACTCACTTGTTTGTTTTTCCCTCTAAATCAGTCCTTCTTGCTGGGGTCAAAAGCTGAGATCAAGACTTCAACTTCCAGCCGTCTGCACCCTCCTCAAGCTCATCTGTCAATACTTAAAGTGTCATCCAATAGCAGCCCTAGAGAAGCATTTCTAGTGATTACAAAGTGAAGTATAAATCTCATTCGAGTGGCTGAAGATGGTCTGTAGATCAATCAGAGGCTGTAAATGATCCCTGCTGTGCCTCTTCGGTGAATGTTTTTGCAGTCAATCACAGGGACGGTCCGTTTGTGTCCAAATGAGTTGTAGTGTCTATTTTTGTCCCTTCACCTCCTTCCTGAGTCAACAGGGACATCTTTATTGGGTAGTATGCTCATCAATTTACCTAAGAGAGAGGAAAATAAGCAAAGATGGGACACAACATGAGAGAGTTTTCTGGCATAAAGAAAGGCACAGATTAGGGGGATAATCAGATTAATACAGGGGTTCACAGCTCAACAGGAGCTTTAATACACATCAAGGATTAAAGATACAAGTTTAGCCACCAGAAGTGAGGAGTCCTCAGGGCCTTCAACCCATGCAGGGAGCAAGAATTCAATGTCCTATCAAAAATGTTTATACATACCTTTTTAAATCTTTAAATTTTGGATGTATAAAAGTACAGTTCATCACTAAAACTTTGTCTAACCACAAGGTTGTACTCATTTCTTTATTTTTCTGATATTATTTATATTGTATACCTATTCATTTATATTATATCAAGAAACTTTTGTTTTGCTTTGATTTTGTAAATAAAGCATTTCTGTTTGCTAACTGTTGATCTTGTCATTTGCACCAGCAGAAAAAAAAGAACAAAAATGTACAAGCTGTAAAAATCTGTAACTGTATATGTTGTAATAGTCTATAACTGCATATGCTGTAACAGTCTCTAACAGTCTGTAACTGTATATGCTGTGAAAATCAGCAACTGTATATGCTGTAACAGTCTGTAACTGAATATTCTGTAACAGTCTGTAACTGTAACAGTCTGTAACTGTATATGCTGTAATATGTATAAAAGTATAGTTCATCACTGAAACTTTGTCTAACCACAAGGTTGTACTCATTTCTTTATTTTTCTGATATTATTTATACTGTATAGCTATTCATTTATATTATATCAAGAAACTTTTGGTTTACTTTGATTTTGTAAATAAAGCATTTCCGTTTGCTAACCGTTGATCTTGTCATTTGCACCAGCAGGAAAAAAAGAAAAAAGTGTACATGCTGTATTAATCTGTAACAGTCTGTAACAGTCTGTAACTGTATATGCTGTAACAGTCTGTAACTGTATATTCTGTAACAGTCTGTAACTGCATATTCTGTAACAGTCTGTAACTGTATATTCTGTAACAGTCTGTAACTGTATATGCTGTGACAATCTAACTGTATATGCTGTAACAGTCTGTAACTGTTTTTTTCTGTAAAAGTCTGTAACAGTCTGTAACTGTATATTCTCTAACAGTCTGTAACTGTATTTGCTGTGACAATCTAACTGTATATGCTGTGACAGTCTGTAACTGTATTTGCTGTAACGGTCCGTAAAAGTCTGTAACTTTATATTCTGTAACAGTCTGTCACTGTAACTGTATAGTCTGTAACAGTCTGTAGCAGTCCATAAGTGTATATGCTGGAACAGCCTGTAACTGTATTTGCTGTAACGGTCCGTAAAAGTCTGTAACTTTATATTCTGTAACAGTTTGTGTGACTGTATATTCTGTAACAGTCTGTAGCAGTCCATAAGTGAATATGCTGTAACAGCCTGTAACTGTATATGCTGTAACAGTCTGTAACTGTATAATCTGTAACAGCCTGTAACTGTATATTCTTTGAAAGTCTGTAACAACTGTTTATTTTGTAACATCTCTAACTGCATATGCTGTAACTGTAACACTCTGTTTTCTTTTTAATTCTATAGGTAATCAAGAGGTTTTAAATCAGTTTTAAATCTAGCTGAAATCTCCCCACAGAAGCTTTGAGCTTAGAAAGCTGACGAACATTATATTGTTTGGTATTTCCTAATGTAAATGTGCATCATTTTATGTAAGGTTAAATTTGCATTAATGTAAATGTATGACATATGTTGTCCTTGTTTTATGATTTTTTATATCCATAATATACACAAAAAGGAATATCTACACTGGTATTGCACTGTCAAAATAAATGTTAGCTAAACAAATCTTTCAAAGTAAAGGTCAGTAGATAAGTAGACTAGACTACATAACTGAGACATGACAGGAGCACCACCCCTTCCTTGAACTCAGGTACAGCTTTGTATCAGATAAATAAATCAGACACTGATGAAGAAGGAGGGGGGTAAAAAAAAGGGAGAAGCCCCTTGGAGAGTTGCTGCACTCTTGCACTGAAACACTCTCGGTAGCCTCTTTAATGGGCTGTGGAGCAGAGAGACATTTCCTGTTGTACTGTAGGTGCACTCCTCTGTCAGCAGAATCTATTCCAGGAGGTTTCAGTCCTCCCTCTTCACCAACCCTGCAGACCCTTGCAAACATGCGCTGATAGCTCCCCCTGCTCTCAAGATGATGGGGTCTAAAGGGCCAAGCAGCAGTTTAATTGGGGACTTAAAGACATGATGAAAGAAACTGCCTGCGTCAGAATCAATTATCAAATGGACTGGACGGTTCAGGTAGCTGGAGGAGGCTAAATAAACACTCAAGAGTCAATAGAGAGTCTTAAAGTCGACATGAAGTTTACACAGAAGAACAGGACAGCACATAAGTCAGGCTCTGAGTAAACCACTTAAACAAGCCTGCTAATGAAAAAAACTGATATTATTTAACGTTACTCTTTCAGCTTATCCTTTCATATTCTTATACACTGCAGATGTCTTTAAGGATGAGTGTTTTTATCAGCTGCCAGAATACCTGGTACAAGACTGGATTTTAAAGTAATCTCATGTTTTTTTCCTCTCCTTAATCCTTTTGAGGTTCTGCCCAGTCAACATATACCGGGAGTTCTGCAACACTAACCCAAATTTTGCTTGCGTCTGCGATTTTACTTGACAGTTTACTTTATGCAACATTTGCAGAATATTCAATGATAAGAGAGGGTTGTATAAATTAACCTCCATCCTTCAGTGTTTTAGCACTGACTCCTCGTCTCCAAAGTCAGATAGACCAGCGTTAAAATTTCTTTATCAAATCTAGTGTAATTTTTTTAATCACAAGAAAACTTTGTAAATTTGTGAGTTGATTGATGATAGTGGTTTAAAAGATGACCATAAGCATGTTTTTAGGTTACTCAAGGTCAAGGTGATGCACAAAAACCATAACATGAGAATGGAAACTCTTAAACAAACACAGCTTTAAAGAAAATAAAAGAAGGAGCAGCCTCAATTTCATGGCTCATCAATCCTCATTGAGAGACCTGCTTTGGTTCCCAAGCAGCAGATAAATCACACACTGGAGCCTGAGCACACCTGATTTACACAAACAGTGAAAAAAATCTGCTGATGTTTACTCAGATTAAAAAAAAACAGAAACATTTCACAGAGATAGAAAATAATATAAAACAGTTTTGATTTCTAAAAGCCTGAAGCAGCCATGCCAGTCTGATCTGATGACAGAGCACATGCTGCGACATATGGCGTTCCTGGTAGCTGTAATACCTGTAATACCCCCAGTTCATACCTGTGGATTATGTCAGCAGCTTTGAAAATGTCAAGGACTTCTCTGAATAAAAAGGGAGGAAATGTTCTTTAAACAGTGAAAATAAAGTGAAAACAAAATGAAATATTTACATCTGAAGCAGAAAGACCCCTGTCGTTTAGAACATATGTCGTTGGAACATATTTGGACTCCATCTTACTTTCATTTTTTATTGTCGTAGATCCCTCTGATTTCTTTAAGACTTTCTGCAGTTTAAGTAGAAATCAAATAGGGTAAAGATTTCATGTAATACTTTAAAGATTAAAGAAGGGGGTGATTCGTTATCCCCATTTGTCATCTATTGCATCTCCGGATTTTTCCACCTAATGCAGTGTAAGAGAAACACAATTGCACTCTTCTTCCACTTATGCATGTGCGGCAGTTTATTGTTCAGCGTTTGTACATAAAAGTAGATTCAAACAGGAGCAACATTTCCTGAGTAAGAGTCTCTGTATGTGTCCGTATATCTGGCTAAAGAGCAGATAATGAGACTGAAGCATCCAACAGAAACAGCTGTGGGTAAACCTGTCTTTGAAATGAAGATCTGCTTCAGAAACTAACTTCACAAGTACACAATGAAGTTAAAAATATTTGAGCATAATGAATGTGAGAAAAGAGCTTAAAAACCAACAGAAAGTTAACTGTGTTTAATATTTTTATTCTTCTAAAATGAGACAATTAACTGAATAACCCCTCAGTGATAACTGATCATTCCTCCATTAAAAAAACCTGAGCTTTTATACAGTGATGCAACACTTTACATCATTCCAATGTGACATTAAGCCACACTACAGCACAAAGTTGCAGCCAGCACAGGACAACTTGTAAACGTGTGACTGGTAAAGAAATCACCCATGAGGTGACCTCCACAGCTCCACACACACTCCCACACACTAAAGTTCAACTCTAACAAACACTAAAGAGATAAACAAACATGCGGACGATCCGATTAGAGAACTCACCTTCCTGATGCACTCACAAGTGAGGATGT